ATCCTCGTGATAAATACGCACAAGAAGCAGTACAGGATGCTTGAGAAAGTCTTCACGATCTATAAGCTACAGTACGGCTGTGGTATCTAGAGACTCTACGAGCCGCCATATCGGGTCGTACACAAGGCATTACTGTTGAGAAAAGGTTAGCAGCATCATTGCGCAAGCACACATTGCTGGGTTGATGTTCTCCGCGAGTACGCTCGAGTTCAATGCCCCGCTCTCTGGACTCGGCGCCAACGATTCTAATTGGCCAAAAAAAAACAGCGTGAGCGGGCCAAACTGACCAGTGCGGGTGTTGCGTTCGTGCAGTGCAACACCCGCATTGGCTACAAGGGTTTTGCGCCCGTTCATTGGTAGAAATTCGAGCTTATAGGCACGTTTATAAGGTACCACAGAGGTATACAAAAACCAGCATGAAAACAAGAGCTGAATGCCATGTTGCACAATTGCCGCGCACACAGACCCGCTTGCATAGTACCGCTTGCACAAGATCGCCACGTCATATCGAACTTCCTCCTTCTTCTCTTCTCTTTCTTCGATTTAACAGGCACACGTGTGTTATAGTCCCACCATTTAAGGGGTAGTCGCCGATTGACGTGGGTAGGTTCAAAACCAACTGCCACAACCAGCTGGGCCACGACGGCATGCAGCGCCACGTACACGACACGACTGCAGAGTCCACTGGAGTATGACTGCAGATGAATGGGCCAAGAATGTTTGGCACTGGATTGTCGACACACAGAGTACACTCCCATGATACGACCATCGAAGCACCCCTTTCTCGCCTCAGAGCTCAGTCTAGTCACCAAGTAGTGTGTCGATAGCTCGGTGCTTGGCTTTCGATGGCTTGAGACTGTACGCGATCGGTCCTGGCGTCGCGGGGTCCCGCATGACAGCCGGGTGTGCGCGGCGAGCAACGACGTCACCAAGACGGTCCGCGACCATTTTCTGAATGGCAGGTCGCAGCGAAGCGCGATCGGTCGCGCTCTCTTGCTGCGGGGTGAGCAGCGCCACCGACGACTCTACCCAGCCACAACTTCTAGCACAATTGCGACAGGGCGACGAACCTCGCCGGCTTTCTCGAATCGAGGGGCCACCGTCGTCGTGCAGCACGTCGTCGTCCCCGCACGCACTGCCATCGTGATGCGCGTGGTTGCCGTCGTCGTCGTCGTCGGAGGCATCTTTGTCAAAGTCGACGAGACGCTCCAAGAGGACTTGAAAGCCGCGAGCGTCATTCTCCGCCTCGGTCACCGCCGCGGGCGCGCTGTCGGAGCTCACAGCGCGTTCGCCGACGAACGCTTGGGCTATGCGCTCGACGCTTGGCTTGCCGTGCGTCGACCGGCGCTGGATCGCTTCGTAGTGCGCGCGCAGCCCCGTGTACGCGAGATCGTCGCCGGACGACTGATGGTTGTCCAGATCCCGGTTGACCTACGCAGGGACAATGAGCCAACGAATATCTCGCCTGGGGTACAAGGTTGGCGAGCGAGTTGAAGGTCGCAATGAGGTTGCCGACGTGCTCCATGGACGCGGTCACATCCATCGACTGCCCCGACGACACGGCGGAGAGGTGCACGTAACAAGGGTTGCCGGCGACGCCCACGAGACCCAAGTGAAACACACTGCGCTTGACGAGCTTGTCGTGCGGGTATACGACGATCGTGCGATGGGTGCCACTCGCGTCTGACGCGTGGACGTCTTTGGCGCTACGTAAATATTATGACGGCTCTTCTTTCCAATGCGCAGCTACCGCCAGTCGTAGTCGCTGCTGCACGGCGCGGGTGTCGTCGTCGACGCATACAACTCGGCGTCGCCGCTCGTGCAGTGTAGCTTGAAGGTCACAATGGACGTCGGGTCCGTGTTCTCATAGCTAAAGTACAGCGTCTACGCCGAGCACAATGAGTGAGTCGCGTATTGGAGCACCGATGTGCTGCGTACGCTGCCTGGCGCCACGCTCCCGTGATACACCTCGCCGAGTGTCAAGGCAATGTCTGCACAATCTTTCTCACGCAGAAGGCGCTCGGAGCGGAACGTGGACAGTCGCCGCTTGGTGAGACGCCGAATGCGCGCCGAGGCTTTCCGGTCCTCGGGCGGCGCGTACGTCACATCGCTGTTGTGCAGCGTCGAGACGACCTCAAGCGGCGACGGCGGCACCATGGCCACCAGCGTATGGTGGATCCCACGCTCTTCTGTCTCGAACACCGCGGACCACCTATAGCATTGTGAGAGGCGGGCATGAAAGAGCCGCGCACCGGTGGTGGAGGTTGGACTCGAGGCGCGCAGAGAGACAAATGTCCCCCGAGACGTTGCGGTCACCGTACAACATCGAGCGGTCGAACTCACTGTGCATGGAGCGCTGTCCATCCGCGTCGTCGTCGTCGTCGTCGGACGCGTCTTCCGGGGTCCACGACACGGACGTTCGTTTCTTGTACAAAACCTACAACGTGTATAAGAGGTCGTCCATGCTTGCGTGGGTGTGCATTTCTCACCTTGGCCTTGAGCTCAACGGGGTGGCTGAACAGAAACGTACGCCGGGGCGTCGGAACATGCGCGGTTGTGGCGATGACGGGCGATCCTTCGCCAGCGGAAATCGGGTTTTTGAGTTTGCGACGCCGGCGCCGTGCCTCCTCGGCGTCCAAGAGGTCGCTCAGGTTTTCCGTCGGCGACTCAGTCATTGCGGCAGGCGTTTTGGCGCGAGCCACGTCGACCTCGTCATTGTTGCCACGACGTTCCGACGCGAGAGGACTGTTGTCCACTGCTTCGTTGTCGTCGTCGTCGTCTTCGTCACTTGACTCGTCATCGTCGTTTTCCATATCATCTACGCCGCTGTTAGTGAGGTCCTCTCAATGGCTTCTTTGCACCGTCGCTGGAGCTGCCGCCGTCGTCCGAGACGTCTGGCGACGGGAGTGGCGTAAAATCAATCGCCACCGGCACCCACGGATACATGGCGTCAAAAGCCAAGAGGCGCGGAAGCACATCGTAGGGCTTGAAGCTGTCGCGTGTCTCTGTCTTGTCCACGTCGGTGACCTAGTGGTATACTTCAATACCGCGTGGAACGTTCTCACGTCATCGATGTACCTCCCACTCGATGTCTTGGAGCATTGTAAGCGCTGTCAACTCTGGCGCCCGAACGAACGGTGGCGCGTCTCCGGGATACGCAATGTCGTGCTCGCCCAGGGGCAAAATTTCGGTCGACGAAAAGGCGGGGACACGGGTAATGACCATGGGAAAGCGCTTTTTGGGCGTAACAATCGGTTCGTTTGGAAGGAGTCCTTCAATCGCGAGGAGCTCCTCCTGCATGCGACGAAGAGCATCGTCTTCCGATTCTGTGGGTGCTGGTGGATCCAGCGTTTCGCGACCCTCGAAAGATTCGGCCTCACTTTCGCTGTCGTTGCTCTCCGTAGACGTGCTGTTGTCGTCCTCGTCAATGTCATCGCTGGGCGCGTTGGTATCAATCGGCAAAGGGTCACTAGCGTGCTCATCGTCGGCAGCAGGCGTCACTGGACGCTCGGGTACCACATTGGCTTCTGGTTCACACACTGGTGTTGTATCTGGCTCCATCTCTGGAACAGTCTTGGGAGCATCCTCCGTCGCGCCATCGACCGCATCTTCGACCGTTTGTGTCGGTATGACGACTTCTTGATGTGGGACGACCGACTCAAGTTCGACCAAAGGCTCTTCGTCAGCATCTTTCGAGGCTATGAGCGTCGCAAGCGCTTCCTGAGTCACGAACGTCTCTACTGCTGCGTTCTCCGAGCGCGAAGAAGCCACGGACGCGCCGTCGTCGATGTCAGCCGCGACACTTTCGGCCGCAAGAACCGGCGTCTCGGCCGCCGATACCGTGCTCGACATCGGCGTTGCGACGGCTCGCCAGACAACTTGAGGCTCGTCGTAGTCGACGGATGGCACCTCCTCGGGCGTCGATGGCAGCTCCAAGCCGATCGCCGACCGGACGCGGTACGGCGCCGTGTCGGGAAACTGGATGTACACTGTACTCGACGACGGTGGAGGCGTTCCCACGTCCTTCACTCGGCACTGGCGCGTCGACGGCGCCGGCACCGGCACCGGATGCACTACGTCCGACGGTGACCCCGTGCGATCCACAAGCTCCCGCATGGCGAGTGCCGAGGCCATGCTTCTCTTGTCCGTCTTCGCAGAAGCTACACCGTGCATATTCCTCAGACTCTATTCTTTTGTGGGTCTTGGAGCGTACCAGGAACGTACGGCGGCGCTGGCAGTACCGCGTGGGGTGCGTGGCGGGCCGTCGGGACGTGTGCATGCATCTGCGCTGTTGACACTTTGGCGCGACTCGCGGGGGTGTGGACGATCATGTCGAGCTCGCCGAGCTGCACGTCGGCGCTGCGGTCGGGCAGCACGGTGTGCGCCCAGTCAAACGTGTCGGTCGAAAGCTCATGGAGCCGGCGGCGCGACGTCGGTGCGTCACTGGATGGCTTTGCTTGCAACCCGATTGGCGGTCCGTCAAAGAGCTTGTGCTGGGCATACGCGACCGCGTGGCCTACGCGCAGGCTGAGCGTAAGCGGCCGACGATGCAATTACTCTCAAACGCAGCGTCCATCTCAAGCTTGTAGCCACTGCTAAACTCTAAAATATCCGGAAACGACAAGTACAATCGCGTCTTGATGGCCACGATGTAGAGCAGCGCGAAGAGATCCAAGTAGCACACATGGCCGTCGCCGTCGTGATCATGGTACCTACATGACGTCGCCTTGCCTATATCGTAGTATGTTCGACTGCTACCGGTCCACGAGTCGGTCGAGCTCGTCGAGGACGTTGACATCGCAGGGTGGCCACAAATTGAGCAGCCCCGTCATGATGGCAATGAACTTGTCGCTCTCGACACATCCGTCGCGGGTGCGGTCGCAGTAGACGAAGCAGTCGAGCAACACGCGCAGTTTTCGAAAATCGACGTCCATTTCCCGAATCGACGGGTGGGACGTCGGGTCAAAGAGGTAAAATTCGGCGGCCTCGTACGCGATGCAACTCGAGCGCCACTCGCGGACCCAGAGCGACAAGAACGTGTGGATCTCGATCGTTCCGTCCTGCGCGATTTCCGCCACGCTCGTTATCGTGTGCGTCACCCACTGCGGCGGCACCTACATCGCAAAATCCGCATGAGAGACGGTCGCTCGGGTAGCGACGGCGTACTTTGGGGTAAATGAGCAGTGCCTGCGTGCACGCTTGGCAGTTTGCGATCGAGACGCGCTCCCAGTGCGCGTGCTGGCCGCCGTAAACAAGCTCGAGGGGCTGGACCGTGTCGGCGCCCGGCAGCAGATCGCTGTGCTGCACCAAGCGCCGGGCATGCAGCCAGTCAAAGCCATCGAGGTACAGGTGCTGGATGTGGAACGGCACGACTGGTAACGTATCGTGCAAGTTGAGGAACGCGCCGAATGTCGCCGCCATTGCGAGCGTCGACTCAAACTGGGCAACGGAGAGCAAGAACCAGCAGAGCTTGTGCTCGACCACCGACGGCATGCCATAGCTAAACCAGAACTCATAAGACGATTCATTTGGGAGACAGAGGGTACCGCTGCTGGAACCACGAAAGGTGACGTGCAAAAGCGACGTATTCGCTGCGTGTTGTCGCTCCATGTGCATGCTGTGGTAGATGTGATAGATGATCGCAATCACTGCCCGCTCCGTAAAACTGTCGCCGGGCGACGAAAGCGAAATGCGGCGGTGGCGACAACTCGAGCACTTGCCCTACACTAGATCTTAGCCCCGTGCCGCGCCAGGCGCGCACCTCGATGCCGGCGTCCGTCTCGGGACCCTACAGCAGTCGATCTTAGAGACATTGTATCAAGTTGTGCACCGTACGGCGGGTGTCGACGGCCACGAGAGCACGCGGTTGCACCAGCAAACGTCCGAGTGCCAATACGCTGCTAGCTCGTTTGGTAGAACGATGGGTGTCCGTAGCTCTTTCGCGGCCAGCGGCACCGGTCGAGAGTTGACCCGGGGCATGGCCGGGGTGCGCGATATTGCCGGCGAGGATAACAGTGGCGTGGTCGATAGCGGCACGTATGTCACATGCTTCTCGCCGAGAATGTTGTATGATACAAGCGCTTTCTTGGCGCTTGACGGGGTTTCGGGCCCCGGGGTACGATCCTGCACCGTGCTTGGCTCGGCTGCGAATGCATAGAGCGCATCGAGAATGTCTTGCCAGAAGACCGGCGTCTCGAGCTGCCACAGACGGCGGCGAAGGTATTCGGAGACCTCCTTTCCCGAGATACGGCGCAGTGGCGTCGGCGAGAGCCCTTGCCACACGCGGTAGACGCGCCGAAGGTCGCCAGCAGCCAAGTGAATCTACGAGTCGACTCGTTAGACAAGTACTTTAAGCGATCGAAACCTTGGACGGGTCGTCGCCCACGTTTCGGTACAGCGACTTTGCGTAGTCGTAGATGGCCTGTGTCGCACTGCCAATTTTCTAGCCACTGGTTTCGTTTCGGCACGTCCCGACATGATGTTGTACCGTAAGCGGCGAGTGGCTCGGGGGCTCGGACATGGAGAGGCTGTCCTTGAGTGCCGCCTCGATGGGCGGTGCCGACAAAGCATCAATGTTGACGACGTTCGCATCCGGCGTCAGCCCTGGCGGTGTATCTTGCGGCAAGCGAGCCATGGTCGGCACGACAATGACCGTGTGGCTGTTAAACAACGACGGCGCGACTTCGATGACGGGTGACGCCACAGGCACCGGCGCCGTGTCCGGCATCTCCTCTCTGCGCTCGCTATCGGGGCAGTTGCAAACGTACTGGACGCGGCAGATTTCAGTCGGGAGGCCCACGACCAAGAAGTTGCCATAGGCAAAGACGCTGAGCACTGGTGCGTACAGCTCAAAATATCTACCACACGACCATCGCATGCACCCTGCAGTCCCTGTCCTCGTACCGGCGCTCGACGATCGTTCGGGCGTCCGAGTCGATGACCCACACTATGACGTGGCCATCATACGAGCTCGTGGCAAATGCGCAGTTGAGGAGAATGTTGAGCGGCGGCGGGAGGTGGCCCGGGTGCGGAACCTGCCGGATGCACGCGACGCGCCGCTCGTGCGGCTGGACGGACGCAAAGAGGCGCCACTGCACGTCCCACGTCTACTCCGACGTCGACCTATTCTGGTTCAAAAACAAGCTGTTCTACCGTCGCCGACGTGGCCTCGATAGCGTGCAGCTGCGAGACAATCTCGAATGCTTGCACCGATCCGTCTTCGTAGCCGCAGATCAAATAGTGCAGCTTGGCATGCTCCGTCAACAGGCACGCCGAGGTCACGAGCGCTTTGGTGGGGCAACTGCCGTCGTGCTGCATGACGATCGACGGGGGTGCCGCATGCAAGTCCCAGATCTTAAAGAGACCTGGTCCCGCCACCGAGAGGACGCCTGCGCATCGAAATGACACCGATCGTTGCTGCATTCGGATGCATACCAAAGTGACGGCTGTCGACGCGAACGCTCAAGAGCGTATGAATATGATGCACGTGCGCCGACCAGCGCCATGTGGCTTGGAGCTCCTGGAACTTGGCGCTATCGACAAATCACTCGATGCGAGGATGCCTCGGTCAAGCCGTACCTGCGTCCCGAAGTTCGCCAGCCATACAACCATCCGTCGCTCGTGCCCGCAAGAAGCACGGCGGGCGAGTCTACGCAAATTCGACGGTCTTGAGACGCGACCCAAGTCGGCGTACCAGTGGTGCGGTGCGAGGCAAGGCGGGTCTTGGAGCGGAGCTTCCCACCCCACGCACTGTCGCCTTCGCGCACCGCAGCGTGCGTCGGCAGCGCAAGCATGAAAAGCACCGAAATGGACGTGTTCAGCTGCGGGTCCTGGAAAAGCCCGATGTACCGCGCGCTGGCTTGGTCGTAGGCCTGGATGAGACCGGTGCTAAAGCCGACGAGCACGAACGACATGCAGAGACTGATGCTTGTCAAGCACGCCGACGTCACAATCGGTGCAATGACCTAGCAAATCTCTGCGGCAATGCAAACCATGAGAGCGTGCGTACGTGGGCGACGGTCGCCGTCGCGGGGCCGTCAACGAGAAGAGATAGGCTGCGTCGTTGGACGTCCAGCCAAGCACGACCGGCTTGGCATCGACGATCGCCATGTCGAGACGACTCAGCGATAGACGCGGCTCCAGCGCGTAGAGCGACTCGGCGAGGCTCTGCACCTTGAGCACGTGAACGGTGTGTTGCACGGGAACGAGGAAGAGGTGCTCCACCGAGTGCCCCATATCGACTTGCACGGCGAGACCTACGCATACAAAATGCTGTTGCTCGTTGCGCTCAAGAAGCACGCGAACCAAAGGCGCGCGCTGTCTTGCTCGTCACGGGGGTGTGTACATGCGGGTCAAAGGCCCCGAGCAAGTCGAAGCTCACGTTCAGCACGGCTACACGTCGCGTCTGGCCCATCGTCGCACCAGTGGCGGGAGAATTGTACCGTTGTTGGGTGCTTCGGCACGGAATCGGAACTGCTGCACCGAACGGTCGCTATGAATAGTGAAAAGGTCAAGCTCGTGCTCCGACGTCGTCGATGCCACTGGCACTGGCACGATATCGACGACACTTGCTCCAGGTAGTGGCGCACCGCCCATGCATCGGTACGGGTTTCGTGAGCCAACAGTGTAGCTACATACCTCGACAATAACGACGACCCTTTCAACAAGAGACGTACAGCTTGTTGCATGTAAAGCTGGCATTCCAAACGTTCATGGAGCCGTCGGCGTGCAGCGTCACGAGCCAGTCGCCGCAGCTACAGAGGCCATGAGCCAATCGAGCCAACGTCGTCCACGCACAGCGTGATGAGCACGAGTTGCAGCGCATCGTCGAACCCATTGTGGATCTGTTTGTCTCTCATGTCCAGAAACTCGTATCCGAAGCCACTACCTTGAGGATCTGACGCGACGCGCGGTCCCACACAATCAGCGACGACCGACGCCGGGGCCCAGCGTCGGTACTTGGAGGAAGCAAGATACCATACGCACGAGCGCTGCTCATGCAGACCATGGCCACCTACAAGACTATACATTTGTACTTGCGATTTAAAACAACGAAAAACAACACCTCGTCGGCCACACTGGTGAGAGTCGCGCGTGGCTGCACGAGCAGGCTCGAAGCGCCCGCGATGGTCATGCGCTCCATGCTCCAGATGTCGATCGCAGTCATCGGTGGCGCCTCTCCGTTTGAAATGCGGGTCACGAGAAGGAGGTCGTCGATGGCCAGGGCTCCGAGCGTCACCACCGTGACGGGTGTACCGGGAAACTCAAATGCGAGGCTGAGGGACGCAGGTTCCAGGACAAGCATTCCCGAGAGCGCCTGCGCCATCGTAAAAACACGGTATGCAACCTTATCGACTACCTGGCTGTAGACGCAGACGTAGGCGTCGGCGCTGGGCGCGTACCAGAGTTGCATCCGAAGCACGGCCTTGGACTTGGCGAGGGCGCCAAAGAGCACGATTTTGCGCAGCTCGCGCTTGAGCGAGAAGAGCCGCACGCTGTGCTCCGTGCGCACCTCGGTGGCGCCGAGGGGCAAGCCCACGACGACGCGGGCCGTGACGTAGAGGCACACGTGGTGGCGGCGGCTGTCGTACGCGGCGGCGTGGACGACGAGGTCGCTGCCGCACAGAAGCGCGTGTCGGTGCTGCAGCGTCTCGTGCTGGTTGGCCGCGTACACCATCGTGAAATGAAACTCCCCACGGACAACCCCAACCCCGTGCTCATGTCTCACCGCTACGAGACGACGATCGCTCCCGTTCTGCAGCCTGTTATTAATACAACAGGAACGACAACAGCTGCTGGAATATTGCGCATCGCCGAAAAGCGATTACTAAAGGATTCACCTGTATTTACAAACACAAGAGCGGACTCAAGTCGGCGCGTGCACGCGGCCTCTCTTCCCGCGCAGCATGAGCACCTCTTGCTTGAGAGCATCGAGTTCGCGCGCTTGAAGCTTGACGAGCTCGACGAGCTTCTTGCGCTCCGACATCTCCTTCTCCAAGCCGACGCTGTCGTCGACGAGCGAGTGCTGGACGTCGGCCGTGTTGAGGTCGGCCTCGAGGCTGAACTGACGCTCGCTCAGAGCCGCAATCTCGGTGAGGAGTCGCGTGTTGTCCTCGGTCGCGCGCAGGATCTCGAGCTTGAGCCTCTGCTGCTCGGCTACAAGGAAACTCCCGTTGATACATTGATAAAATAGAAGAGAAATACCTCGCGTCGCGCTCGCGTGCTTCTCGCCCTGGAGCTCTTTGGTGCGCACTTTGGCTTGGAGCTCGTGGAGGTTGCCCGTGTCGCAGGCTTTGTCCAGCACGTCAATGTCGATGAGTTGGCCAAACTTGAGCAGCTGCAATTGCTCGCACTTGTCCCGCACGGTGGCGATCACGTCGTGCTGGCGCGCCTTGTCGCGCGAGAGCTGGTTTTGCTGCTTATGCAGGTCTTTGAACACCTGCCGGAGCGCCTTGTTCTCGTCCTGGAGACTCCGAATGCGGGTGCAGAGCCGCTGAATCGCGCTTTTCGTAAAGATGAGTCCGTTCTCAATCGTCTCTGGCAGCACGAGCTGCGCGGACTCGGGACTCATGCCCTCTACGACCCACGACGCGTCACAGAAACCGCTTCGCGCACACGCCTCTACCTGGGAGAGCCGCCGGCTGCATGCAGCGCAGTTGTTGCTTGCTCAATGCAACGACCACGTCGAGCTCGTTAAAACGCATCTGCTTTTCGGTTTGGAAGGCCTGGATGTCTTGCTCCGTCGCCGTGAGCTCCTTGTCGATTTGGCGTTGTTTCTACGCACAACGGAAGATGCAAGCATGGGCTGGGACGGGTTCTACCTGCGTCTGTCGGTCCGTCGCTCGCTTGAGCTCATCGATGGCCTTGACAACGTCCCCCGTCGAGTCATCAATGTCCGCTTTCTGCTCGCGCAGCGCAAGCACTTTTTCGTAGAGATTGACGTCGCAGCCCGCGGGACACGTCTCGTCCTCGTTGCCGTCATCGTCGTCGTCGTCGTCGCTGTTGTACTCGTCGTCGTCGTCGTCATCGTCGTCGTCGTCGTCACCGCCGTCGTCGTCGTTGGCCCGCTTCTTGGCACGCTTGAGCCGCTTCTTGAAGATCTTTTGCAGCACAGCAAAGCTCGGGTGCAGCGATCCGACGAGGTTGACAAAGTCGCTCTGAATCGACGCTTCGCTCGCTTGACACTCGTCGAGTTCCTTGCGTTTCGTGAGGAGCTGGTCGCTGCACTCGGTCAAGTCTTTGACCACCTGCGCTTTGTCCGCCCTACGATTTCACGTCTTGCGGCCACGAGAGAATATCCGTTGTCCGTACTTGCACTTTTCGAGCTTGGAGACAAGGAGCGTCTCTTTCGACTCGAATTGCTCGAGCAAGACGAGCTCACCGAGGCGCGTCAAGAGCTTGATTTCGCCTTTCTTGAGCGCAATGTCGAGCTTCATCTTCTCGCGGCGAAGTCGGTAGATGGCGTCGTCGAACGTCTCAATGGCGTGTGCCACCTTGTGCTTGAGGGCGTCGATCTGCATCTGCACTTGCGTTGCTTTCACGCGGCGCTCTTCGTCTTCGAGGGGCGAGAGAGCATACTCGTCGCTCGTCTCCATGGCCGGCAGCTCGAGCAACGGGTGCGGAACGAGCTCCTTGGTCGCCGCGTCGTGACCATGGGTCAGCGAGGACAGCGTCGCCTTGCTCACAGTTCCCTTCTTCTGGTACTCGTCAATGTGCGCGTCCAGCACGCGTTCGCGCTGCTCGGGCCACTCGCGCAGGTCCAAGACAGGTTCGAAGACGCGGCTCGGCGTCGAGACCCTACCTCCCGTTAGATTCCACAGGCAACTTCATCGCCACGTACTTTTGATAGGCTTCGAGGGCGTGCAGGAGCGCATTGTCCTCTTGGATTTGCTCCATAAGTCGGTGTTTGAGCTCTCGCAGCTCGAGCACCTTGGCGTTGAAGCCCATCGCAATGTCGTACATGTTTTCCTCGAGGAGCGCCATCTGCTTGCGCTTCTTCATCGCATTCACCTACGCGCCTCCGAGGTGAGCGGAGACACAAAAGAGAGCATATCGTTTCTACGCGCTGGTCCTCGGGCACGACGTACGACGCACTCGTCTTGAGCTTGTAGTCCTCCATGTGCGTCGAGGCAAACGCGATGGCCGCCACGTCGCGCGGGTCGTCGGCGTCTTCGCGCGGCTTTTTCGTCTCCCACGCCTGAATGCGCGCCTTCCGCTGCGCGCGCATCGTCTTGCGGTACTCGAAACGGTGCGCCGATGCGCCGTCGCTGGCGCCGTCGACGACCGCCTCCTCGACGACCCGCGCCCGCCCGTCGTCGGTCGCTGCCTTGGGCGTGTGGATAAAGTCGAGCACGGTTCGTGTCTCCTTGGCCACGGGTTCTACGTACGTGTTGGATGATGATCTACGATCAAAAGTGATCCAAACGTACGATTCGACGCGGCTTCTTGGAGCTCCAAGTGGATGAGCCGGAGGCGGTCCGCGAGCACCTCTGGCATGCGCATGGTCCGAAACGACTGCACGTGCAGGCCGTTGGCAAAGCCGTGGAGCGTAATGAGCTCGACCGCGAGGCCGCCGACGTACTTGCGGCGCAACTTGGCGAGCAGGAGCTCGCTCTCCTCGTACGCGTACGCCATTTCTTTGCGCACTTCGTCGCACTGCTTGTCGCCGGCGGCAACCAGCATCGCGCCATACTCGGGGTCGATGTTCCACTGCGCTGGCTCCAGCCGCGCCGTCTACGCCAACGTGTCACGCCTGTAGAACGGCAGCCTTCGTACGGGCTCGTGGGAGCTGTCGAGCAACTGCAGCTGACGAAACTCTTCTTGCATCTCGGCAATGATCGCTCGTGTCCTACTCATCGACGTTGGCGAAAAACCAGCGGTCGCGCGTACCGGTTCTTCTTGGCCAAGGCGCTGTTGGCGCGGATGTCGGCCTCGAGCTTGAGCTTGGCGTCTTGGATCGTGTACGCTTCGCTGTTGGTGATGTCGGGCACTTCCTTGCGCGTCACGGGCACTTCACGCGACAAGTCGACGGCGGCGACAGGCGAGAAGGGCGATTCGTCAAGCGCCTCGGTGCTGAGCTGCCGCACGACGCCGCCGAGCACCTCAATGTCGCCAATTGCGATCCCGTCAAGGAACGTGCTGTACGCCACGGCACCCGCGTACACTGGGTTGTTGACCCATAGATTCGCTTCGTTGCCGTCGTTCCGCAGCACTTCGTTCTTGGCCGCCAACTGGTCGTGCGCGGTCTGGTAGATTTTCTTCGCCTCGCTGAGTTTGCGCGCGTAGCGCTCCAGCATGGTCATGGCCGTCTCGGCCACCTACGCCCCGCGTTGAAACGTCCATCGTAGCGCCTATCCTGCGCACCTTCTCCGCCAGCACGCGGACGACGACGAGCTGTCCGTCCGAGCCGCCCGACACGACAAACGCGTCATCAAACGACATGGCGACACCCGGCGTTCCGTGCGCCGCCTACCGATCGTGTTTCAGTTGCCTGCCGCAAGAGCGCAAGATCGCACCTCGTCGTGCATCGCCAACGTGAGCGACGCCATCGGCGCGACGGACGACCGAAGGTGGACCTTCCCATTCGAGTTGCCAGCGAGAAGGAACTTTTGGCTGTGCGATCGCGTCATCGTGTGCACCAGCCCGGACGGGTCGTCTGGAAACACTTCGACCGCAAACGGCTTTGTCCAGTTGCACTTGTACGTGGACCCCGCGTGCGGCCCCGCCACCGTCACCTACATGCGCATGAGACGCTGCCGTCGAATGCACCGTCGTACGAGAAAGCATGATGTTGACGCGCAGCAGTACATGGCAGCAACCACCACCGATACCGCGTCGGGCGAAACCTCGACTTCGCCAAAGCCAATGCTGGCGCTCAAGGGGCATGGAGCCACATTGTACGCCGACGGCTTGTCAGTCGCGGGCTCTACATACGCTGCGTTTCCCGCCAAACTTCAGATTGACGAGTTGTACCGTTGGCCATGGCGCTGAGCTCGGCCGTCGAGAGCTTGCGCACGCGTCGAAAGGTGAACGTTTTGAGCCGCGCGTCGAGCTCGTACGTCTGTCGCTCGTCGTTGCTGAGAGTCGGCACGTCGATCTCTCTGCAGCCGCGCATGAGCTGGCCACTGCAGCGCTAGAAGGCGTACCCGACGACGCCATTGAGGCACGTGAGCAAGATCGCTTTCGAATCCAAGCGCCAGCTGAGATGCCGGACGCTCACGTTGGGGATAAAGCCGACGGGGTCGTACTTGTGCAAGCTACGATATCCAGCTCCAGCGTCGGCTCGCGAGTTGCAACGTACCTTGGGCAGTGAAAGATGAAGAGCGTGTTGTCGGCGCTGGCCGACGCAAAGTACTGGCCGTTGGGCGCATACGCCATGCACGAGATGGGCTGGTTGTGCGGCTTGAAGACATGGGCGCGGTGCCAGCTACGCACGCTGCTGAGGCGACGGATGCACGACCGTGGCTACCTTGATGGACCGCGCTCGAGGACGCGGACGACGCCGTCCGCAAACGCGACGGCCACCGTCTTGCCTTGCGGGTCGTGGGACGCCGGGGCGTACGTGAGACTCGTCGCGCCCACATTGAAGCGCATCGAGAAGAGCGGCGTCGCCGTCGTGTAGTCCCAGCACTGCACGTTGCCGTCGACGCCTGCGGTTGCACAAATGTGCTCGCAGGGCGACGTGCCCACGCCGACAATCGCCCCTGCGTGGCACTCGAGAAGCGTCGTCACCTACGCGACGCTTGCCGCATGCAGCGATAATGTGGACAACGTACGAGTTTCGACTCCAAGTCCAAGCGGTGCACAACGCCGTGGCCATCCTGGACGAGATAGTGCTTCTCGCCGCGCAAGAGACAGCGAATGTCGGCGGGCGACGCCACGTGGTGCAGCGTCTTGGTCGTGATGTGGACGGTGTCGATTGGGGTCACCTCTGCGACGGTGTCGTCCTCCTTGACGTCGGCTTGGTCGATCGCGGCAAAGGGCCACCACTTGATGGCGCCGTCGCTGCCTACCGTCCAAGGTCCTCATCACATCCCAAGCCTTTCCCATTAGAAAACACCGCACCCGCCGTCACGATGCACTGCGTCTCGGGCTCGAAGAGCACGACGTTGATGGCGCCGCGGTGCGCGCGCTCCCGGTTCGCCGTGACGATCTCGCACTTGATAAAGTTGCCTACACGCCACGAAGTGCACGCACTGCCGCCGCGCAACGGTGGTACCATCCCAAAGCAAAAGCGCGCCGCGTTCCGTGGAGCTGAGAACCTTCTTGTCCGGAAGGACGCAGAAGGCTTCAATGTCGCTGAGCTCCGACTTGCCAAACTTGCCAATGTCGCCTTGCAGCTTGAGGCCTGTGAACGTCGATGCCATCTTCCAGAACCGGACGTGGCCCGTGCCGCTGGTCGTTAGGAACCCGTTGTCATGCGGCGCGAACTGCACGTTGAAGACTTCTTGGCCAAACGCCTTGCAGCGCAAAATCGTCTGCTCCGAGCGCCAGTTCCAGACCGTGAGAAGAAAGTCGGGGGCGCTACCGACGGACGCGAGCTTGCTCCCGTCTTGGCTACACCAAGCACCATGCATGACCCCACGAAGGCGGCGAATATGCTACCTGAAGCGAAGGCTACTGTACGCACGCTCGGTACCATTGCGCAGAACGCGGTACAGCTTCAATTTCGGGTATGCGTAGATGCAAATGTTGGGCTTGGGCCCTTTCTCGCCGACGGCAAAGAAGGCGCGGCGTGGATGCACCGCGATCGCGCCGATGCCCGCACCGCTGTAGCCAAAGACATACGTGCGCTCCATCGTCGTTGTATCTACACCAGCGCCATGATGCTTGACGTGTGGCCATTTGACCGTACCGAGGAGCTGCGCCGTGTTGCCGGCGGCCGTGAGCACGACCGTCTCGTCGACGTACAGCATGTTGTGGCGCCTTCGCGTGTCAAACCCGCGCATGGCCACAAAGGCAAAGAGGTCGCGGGGCATGTCGCCATGCATCTGAGGCCGGACGAGGTCCTCGGGTCCATAGAAGAAGTCGTCCGCGAGCTGCCCCGCCTGCGTCGGATCGACGTCCATGCTCCGACTGCGACCTTTCAGAAACCAAAGAAGATTTGCGGCGTTTTTTAATAAAATGATATCTTATTTAACGCCGAGCAGCATGCGGGCGCAGGTCGTCGAGCTCGGGCAAAACGTTGTCGAGCGAGACGCCGTCACTGCCCGTCGAGTATCGCCGCTCGGTACCTGCGGGCGGGCCGTGCTCCGAGTCTGCGTCCGAGTGGCGACGCGGCCGTGGCCGTACCCGGCGGGCATGCAGCTTGAGCACGAGGTCCACGAGCTCGGCCTTCTCGACAACCGTACTCAGAAGGGTATTGTCAATGCCGCCGTCGTTGAGCATTTGCTTGAGCTCCTTCACGCTCAAACTCGCAATGTCGTCGGCGCAAAGATCGGGCTCGAGCAGCTCGAGCGGCGACGTGATGTCGTCCGCCTCGTCCATGGGCGGCAGTGGCAGCTGGCCGCACATGACACGGCAAAAGTTGATGGCCTCGTGGTAAAACGCCGCGGGTCGCACTGAGTTGTGGCCACCGAGAAACGTGAAGCGCTGCTTGGGGCCCTTGTGCGCTTGGAAGAGCAAGTCGACGTGCTTGGGCGCAACGAGCTCGTCCTGCTCGCCGATCGCGAAAAAGGCCGGCGCCTTGCACCTACCGCAATATGTATAAGATTGAGCGACGCACACCAAGCAGAGGTAGTACTTGTCCATGGACGCGATCGGGTTGAGCTTGAACATGTCAAACTTGGCGCGACGCCTAATGTCTCGCCGCAGCACGCGCATCACCAAGGTGACGGCAATCTACTTGGTAGGTATGACGTCGAGGAACGAATGCGAGTGTCGCAGAACCTTGGGCACATTGAGTTTGCCTTCATCGACGAGGTCGAGAGCGAGCTGCTTCAAGCTGGAGAAAGGACTGTCGAGCACGAGCGCCGTGATGTTGGTGTCGCTTTGGCTGCAGAGAAGTGCAGCAACTGCGCCCATGCTGCGGCCCCAGAGAATGACGCTAGATCAGCATACGTAGTACACTCGATGCCTCGCTAAAGGACGTACTTGGAGACTTCGCCAGATTCACGGAGATGTGCGAGGACGACGTCAATGTCCCGCTTCTCATGGTATCCGAGCGAGACGTACTTGCCCTAGACAGAGGTGAGGACGCAACGACCGAGCGCGACGACGTACCTCTGACATGCCAGAGCCACTAAAGTCGAGTGCAAAGACGGTGAAGCCCGCGGCGAGGCCGTGGAAGAGGATTTCCATGCAGCCGAGGCGGCACGAGCTGTTGCCGTGCAGCACGACGATGCACGGCGCCGGCTTCTTCTCGCTAGTCGGCGGCACCTTGCGCTTCCACCAGCTGCACTCGATAGCAAGGCCCTTTTCATTCCGAAGTGTAAGATCCTGGCGCGCTACGACGAGGTTGTGGGCCAGGAGGCACGTCGTCGGCCCGAGGTCGTCCATCGTGTACGTGGACCGTTGCGGCCGTATGACCGTGCGCACGAGACTATCGTACGCGAACTTGACCGTACCCCAGATGCCAGGCGGCGGCTGCGACGGCTCATCCTCTACGCGCGCCTGAGGCCATGTCCAGGCGGCGTCGCCCACGTGTACCTGCTCGGTCGTCCTGCATCCCGTGTCGGTTTGTACGGTTAATGACCACGTCAAACAGCGGTTTTACGCAGCGTATCCGGATGTACTCGGCGGCATAGAACCAAATGACGTTGGTCACGTTGAAGCCGTGCGTTTTATCCTCCTTGAGCTCTTGGAGGGTTAAACCCTGCCGCGGCGCCGGTGGCCTTCCCAGAGTACGTCACGTTAATCTTACTGTCAACACATTCCTTCCTCGCATAAAGACGGGTCAAGTCGAAGGCAATAGCGACGAGGGTCAGACCATTTTGGTAGTCAGCGCTCACCAAGCGGCCATTCTGACTACCGGTATGAAGTAGACGCTTGCCACGTACTATTTACAGTACCCTGCATGCGCTCACGCTCTACCGTTAAGTGGCAGGCGATAGGCCAGTACCGGTATTGTGAAAGGCGAGGTACTGGCGATTGCAGCAAGAGATACTCCAGCACGAGTGAGGTTCCTTGGCGCTATATTGCCGCCTTCTATTGAATGCGCGATCATCGTATGAGCTAAGGTCGTGTCGTGGGGTCGTAACTCGACCCATTGATGCACCTGTACCTCGGGATTGGTTTGGTTCCGCTTCACAACGGGCATCGATGCCCAAGAACGTCGTTGCTCATGCGCAGCAGCTTTGCTGCCAAACGAGTGCGCTGGACCCTCAGAGCCATCTCTATCCTGGTCTATCCTGGTCCTGCGTTCAGCACCCATGGTTGCATAGCCAAGTGCAGCCGTCGGGCGAGATCGGGCACCGTTGAAAGCTTGCGACCTCCAAATGCAAGGCAAGCGGCTGAGGAAAGTTCAGAAGCTTGCACTTCCCAAGGCACTCACGTAGGAGGATCGCAACTCCGTTCGCACGGGACGGACTGCGCTAAGCGTAGGTAATAGCCATAAGTCTTCCGCACTCCAGAGCTGCAATGCAGCATGACGCAACGCTGCAGCCGGCTCGTGGCAGATCGCTGCCGTAGCGTTGGACCATGTCGCGCCTCTCGTGCTTATATACTACGCATATATTAAGGACTACGCGTCTACTAGTAATGGCAAGGAATGCTCTGCATTTGAGGCCGATGCACACAAAGCGCTTCTCAAAGATGGCACTTGTATTGCCTGCTTGGCTGTGGTGGCGCCACGATAGCCATGATGGAGGGACCAGTTCCGCCTGGGATTACTTACAGGCGACGAGTTGAGACACTTCTGATAGGGATGCCGTCGACAGAGAGACTCCCTCAGATCAACGGACGTGGGCTATTTTGCTGTCGCCACATGTCGCAGGCGTAGAAAATCCAAGATCGCAGGCGCCTTTCGCGAAGGCGTGACGCTTCGGTGTCGGCCGTGTCCTTGGCGCCACGGCGATTGACCTCTGATTGACACTATAGATGTAGGATGCACTGGCTTCCGATAGCTTCTACCCGACCGTTCGTGCCCACGTCGTCTCTGCGTGCAACGAACGGTACACCTTTCTTTCCCAGCCAACTCTGGGGTAGAGATAGTTGGTGGCGGTGGAGCAGGTTGTGGGTGAGCGCCGCCCTGTACGCGTCGCAATGGACCATCCAGCTACAATTGTCCTGATGCACGTATGTAGTTGGTTTGAGGCAAGCAGCGCGCGCAGCTTGTGAGCCAAATATAGCTGCAAATGCAAATTTCTGCATGATTATGGCTTGATAGCGGCGCTGTCACCATGTCGGCGCCAGCTGGACAGCGTCACGCTTCTCGCAAGCCGCCGCTTCCTGCACTCTCATTGCATCGAGCGTCATCAAGCGTTCAGCGATGACCCCACGAAGAGACGTGGGCAAGGCTGGTCGCCGTGGCGCTGTCGTCGGTGGTGGTGCCGACGGATCTTGGTGGCGCGACAGAATCTGTCTGTAGCGTCGCGTCGGTTGTGTTAAGGGAGTGACCTTCAACAATACATGGCTGGTGATATATTATTATGCCAATGCTGCAAATCACATACAATAACGCCGTTATTTTAAAACGACTTGAAAAAATGGAATCCAATAAAATCTGCGACCCGAGAATTATCGCTGGGGCTGCTACCGAATTATTATTAATAATTGCCCCGGAGCTGCCCAGGTCCAGCACAACAGCAGCAGCACAGCGCAGGACTACCTGGACGCCGACGACGACGAGATGGGCCAGACGTGGAGTACCCAGAAGGACGACTACTACGTGGGCAGCACGTCGCCGTACACGATGAACAGCTTCAGCACGGGCGCCTTGAGCCACGACCGCAAGACCGACGTCATCTACGACTCGGACGACCACGGCGAAGAGACGCTCGTCATCGGAGCCCGCGCCAGCCTCCCTCTGCTCGATATCAAAGGCAAGAAGCAGAAGCAAAGCGATCTTCTTAAGCGCATGGGCCTCGTCGTACGTACAAGCGGCAGCCGCCTCACTCGATCCGCCTCGGTCGTAATAACAGATGTGGTGCGCCTCGATGGCGCCAAGCTCGTGCCCCGCAACAAGACGTACGGGTCGACACCGGCCAACTGGCCGCCATCAAGCGTGAAAGGGCCCGCGGAAGCCAGCGGCGCGCTTCGCATCGGCGACTCTATCTATTCGATCAACGGTGTCAAAGTCGTCAACAAGACGCGCAGCCAAGTGATACGGCTTATCGCGGAAGCATCGACGCACCCGCTGGTGCTCACCTTCCGCCACGGCGATGCGATGGCTCAAGTGCAATGGGACCAAGAGCTGTGCCTGGATCCGCCCGAGGGCGAGTACAAGGAGCCAGAGAACGAGTGGGGTCCCGCCCAACCACCCAAGGTTGGCGGCTCCGTCTCGATCTAACAACAAGGTGACGTGTGGATAGTTTTAGTAGATTATGATTGTGGATTTATAACAACAGACTTATCATTAGTTATAATGCCTACCGCGCCTCGAGCTGGAGCGCCTGCTTGATGTAGTCGAACGACCCAAACGTGATGCCGACCATGGGGATGACCTTGAGCAGCTCGGGCGCAAGACCTCGGTAAAAGCCTTGCACACCTTGCTCTGCGTACAGCGCACGCGTGATTTCCATGGCGGACAAGGCCTTCCCACCTCCGTGGATGCCAGAGATCTGCATGCGCCGGCGAATCACGTCAACGGGAACGTGATACTCGACGACACGATGCCCGAGACGCCGCCGCAGAGAAGGGTGTCGATAACGCCGAGCGACGTGTTCACGGACGCGTTCTCGCGGCTGCGGTATGCGAGCGCCATCTCTTTGAGGGCCTCGAACATGGTAAAGTTCACGGCCATGTTGGGCACGGTCACGAGCAGCGTCGTCGAGAGGCCACGGTAGAGCCCACGCGTGCCCTCTTCGGCGCGAATGCGATGGAACGCATGCGAGATACCGCGGTACCGAATGTCCTTGTCGAGCTGCGTGATGAGGCGCGTGCGAATGAGGTCGATGGGGTAGCAGACGCTTGTGGACGTCGCGGCCGCGATCGCGCCAGAGAGGAAGCTGATCGACATTTGCCCCGATTGCGACGACGCCTCGCCGAATGACCCCTTCATGAGCTCGTACGTGAAAAAGTTGACGGCCGAGTATGGAAACCGGTGCACCACACTCGCGCCATTGCCTTTCCAAAGTGACACGACGCCCTCGTTGCGGACGACCTATGATGCCGCATGAGCAGGATTGTCGAGATCGAGTCCTGTACCTTCATGAAGGCCTGCGGCAACGAGTCCGAGAACTTGCCCTTGTGCGTCGCAGAGACCATACTGTGGACTTGGAAGAGGATGGTGAGGCGGCTCAACGGCGCCGTGCATGTCTTCCCGACGCTGCCTGCGACGCCGCCGGCAAAGAGCACAGTCGCCTGCTTGGCAATCTCATCCAGCAAGCGGCGCTGGTGGTCGACGTCGACGGTCTCAGTGCACACGTCGCCGGCGTCGCCGAAGCTCACGGCGCCGGTCGTGTGACGGCGAAGGAGCTGGGGCGTCACCGCGTCGCCCGTTGGCGGAGGACCGGTCATGGGCCTGACGACGAAGATTCGCTCGGCTTGGCAAGTCCCACCACTCGATAGTCGCACTAGTGCTTTTCCGCACCCATTTCACGAATATGGTGCGTATTCTGGAATGGGTGCGCGAACGATGCCATCCGGATAGACAAGAGCGACACACAATTGACACGGGATGCCAAAAATGTAAAGATACGAGCTCAGTGACAAAGACCCGGACGCGCAGCAGCAGCATGGACGCCCGGCCGACGACGCCGAGAGGCCCCGAGTGGCGCTACTTTGGCGAGCCCATGGTACCTATATCGCCAGCCTTCCAGTCGCTGGCGAAGCGGCCGAAGACGATCCCTCTCGTCCCCTGCGCCTTTTGCGGGCTGCACGTGCCAGCGCGGTCCAACTCGCTGCGCCGCCACTTGCGGGAATGCGGCGCTTGCAGCGACGACGCGCGCCTCTGTTGTACGCTACTCTTTTTCTCTCGTCCGTTTCTTTCAACACATACTGCGTAGGTATCAAGCAGCCGCCATCGTCCGTTGTCATCTCGGCCCCGCCCATGCCCGACGCGCCCCACGAACGATCGCTCAAGGCCACGCAGCGCCGCCTCAAGAACCGACTCGCGTGTCGCGAGAACCGAAAGAAGAAGAAGGAGCTGCGAGAAAACCTCAAGGGCGAGGTCGCCGCGCTCTGCGCCAACAACGCAACGCTCCATGGCGAGATCAACGCGCTCTTGGGCTTTGAGGAGCCCATTCTGCTGCCAGCGCTCGATTTATCGCCCGCAAGTCCCAACACTGGCTCGTCGACGGCCGCTAGCGAGCTCTACTGGAAAGCAGCCCTCTTTTTGCCCGTTACAAGCCTGGAGGCGCCGTACCGCGCCACGACACGCCCGAAGGCAGCTTCTACAGCGCACAGACATGCACCGTGTCAGGCGATCCCGGCAGCTTGAGCGCCCAGCTGACCATACCAGGCCCACTCGAGGCGATCTGGGACATGAAGTCGCTGCTCATCAACGACATTGCAGTCGCCGAGCCCGAGCTGCCGACGGAGCTCCCAACTGGCGACGTACGTGGCATCGTCGTTATTGCGCGAGGCGTGACGACTGCTCTCGTAGATGCAACTCGTGCTCCTCGAGCGTGGTCAGATTCGACATGTCCGCTTGCTTCACCGCCTCTTCAACGCGGCCACCGTTGCCCGTATCGAGGCCGCGGGCGGGGCAGCCGACGCGGTCGGTGAGTTTACGTGGCGCATCGTCTGCTCGTGCGACGCAGTCCGCGCGCGCTCGATGCAAATCTCACTGCTGCGGTATCGTACACTAAGTGTGCACTAAGACTTGAGCAGAAAAATAAAAAGCCGACCACATTCAAGTCGTCTTTGGTTGCAAAAGCAGATGAACTATCATTTTGCATGCAATACCGAGTGCTCGAGCTGGCTCCAGCACCTGCTGCGTCCCAGCTAGCGGACGACGTGGGTAGGAAGGTGTTTATGATGTTTCTAATATGGTTTATCGCTCGCAAGCGCAGACTAGAGTACTCGTTGGCGATGCGTCGACGTGGGCGATCGTGGCCGTGTGAAGGGACGACCTTGCGGCGACATGAGCACAGTGTGTACGCGACTACTTGCGCGCGAAGCGGCTTGTGAGCGACTGCATGATGCCGCCTTCCCAGCCTTCTCGGCCTTCTTGAGCGCGTCTTTGATCGACTTGCGGTCCAGCGATTGGTGAAAGCTCTTGAGGTCTTGCTTGAGCGTCGCGATTGTCGACTCTTTGACGTCGTCAAACATTTTTTCAAGCGGGCACCCGAGACACTGCATGACGTTCTTGCGCGCCGCGTTCGTGCACGAGATCTCGTACGGGGCCGATGGCATGACAAAGTTGCGGAAGATACTCCACGCCTTGTTCTTGATCGCCTCCATGTTCTTCGTCTTGGCGAGTTCCTCAAAGATGATGATGGCACGTACGCACTTGAGGTTCTCGGCGTTGAACTCTACATGTGAAATATGATCATCTCGGACTCGTGAAGATTAACGTACTCTTCTGCAGGTATGCGTGCATTTCGGGGAAGAGGTACATGTCGGCGAGGATTTCGTCGATCGTAAACTCAGCCGTGTCGATGGTCGCGACTTTGACGAGCACGTCCGTGGGCGGCACGAGCACGTACTCTTCAAACGACTCGGGCGATTCCGAGAGGCGCGTAATGAGCTCCGAGAACTGGATCGACTTGATGAAGCGGTTGAGCGTATCCTTCTGGAGCGTCTTCATCGCGTCTTGGATCGCAACGTCGAAGAGTTTGCCTTTGAACTTTGTGATCTTGTCCATGCGCTCGATCGTGATTTGCCGGTCCTCGCTCGGAAGACTCACTTCGTTGGGCGAGTTGCGCGAGAGAAAGTCTTTCCAGATCGTCGCCGCCATCGCGCCGCATTTCTTGACGTCTTCCTCGTCGTCAAAGTTGAGCAGCTCGCACCGGTCCTTGTACTTGTCGACGGCCATGACAAAGTTCAGGTTCTCGGCGCAGAGGTTCTTTTGGCAAAAGTCGAGGAGGTACCCGACCGCGATCGGGTTGGTCGTCACGTCATCGATCGAAATGTCGCGCTTCGTCAAGAGCGCGTCGTTGTTGATGCACTTCTTGCCCCGGGCAGAGTTGAGTGCCGCCATCTCCGAGGCCGATTCCAAAGTGCGTCGCGGTCGGTTTTGTCGGCAGTATTTTTACGCGCCGCCCGAAATAGAGCCAATCAACGCGCTGCGTTGAGGTCTCGCGTCCGTTCAACGCCAAGATGGCGCCACGTATACGTCGATTTCAAGCCCCAACATGGGTACAACGAGGCAGGCAAGACGAGCCCACGGCCAACGCCATCGAGGTACTAGAGTACGAGACGAGCGTAGGCCCGAAAAACGCGTTGGATGCGAGCTCCAACCGCTGCGACGACCATGACCGGATGATAACCCTTCAACGCCCTTGAACATTTATTTAAACACTCAAATTCAGCTCCAATTCGACGCGGGATATCATTGTGGAGTCCGTGATGCTTTGTTTGCCGCTACGAATTGAGAGCCAGCAACTAATACTTGTATACCCAAATTGCGAGGTTGCCAATACCTCACGATGTGGCTGACTAATGCCAGTCCCTTCGCGCCATATTTTGGCGCACACGCCGTTTCGAACTCGGGTCGTTTCACTAGTGTCCTTTCAGCCAACTTCGCGGGAAACCCTCATGGGCTGCACCATGTGCACGATGGTTAGCTCGGTGGCCGAGCCGCCAGCGGTGACTTCCGAGCGCAGCACCAAGACCGTTGTCACTGGCTTCACCGAGGGCATTGTCGAGATGATGCTGCGCGAGCGTCGCCATGGCATTTCGGACGACAGTATCGCAGAGATCGACGGGGAAGACTTCCGCGATGGCGACGACGACGACGACGAGGAAGACGACGATTTTGCCATTCTTCTCGTCGAGGACGACATGGCACTCGTCCTCGATGTGCTTCGGTCCAATGTGCTCTTCTCGTGCCTCGAGACCGCGCAGCTCGAGGCGCTCGCCAACTCGATGCAAACCGTCGGCTTTGGCGTCGGGGACGTTGTCTACAGCCAGAACGACGTTGGCGACGCATTCTACATCATCAAGCAAGGTACAACTGGGCATCGAATAGGTTGTCATCAACATGTCATGCCTAGGCAAGTTTGATGTGCTACGAGACAACGAACACATCCGCACGCTTCTGAGCGGCCAGAGCTTTGGTGAGCTCGGGCTCTTGTACAAGTGTTCTCGCACAGAGACGATCCATGCGCGCGACTACGGCACTGTGTTTTGTCTTCGCGTACGTCTCGTCTTGTCGCGAGCAGCACTGAGGTGCAGCCTAGGCCCGGACGTTTCGCGCGATTGTGGCACAACACGCTCTCGGGACGCTGGCAACGTCCAAGGAAGCGCTGACCAAAGTGCCTCTGTGCGTTGCGGTATTGGCACGCGACTAAACACTGACATCGCCGTAGGCTACAAAGCCTCACGGAGCAGCAGTTTGAGACAGTGGCCGACGCCGTGCACACGTTGCACTTTCGCCAAGGTGCGCGGGAACGTGTTCTGTAGCAAGCCGATTCTATGACCTATGCAGGGGATGTCATCGTGCGCAAGGGCGAGCCAGGAAACATCTTGTACATGATCCAAGCCGGCACGGTACAGAAATCCCAAGTGAAACCACTGGATGGAACGCAATGTGACGTAGGTTGTGTGCACCGACATTGGGGCTGGTGCGCTCGACGATGTCGAGCTCCACGAGGGCAACTATTTCGGGGAGCGCGCCCTCATCACCGACGAGCCTCGCGCTGCGACCGTGCTGGCCAAGACTGACGTGACTCTCATGGCGCTGAGCCGCGAGGTCTTTACGCAAGTGCTCGGGCCGCTCCAAGACCTCATCACGTATGCACCACGCTGCCTCGTCCGTCCAAAATGCCACGCTTTGTAGCTACAACCTCAAGATGCGCGCTGTGCAGAGCGTGCCGCTGCTCAAGGAGTTTTCGGACGCGGAGAAAGGCGAGCTCGTGGAGAAATCCCCGGTCCGGGCGTTTGCGAGTGGCGATATCATTTTGCGTCAAGGCGACGGCAGCGACGAGTTTTACATTCTCGTGAGCGGCAGCGTCGACGTGACGCAAGCGATCGAGAAGAAGCCGCCGGTGCACGTAGCGTCGCTGTCGACGGGCGACTACTTTGGCGAGACGGCAAGCCTTTGCCGCATCCGTGCATGGTGTGAACCTTGGCAATAGGCGGTGCTTCAAGACGAGCCTGCGCCGCGCAACGCCACGATCACGTGCACTTGTGCTGTCGAGTGTCTCGTGCTCAGTCGAGATCTCTTCCACTCGGTGCTCGCGCCCGTCCGGCCACGCTTGAGCCAGCAGCTCGACGTGCGCAAACAAACGAGCCTCGACCGCATTTTCGCCGCGAGCATAACCAAGAAATCGCTCAAGCGCGCCAAAGTTCTCGGTATCGGGTCCTTTGGGCTCGTGTACATTGCTCAACACGAGCCATCGGGCCGGTACACCCCTTCCCTCGTGCAGGTTGTCATGGAACAGGCAGGTTTGTCGCGGTCAAGGAAATGTACAAGGCACGACTGGAGAAGGCGCGGCAGATGGCCCACGTGACGTCCGAGAAGCAGCTTCTGAGCTCGCTCACGCACCCTTTCATCCTCAAGTACTACACGGCGCTCAACGAGTCGAAAAAAGTGTACATCGTTACCGAGGCGCTTCTCGGCGGCGAACTCTTCCAGCGCATTGTCAACCCCGCGGGCGTCCCGACGCCGCTGCCGATGGCCAACGCCCGCTTCTATGCCGCCTGCGTTGTCCGCGCGCTCAAGTACCTCCACAGCCGTGGCGTCGCCTACCGCGACCTCAAGCCCGAAAACATGTATGGCGTTTGCTACATGGTGACAGTGACTGACGCACGCAATTAGCTTGCTCGACGGACTCGGCTACGCCAAGCTCGTGGACTTTGGCTTTGCCAAGAAATTACTCCAGAAGACGTACACGCTATGTGGCACGCCCGAATACCTCGCGCCCGAGATCGTCACCGGTGTCGGTCACGGTATGCCCGTCGACAACTGGGCGCTAGGCATCCTCATCTACGAAATGGTACGCCGTCGATTCGGATCTAGAGGCGCCCCAACCCACGGTCATCAAATAGGTTGTCGGCGATTCGCCGTTCGCCGACAGCCGCGACGATCACCTCGCAATCTGCCGCGCGATCCTGTCGGGCCATATTACCTTCAAGCCCGACGCGGATCCGGACTGGAAGAGCCTCGTGGAAGCGCTGCTCGTGCGCGACCCGACCAAGCGACTGAGCTGCTTTGCACGAGGCAGCACGGTCGAGCAGCACGCATGGCTCCAAGGCGTCGAGTGGGACAAGCTCCTCGCGCAGCAGGTGGAGGCGCCGTGGAAGCCCGAGATCCGCTCCGACGACGACGCCCACTGCTTCTCCGAGGTCAACGAGGACGAGCTCGACGCGCTCAAGGAGTGGGACCACGTCTGGCCGGAGAAAAACTGGAGCGAGTTTTAAAATGGTTTGTCCGTGGTAGCAGCATCTAGAAACACGCAACTTGAACCGCTGCTGAAATATTCCCGCCATTCGCACCGCCTATCGTTGACCTCTTCCATGTACATGTACTCAAGTGTTGCAGTCACTGTGCTGCGTTCATTGGCCCCGCTTGCTCATTGCATGCATGCATGCATTGATTTTGCTGCTACACGCAAGGACGGCTAGAAGACCTCAGGATGCTGGGTGTCGTAAAGGCTGCCGAGATTGCCGACCAAGCGTGCCGACGCCGGAGATCTTTTTCACTACTACACGTGGCGACGTCGTGGTGGTACGTTGGGTACGTTGCATGCTTCAAAGGGACAAGGATTTTCAATTGTGTTGCACGGATTGCAGTGGCGTGCATTTAGTCAAAGCTTCCGTTCGCCGCTAGGTGTGGCCAATCAAAGGTCGCGAAATTCTGGATTTTGGCCAATAAGATGGCGATGCATGTTACATACGGTTGCGTGAGCGTGAATAAAACTTCGGGGCCGGCAATATTTCTGTCTTGGTCGGCCGCCATGCAGAACCCGTACCGCGAAGCGAACTCGCTCTCGCCGAGGAAGCACAAGACCAAGTCGGGCACGCGCTGGAAGGACGCCAACGCGGCGCAGCGCAGGGGCATGTCCGACTCGGATGACGAGGAAGATGATGAGTACCGGGCGACGCGCCTCGATCATGGCGCGATCAACGGCCAGCCGACGATGGGCCCAACGACGGGCGACTACGCCACCGACGCGCCGCTGAACTTGAACGTGTCTCGCTTTGTGCCCAAGAGCGCTCGGTCGCGCCTCCTGCAGCTCTTCATGTTTCTCGCCTTCGTTGGCTGCTTTGTCTGCGCCGTGACGCTCGAGTACGTCAACCTGAGCCCTGGCATTATGTGGGGCTCGGGCCTCTCGTTCTTCTCTGTGATCGCGGTCTTGGTATCGTACGCAAGCGAGCCGCTGAGCCGGCAGCACCCCAACCCGCTCGTCTTTTGGCGCACCATCGCAGACGGGATGTTCGTCATTCGCCTCCTCACGGAGCAATTCGTACGCCGTCGCTTCCTCTTTCATCAATCTCATGTGCGTCCCTCTAGTCGCGCTGCGCCCACTACGAGTGCAAGCCGCTCTGCACGACGTTCAACTGCGGCTGCGCGACGACGGACCTCGCGCCCGGCCTCTTTGCCCAAATCGGCGCCGACAGCTGCACGTTCTTTGCGGGGTTTTTCCAGTTTTCGCTGCTCGCGTCCGAGTGCTGGTTCCTCTGCATGACACTCAACCTCTTCCTCTCGCTCACCAACCCTTTCACGGACTTCAAGCGCAACACGAAGCTCTTCCACGTCTTCTCATGGGGCTTTGCGCTCCTCTCGTCCGTCGTGCTCATGGCCGTGCCCGACCTCGGCGGCTACTCGGACTTTGACACGTGCTGGACCAACGCCCTCCACGTACTCGATACTCGAAATGAAATGACTCACGGGCGCCTTAGAACTTTCCGCGCATCGAGGCGCCCTTCAACGCGACGTGCGCCAACCAAAGCCGCGACTTTGTGCTCAAGTCCAAGTTTGGCTCGGTCCAGGCCAACTACCTGAGCTGGATCTTCTTTTACGTGTGGATCTTTGGCTTCATCGTCGTCGGCCTCGCCGTTTGGTTCTGGGCGTGGCGCCGCCTCTCAGAGGGCATGCCCGAGACGTACGCCGTGCGCGTCCAGAGCATCAACCGCGCGCGCTTCCTCGTCTTTGCCGTCTCGGTCTACTGGACCGTCGTCTTTATCGTCTACTTTCTCGTACGACAATATCTTCCATCCTTTGGACGTCGCGTCATACAAATCAATGTCGCTAGTACCTTGGCCAGAAGGAAGACAAGACGAAGCGCACGATGAAGGAGATGGTCAACTTTCTCATGGCGTCCAAGGGCTACCTCGATCTTGTCATCTGGTTCCACCTCAACGATTTTCGCATTCCCAAGGTCGCGGCCCTCTGCCGCCGCGGCGAGAAGGAGGTCGACGTGGATTTAAACCCGCAGGTCAACGCTGCTCTGCGCCGCGAAGTGCTCTTCTACACGACGTCGGGCATCATCAAGGCCGTCGAGGAAGCGCGACACCTCCCAGAGGATGTGCACATCCAGCACTTGGCACTGCTGCCGCAGATGGACGGGCCTGTCGCCGTCGCGTCGGCGTACACAAAGACGTTCCACGACTACGAGCCGCACGCGTTCCGGCGCATCCGCGAGCGATTTGGCGTCGACAACTTGCGGTACCTCAAGTCGCTCTCGTCGACGGCCAAGGAGCGGCTCAGCGAAGGGGCGTCCGGTGCGTTTATGTTTTTCAGCGGCGACAGCTCGCTCATCGTCAAGAGCACGTCGCCGGAGGAGTGCCACTTTTTGCGGTCGATCGCCGACGAGTACGCCGACTACCTCTGCGAGAACCCGACGTCGCTCCTCACGCGCTTCTACGGCTGCCACTGCCTCGAGCTGTACGGGCAAAAGTTCTCGTTTGTCGTCATGGCCAACCTCTTTGACACCAAGCAGACGATCCACAGCCGGTACGACATCAAAGGCTCGTGGGTCAACCGGAAGGGCGAGCTCCCGAAGCGCGGCAAGAAGGTGACGTGCCGCCACTGCAACCGCAAGTACGTGTACCAGAGCCACGCGTACGAAGACTTCAACTGCACCTTCCGCCTCGGCGGCCACGAGCCCAACATTGTCTTGAAGGACGCGGACCTGACGCAGAAGCTCAAGCTCGACAAACCGGTGGCGCTGACCTTGTACCGGCAGCTCGAGGCCGACAGCGACCGGCTCTGCCGCTTTGGCATCATGGACTACTCGCTCCTCATGGGCGTCCACGACGTCGAGTTCACAGTCGATGCCGAGATGTCCGAGCTCGACCACGCGAGTGAGAACGACCAGTCGACGTACGTCAAGAACACGTTCCAGCCCATGATGCACCAAATGTCGGCCGAGGCGCGAAGCAACCTCGAGGCGGAGCGCAAGCCGCTCCCGCGCTCTGGCATGCGCATGGCCAACACGGTCGTCGGGCCCGCGTACTACCACCTCGGCGTCATTGACATTCTCCAGACGTGGACCTTCCAGAAGCGCATGGAGCGCTTCCTCAAGATCAACTTGCGCCGCGTCGACGGCGATGGGCTCTCGGCCATCGAGCCCGAGCGCTACAAGAAGCGATTCCAGCTCAAGATGGCCGACATGCTCGGCGTCAAGGAGCTCCTCCTGCACCACGCCAAAGACAATGACTTTGTCGGGCAGAGCTCGCACATGGACCTCGAGTCGTCGGCCGACGAGATGACAGTGCCCATGTCGATGCGGTCAATTCCGTCAAGCATGCTCAAGACGGGCGGGTCCCTCCCGTACGGTATGCGGTCCAGCTCCAACCTCTCGGACCAGGACGAGTACGCGGCCGGGCACATCCACTTGTAGTAGCAGCTCTGTCCATCTATATAAGACCCGCCTGTTTATAAGAGATTGCATGAAGCACGAGTGGCGTTCGTAGCTCCATGGATACGAAGTGCATTGCGCTGCCAAGATACATGCCAAGGACAGGACGTGATGATGTAGAGGTGATGCCAGGCCGTCGTAGCGCGATCAAATTGCATACATGAAGTCATGATCCTTACGGAGGTTACCGCAACGACGCTTAGAAGATCGCGAGCTTGACTTCCATCGCATCGTGGACGCGGAAGTGCACCTCGGGGTTCTCCTGGGGCTCTACGGAGCTCATGAGGATACGTAGGCAGGAAGGTCGTCGTACCGTTGAGGATGTCGGCAAAGTCGAGGGTGTCATCGTTACCCATGAGCGTGTCGAGGCCGACGCGCGAGCTCGGGAGGCCGGGCAGGCGCACGTGCTGCTCGAGCATGATCTTCTCAGTGCGCAAGCGCATGGCCGCGGCCTTGCCGTAGATCTGCTCGACCGAGTTCATCTTAGCCTCGAAGCCGTGCACGCGCCGGTGCATCTCGAGGCGCTGGACCTCATGCACGGGGCGGGCGTCCTGGTCGGCGCGCTGCCAGCCGACGCGGAGGACGTCGGGGCCGGCGCGGAGCAGAGGAAGCGAGGTCACGTCCATCGTGGGTCTTGAAGAAATCTGCGGTTCCAAATGACCTGCGAAAAATTGCCCTCAGCCAAAGTATATAGTTGTGGAGGTTTAGTCGCTGGGTGAAACGCATTGTCCCAACCGGATAAATGATCACAGATAAATTGCGCACCTCGTTTTGTCCCAATTCACACGATCTTCCGGATAACATTGGGAGATTGGGATCAACCTCTGGCTCGGATCCCGACCAAGACCCACACGCGGGAATACTCCATGAAGGTCTCCGAGAATGGACTGACGCGTTCTCTCATCGAGAAAGGCAAGTAGCAGATCCCTTATATGTTAGTCACCGTACAAATTTGTAGGTCAAACGAGTGTCTTCAATTCACAACAAAACACCGTCTCTATTGGCGTACAGCAACGTGTGTGGTCGGGTCACGAGAAAAAATGCGAAGGCTGCCAAGCTTTCGTACACACTTGTACGGACTTATCTCGGTCGAACAACCCAAAGCGTGAGCGTATTCTTCTTAATGAGCATCTCGCTCTCTACAAGCCGCGTCGAAGGGTGGCCCGATAGCGTTGCGTCGACCGCTAGTGTTGCTTTTCACACTAGCATCCTAGTTGGCAACTTGCCGAATGACGTGGCCAAACCCAAGCCCGCCGCGAGTGCGCATGTGCAGCTCACGTGAAACGGTGGATCGCTGATCGATGCGCGGGAAAAAAACAAACAACTACTTGGATCGCAGATCGCTCCGTGGTCTTACGCTGGGTCCTACGCATGTGTCCTTATAATCGTACTCGGCGGCTGCATGGACGCACAGGAAGCGCTGCCGACGTCGGGAAGCCTGTCACACTGCTCCCGTGATGAGCCATCTACCGAGCGCACCCAAGCACGACACGGTGACCGCTGGCACTATGTCATTGTGACCGTCGGGGATCCGAAAAATCATGTTGCGTGTGCATTCAACCAAGTACCCTTGATTCAACCAACTGAGCATGAGCGTCGTCGCGACTGAGCGAGGTTGACAGTAAACCAAACCGCTCTGCAAAATCCGGAAGATCGCCAACATACCGGTACTGAAAAGATACCCGTCGCTCGTATCCGGATGGGACGGCGATGGAGTATTTTGCTCGCATGATGCGGTCGCCGGGCAACGTCCTCGTGGACCGCGGCCTCTTCCGCCTCATTGCGTCCTTCCAAGATGGCCACTTCCTTGACGTCATTGCGCTCTTCAAGGCCTGGGCGGCGATGCCACTGCCCACGAAGATCGCCTCCATGCGCGACTTCCTCCTCGAAGCGATGACCGAGCCGCTGCTCGTGCTCCATGGCGCCATCGCGCAGAACGACGCGCGACTTGTCGACCTCGTCCTTCGGTGCACGCACGTCAAGAGCGCCAACGCAATGGACTATGCAGGCAAGACAGGGGCGCTCAGCGTCGTCCGATACCTCCACACGTCGGGCCACGCTCCATCGCGGCGGGCCATGGACTATGCGGCCCAGAATGGCCACGTCGAGATCGTAGTGTTCCTTCACGAGCACCGGCGCGAAGGCTGCACGCGAGACGCGATGGACTTTGCAGCGCAGAACGGGCACCTCGCTGTCGTCGAGTACCTGGCTGCGACCGTCAACGTCGGGGGCACGGTCAAGGCGATGGACTGGGCGGCCCGCAACGGCCACTTGAACGTACTTCAGTACCTCCACGAGCATCGCTCCGAAGGGTGCTCTGCGTATGCGATGGACAGCGCTGCGAAGAACGGCCACGTCCATGTCCTCCGCTACCTCCACTCGATTGATGCGCCAGCATCACACTTGGCCCTCGACGCCGCGGCGGCCAACGGGCACATGGAGGCCGTGCAGTTCTTGCACACGCACCGAAACGAAGGGTGCACAGTGCGGGCCATGGATGGCGCTGCGCGCTTTGGCCTCCTCGATATGGTCGTCTTCCTCCACACCCATCGCACCGAGGGCTGCTCCACCGAAGCCGTCGACGCGGCAGCGGCCAACGGCCATGAAGATGTTGTCCGGTTTCTTCTCACCCACCGCCACGAAGGCGCGTCACCATTCGCGCTGCATGCAGCCGCCGTCAGTGGCTACGTCAACATCCTCGACTGCTTGTACGCATATGCACCGACCATGGTATGCACGAGCCGCGCACTGCTGCACGTCGTGCAAGTCGGACAGCTCGCAGCGCTGCGCTGGCTCCTCGTCCATCAACGCGACGCGCTGGATGCGATCTCAGACGACCTCATGGAACGCGCCATCACGTACGACCGGCGAGAGATCGTCGAGGCGCTCTGGGCCTCGCGGCTGTATACACATGTACGCGAGAGCTGGGTAGCGCTCGCGATCGAGAAACATCGACCAGAGATTGCAAGTTACTTGACGCGGCGGCGGCTCTAGTGGGGCCACGTCTGCCAAATGCCGAGGACGCCTTCTGCAAACCCGAGGAACTGGACGAGCACCTCTGCAAGGATGGTCAGTAATCTCGCTTGCATTTCAACCATTGTATACCTGGGATGATCCCGCGCTCCGAGGACCAGTGAATGCAGTTGGGCAAGAAAAGCACGTTGCGCCACTGGTTGATGATCAGATACTGGCGCCTGCGCAGAAGAGACGCATGAGACATTGAGGTCGTTCCAAAGGGCGCAAGAACATACGTCGATTGAATCGTCGCCAGCTCAGTCGCGCGCTAAAAGCAACATACGTAAGCATACCGCTCATACGACGCATACGCCTACCTCGGCGACCGCGTCCGGGTCCGCCTCGTCGATGATCTTGGCCTCGAGCATCTTCTCTCGCTTGGCCAGCTTGTTGAGCCGGAGGTGGTTGGCGTACATGTCGAGGACGACGTAGACCGTCCAGGCCATGCACGACTGCCGCATCGCACGCATCGCATCGACATTGAACCATTTCGGCGCGCTACGTCACGTGCCTTTAGCCCGAGCCCTTGCATGGAGGCGTACACAAAGCCGACGAACGAGACGTGCTCGAGCGGGTAGTAGAGCAGCATCGAGTACACCTGGAGCTTGACGAGCTGGCGCACGCGCGGGTCGTCGTCCGCGTACGTCCATGAGTCGTTTTGGAGCGCTTCGATGCACTCGAAGATGCCGGTGAAGCGCGTGACATAGCGGGCGTAGCTGATTTGGGATGCGACGGCGCCGAGCCCCACCGAGTGGCGCGTCGGCTTGGCCGCGTAGAACTCGATGACGCGGGCGAGCGTCGCGCAGCCAAAGCCGATGGACTTGGAGACCTTGTCGGCCTTGGACGTTGCGCTCGTGTACTTGACGACCGTCTTGACGAGGTCGTCGGCCATGCTGCTTGCTCCTTGCGAAAATGGATGTTCAGTCAACAGCCCTCCAGAATCTAGATCTCGAAATATGACCAATCACAGCGCCGGATGGCGCATCCGCGGGACGATCGCCACGACGCGGTCGACGCAGCAGCGACCGTCGCCATCGCGCGGGCCAATCAGGACGCACGGCACGTGCATACGAGATGCGATTTCGACTAACTACTTAGCCTCCTCTGTCCACCACGTTTAGTTGACATTCGACTACTAGTACATGTTAGTCGATCGCGCTAGACTCGGAGATTTCGCCCCGACGATTCGACGACCCCTTGGGTAAAGCCCCTGAGCTCAGCACGACAATCATACGTCGCAGAGCAAAGCGAACGAGGAGCACGAGCGAATGAGCTCGAGCGACAACCGAGCATCGAGTGCAGTGTGCTCACGCGGCGTGGAATGCTGCTAACACCCGACAGCGCGAGGAGATAAGCCACAGTCGAGACCTGCACGAAATGCAAGATGCGTCGCCTCTAGCCTTCCTCCTCTAGCCACGGCGTCCATTGTGGCACCGGTATGCCAACCCTGATCAGGTCGTTGACCAGAAGCGCGCCGGCGACTAGTATCTGGCTCGATACCACAGTGTGTTGTCGCCATCGTGTCGGTGCCAGAAGCCCATGCGTTAGCTTTGCCGCGGTCGCGTGTTTAGCAAGTCTACTGGTCACAGCCATGGTCCTGCCGTGGCTCTCGTCGTCCAAGCATGTATCGGTGGCCATGTACACTGTACGAGCGCGCGCAAAGCGGGTGGATGGACGACCTAGTTCTATTATATATAAACGTATGACAAGGACAACGACGGCGCGGGCTATGCGGTCATCGTTCGTCGCTTGAACGCTTTGATAATCGGAGAGAGCATCTTGATGCGTGACCGCGACCGTGGCCGCGTCGCGTCCGGCTCTGGCCCCATCTTCAAGAACATGCGCAAGAGCGAGCGCTCATCCGTGTGCTCCATGCGCTCGTATGACTCGAAGAACGTGACGTCGTCTTTCCAGTTCATGCGCCGCCAGAGGTGGACCGAATTGGCCCACTCCTTCATGAGGTCGTGTGTCGGCGCGCTGAGCTCGAGCGTCCGCGTCTCGCCGAGCTTGATACGGCGGCCTTCGATGCGCGTGACTTCGGTCGATGCAACGGTGAAGCGATGCGGCAGCTGCGTGGGCACGTCGCACTCGGCCTTGACCTTGGTGATGCGGCCAGGCAGCGCGAGGCTGCCGAGCAAGATGCCGCCCTTGTCCGAGTAGAAGCTCAGGACGCCCTCTTGGAAGACGACGAAGACGATGATGGGCTTGCCCATGCTCGAGCGCATCGAGACGTCCTTGAGTATGAGGAAGCCGTCGCGGTACATGGCGGCGACGCGCAGGAAATTGGGATCTGTTTCATCGCTTGTCCCAACGCCAGCGCAATTCAATTCGCTTTTTTTTGACCGGCCAACGTACGCAGCGTATATTTTTATAAATGCGACACCGTTTGCATACAAATACCTTATTGTATTTGGCAACGTGAAATAAAATACAATCCCCCAACAGTTGAATTGCCACTGCTGGACGAAAGCGCGTTCGATCACTTGACGGGAGCGTCGCAATTGGCCGCAAGCTTTTCAACACTGTAAAAGCGTTGCAAGTCGCGGGCCCGCGGCCCTCCTCACGGCATAGGATGGAGCCAGCGTTTCTTTTTATTTAATTCTATCGCCCGACCATGTATTTTTTTGAACGCGCGCAATTCAGCAGCACCGCCATCTTGATTTGGATCGCGGTCGATCCAAGATGATGGCGCAACCGCTTCCACCTGTAGCTACCCGCAAGAGGACGACTTTTGGTATCCGAAGCAAGCGTACTATGGAAGCAGCAGAACGAGAGGAGGAAGAAGCAAGAAGCAAGCGACATGGCAGGAGGAAGAACCGGCTGCGTTTCCAGTCGCGTTCGATATCGAAGCTGTCAACATGGCCCGTTGCCAAAGCGCTACGAGTATCAAGGTGGACGTTGCATGCGTGCAGATTGCAAGGATCTGAGCGACAGCGTCACAATTGAATGGGATCATATTGCCAGTGCAAAGAACATCTTCACGGTCCACCGCTCTCTCCATCCCCGGACGTAATATGCTTGTCGCGCCCGGCGTGACCAGGACGAAATGAGGGTCATGTGGACGCTGGGGATGCGAGGAAGCGGCACAGTTGATGGCAGCGTCATTGCAATTACATGTGCCAGACGACCCGGCGCATATTCGACGGACATGTTCATCTCTACTTGCGCCCGCAACCATGGCCGCCGCAACCGCACATCGCTACGTACGTATCGGCTAGACTGCAATCCAAGGCGCACATCATGTAGCAGACTCGTTCCCTTTAACCACGGCCAGACAGGCCCACACGGGTAGCGCATAGCGGTACACAGACATGGTCGTACTTCGATATTGACTCTTGTTAGACTCGAGGCCGCGGCTGCACACGTTGGCAATGTCGCCCTCTACAGTAGCCATTGTGTCGACGCGTCAGCACGCGGGCGACGGGACCCCACGCTTAGTGGTGGTGGTTGTCGCCGTGGGCGGCCTGGGCAGCCTCCCGCGCCGCCTTCTTGTGGCCTATAGCGTTCAAACCATGTATGAGCTAAACGGATACTATGATAGTTGCATAGACGTACGGTGGCGGCCGAGGTACTGCATGGTCATGCCCGAGCCCGCAATGATGAGCATGATGTGGACGATGGGCGCGAACGAGTTGGTGTGGACGTGGCGCACGCCGTAGTTGTGGGCGAAGCGGTGGAAGAAGCTCGCCGGGCCCGCGGGGACGGGCGACGTGTGGCGGACCGCGAGGCTCTTCTTGGCGCGGGTCATCCACTCCACGGAGTGGGCGCGGGACGCTTGGTATTCGGCGGAGCTCATGTTCGTTTGCTAAGGTCAACTGACGGTCCCAAAAGCCCTAATTTTTCCTCGAAATCCCACCATACTTTGTTCGAATATACGGCTGCCGCCGTCCGCCCCGCGCCGTGATTGGCCAATCCTGCTGGCCACTCGTTTCGGCCCGCCCGTGCACAAAACCCGCCCGCGCTGCCACTTGGCCTTTCGCGCCGACCCATCGACGTCGATGACGATGCGAGGAGCCGTCAACCTGGTGCAGGACGAGGCAGGAGGCTGTAAGACACCTGACGACTCGCCCAGCCATCTAGATTGCCATATATCGCAATGCAGGTCGAACGTACAACCACCGAACGCGTGAATTGAGCCCGTCGTAGTTTGGAGGTCGACGATTTAATCCACGCGAAAATGGTGGCAAAGACGTCGTGGTCGAGTTGGCGCCAGGCATCAAAATCATGGTTGAGCTCGTGGAAGTCGATTGCGATGGAGGGTGCTGTGCATTGGAGACATCATTCGCGCAAGGTAGCATCCGTCGTCAGTAGTACTCCAGTAGTACTCCATCGATCGAAGCTCTCGGCAGCGCGATCGGACGATGCTCTAGCAGCTTTACGTCCATATTAATAAGACCTCGATGCGCATTATCGCTTGTTTGCCCTTTCTGCAGCCAATTGCAATGCGGGACAAAACGCGTTTCAGAGTCGGAAGCGAAACCGACGAAGCCGTCGCCGTCGCCGACATGGCCTCCGAGTTCTTCATCGTGCGCTCCGAGTACGGTGTGAAGGACACCCAGCGCTACAAGCCCAAGCCCAAGGCTCTGCCGCCTACAGACTATGACGACGTTCGTGACGACCGGACGCTCTCGACGCAGTACACGCCGACCCATCTCAACCGGATCGGGTCCACGCCGGCGCTGCCGCTGCAGAGTGCGCCGGGTACACATGCCTTTAGCTCGTCCAAGAAGCGCCTCTTTCCATCGTCGTCGCCAAAGCTGACGCCGCTGACGCCGCCGCAAACGAGCAGCGAGAAGGCGGGCAGTGCGTTGGACAAGCACGTGCAGAGCCTGCAAGCGACGATCCTGAACCTCGAGAAGGAGCTCTCGGACGCCCACCGGACGCTTCAGAAAGAACGCAAGCACAAGAATCAGCTCTTAGCCGAGAACACGACGCTGCGCGAACACGTCGACGCGCTCACGCAGCGCGTGGCCGACGAGCGCGAAATCACGACCCACCAGAAGAAGGCGTTTGCCAAGCTCTCGCAGAAGTACGTGAGCGTTAACGAGTCGTTCCATAAGCTCGCGTCGGCGCCAAGCAATGAGACCATCAAGACAGTGCTGGCGACGCTCGCGCGGGAGAATCAGGACCACGAACGGCGGGTGCGCGTCCTCGAGGCGCAGCACGCGGACGACAAGAAGAGCCTCGCGAACGCGGAGAAGCGCGTGAAGCTCTTGAAGGCCGAGCTCGAAGCCATCGAACACATGCAAATGACGCAGCAGGCGCCGTCGACCGACCTCTTGGACGCCAAGTCGAGCATCCATGCGACGGACCTCAGCGACGTGGGCAACCTCGCGCCGGACGACACGTCGCGGTCGGTGGCGGCCATGATCGAGCATTACATTGACCCGAATCTGATGCGGATCTTGCACAAGGTGGACTCGCAGTTTAGCATTTCCAACGCCATCAACCTCTCGACGACCATGAAGCGATGGCTCCATGCGTGCCAGAGCATCCATGTATCCCTGGACATTGGCGTCGTCCTCGAAGAGTATCCGTCGACGCTTCGTCTTCCTCTTTACTTCAACGACCCGTAGGCTTCTCAAGAAGGTCGTCTCGGTGCTGCAGTGTGAGCATGCGGCCCTCTTCCAGCTCGACGGAAAGAAACTCATGTGCCGCTGCACGAACGTAAGCGCTGTCCACTCGTGGCTCGCCTCACGTGCGACGCGTCGTAGTTTGGCGTCACCAACTTTGAAATTCCAGCCGACAAGGGCATTGTGAGCTACGTGCTCTCGTCCAAAACGCCGTGCAATCTCGCGAGCGCCTACGACGATCCTCGCTTCTACAGTCCCCAAGACAACGTGACGGGTATTACGACCCGCGATATTGTGTGCGTTCCGATTCTCGACGGCCGACACGACGTGCTCGCCGTGCTTCGGGTCTCTCGCAGTTGAAACATTGATAGAAAGATAGATATTTATGGAGATAGGCGTGCAATACGACCCACTACAAGGGCTTTTCGCCCAACGACGAGATTGTGCTCTCGCTCTTCGCCGTCCAAGCAGGCATTCTCCTCGCGCAATTCCAGGTGATCGCCACCGAGATGCAATGTCATTGACACCATGACGTGGAGACAGATGAACGACAAGCTGCAAGCGTCCCAGGCGAAGCTCCTCCGACTGCACGAGATGCCACGACCGCTCGTGTCCGAGAGCGTCCCTTCGCTCGCCAGCGTGAGCCTGATCCGGTTCGTCCTCGCCACCGAGCGCAAGTTCCACGACATTCTCGGCGCGACCAAGTTCAAGATGTTCGTACTGGACGACGGCCCCGAGAGCAGCAGCAACGGTGTCAGCGCCACGGCCATGATGTGGTGCGTGGGCACGACGCTCGACCCGAGCTGCGACACCAAGCACTTTCGCCAGTACTACAAGCTCTCGTCCGGTCTCTGCGGCGTCGTACGCTCATGCATACCTGTTTTCGGTACCACCCCATTCGTGCTGGAAGTAGGCGATGGCCCATCCTCGGGGGCTCACGGTGCCGACGCCGTTCGCGCACCCAAAGTACAACGGCGCGGTCGACTTGAACAACCTCGCCCACGGACTGTACGTCGTGCCCATCACGTCGTACTGGGGCAAGCTCCTCGGCGTCCTCCAAGTCGCTCGGTCGGCGACATTGGCCCAAGGCCCCAAGCGGGAAGTCGCGCAGCAGCAAAGTGCGGACGACGACGTGCGTCTCCATCTGCTGTGCATCTTTGCCCAGACCGTTCGTTGCGCTCTTCGCCTTGTGGCCGCGACGCTCACATCTCGGTCTAGATTGCGGGCATTTTACACCAGATCATGGCCCATGAGCTCTACGACGCGTGCTCTGCCGAGGTATGCGCGGGAAATGGAGAGAGACAAGGGTGGTAGCGTGTGTGTAGATCAAGACGGCGCGCTGGGGTGCGCTCGAGACGACGCTGAACGAGTCGTTGCCGCCGCCCGAGTCCCAAAAAGCGAGCACAGAACTAACGACCGACGAAGCGAGACGCATGCGGGAGTTTGTCGAGAAGGCAGGACTCCCTTTCCACGAAGCCACACCAACGCGGCGGCGGCCATCCGCGACCAAGACGCCAGAAAAGCAAACGATAGCACCTAAGGAGGAAGGACCCGTCGGAGTAGGAGAGGCCAACGAGTCACGAGCTCCGGCGTCGACTGAGGAGCGGCCGACAACGGCAGTCGTCAAGAAGTCCAACACCGACAACCGACGTCGATCCAGCGTCAGTGCGTCGACAGCGTTGTCGTCCATGCCAGTGATAGTCGAAGGCCGACGACAATCCATGTCCGAGCCCACTGGCACTGCGACGGCCCACGAGTTTTCACCGCCGTCGACGCCGCTGATGAGCGTAGACGTCCGCACATCCGTGCATACCCCAGCGGAATCCACGCCCCCAGGATCGCCCCCCGCGCACCTCGACGCCGCTGCACGCCCGACGACTCCCGCTCGCCCAGCAACGACGGCACACCCGGCGACTCCTATTGGCGACGATGCTCTCATGGACTCGACGGCTCCCGTGTCGTCCATGCATCCAGCAACACCTGCGGCAAGCGAGCATGATCCACCCACGAGACCCGCAAGTGCTACCGACGCTGACATCCCAGTGGTCTCAAGACCACCAACAGACACCCCCGTGGCCTCGAGACCGGCCACCGCCGCAGACACCGACATTCCAGTGGTCTCCGATCCCCCAACGGCCACCAACACCAACGTCCCAGTGGTCCCAGGACCACCAGCGACCACAGAGACCGAAGCCATGGTAGTCGCAGAACCCCCAGCAGCCGCCGACAGCAATGCCTCAGCGATGTCAACAACGGCCTCCAGCCCCGACGCTCCAATCGTCTTTGAATCTCCAGTCTTGTTACGACCTCCAACGACCAATGACGAACCCGCGGCCACGTCGGGAGAGGGCGGAGACCAGGTTGCCGATGCGCTCGTGCACGAGTACGTCGACGACCAGACGCTGCCACCAGGGTGGACCGCCATCCGACACGGCGAGCACATTTACTACGAGGAGCTGTCGACCGGCACGCAGACGTGGACGCACCCGACTGCCAGTCTCGCGCTCTAGTGCAATATTTCACAAACTAAAATGACTTATTTCAGAAAAAAGGTCTAAATACGATTAGTCACTTTGTCACACACCACACGGGATATCTACACAAGGGGCCTACAGTTCCGGCGTCGTCGGCATCGCGTTGACCGCGAGGAGCGACTCGGTGAGGCTGCCAGAGTCCGACGACGACACGGGCGACGCGCCGGCGTGGTCGTCGCCTTCGTCCGAGGCCACGATCGTGCTGCTCGAGTTGTTGCGGCTCAGGTCGTCGCTCGTCATCGGTCGGAGCAGATGGATGTCAAAGTCCGGGTCGGCCTTCCGGTCCAACGGCAGCACAAAGTGATCGTGCGCGTCGTCGTCGTCCATGTCGAGACCGTTGGCGGCGACGTCAAGGTGGTTGTAGTTGAAGTCGCCAAAGAGGTCTGTGGTTGTGCCGACCGAGCCGCGCACCGACGTCGGCGTATCACACGCGACCTCGTTCGCGTGCATGTACGTGTCAAAGACGTCCACCGTGACGTACTCCTTGGCGTACGTCTTCATGAGGAGCGCTTGGTCGGCCGAGAAGGTCGCTTGGCGCGCAAACACACGCGGCCAGTCGACGGACGCGAACCACGGGTGGCGCTTGATCTCGTCGACGCCGTCGGGGCCGCAGCCGAGGCGGTCTTCGGGCTTCTTTTGCAAGAGGCCTTGGACAAAGCTCTTTGCGTCCGCCGAGAAGCGGTCCGAGAAGGGCACTTCAAAGGTCATAATCTTCTCCTTGATGAGTTTGTTGTTCTTGGCGTTGAACGGCGTGCGGCCGTCAATCATCTCGAACACCATGACGCCAAGGGCCCACCAGTCGATCGCACGCTAGACACGAAATTATCAACTTGATACTTGATGGCGTCTGTACCGTGTACGGCTTGTTGGTCAAAATGTCGGGCGCCATCATCTGGTACGTGCCGACAAACGTCGACGTGCGCTCGTCGGCCTTGACGTTCTCCTTCGACATGCCAAAGTCCGTGAGCGCGACGTGGCCCTCCGAGTCGCAGAGCACGTTCTCGAGCTTCAGGTCGCGGTAGATGATGTCGTTGGCGTGCAAGTGGCCGAGTGCGAGCGTCACCTCGGCCGCATACAAGCGTGCTCGCTCCTCGGTGAAGTGGCGTACGATGCGCATTTGGTCCAAGAGGTTGCCGCCCGGGTAGTAGTGCGAGAGCAGGTACAGCTTGGCGTCGTTCTGGAACGCATAGCAGAGCGTCGCGATGAACGGGTGCTTGATGCGGTCGAGGATCCGGCGCTCGGCGTTCGTGGCTTCGACGAGGCCGCGCGCGACGACGAGACGCTTCTTGATCGACTTCATGGCGTAAAAGCTGCCTTCGTCCGCGCCGTTCTTCTTGCGCACGAGCTTGACGCGGCCACAGGCGCCGCGACCGATAAACTTGACAATCTCAAAGTCCGAGAGGCAGAGATCGTCGACCTTGTCCGGGTGGATGAAGATCGAGCAACGGTCGATGAGGTCGGCGTCGTTCATTTGCGTGAGCGACGCCGGCGCGCTCGAAGCGCTCGCCTTCTTGCGCGGGTCGATGAGGCACGGGAGCAATTGGCACATTTTGCAGACGCCCCAAAGACCAAAGGTTGGTGCTTGCTTGTCCTCGCAGCAGTTGGCGCAGTACTTGACCTCGCACCATGCGCACTGCATTTTGCGCGTGAGGAGCCCCATCTTGCGGTGGCACAAGCCGCACCCGCCCCACTTGTTCTTGTCGCTGGGCGTAAACTTGGTGATCCCACTGGCCTGGCCGCAGCGCGCGGCAAAGACGCCAAAGACCGACGTCATGACCGCGCGCAGCGCCCAGCCGCCCGACGACCCGAGCACGTTGGACGGAATCGCGCCCGCCGAGACGCAAATGCAGCCGTGACGACGCTCCGTCGACGTGATCTGCCCACCCGCCGGCGTCTCGATCGACAAGAGCCAGGCGACCGCGCGCCGCGACAACATGCGCCGCGCAAAGTACGTGTCCGAGTCGCCGACGTAGTGGCTCGGCTCAATGAGCGCGAGCGCGCGCAGTCGGTGCTGCATGCCGCCGCGGCCATTGTCGTGGTTGAGGAGCTGCATGACGTTTTGGCACCCGCGCGAGAAGGCGAGGATGAAGAGGTCGCAGTCGTACGGCTTCACAAAGTAGTCCCAGACCGTGCCCACATGCTGCTTCGAGTGGCACGCCTGCGCCGCAGGGTTCATGATGAGCACGCCGTAGCCCTCGGCGATGGCCTTCCGGAGGTACGAGAGCATCGTGCCGGCCTCTTCGTCGCCGTTCGTGTTCATGCAGATGCTTCGGCTCCAGACACCGGCCTCACGGTATGGCACGATTACGAGCAGGCGCGACGCCTTGCCGTGGTCTTTGGTGTGGAAGACCGTCGCACTCTTGCATTGGCACGGGTGCGCGTCGAAGGCCTCGTCGCTGCCCGTGAAGGGCACGAGCGATTCAATCATGCCGAGCTCCGTGACCATGGTCGAGTGGATTTCGCGAATGATTTCGTCCATGCGGGCCGAGTCGGCGACCGAGTCGCCGGAATACTTGGCGCTCGGGCTGTACTCGAGCTTGAGGCCGCCCATTGGCATTGGCGGCAAGTCATCCGCATCGCCCGACCGCTTGGACGCAAGCAACGAGTGCGTCGACGCCGACGTTGCGGGCTCGGACCGCGCGGGCAGCAGCAGTGGCGGCGGCGGCGGCGGGCCCATGCTGCCGCGACTGTGGCGCGTGCTGCGGCTCAGGCGCTCCGCCGAGAGCGTATGGCTCGTCTCGCTCAGGCGCTTCATGCGGTGGAGGTCGTTGGAGCTTAGCATCTGCGGCGACAGCCCCGACGAGTTCATCGTGGGCGCTGGCAACGCGCTTGAAAACGGGGAATGGGGCCGAGCGCGCGTGCATTTTTTTAGTCTGATCCTGCTCCTTTTTATTTCGCCGTGTCCCGTGCAAAAAAATCCCATCGCATTTGCGTTTAAAAAGACATGCCGTTCCATACATGGATGGAGCTTACAGGCGTTTATGGCGCATTTAAAATGTGGTCGCAAGCATCAGTGTGGCATTCAATTAAATACCTTGTATTTTTAGAACGCGGCCGAGAAGGTACTCCTTGAAGCCCGCGACCGAACGTCACTGGTTTGATATGACCATTTGTATACGAGAGTGAGAGTGAGTACAGCGGGGCACCGAGTATTGCGATTTGGAGCCATCCAGTCCCACTCTCAAAGCGTGTGTTGCGCTGGCACAGCAACATCGTCGGATTGGCTAAAATAAGAACGGATGGGCCAATCCGCATGGAGGAGGCACTGAAATCCCGACATTTCGACCGCTTTGCAGCCAATGCGCGCGCGATTGTCGGCAAAATCACCTTGCGACGCAGGCTCGATTCCCCTTCTGCAAGGTTCAGTGCGGCAGCGACCAGACGCGTGGCCAGCACACCAACGTCGTCTCTCCGCCGTTCAAGACGTGCTGAGCATTAGTGCGATGGGTGATGGACCCCCCAGTCATCTTTTCGGTCTGACACGAGCGCTCGATTCTCTGTCCCGAGAGCCATAGCGTAAACACTGCGTTTCGGCCTGCCGAAATCCACACTTGTGTCGCAGCCCTACCCGACCAAGAAGACGTGCTAGGCATCCGGGGTACATGGTATATGAAGATGTACCGGTGCTTGTACAGTACGAAGGGCAATAAGTACCCAGTACTACGAGGGATGGCCGAGTAGCTTTCCGAACAATCCGAGTGTGAAAAGAAGGCCAAGTCGTCCGCACCCAAGTTGCGGCGTTTGCTTCTCGAACGCAACGACTGGCGACATATCATTAATTGCTACCCGTACTCTTACTCTAGGGGCGCTTGAGTAGCTGCTGCTCCATGCGCAGCTCTTGCTTTAACGCCGTGTTCTCTGCCGCCAAATGCGTGCGCGCGGCGTCGATGGCTTGTACCTTTTGCGCGAGCGCTGCGTGCGTCGCGCGCGCAACGGCCTCCATCTGTTCCTTGGCGGCGGCGGCGGTCGCCATGCGCTCCTCGAGCACCTAGTACGATGAATATGATGGACGGCGCATAAGACCACCCGCTACAGATGGAGTGCGCGGGAGGTGTGTTGCCGCAGGACCTGCACACACATACTTGGGTCTGCTGCTGCAAGCGACGAACGAGTTCTTCGAGCTCTGTCTTGGAGGCACCCATGGCGCTGAGCGCCGCTTTGGCCTCGTCATGGGCACTCTTGGCGCGACTAATGTCAGCCTCGTAGTTGAACTTCAACTGCTCCGCCCGCTGCGCGTCAAGCTGCGTGAGTAGCTGCGTCTCGACCAACTGTCGTGTCTTTTCTCCCAGAGCTTCCTTCAAACTTGCAATCTTCTCGTGGGCCTTCTCCTAGAAAGAAGCATGATTCGGACGATGTGGGAGTAGGAAGCTCAAGTAGCGTGTACATCTGATGCTTTCCACGCGGCCTTGTCGAGGTCAAAGAGCTGCCGAACATGCAACAGCTCCTGTTCCAGGCACTTGATCGTTCCTGCGTGCGCTGTCGTGGCCTGCACCTAGATTTACGCTGGTATGAGCCAGTGCTGAAACGCAGATCGGCGATCTACCAAGTCTGCGTTGCCTTTGGCGACGAGCTGCTGCGCCGCTGCGACGTCATGGCGCAGTGCCGACGCGAGCTTCTTCGATTCTCGCAGCGCTGCAGTGGCGGCCTTGCCGTGGTTGCGCAGCGTGAGCAAGTGGCGACAGGACTCCTGGAGCGCTACTTCTTTCTTGGCCCGGAGCATGCGCTCCTCCTGCAGCGCCTTGGATTGCTTCTCGAACTCTACACGCCGCTCGTTCCATGTACGATACATCGAAGGGTACGCTACCTTTGTCTTTGAGGTGGAGCATCCGCGTCAGGTTGATGTTGGTCACTTGGCACTCGCGCAACTGCTGCTGCACGCTACTGAGCGCGCTTGCATGCTTTGCCTCGAGATCCCGGCGCTGCGCGTCCAACGCCGCCGTCAGCGCCGAGGCACGGTCCAGCTCTGCTGTATGTCGCTGGGTCTCCGCCGTCTGCTGTGCTGCTGCTTTGGCGTCGCGAAGGAGCCGTTCGTGATCGACAAGCGGCACATGTGTCGCGACGAGGTGCTCCATTGCCGTCTTCATCTCGAGCAGCTGCGCTTGGTGCGTCGACTCCTGCCGCAGCATGAGCTCTTCGTACTTGGAGCGCAAGCTATCGCAAAAGACCTCTGCCCGCTTCTCTCGGTCTTCCTACAACGCCATGCGTTGGAGCGTGAATTGCTTTCAACGTTTGTACGAGGGTTTGCTGGCAGCGCCGCCGCTCGTCGACGAGTTGATCGGTGTAGAGCGCTTTGGTGGCCTCGACTTCGATTGCGCACTGCTCAGCCATCTGCGCCTTGATCTGCGTGACGACATACTCGGACGAGAGATCGCGAGCGTGAGGCACCTTGGCGGCACGCATGGCGCCGAGCAGTTACACGCGACGGCTTGGACGGGGCGCCTCCCAATCAACGTCGCCTCCGAACTTTCGTCACCGGTTCTGCACTTAATTCAGCGACGGGTCAAGCACGAGCCAATTACCGTTCGTACGTATACAATTTCTACTGTGCAACTACATCTGGACCATGTCGCTTGCGCGAAAGCTGGCGCGTCTCAGAAGGCACCGCGCGGATCTCACCAACTTCAAGTTGAAGTTGAAGTGGCAAATGGACATGGGGAGTACAAGAGCGTCCGACCCATGAAAGTACAGTACGGTGCGGCAAGGATCAAAGCACCGCGGACGACGACCTCGTCTCGACGCCGTGGGCGCGGCGCCAGATAATATCGAACCCGGTCAGAGGCGGTCGCCGCTTCTATCTTTTGGTACAAATTCCAAGTACACTGGATCCAGCCTCTTTAAACGCATGCGATGGTCCGTTTCACTGCTTCTTTCCCCTCCATCAATGGATATCCCGACGCCCTTGTGTATCTTGAAGAGGTGTATCTTGTTGAAGGGTCACACGGGCTTAGCTTTCCAAAGATCGGGCCTGTGTCATTCCAAGATCTTCCGCCATGATCGGAGCCGTCGCACGAGGCGCCGCCTGCTGCCGGTGCCCCAGTGGCGCCGCCGTCGCCTGCGCAGACTGCGACCTCGTCTACTGCGCCGACTGCGCCGAGGCGCGCCACCGCAAGGGGTCGTTTCAGCGCCATAATGTCACGAGCCTCCTCAACGCCCCGACGTGCGATGAGTGCACGGCGGCGCCCGCAACGACGGCCTGCCCGGCGTGCGAGCTTCAGTACTGCGACCCGTGCGCCAAGGACGTCCACCGCAACGGAAAGCTCCAGGCCCATCTCGAACTGCTCACGCCTTGCAGCAAAGAAGCGGGAAACCAGTCGCCGGTGATGCTGTCGCCGCCCCCGCCGCCATTTTTGAGCCCTTTTTCTGCGGCGTCGTCGTCAACGGACTCGCCTTTCATGCAACAGCGGAAGCGCTGGTCCATGTCGTCCGACTCGATGACCGGTGACGACACGGATCCGGACGTCGACCCGTGGACCAATTGGCGCGTTTTCGGCAACAACGACCCGCGTCTCTCCGACACCACGCCGCTTCCCGCCGCGACGGTACACTATAGAACGCAAATGCCAAGACGCTCATGCAAAGCAAAATGTGTCTAGTGGACGAACCCGGCGTCGGACGCCATGTCGACGTCCAGCGACGAGGATGCCAAGCCGAGTTCGATTTCCGATGCGTTCAAGACGCTTGCCCTCACGCACTCGTCATCGTCGCTCTCCTCGGTGAGCTCTCCAAGCGCCCCGACAGCTCGACTCACGATTTAATGTCCTAGGTCTCGGACGAGCCGGAGAAGCCAATGCGCTCTCGTCTCGTGTCGTGGGAGACGGCCAACGGCACGTACTCGCAGAACGAACTCGAAGATCTTTTCTCCGCGTTGACGAGCCGCTCGCCGACACGCCACGTCAGCGTGCGCAGCAGCGGGCCTTTCTCAACCACGCAGTGCGCCAGCGTCTACCAGACGATGCAGGTACGACGCCTTCAAGCCGCTCGACCATGGGCTCATGCCATCTTGAACAGAGTCACGGGGACGTCGCCAACTGCAACACGGCCATGGCAACGCACGGTGTGCTGCTGTACACGTTTTACGAGCTCAAGTCGGCGACGCAAGCCGTGAACAAGGCGTCGCCGATGTATGTCGTCGACTACTGCGTGCTGTATGACCACCCGACGCCAAAGACGCACGCAACCGTTGAAATTGCGTTTGCCCCGGGGTACGACCGCGGCGTCGTCTCGTCCGAGGAGCTGCACTTGATCTGCAGCACGCTCGGCGACGTCGTGACCGTGACGGAGCCGTCCCGCGGCCACTTCCTCGTCGAGTTCAATGACGCGCGCGTCGTCGTCCGGGCCGTGGGTCTCCTCAGCGAGAAGGGAAATCTTGGCGGCCATGTTTTTACGGCCGTGCGCGCGCCCGCGTCGCCCAGCGAGCTCAAGGCGATTGGCCACTGCCAGCTCGCGTCGCAGCGCCATGTGCCGGCGGTCGCCAACCCCGCGCACAGCCCCGAAAAGGTGGTGTTTGCAGCAACTGGCAGCATGCCGATTCCCAGCAGGAACCACCAGTTGGTGGGCATTTGGGCCGACCCGCCGATGCCGCCGCCGTCGCCGCCGACGGACGAGTTCAGCCTTGGCATCGACCGCGTCTACGCGGGCACGGACAAGCGCACGACGCTCATGATCCGCAACATCCCCAACAAGTACACTCAAGCCATGCTGCTCGCCGAAATCAACGCGCGCCACGCGGGCACGTACGACTTTTTCTACCTCCCGATCGACTTCAAGAACAAGTGCAACATGGGCTACGCGTTCGTCAACTTTATGGAGACCGCGACGATCGGGCCCTTCTACGAAGCGTTCAACGGCCAGCGCTGGCCAAACTTCAACAGCGACAAGGTCTGCGCGATCTCGTACGCGCGGCTCCAGGGCAAGGCCGCGATGATCGCGCGATTCCAGAACTCGAGCCTCCTCGAGAAGCACGAGTCGTACCGGCCGCTCGTCTTCAAGAGTTCGGGCCCCAACAAGGGCGCGTTGGAGCCCTTTCCGAGCAGTGGAAAGGCCAGGGTCTTCAAGCCGCCGTACCCGCCAATGCAGATGCACCACCACCACCCGCACGGCGACGCGACCGTCTACTACCACCAGAGCGGGTACCACCACCCCCACCCGTACCCAGTCATGTACCACCGCGCGCACGAGTACAAGCCGCCCGAGTACTCGTAAACCTTGTTGCTGTCGCGGGGAAACCTAGTTTTGTATTCTAGCCCTTTATACCACCTTGTGCAGTTTTGCCACACCCCTAACTTTGTCTTCGTCTTCGTATTGCGACTAAGTGGCGCGCGTCTTTTCCGTGCTGCTACCTGGAGCTTTGTGCAGTGCTTTGGCCGGAGACTGCGTCCCAGGTCCTTTGAGCGCAACGCTGCGGCAGCGCTGCGCAAAGTTGAGCGAGCAAAGCGACTCCCACGCGTTCCAGGCCACGGGACTCACGTTCACAAACATGAGCACCTACACCACGACAATGCGCCACGTCATCCGGATATAAGATCGTATTTATGTACCTTGGAGTTGCCGCTCAAAGATTCTTGGAGCAAAAACGTCTATGCCAGAAGAGGAGACCATTATCGCACGGGAAGACCGACCACATCGACGTACAAGCTTCGAGTTGCGGTACGGCACGTGCTTGCTATGGCTGCCAAGCGCCGCAATGACGTCACCGAGCGACGACAATGACCGGTTGATGTGCTGGGCTTCTTTTAAGCGCTGGCCACTCGCCGCTGTCTTGCCTAGTGCCACATGCCGTTTACAAAAGAAGTGGGAGCGTGATTTGTACTGATGCGCTCCGAGCCCGCGAGGTCAATCAGGTGGAGCTTGGAGATTGCGCGCTTCCCGTCGGCCTTCTGAACGCTCGTGATGGTGATCGAGAGCACGAGGTGGGACCGGCTGCTGTGCTCGTTGAAGTCGTGGCCGCCCACACTCCGGTGCGAGTGGCCGAGCCGCATGAGGTCCTCGACATCCCGCGTCGACGCGACTTCGACCTCCATGAGGTTGTCGACGAACGCACCGTGCTTGCCCATGCGCACTTCGAGCGTCTTGCGCTCGTCGCCCGTCGACGTGTCGTCCAAGAGATCCACGATCGTCTCTGCAACAGAACGTTCCAGCATCAGCGCAACAAACAGGCGTGTACCGTTGTAGACCTCGAGGATGCTCAGCTTCATGTCGCACTCCATCGTCCCCGCGCTGAGCCGGTCGTCGCGGACGCGGAAGAGCTCTTGCATGGCGCGAAAATTGACGCCGCGGTCCGAGTCGGGGCCCTCCATTGTGTGCGTCTTGCCCGATCCGGTCTGGCCGTACGCAAAGATGCAGACACTAATGTCCATGTTCCTCATCGTTGGATTCTCGAGCGCAACTCGTACTTGAAGCCGTCCATGGCACTCACAACGAGCGCCTTCGTTTGCTCAAAGACATCGGTTTGCGAGCTCGACGGCTACGAGCGTGACGGATTCAAACAACGAAAGAATGGGAACGGTACCGTAAACACGTGGTCAAACTCGAAAATATGCTTTTGGCCCTCGCCAACGACCAAGTCGAGCGCTTGCGTGTCGTTGGGGCGGAAGAAAACGGCCTCGGACGCCGCGTCGCTCTGCAGTTCAACGGGCTGGATCGGTCGGACGCGGCAAAACACCCGGATGTTGCCGCCGAGCTCCATGACCTTGTTGTGCAGCTGTCGGCGCGCCTTCATCTCTTGCGCATACAAAAGCGCGAGCTGGTCCTTCTCCGCGATTGCCGCTTGCACTTGCGCTGCAGCCTACACCACTCGTGTTTCGTATGCTGCTGCAAGTAGACGCCGACGACGTACGGTGCGCGCCGCTTCGTCCGCGCCGGCTTGTCTGGCCGCCGAGAGTTTGGTGTCGAGCGACGACTGCGACGCGGCGAGGTCCTCCGTCAGTGACTTCAACTGGGCTTCACTGGCGGCAACGGACGCTTCCAGTTGTTTGCACTTGGTTTTGTACTTGGTTACCTACCCAGCGCAATCTCCGTTGGCACATGTCGGAACTTGGAAACTAAATAGATACATGGGCCTGAAGCATCTGAACCTCCTTTGCGCTTTCGGTCGCTTTGACGTCGGCGGCTTGAAGGCTACCATATGGAACGTGACGACCCAGCAACACGGAATTGAATCCGTACGCAGCCGTTGCCGTCTTCTTCTCCGACTCGAGAACGCCGAGCAGTTTGGTAACATTCGCTTTCTCAGTCGCGATTGCTGCAGTGGCCGTGGCCAAGGCCTACCGTGCGTTGAGAGCCACCGCACCGCTCAAGCGTGTTGGCGTACAGTTTGGTGCTGGAGCTCGAGTGCTTGGATCTTGGCCTCGTTCGCGGCCAGCGCTGCCTAACCACGGTGTCTCGTCGTGGGTGCTGCTGACAAGACATCCAGAGTACCGTGCTCGTATCGGCCAGCGCTGAGGTGTGCTGCTCCGCGTGCATGGCTGCCGCGTCCTTGAGCGACTAGAGCCCACATGCATGTGCATCATGATCGATGATCGGGTCGGCAAACCTGAATCTCTGCCGCCGTCGACGCCGTGAGTGCATCCAGCTCTTGCTGTAGCGCGTCCCGAGCGTCCGTGAGATTGGCCAGCTTGCGTTCGTACCGCTTGAGCTCGTCTTTCTAGTGTCGCAAGAAGCTATAGCCATGCAATTCCCGAGAAATTGAGGCTACGTGGTCACTGCCCGCCTCGAGCTCCTTCACGCGCATCTACGTCAGCAGCAATTTGCGTCACGCGATTGACAACAATAGAACGTACGCTGAGCGTTGTCACTTGCTGCCGAAGCTCTTGGTTCTCTTGTGCGACCTTGGACTTGCTTAGCTCGAGCTCCGCCGTGACCACAACCTAGAAAGCATCACAGCCATTGCCTTGGCTTATAAACGATGTACGATTTGCTGCTTGGCCGTGCGCAGCGCTTCGTCCAAGTCGGCGACGGCCACTTGGTTGGCGCCCGAGGTCTCGACCAGCTGCGCTTCCCGCGCCGTCGCCACCCTACGCCAAATAGCGTGTCCGCTTGGGAGCTACCAATGCAGCAAAAGTACGCCAGGGCGGCGGCGGTCGTTTCCTGCGCTGAGGCCAGCCCGTCTGCCCGTGCCTGGGCAGCTCTGCATGCGCGCCAGCATCAGCATCAACGGAAGCAAGCGATACATACGCGAGATCTGTGTCCTTCTGGGCGATCGTGGCCTTGAGCGCGCATATCTCGGCATGGAGCTTCTCGAGGAGCTCGCGGTGCTCGTCCGGCGACGGCAGCGCTACCTACAGAGCGCTACGCAAGCGAATTCGATGCACGTGCGTAGTACACTGCTCTTTTTGCGCTGCAGTGGCACCTACCACCCATGAGCTTGCATTTCCAGGGATCAATCATGCACCTGCGCATTCTCGTCCAACTCCACGTCGCTCTCGGAATAGTCGTGGTACGACGACTCGAGGTTGGCGTGGGAACTCGCTGGCGACGTCGCGTCGTAGCCCCAGCTCGACTGGCTCGCGTACGGCCACGTGGTTTCGTCTGGCGGCGGCGCGAGCATCTGGTGCTTGAGTGCGACCACGTCAACGGGCTCGCCGCTGTGCTGCCGCCGGCGAATCTCCTGGAAGAGCGCTATGTAGTCGCGATCCGAGGGATGCTCCCATCGGCTTTCGCCCGTATGGTCGTTGTAGTAGTACGGCGCGCCCTCGGACGTCATGACCTGGTGCCATCCTGCTGGCACAGGCGCGACAAGCGACTCTTTCGCGATCCAGAGAAAGTCCGCGTCAAAGTCCGGATCCATCCCGAGGTAGCGCGCATGCTCCTTGACGCCTTCGAGGAAGAGGTGCGGGTCGAGGCCTTCGACGCCGTGGTCGTAGCTACCCATTGACGACGTGGGCGACAGCGGCGCAGCGTCGACACCGTCAAAGGCCAGCCCGAGGAGGCTCAGGCCGGCTTGGGTCGCCCGGCGCTGGTCGCCATCCCGGCGCGACGTGAGTGACCCGAGCGGCGACGCCTGCTGGAGATACGTCGGCGCACGCACGGGGCTCATCGAGTTGGCGCGGTGCAAGCGCCGAGACGGCGACGATGCGTCGCTCCATGCGACGCTCGTGCTGACCGCTCGTGGCGTTCGCTGCGCCATGACCTGCAACTGCTTCTCTCTCTAATCGCACGCAACTGACCGTTACGGGACCGCGCAACCCTTTTTTGCACCGACACATTGTGCAACCTTGGAGAAATAAAGCACCAACGAGGTACTTACGTGCCCGATGTATTAGCCAGCGTCCGTCAAAGGGCAATCCAGCAAACGACTAGCAGACCGCAAGTCGTCCGTCCCATGCTCGACCCCGGCACCGAAGTGTAGTAGAGCAGTGTACAATTCTCTTGTCTTCGTTTGTGTTAACTTATTCCACGGGCTCGACCTCGAGGCGGATTTCGCCGTCGACTTCCAAGTGCGTGGTCATGTCGCAGAGGAGTCGCTGGCGGGAGATGCCAATGACGCGCCCGATGGCTTGCTCGCCGGCCGTCGGGATGAGCTTGAAGACCATCGTCATCTCGATGTCGACGACGGTTTGGCCGTCGAGGAGCTGGATCGCGACGTCGACAGGCGACACGTCACTCATCTCGGGGCAGAGGCAGTAGTGGGCACTCGATAACAAGTAGTGCACCGCATCAAGGACGTCGCCGCCGCCCGTCGTTCGGCTGCTGTAGATGAGCAGCTGCCGCGCACACGCGAGCGCGTCCATTTCCGAGCTTTTCCGGTGGCTCGACGCGTGTTGGAGGAGCTCGATCGCGAGCTCCGAGAGCATGTCTTCAAAGCACGAGCTCGCGTAGAGGCGGCCGTTGATGCGCAGCACATCGCGCTGGATGTCCTTGAGCGCTTGCGCAAAGTTCGAGCACTTGAGCCGCCGCGCGCGCAGCGATGCGTCCTGCGCCTCCAAGTGCACGTGGAGCCACTTGAGCGGCACGCGAAGGCGTAGCGTCGGCGTCAGCGCCAAGCGTGCCGCGCCGTCCTCGCCTATTCCAACCTCCGATGCTACACGTGCGTTGGAAGCGCGCGCACCTGTGAGCCGGAGTAGCTGGAGGTACTCGGGCGCGGTCGCCGTCGACAGCTTGGCCTGGAGCCGCACGAGGTGCTGCTGGGCTTCGATCGTAATTGCGCGAACCCACGCGTCGGTCTCGGCCTTGGACGCAACGTCGACGACTTGCCGAAGGACGCCATGCGCGTCAAAGAGAGCGAACGTGTGCCGCGCGCACTCGGGCGCGCCCGGGCGCACGCTCCATCCCGCCAGGGCGAACTCCGTGTGCGGCGCATACTCGCGCTGGATGCGCTGGCCGATGACGTCGTCTGGCGCGTCGCTGCGCCCCGCGTTCGCCAGCGCAAACATGTACTTCTTGGCGGCCTCGGGCGACGGGAAGAACGAGAGCTTTGCGGCCCAAAGCACGGCCCAGCACCGCTGCTTGGTGCGCCAGAGCGCGCCCCACTTGCCGCAGTCGACGTAGCCGTGCATCGCCACGTCGATGCCTGGCTGCAACAAGATCGGCCGGCGGTCCGTGCGTCGTAGCAGCGACAGCAACGTCGAGGCCGACTCTTTGAGGATCGGCGACGAGCCCTGGTGGCTGCGCAAGTGCAAGTACAAGAGCCGGAGCTCGTGCTGCAACACGAGTGCGTTCTCTGTAAGCTGCAGCGCCGCGTGCAGCATGAGATCGTGGTGCGAGATGCGCGTGTTGTGCTCGATCTCGAGGGTTGTCAGGTTGAGCGTCGTCGCGAGCCCGTTCGCCTCGATGCGCCCGAGGTGCGCCTTGCGCCAACGCTCACGGTCGCCTGCATCCGGTAGCTCGAACGACGCGGACTCTTCCATCGCGTTGTTGCTGTCATTGTTGCTGATGCCGTCGTCGGCGACCAGTGGCACGAGCTGGTCGAGGAGCCCGAGGTCGTCATGGACGGCGTCGTCATGTGGGTAGAGGCTAAGGTCGACCATCGACGTCGTCGCGTCGAGGCACACCGTTATGGCCTCGCTGGCTGGTGCCTCGACCTCCAGCGTCAAGAGATCGCCGTCGGCGAGAATGTCACCGACCACCTTGCCGCCGTCCAAATCTATGCAGGCACAAGCCATGAGGGGAGGTGACGGAGCATGCAAGACCGACGTTGGTGCGTGCGCCAATGGTACAGCTCCGCAGGCTTTGAGGCCGACGAGAGCTCTTGTATATGGTCAAAGACGACTCGCAGCTACGAAAGAAGTTGGCGGCGACGCGCGAGGGGCCGCGGTCGTTACCTGGTGTGTTGCGAGACACTGGAAGCGGTAGACCGCGTCGTTGGAGAGCAGGACCCTACGCATACAGGATGCTATCAGATCTGCGCTAGACACGACCGCCGTCGCCATCATCGACGTCGTCGCCAGGCTACCTGAAGGAGACCGCTTGGTTCATCATGGCAGACTGTGCCATCGCGACTCGCCGATATCGAATAATCTATTAAAGATTCGTTTTAGCCCAGCAGAAACGTCCGGATACGTATACATCGGCATATGCCATGCTTGAATCGTATTTTCGGCACCTCTGCCTTGATGGCCGATGCATGGGTCACACTTCGTAGTAGGTTCTTTCACGATACCCTAGTGCACCAGAGCGCGCTAAGATGCATATTGAAAGGCAGCCTTGGATCATGCCACGACTGTTTCCATCCGACAAGTGTCCCTCGAGTCGCTGGAACCTGTCCCGCCTTTTTCTGCGCTGCGCGCGGCAAATCACCATCAGCATATGCCGTATTTACGTTCTATTCGCGGCATCTTGGAGGTCATGTGCCATAAATAATCGAGCATTTAGCGGCTTATGCCGAATCCGCCCAGATCGACTCAAGTGGTCCATACATCGAAAATGGCGTTTTCGTTCGGAGCGAGTGGAGCGAGCGCGGCGCCGGCCTCGGGCGGCTTCTCTTTTGGGGGTGCCTCGGCAGCCCCTGCATCGACGGGCTTCAGCTTCGGCGGCAGCACGCCCGCAGCGACGTCTGCGGCGCCGGCTTCGACGGGCGGCTTTCAGCTTTGGCGGCAGCTCAACACCGACGGCTGCGCCTGCCGCGCCTTCATCCACGGGCTTCAGTTTTGGCGGCAGCGCGACACCGGCGGCCGCGCCAGCCTCGACAGGCTTCAGTTTCGGTGGCGCCAGCGCCACCCCCGCGCCAGCCTCGACAGGCTTCAGCTTTGGCGGCAACAACGCAAGCTCGACGACACCTGCACCCGCCTCGACGAGCTTTAGCTTTGGTGGCGCATCATCAACGCCCGCTGCCGCGCCGGCCTCGACAGGGTTCAGCTTTGGAAACACGGCCGCTACACCATCGACGTCGACCTTTAGCTTTGGTAGCACGCCGACCGCAGCGCCGAGCCTCGGATTTGGTGCTGCTCCAGGCAACACGAAGGCCATCAGCCTCGATACGCGCTTTGAGGACCTCCCAGCCGACGTGCAGAAGCAGCTCATCGAGTTTGGTACGTTCGTGAAAGAGCAGAGCCGCGAAGAGGCGTCGATCCGCGCCGTCTCTTCGGCCAAGCTCACGCAGCTGAAGGAAAGTACGACGCACCTTGAGCAGGCGGCGCTTGTGCTCCAGAACATCCATGCGCGCCAGTCGAAGAACATTGGCGCGCTCAAGACGGACGTGAAGGACCTCGTGGCGCAGGCCGAGAGCGCTGACCAGACCCACTTGCACATGACGAGCGAGACGGGCATCCAGCGCCATGAGCCAATGCCGTCGCCGTACTACTGGTCGCTCGTTCAGCACTTTGAGAGCCGCCTCGCGACGCTCAAGAGCCAAATGACGGACGTGCACAGCCAGCTCCAAGGCGCCAAGCACGAAGACGTGTCCATGGACGCCAACGAAGCGAGCACTGCACACGTGACGCCCCGCATGCTCCAGGAGACGTTGCAGAGCCAAAACGAAGCGTTTATGCGCGCGGCGGCCCGGGTCGCAGACGTCCACGAGCGCGCCGATACGCTCCGCGACCAGTATTTATCCCGGCAGCAGGCGGCGCCCCACGGCTTTGGCCTCGCGCGCAACCCGTTTGAAGCCGCGGACCGTGTCCAAGCCGAAGAAGAGCGCCGGATCGTCGACCGGATTCGGCTCAGCGCGGCGCAGTCGACGCTGCCCGCGTCCTCGTCCACAGCTATGACGACGGCGACGACGGCAGCATCAACCGCTGCTGCGCCGGCGACGTCGTTCTCGTTTGGCGCTGCCACGACGCCCGCCCCGGCGGCTGCACCCGCGACCGGTGGCTTTTCGTTTGGTGCTGGTGCGGCCACGCCCGCCGCCCCTAGCGCCTTTGGCACGAGCGCGTTTGGGGCTTCGACCACCGGCGCCGTGCCGTCGCTCACCAAATCAGTGAGCTTCTCGGGCCTGGGGACGCCGCAGGTGACGCCGGACGCCGGTGCATTTGGCGCCAACAAGTCGGCCCGTCGCCCAAAGACCAAGAAGCGGTAATTGGCATAATAATTCTTGGTCCGATGTTTGTCGGTGCTTTCATGTTCAAGCACAACTCTCGACGCAAACCCAACGCGCTCAAACCACCTGGGCCATGTCGAGTGACCAGCAAGCCCGCAAACGCGGGATGGATGACGGAGGTTGAAGCAGACTCGATACCCTTCAAATGCTGCATCGAATGGGACAGCGCAGCAAGTGGCTCGACCCGTTGTTTGAGGAACTAGGGACTTTCTTGTGACTGGCAGAGGCAAGAGCAACGGCGAGCTTCGTAGCTACACAACGCATTGGCTGGGTGTGTGCGCGAGTGGGTATCGATCGTATCGGGCTCATGGTGTATTATATCATAGGTGCTACAAGAGATCGATGCACTGGGAAAGACGCGTGGTCGTTGCCAGCAATCAAAGATGCGCGGTCGGACTACCGCATGGCACGAGGTCCGTGCACCGCAGTCGTCGCTTGGCCACGGCGTAGGTTCCTATCCAGGCCACGACGGCAAGGAGGAGCCACGAGTAGGCGAAGAGAAGCGTCTTGGTGAGTCCCGGTGTATCTAAAACGCAGGCGGGGTCGAGGGCCAACGCGCCGTCGGGAAGCACAACGCTGCCGCAGCGAGGCGCCCAGCGGTCTTTGAGCGCGCCAAGGACGATTGGCGACGGCACATCGCCGAGCACGTGCAGCACCAACGTGTTCAGTCCCATGGCGAACCCTCTGCGCGCGCGCGAGACGCTGAGGAGAATCACCAAGGTGGTCGCTGCCTGGGCCGCAAAGAGGGCAAAGAGGCCGAGGGCTTGTAGAAGAAAGAAAGCCCACGGCGTGGCGAGATACGCCATGGACACGAAGAGACATACGGTGCCGACGGCGAGGAAAGCGAGCATCTGCGTCGCGGCCATGTAGACACGATAGGGCGCGTCGTCGGGTCGGGTGCGGCAGCTGCGGTCGAGGAGAATGCCGCCGATGGGCGATCCGAGCACCCCGGTGACGACCACGAGCGCGCCAAAGACGGTGGGTGCCGTCGCAGCATCCAAGAGGCCATAGCCAATGAGGATCGACGGCGCGAAGGCGCCGAGGCCCGCGATCGTAAACGCAAAGGCTGCGAGGCCGAGACTCGCGCTCACGAAGAGCAGGTCGTGTACGATCGCAAGCACTTCTGCGCAGAGCGGCGGCGGAGCTGTTCCATGTGTTTCTTGCAAAAGAAGCCCGTCGTCCTCGTCGCCGTCGACTTCGATGGCTTCGGCACTCGCAGGACTGGCGTCTGAGCGCCGCGGTGTCAGCTCCGTGTCTGTGACGTCCGCGGTGACGCCCGAGTCGTCATCGTCGTCGTCATCGTCGTCATGATGGCACTTGGGAACGATGGCCCGGAGCGGGTGGTTAAACTCGGGCGGGATCCACGCCCAGCACATGTAGGCGAGCGGCAGCATCGCGATGCCGAGGGCGTAGAACGCGACGTCCCACCCGAGCGTCTGCGCCATGATCGAGCCATACGAGTACCCGATCGCAGTGCCGGCGGGCATACCGGCGTAGAAGCAGCCGAGCCAGAGGGTCCGGCGGCTACGCGGTGCGAATTCGTCAATGAAGGCCGGCGTCGTGGCGTGGAACGACGACTCGCCGATGCCCGAGAAGAGGCGGCCGACGAGCAGGAGGAGGAAGCTGTCGCACGGCTTGGCCAGGCCGCACAAGAGAAGGGCGCCCACCCAGACAAAGAGCCCGATGGCTGCGAGCACGAACGGCCGGTGGGTCATGGAGAGGTACCCAAAGATGCAGATCGAGATCGAGTACGATGCGATAAAGGCCGACGCTAATAGACCGACGTAGACGCTGACGTGGGATGGGGCGACGCCATACGATGCTTGGACGAACGCTTGAAACTCGATCGGCGCGCCGGGAATGACACCGCGATCGATAAAGTTGAGCAAGTTGATCGCGCAGAGCAGACCAAACACATGCGTAGCGCGCATTGTACTGCGTGGTCGCGCCGGCTGCAAGAGTGGCTCGGCGAGGTCCAGTGCTGCTGCACTCATCGCTTAACCTTACTGGCAACAAGGGTTATTGACCCTTGCTCGCGACAAGATCGCGACAGAGTGATGGTCTGTCTGATTTGATGACGCGATCAAAGGTGTACATTGGGGCGACGTCACCAGACACCTCGGCGCCACACGGCAACGCGGTAGCATCAGAGCACGTACCACGGCTGTCCAAGTGGTTTCTTGTTGAAGTATACCAAAGTTGCGGCGCGACGCCAACTGCTCCAGACCACTTTTGCTTCCGACTAAGATCTGGCTTGTGGACGCTGCGGCGGTACTATTGTAGTACTAGTATGCGCTCTCTGGTCTGGACACGGCCGTCTCTGGAGCTCGGCTGCGAAGCAGAGCAGTGACGCCATCGCACGCCATGGGGCGGGACTGGGTAATGGGATGCGCCACGACGACAGTTCACACACAATTACATCATCACAGTTACCGACGAGATGCAAGCGTTGCGGCTAAAGCACCATGTCGAGCGCAGACGTGTGGTGGGCGACGACGCCGAGGAGGCCGCTGCCCATGAGCTGTAGTTGATGGCAGGCGTCGTCGACGGTCGGCGACGGTCGAGCGCTGCACACGACCTTGTTAACGACAAGATCGCGGTACGCCATGCGAAAGCACGTCTCGCGCAGATGCGGAAGGCCGAGCACCGCCAGCGTGCTCTGGGGCGCAAACATGCTCGTCGAGATGCCGAGATGGTTGGCGCAGATGACGTCGAGCGCGTTGTGGCCGTCGTTGCCAGCGATAACGCGGACGTCGGTCGACAGGAAAAGGCCCATGCACTGCGGCAGGTACGTCTGGCACATCGATTGCGTATCGTTCGTCGAGTCGCAGACGACGAAGACGGGGCCCATCGCGCGCGCCTGCGTGAGGAGCGCTACAATGTACGTGTCGAGAACCGCGAGCTGCTGGCGCAGCACCGGGTGCTGGAGCTGGTTCGGATGGATCGCGAGCGTCTGGTGCAGCCACGTCGAGGGGCAGAGAAAGTTGTCCCAGCCAAAGACAAAGGCTGTGCGCGGAGGCGTGCTGGTCGGCGCGATCGTCGCCGGCAACGCCGCCATGTTGGACATCGATAGCATCGTGGGTGGACGTGAGGATCGGCTGTCGACTTTGGAAATGGGCGAAGAGATCGCCAGTTCGACTGGTACCATCACTCTCGACCCGTGGCCCAATGTTGGTGGCCCACCCACTGAAGGTCCAGATCCTGTGCTGCCTCCTGCTAGTGTACTGCGTGCTTGCTGCCTCGTGCGGTCAATGGCACGATGAAGACTAGCGACAGATGCAACAGCCTGAATCTGCTTCCACTGGCTCCTTCCATGCGAGCCGCACGCAATTGCCGCCACGCCCCGTGCTCGACTTGATGCCACTGTCGCCAGATCACAGTTTCCATCAGAGCAATCCTGTCGTCAATCAACGATCCAGGCCGTTGCAGCGTCTGCAGGTCTACGTCAACTTAAAGAATGCCGTGACAAGCGTGTCCGCAGAGTCTGACGCAGAATCCAGTCGTGTTGCTTGCGGTGGTACGTTGAGACCGATGTGTGCCTACTTGAACGAAGGCATCTTGCGAAAAAATCGCGCCACGCCGGTGTCAAGGTCCCGCCAAGCACTGGTGCCGGCAGCAAAGCCACACGAAGCGATGCGCTTGGGGTCATCAATCGCGCGCGCTTCTTGGAGGAGTTTGGCGGCTCGTTGCGCGGGTGGCCTCGCTTGCGCTTGACGTCGGCCGCAGGACGCTGCTATCGATGGCGCACTCGTCGTCAGCGTGGTATGCAGTTCATGGAGTGTACCGGTGCTGCTTGCGTTGCGGGAACCAGCGATCTTTTGCCTTGCTTCTTGGGCTTGGGTGGTTGCGCTGTATTCGAGCGGGAACACGATCGGCGCGTGGCCAGTGTTCCAGGGGGTGGACCCGGTTCGGCAACGACAAGCGGTCGCTTCGGCTTCTATTTGTACTCGTCAGAGCGTCGCATGACGAGCATGGTGCTACCTTGGCCTGCGGCTGGCGGCCTTCAAGGTCAGAAGCCGTCGTCGCCGTGGGCATCCTCTACGTTCGGCGCCCGATTAGACGTAGAGCGCAGCCAAAGACGTACCGCCGTTGTGGTCGGACTGGCTGCTGGTCGCGGCAGCGGATAGGGGGCACCTACGAGCGGAAGGATATCTCTTTCACACGGGCGTGCCCAACCTCGGGCGGCGCAGTGATTACAGCCAGCTGCGCGTGGATCATGGAGGACACTTTCTCATACTTCTAGCCGAAAGCTATGAGCCGCGTACATGCTACGCAAGGCCATACCTCTGGGTTGAGGATGTTGAGACCGCACATCCCGTTGGCCAGCATGGTCTCCCAGTAAAGTTGCTCCAGAGACTTTGGCCAACGCTATCATCGTGGAAAACGATGCACAGCACGACTAGGCAATCGTACCGTGCGTTGAGTAGGCGTCGTAGTCGTTGTTGGTGGCTCGGGTGGCGTGCACTACAACGGAGTACTGTACGCCTCAGGTTCAAGCCGGCAAAATGTGCATACCGGTGGTGATGGCGTCGTCTGGCTCGTGCCGCTGGATCCTTGGCTCGACGATCCCGCGCTCCTGTCTTCTTTGTCGCTCTCTTCGGCACTGGAGCTTGATGGTGACGGCGCATCGACCACCAAGCAGCCGTCGACGCTCGGCCCTGGCGCTTCCAGCAGGCGATAATGCTGGCGCAAGGTGCCCAGGTTGTCGCTCTTCTTGCCCGAGTTGGGCAGCTGGAGCGCCGAGCAAAGATTGCGCAGATCCGAGGTGGACATGTCGAGCAGGTCCGCGTCGCGCATGCTCGTCACTTGCAAGTTCAACCCGGCAAGCAGCAAGATCCCGTTAAAATGACCGACCGGATCCGGATCGTCGGGTTTTGAGCCAATGAAAACGCTCCAAACGCGCTGTGGAGGATCGCCATGCGCGATCTCGCAGCCACGGATAATGGCCGGCGACCACGTCTGATGTCTCGAGAGGTTATATTACAATCGCAGGAGCGTGTCGTTAATGTACTCTTTCAGTTCCCGTGGCGGCATCATCATGTCGGGTGCCTGCTCAAAGAGTTCCTGCAGCCATGTCTCATCGTCCATGGACGCATCGTCGATTGCCGAGAGCGGCGTCGGTTCGGACATGGCAGGTACCATTGCACTGGCATCTCGAACACGGTGGCGCCAGTATGCGCCGCCCCGCCGCGCGGGGTCTCGCAGTTGTCGCCTCCGCATTTCCGAGCTGCGTGGCGAGGGCAGAGCTGTCCCGGGGACGCGGTCTCGGCGCAGTCGACGGCGACACATACGTTGGGTTGCTTGGACAGGAGGGAATGGCGGCAGCAGTAGCGCCCCGAGCGCGCGTTCGATTTGCAGCCCGGCGAGGCGCATCGGTGGCGGCCGCCGTGCGAGACGCAGAGCTGGCGGGCGTACACTTGGTTGCGGCAGTCGTGGATCCGGCACACGGCGCGGCTTCGGTGGGCGACGCACTTGACCGAGTTGGGGCGCGGCGGCAGCGCGCAGCCTTCAAAGATGCAGCAGTCGCTTGTCTTGGTCATGTACGAATGTGTGTGTGCTCAGGACGGAAAAATCCAAACTGCGCAGATCGAAGCAACTTCTCATACACGAGTGCAACGTTGGACTGGCACAGGCCAATGGAACCCGAAGGTTTCGTGAGCCTTGCCGCGATCAGCGCCAAATGACGGTGATGGCTTCCCGCGCAAACATTGGTGCGCCTCGACCAACTTGCCGATTGATCTAGTGTTTCAACGCCCCTCGCGCGACTCGATCCCGACGCAGCCTCTCTGACGCGACTGCAATGGCTGTCTGCCCGTGTCGATGTCGACGCAGCCTCTCTGACGCGATTGAAGTGGCTGTCTGCACGTGTAGATGTCGACGCGTCGCACCCAAGGTCCGGCGTCGCTGTCGGGAATTTTTGATTGCTGTGGAAAACAAAATTTGTGGATCCATTCCAGTTGAGGAACTATTACCGGTACGGAACACTACTTTCGAACCGGTACAATGTTATACGAGTGCGAATGTGAGCACTCGATTACCGATTCATTTTCGCTTGTCGTCGAATCCATCTTTAACCAAGAAATAGCTGCGTCAACGCATCAAGCCGTGCAAGAAACGACACGTCCATGTCACCCGAGTGATCGTCCACGCGCAAAGCCAGTTCGAGCGCTCCGTGTACGTGGTTGCCAGCGCGTCTCTTGCCCTTCGGCCACGCCCACAGCATCAATCCGCAAGACTGCGCTCAAGTCACACCCGTCCTGTCTAGAAAAGAACCCCGCCGACGACAAATCGGCGAAAGATTGTGATGTCCACGAATGTCACGTGCCGGTCTGTGATTTGCACGTCGACATGACCATAATGGGTTGCTGAGTCCTCACGCGGCGACGGATGCTGACGATACCGCTCTAGGACGGCGGGTCCGAAGGCGCGGGATTTGATTGCTCGTCGTCACAGCGATGAGATGACTCGCCGCGAGATACCACCACCCCGCGATCCTGTCCTGTCACGTAGTATGCGCGAATTGTTTGCGCTGAATCGCAAGCTGCGATCAACACTGCAGCACACAAGTTGACAAAATGAGCTGCGATACAGATACGTAATACTGATGACGGCCAAGGCGGTTGTGGTGACCGAGACCACTGCCGCAGGGAGTTGCGTGTCCATCGATGGGAACCTACACTCTTGTAGTAGCCTGCGATACCTCCCGTCTCATCGGGAACAACATCTAGGATACACATCGAACACCGCAGACGATCGCAAGTTCGTCGCGAGTCACTGCAAGTGCCTACACCAGTACCGGTAGTAGGCACTTGCAAGCTCCCACCTCTGTACTTTGTGCCGTCACAGCGAACCGGTTCAATTGAGCACCCTGATTACTCTTCTAGCATTCACATACACGACCAACGTCCATTTTATGGACGTTTGATAGCTCATTGCAGAGCGACGACGATTGTGCTTCGTGCGATGCGGAATGAAATCCGGACGGTTCGCAGGTCTGGCATCCGGATACGAGGATTTACTTTGCATTTTCAGCATGAGCAGCACCAAGGCCATGGCGTTGGCGTCGACTTCGATCTGGTGGAAGGTGGGCGCGGTCTCGGGCGCGACGGCGGTCCTCCTCGGTGCGTCTCTAGCGTGTACGTTACAGCGCTGATTGGCAGAGCGAGTAGGCGCATTCGGTGCCCATGGCCTCAAGAGCCGCGTCTCGGACCCGAAGCTCCTCAAGACGTGGGACACGGGCGCCCACTACCACTTGGTGCACTCGCTTGCGCTCCTTGCCGTGCCGTTTTCGCGTCGCCCCAACCTCGCGGGCGGCCTCATCTCGACCGGCATCGTCTTCTTCTCGGGCAGCCTCTATGCCATCGTGCTCACGGACCACAAGAGCCTTGGCATGATCACGGTACATACGTCATCATCGTCTTCGTCCTCCACCGCGCTCATTGCTCTCCCCTGTGTAGCCCATGGGTGGTCTCATGTTTGTCGCTGGCTGGCTCTCGTTGCTGCTTTAAGGAGCGGTTATACGTATCCAGCCTCCCTTTCAGCAACTCTACACGTATGGCGTTAAAGCACTGCCCAAGTCATCCACTGTTTGTTTCGCGAGGCGATCGCTCTCTGGCATGTGGGAGCTTAAAGACGCTACACGCAGGAATTGAAGCAAAAACGACTAGGTTCCCATATCTAGTTTCAGCCGCTGGAGTCGTTGTAGTGCTGCTTTCTCTTCCTCGACACGTGACCGCGCAACATTCTCGGCCGCATGCACCCGTCGTCGCAAGAGCTACGTCTTTGGTTAGCATTTTCTACAGAGAGAAAGGATCGACTTGAAACGAAGCTCTCTTTTCGTGGAACTCGGCGTGCAGGTCGGCCACGAGCTGCCGATCTCGGTCATTGTCATACGCGCGCAATCCGCGCTTCTACACAGTGTGAGCGACGTCATGTCGTTCTGTGCATGACCGCGGGGCTTCGCTTCGGGCCATTCGCCTCCTTTTTGTCACTTTGACGTCGCGAAGCTGTTTCAGTGGCGACCGCTCTTGCTTGGCCTCGGCGCTCGCTTCAACATGACTGCTCCTCGGGCTCGCTAGCGTGTGCATCACAGGCCTGGTGTCTTGTTCGAGTTGTTGAAGCATCTCGTCGTGATGCACTGTCGCGCCTTCGTCATCAAGCAGCGGACAAGGGTCCGTCGTCCGTGTTCTACCATGCCGATATGCATGAAACATCGCCGCACTAGGCGCTCGTAAGTGTACGTCAAGGCAGCGATGGCTTCGTCGGCGGCGTTGCGAACCTCAAAGATGCACGCCCCGATTCGAGAGAGGCCCTTGGACCGGCCGCCACCCGATTGCTCGTCCATCGTTGTGAGCGCGCAGTAGACGTCCTCCAACATCCGAAGCGCATTTTGCCAGCGCTCAACACCCCGTGGCTTGGTCGTCTCGTAGAGCCTATTGGATCACGCTTGCATTGGACCGCGCCGACGCCAGCAAAATGGCCAAGTACGTGGGGCGCTGGGGCAGCTCGGCAATGGGTTTAGCGACCGACGGAAGGTACGCACCGAGGACGCCACGTATGCTGTCGCTGTTCTTGTGCGGTGCATTGGCGAGGTACCGACCGCGCTTCTCGCCTTCGTAGCTGCCCATAAGATATATGCGAAACGTTGCGGGAAACGACCCGCAACTCGTCGCTGATTCAACGTGCCACGATTGCAAGTCCAGGAGCTGACAAGCCATTGAAGCCTTGGCACCAAGTGGTAGCAGGTCCATGTGCATAGTCAATGCCACCGGTAGGAGCCGTCGTCGTACGCATGCTGCCATACAAGCGTTGGTGCAGAACCTGCAGATGATGGAAGCATTTGACACGTGAAAATTGTCAAGAAGTTTGTATGCTCGTTGCTTGCAAGGTCTCCTTTCGCTTGTCGAGCTTGTTGATGTACCGGTACGTAGGGCGAGGCCAGGCGCCGCAACCAGCGTGATTTGCGCGCGTGGGGCTGTATCCGGCATCCGGATACAAGTCGACGCATCGCGGCGATTGGCTACAATTCAAATTTCGGAACATGGACCAATGAGAGCGGCGAAAACGAACAAATCTGGCGACGATACAAAAAGCAAATCAAGGCCGATCGGGACCTGCCGGAAGAGATGGAGCGCGTCCTTAGCGCCCTTCGGTCGACGGGTACGTCCATGGCGACCGGCGGAGCGATGACATGGAAGCATGCACATGGCCCCTCATGGAAGGAAGGTTGGTGGCTCATGGCGCTCGTAGAGACGAAGACACGCCTTATGGGCGTCAACTACGTCGAAACGTTCCTTGACGAGGAGGGCTGGGAAGAGATCTTGACCGCGCTCGTCGGATGCCTTAGCGACAACAACGCCAAGGTGACGCAGGGAAGCCTGCGCATGCTCGCGAAGCTCATCCAAAGCCCGTCCAAGCCCACGGAGCACATCCGCGGCTTCTTCACGCTCCTGTGGGGACCCCTCAAGGAGAAGCTCGGCGACAGCAAGGCGCCGATCCGCGAAGCCGCCACCGATGTTTTGCTGTGCCTCATCGAGAAGATTGGCATGGCCAGCGTCATGGATCGCCTCCGCTTCTGTGCAGGACACAAGAACTGGCGCATCCGCGAGCAGGTACACCCCTACCTCGACCGCCTTTGTTCCACCCATTGACGAATGTAGGTTCTCGTCTGCATCTCCATGGCCATGGAGCGCTTCCGTGGCGAGCCCCAGCGGATATGCCAAGATGGTCTCTTGGAAATGGTAGGTTCCGTCCCCAATACAAACCCCTTGCTCATGCGTTTCCAGGCCTTGAAGTTGCTCGAAGACTCGACAAAAGATGTGCGCGACGCCAGCCTCAACGTGATCCACGCGTTGTACGGCATCCGAGGGGAATCACTCATGGCACGCCCACCTTTATGCTACTGCGGACTAATTTCCTCATGTTTTTGCTCCTCTCGTAGCTCGAACTCCAGTCCAAGAATCTTCGGCCTGCCCACATGCGCTTGCTAATGGGTCGTCTTGGCGGCGAAGTACGCGCGATTGCCATGATTTTCTCTTCCAACCACATCATGTAGGAAGCACCCGTAGCCAGTGCGAGCAGCGGCACAAGCAGCCAACCCAAGCGCCCCGTGACCACAATTCGCCCGCCGTCGTACTCGCTGCCTGGGATCCCCGTCGCAGCGACGTCTCCGGCCAAAGCCAAGCGGTCCGTGTCATTTTCGCCACCGAGATCGACCGCCGTTGTGCCCGTGTGTGCGTACACGGACAAAGAAGTACATGTATACACCATATTCAGCGTACTCACACATGGATCGCCGTAGGTGCAGCAGCAGATGACGATCGTCTTGGACGGTCTCGCCGAAAACCAAGAGTGGACAACGCGGGTCAAGGTGCGTATCTTCTCCCTTTTATGGACCGTGTATGACCAAGACGGGTTCTAGTCGCTGCAACATTTGCAATCCCTCGTCGAGAAGGGAGCGACGCAAAGCGCCGTGTTTGCGGCGTCGCTCAAAGCCATGCGCGACCGCATCTGTGATCAAGTCGGCGACTTGCGCTCGACTGTGACGAGAGAGGCATGCAGCACGATTTCGTCGATGGCCAAAGCGATGGGCGACGCCTTCCACCCGTTTGTCGATAGCTTTATCGCAGCACTCCTCAAGTCGGTCAGCGTAACGATTCAAATCGTCGCCGTCTCGGCCGACTCCTGCGTCAAAAACATCATCCAGAGCACCGACAACGGGTACCCCAAGGCAGTGCCCAAGTACGCAAGATAGCCGAGACACGCGTGAGGATGTAATCTTGTGTTTCTAGGTTTATTGACGGCGCGCGCACCAAAAACAACTCGATTCGACTGCACTGTGTCGAGTACCTCACGCTCGCGTGGAGCACGTGGGACCCCACGGCCTTTGATCGGTACAACCATTTTACTTTCATTTCCGTCGCCAGTATTTCACCCTGGAGCTAGGCATGTTGAAACGATGGCTATCCTCCTGCCGTCCATCATTGGGGACGCCCACGCAGACGTTCGCGCTGCGGCGCGCAAGTGCTTTTGGGCCTTCCATGCGGCGCACCCGGTAGATTCCAACCCCTCGCAGTCGGTATGGACACTCATACGTTCTGTAGCAACGAGCAAATCAGGTACTTGATGAGCTCGATGTGTCCAGCCGACGCCGCGTCGTCGATGAAATGGCAACGGCCCCGCGGCCCCGCGAGCAGTGCTCGGCCATCCTCCCGAAAAAACGTTCTCGACGCTCCTTCTGCAGCCGTGGGTCCGATTCCGTCGGCCGTCAAGACGGCGCCATCCCAGGCTACGGTCGTGCCTTTGGGTCCTCGGCGTGTCTTCAACGGGTCCGAGCACGAAGCGCATGCCAGCTCGTCGCAAGTGCCATCTGGGCCGCTTCGTGTGCCCATTCCCGTGCGCAAGCAAGTACGCACCGATGATCGCGTCGACGAAGCCCCGCGGCGAAACCAGGCATTACGCGTCCTCAACACGTCGTCCGTGTCGACTGCGTCTCACTATGTCGAGGTTGCCCCCACACCGACGTACGGCGGTCCGTTGCGTGTGGAGGTGGCCCCCGTGTCCAGCCGACCGCCGCATCCCGACAGCACTCGGCGTCGTGCCTCGGCCACCGACGACAACCAGCGCGATGACCGTCCGAGCACTCTGTCGTCCGAGCTTTGGGAGAAACGCGCCGACGATGCCATGTGGTCGATCCGACTCGAGACCGTCGACCACCTCCTGCGCATGGCCCCGAGCGCCACGCCGGCCGACGCTGCCAAGATGGTCAAAATTGCAATGACGCGGATTGGCGACTCGCACTTTCGAGTGGCGCAAAGTGCAATGCGGCTGCTGTGCCTCCTCGTGCCGACACACCCGTCGCTCGTTTTACCCTATTTGAAGACGGCACTCCCCAAGGTAGCCTTGTTCATGGCGCCGTCTGTCCGTGCCTCTTATACGAATGGTGTAGGTGTTTGCAAAGCTTGTGGACCCCAAGGAAGGGGTTCGAGAGCAAGCCACGTTGGTGCTCGAGGCCATTGTCGCGTCGTCGCAGCAAGGCGGCTACGATGCGTCGACGCTACTGAGTTGGATCGTGCCGTCGATGCTCGACGGACCCGTCAAAGTCAAGCTCCTCGTGTACAATTGCATCTTGCAGCTTCTGCCGAACGCGCCCGAGTTTGGAAACGCGCCGGGCCCGCTCCGAGCGCTCGTGCTCAAGCTCGCCGACTCGATCGAGAACGACCAAGCCTCCGAGCGTGGGACCGTCACGGTCGTCACCAACGTGCTGGAAAAGATCTGCGAACTCTATGACGCGACGTTCTCGATGGTCCTGCAGCAGCTCTCGCCGTACAAGCTCGGGCACATTCAAAAGTGCATCAACGTTCCGGCCCCGAAACTCAAGCGCAAGCATGAAAAACCCGCACCGCCGCCTACAATGCTTCCGAGTCCCAACCAGCCACAGGACGCCGAGCCGGGTAAGCACGATTGGCTGGCCGTGCTCTGCGGCAACAACGCATCGCGAGAAGACAAGTTGTCTGCGATGGACAAGGTACTTCCGTGCATGCCGCGATACACCTCGAGCCCTTGCCTGTAGATTGTGAAGGACGTGCGCGCGCACGGTGCGACCGTGCTCTCGTCGCCCATGACGAATGCGATCGAGTGGCCGCGTATCTTGCTAGCGCTCCTCGATCTCGCCCTCGACAACGATTCGAACGAATACAAGATTTTGCAAACCAAGGTCATGCAGACAACGGCGTTGATTCTGGCGACGCCCGAGTACGCGTCGTATGCTGCCACCAGCGTCGAGTCGCTCGTCCTCCAGCTGCTGTCGCGTGCGTCGAGCAATTCTGTCCTTGTGCGTGCTTTATCTTTTCACGGCAAAATTTCTCAAAGTGTGCATTTAGGGCCTCTACTTTGTCGAAAAGTTTGTGGCGCTGGCCATCGCCGTCGTGTCCAACATTGCCAGCATCCGGCTTCTTGTCGCGCTCACAAAGTCGTCGCCGCAAGAAGACGTCCAAGTGCAGATCACACTCAAGGTGCTCAAGACCGCCATCGATGCGATCGCGTCCTTTGATGCGCTCCACGTCGGCGAGTTTGATTGGATCGCGTCTGCTGTCGTCCAGGTACTCTGTGTATGTTGTAGATGTCGTAGGCTCATGCACCTCTAGACGCTGCGGCACGCCAACTCGGGCGTCCGGAAGAACGCGGTCAACTGCCTTGTCAGCCTCTACTTTCTCGGGGGCTCCAACTTTGTGCCGCACTTGCACGCGTTGCCTCCCCACTACCAAAAGCTCGTGAGTCTCTACATTGAAAAGGCGCAAGCTGACGCGACCCAACGATAACGAGGACCGGGTAATAAGAATATTCGTATTAAATAAGAATCGGAGGCCGATCATGACGGACTGAAGGGCTGGATGCGCGTCGGCGGGTCGTGCGCCGGGTGCGACGAGGCAAGTTCACACAAAATGTCGACGGGGGTCGGGAAATACTGCTTCTGGAGGTAGCGCAATCCAATGTCAAACCCAGCGCTGATGACGGCCACGAGCAGCAAGGCGAGGTAGAAGCGCGCGAGCGACAAGAGGCCAAAGAACACCTCGGCGATCTGCGGCTGAAGCAGCGCCGAGAGCGTTGGCGTATTGAGAACGACGACGACGAGGACGTAGAGCACGATGCTGCCACCCGAGACGCCCACGACGATACGGTTGACGGTCTGCACCTTGACAAGCATCCGGATGGTCACGACGAGGATCGCGCACGAGAAGGACGCGACGCTCGTCATAAAATGACCCGCGATGCGTCCGTGGGACGACGGCGACGATCCGTCGCTGAATATCGCAACCGGGACAAAGTAGCAGAGCGCCGAGTGGAGGATCGCCAGCAGCATGTGGTACAGAAAGAGCTTTTCGTTGAAGCTTTCGCGGAGCTGGCCCGATTGATAGAGCTTGGGGTACTTGAGCGCCATGTCGGCCGAGACGTGCTAATGTGGACAACATTAGTCCATATACATCGGAAACTTGTAGTGCCTGGTCAAACCCGTAGCCGGCGACGCATGGGTACGAGGTGAAGAGCGCATTGTAGCCGAGCGAGAGCATGTCGGGGAAGAAGATCTGGCCCGAGAGGCCCGAGACCCACGCGAACCAGTACTCGGTGAAGACGACGAGCATGTTCTTGTAAAAGTAATACAAGATGAACTTGGAGATGCGCTGGTAGCCCCATGCGCCATGGACGAGCAAAAGCCGGCTCAGAAAGCGAAACTAGAGCGCCGTCAGGTCGCTATGGACATGTGAAATCGAGTCGACCTGTGCGATCGAGTAGTCGCTCGCGCGCACGGCTTGCGTGCCTTCGTGGCCGCTAATGCCAATGCCGAGATGCGCGGTCTGGATCATGTTGACGTCGTTGGCGCCGTCGCCAATCGCGAGCGTAATGACGGGCAAGTTGTCGCGCACGAGTCGGACGACTTGAGCTTTCTACGCAATAGTTCGAGATGTCACGCGAGATACCAGGGATGACCCAACCTGCTTGGGCGAGACGCGGCAGCAGATGCACGCGCTGCAACGCAACGCGAGCTCCAAGAAGGCGGTTTGCATCGAGGGGAGCATTGCGAGCGAGAGGGTATCGCCGTCGAGAACGAGGACTTCCTTCTTGGAGATCTTCCCGCGTAGCTCGAGGAGCTCCCAAATGTACTCGTAGAGCTCGTCTTCGGAGCTGCTCTTGCAGCTCAAGCGGTGGACCATCATGTGGCTCTCTTGCTGCAGCAAGTTGCACGACCGCCCAATGTTGATCGCCGTCTCTTCCTTGTCCCCCGTGAGAACCCAAATGCGAATGCCAGCGCGGAGAAGGATGTCGATGGCCTCCGGTACTCCGTGTTGCAACTTGTCTTCGATCGCCGTGACCCCCAAGAGCTACGTAAGCACCAGGGTAGAAGCGCGTCATCCCGGCGCATGATCTCATGTACGTACCTCCAAGTTGGTTTCAATTGCGCTGTGCACGGCTGCGACGAGGGCGTCGTGCTCGTCATCGGTCGTGTCGGCGCGGCGCGTCATCGTGACTTGCTGGTGCTGCGCGTGCCACGCCGTGTACGTGGCTTCGTCGAGCGTGCGACACGCGACACAGAGTGTCCGGAGACCTTCCTCGCCATAGTCGTGGAGCTGACTTGATGTCCACGCGAGGTCGTCGACCTCTGTCGCCCGAAGTCGCTTCAAAATGGCCGTGTCCGCGCCTTTCGAGAAGAGTCGAATGTCGCCACTCGGCATGCGTACGATGATCGACATGCACCGGCGATCGCTGCTGAACTCGAGGACATTCAATATCGTGTACATCTCGTCCATCCTTGTCACGTTGTTGTACAAGAGAATGCTCGAGACCGTTCGGCCCTTGAAGACGAAACTACGCAGTTGCTATGTGAAACTAGACCACGTGGTCATGTCAATTGTACCCCATATTTCGTGCCGCGGTCACGATTGCGCCTTCGTCGGGACTTGATGCTTGAAAGGTGATACTCATGAGGTCGGTGGGGTTGTCCGTGTCGACCTCGGGCACCACCGAGTGGCAAAGCGCAAGACAGAGCCAAAAGTCCAGCAAGCGGGGCGACAGCGGCACGCTATACAGCGCGTCCCAGGCAGGGGACCCGAAGAACGGCAGCGGCAAATGACCACTGGGGCTGCGGATCAAGGCCTTCTTCACCGCGGGCAGGCTCGCGTCAGGAATGTAGGCGTCGAAGCGGTACGATTGGTTGATGCCAGCAATCGCGCATGCGAGGAAGACCATCTCGTTGCGGGTCAGCGTGCCTACGTACTTGCGTGAGCAGCGTATACAATCGCTGCTAAAATGGACCTGTTTTGTCTGAGAAGATGTACTCGACTTGCCCAAGCTCTTCGACGAGGTTGGAGGTGCGGGACTTGGTGCGGACGCCGTTGGAGCCCATCATTTCAAGGTCGGCTTCGATGAGGAACTTTTGCAATAATTTGACGACTTCAATGCCGACATAGAGCGAGATCGGAATCAAGTTGGAGTACGCGACCATAAAGGTGAAGTACGCCTCGACTCCATCGCTCAACGGCGGCGGGCTGCTCGTGTCGAGCGCGTCATGCAGATACGGTAGCGTGTTGTGGCCGTTCCAGAGCAGCATCGCAGTTGCATTGATCACACAGAGCATCGCTACGCGGAGTAGCATCAGGCGACAATTTTTCATTCCTGGACATGCCACCTTGAAGAAAGAAAACGAAGTAGAGACAGCGGTTCATCGAATTCATGACCGCACTCGACTTGTACGGCGGCTTGCTCGAATTTAAAAAGGCCTTGGTCTCATGGCCCGTATACAGTACGAGCGCGATCGCCCACTTGGTGTGGCGCACCACCGTGCCGCGGCACAGCAGTTGTGACAAGCTACGAGATGGTGACGAGAGCCGCTCGCAGAGCGTCGAACGTACGTGAGGAGAACGGGCATGTTGTTGACGTACAGACTGCCCCGAAACGACACAAGCGAGGGATTGGGCGCCTCAAACTCAACGCGGCCTGCGAGGCCGCCGAGCTCGCGTGCGCTGAGGCCGTTCTGGACAGCGTACACGGTCTTGAGGTTCGTTTCGCCGTCGAGGTTGGCGGTGTCGATCGTGCACACGCCGCACTGGGTGTCGGAGGACGTCAAGAGCAAGCAGTCGGCCGGTACTTCGCGGTCTTTCTCGAGGTACAGCATGTCGCCCACCTACGGCGATGGTCAGTGCAATCTCCAACGGCCAAAAAGTGCCTTGACGCGGTCCCATCGAATGGCCTTGGAGTAGAAAAGCGTCGCCGTGTCTTCTTGCACCACCGGACCGTCATGGCTCGACGTGAGCACCGACACTTGGCGCGCGTTCACTTCTTGGTCCGAGAGGTACCGCAGGTAGTCCTCGTACGCTTCTTTGGCTGCCGTAAAGAGAAGCACGAGTACAAAGGTCACAATGAGCGACGTCGGGTTCTTGGGCGAGAAGGGCATGCACGTGAGGATGCTCAGCACGAGGAAGTAGACGTTGGCGATGCGGCGGAACTGCTCAAAGAGGTTCTTGGGCAGAAACGTCACCAGCGTGTACTTGGTCGTATGGATCGCGTTGGGCAAGTAGTCGCGACCGGCGTTGAAGGTCGCGTCGTTGATGCGCACCATGCGGTTGCCGGCGCTTGGGCGTCGCGACGACGCCTCCCGTATCGCGTGCTCCTTCATGGTGCTCTGCGAACGTGGCGGCTCTGCGCGGGGCGTTTTGCTGCTGCGGCAGAAAGGCCGACACGGTGGCGAATCTATTTATAGACAGCAGAAAGCGCACCTTTTTGTCGGTGCGCCTTTCGCACGGCAACCGTTGACGCATACGGCCATGCAAGCGTTGCGTTGCCTCATGGGCCATGAGGCAACGACTTGCCATGTGTCGTGCCGAGAGAAGCTTTGTGGGGACGGATTGCTTCAGCGCATGTACGGCTGCTCACAAGATACACAAGGGTAGTGCATGGTGGCGGCAAGAGGCAAGAGATGCGATGTAGGACGATCAAAGCAGAGGCAAATGCGCTGATCATGTGCAGCGATCTTTGCAAATGTCCCAGTCGCACGGCGCCCTTTGACGAGGCGAGTGCGCCACTGCTCGGAAGCTTCAACGCTGGCATGGACGCGGTGGGTTCCAAAAGAGCACCTTATTTGGAAATAGGTGCGCTTTCTCGATGGGATCCTATCCGGAGGTCCATTTCCGGAAGGATTCGCGGGAGTTTTCACGAGCGATGGCGGAAACGGGCGGTGCAGCGGACGAGGTCGAGGTGACGCTCGACGAGGTGCTGCACGAGGAAGAGACCTTGGTCGACGAGGCCAACGCGGTCTATGGCGGCTCCAGCGTCAACCACTGCTCGTACGAGCACGGCTACATGCGCCAAGGCCTGTACGCGTGCCTCACCTGCGCTGCCGATGGCACACCCGCTGGCATCTGCCTTGTACGCGCGCGCCACGGTCGTCTGTAGATCGCTTACGATTGGCGTCGTAGGCGTGCAGCTTGAAGTGCCACGCAGACCACGACCTCGTCGAGCTGTACACGAAGCGCCATTTTCGCTGCGACTGCGGCACGTCCAAGTTGCGTACGTTGCCACTTGTTGTGTACTAGTACTCGCCTCTTATCGCGCCTCATAGCAAGCGCGCCGTGTGCGCTGTACGAAGGCAAGGACAAATCCAACGATGAGAACGTGTACAGCCAAAACTTTCGCGGTCTCTACTGCTCGTGCCACCGCCCGTACCCAGATCCGGATCGGAAAGGCTCGGACGAGGTAAATAGCACCACATTCTTCTACCATCGTGCTCACGCAGTGACTAGGCCATGCATCAGTGTATCGTCTGTGAAGATTGGTACCACGAAAACCACCTCTTTAGCGGTAGGTACGCTTCCTGCACGCATTCCATGCACAGCGTGTGTCATCTAGATGAAGAATCCACAACCCAGAAACCCCCTGCGTCGTTTGACGAGCTCGTTTGCCGCGACTGCATGACAAAGCACGTCTTTTTGTACAAGTACGTTGACGTGCCAACGTCAGAGGACGCAGGGACGACGTGCCGGCTGCCGACGACGTTGCCAGCGACGACTTCAGGCCCGACCTTTTGGCAGGACGGGTGGCGCCAACGACTCTGTCGCTGCAAGGCTTGCGTGCGCCGCTACGAAGACGCTAAGATTGCGTTTCTTATGGACGAGACCGACGCGCTCTCCGTGTTTGAAGCAAAATCCAAGGCGTCGGCCGAAGACATGTTCGCCGCGGGTCAAAAAGCGGTGCAGACCGAGCTCAGCCACACGCAGCAGGTCCGTTTTCTCAGCGTTGTGGATAGATACGAACGGAGTCTCATGGAATAGATCGAGATGGCGGTGGGTTATGCTCGCATGGCTTCGTCGCTCAAGGACTACCTCGCCGGCTTTGCAGAGTCGGGCCAGACGGTCAAGGCCGAGGACATTCACGGCTTCTTTGAGACGCTCCAGCAAAACAAACGGCAGAAGCGGGAATGATGCACGAGTTCCGGCGACGTAGTTAGTACAGCGACTTGGACTGGATGCATAGTACTTGAAAGCTCGTGTGTCGAGAGGCTGGATCTATAGGAACGTGATGTGAAGTGTTTACCAGGTGCGCTCGCCACCTCGCTGCCAACTTGATGTAGATGGAATGAGAAAACGGCTGAGCAAACGCACGCCCTTGCTAGCTCGATAGCATCGACGATGTGTGGTAATTTAGGGAGCAATACCGACAATATTCGATCCCGTGCCGATCCGACCTTGGATTCGAGAGCTGCCAACAACCATCCGACCTCGGATGACGCCTTGGTGTCGGTGCTGGATAGTTGCCGACACAATCCAGCCTCTTATTTCTTGCTAAAAGTTGTTAAGTTATCCGACCTCGAATATCGTTGTATTGGCGTTGATGAGTCGCCAGGACTCTCTCTGGGGGTTTTGAATCGGTTTTCAACTACAAGTACAAAATGGCGTCGGCCGGGATCGCCGGTACTCAAGCTTCCTCGCTCGTTCCGATAGCAAATGCACGTTGGGTAGATCACATGCACATGCTGTCCGAGCTGCAGCGGCTCAAGGCACAAGTCGTCGACGTCGTGACGGCCAACAAGAGCCTTTTGGAGACGACGCGGTCGATCGAGGCGGAGCTCTCGTCCTTTGCCACGCTTTCGCAGCTGGACGCTGGTCTGAGCCTCAAGGTTCACTTCTCGTGCTAAATCTTGCCTGTCAACGTCCATTCGTAGGCGTCAACGACGATGGTGCCAACACAGCTCGACGAGCTCAAGCAGTTTGTTCTCCAAGTATAATTCCCAATTATCCACACCTGTCGTCCGAGTGCTAGTATCGCACGCTAGGTACTCACGTCCAAGGCAGATCTCTCGTTGCTCGACGTCCTGTTGCCCAAGAAGCTCGACACCAGCGTCTTTGAAGTAGAAGGTCCATCCTACCCTCCGTAGTATGCCAAGAATACGAGTAGGCTGCCCAGCGACAGCACACGAAGGAGTACGCGAGGTTCGAAGACACGGTCCGGACGCTCTTCACGTCGTTCGTCTCCGACGTCCAAAGCCACGTGCGGGAGATTGCAACCGGCATCGCCGCGCACGAAGTCACGGTGGCGGGTCATGCGCAGCGCGTCGAGGCGACAAAGGACCATCTCAGCACCCTCGACGTGCGACTCCGGCGCCTCGAGGCCGTCTGCGGCGTGGACTCCACAGCCACCCGCATGTGTTCGAGTGCGACGCTGCCAGCCGTGGCTGCGGCATGTGCGTCCTTGGAGGTAGCCCATACGGCGCAGGTGGCGTTGATTTCGGACCTCCGCGATACGCTAGGTATGCTGTCTCTTTACCAGGTATTTCTTCTCGTGCTGGATTGCTTTCGTTGTCGTAGAGACAACGCAAAACCAAGTCGGCGCACTCGAAGCGGCGGCGCAAGGAGCCAAGCTCGATATGTCGCGTCGCATTGCCAAAGAAATCGCGCGGCTCCAAGAAGCCGACGCCCATGTAACTCTGACTTCTCCGTGTCGATGGCACGTGTATCAAGGGGGTGCTAGGGACTGTGCCAACTCGAGAAGAAGTATACAACGCTCGTCGAGTCAGTCGAAGCGGTTGGATGATATGCGGCATGTGGTCGAGGAAATCACAGACGACAAGCTAGGTCAAGGCGCTGGCGCAAAGTGCTCAAAACGACGTGCACGCATTCCAAACGGCCGCGGCCAAGTCCGTGTTGGATACCTACGATCGGCGCGTCGCGGGCTCCGTAGGCGACCCGCTACCGCCACTCCCTTTAACATTCTGGGACGATTAGATTGAAGCGCTCCATGCCGACAACCAAGGGCTGCGGGACACACTCCACAAGCACCACGCCGTACGTTTGTCATTTCTAGAAACCGAGTGCACCAGCGAGTCCATAGACGCTCGTGGAGCAGTCGCGGTCACTTGAAGACTCGGTGCGGTCGCACAACACGTCCTTGTGCAGCCTCGAACACCAACTCCGGCAACTCGCAGCCCACTGCCGTGCCAACGAGTCCGTACGCTTCATTACGTGCGTCTTTGTCAGGAGGGCATTTTAGGCGCGAGCTCGCCGCGCTCAAAGGCCCGTTCATCACGGAAGTGCGCAACCTCAAGGAGGAAAACTTTGTCATTCTCGACGAGATCCGCCGGCAACAGGTCAGCGATTCCTCGCAAGTCGATGAGCAACACGCGTGGCTTAGGACATTTCACGCGAGCTCGTCCTCGACTACAAAGACGCGGTCGGTGCATCGGCAGGCCCGACGCGCCCACCGACGCTGCCGTCAACGAATGTGCTGCCAACGACAAGTGCCAACAAGGCGCGGGCCAAAACAGCGCGGCCACAAACGTGCGGCCCGCCTGTCAACTGCGCCAAGCGCTTTGGCGTTGTGCACTCGGCGCGTGAGCCGCGCGAACGCGCCCGCACGGCCGGCGCCAAGCCCAGCCCACGCGTACTACGTCATCCAGAAAGCATGACGTGGGCTCTCAGGATCGGTGTCACAACTAGAGCGATGGGCCCATCGTACTGCCCCCGACAAGGACAAATCAAGCCACGCAGTTCCTTGCGTCGATCGAAAACATCTACGAGAAGCAGAATGCGCAAGATGATGAAGATGACGATGAAGACCCTGCGTTTGAATTTGGCCGCACGAGCCCGCGTGAGAATGGGTTTCTCGTGCGCGATTTGCCGTACGTCTGTACACTACGCATGCTCGACGTGTAATGAGCCTAGGCACCGCGTCCCGATGCGCCCGCAGAGCAGCTACGAGTAGCATCTTGGACCGACAGATTTTGTAGCAACACACAGCAACACAAGCGTTCTCATCAGCGAGCTTCTTACAATATAATAATACGGACTTTCTTCTATCGTCGTGCTGGTATTTACAAGTCGTCGTCTTCCATCTCGGCCGCCTTGGCGCGAATCGGCACGTAGGCCTCGACCGACTTGCCCGCGGCGCGCTCGGCTTCCTTTTGCGAGTACTGCTCCTGCGCCACGTCCTTGAGCCGGCGCTTGTGCACCTTGGACTTAATGTGCACGGCGCGCGCGATAGCATCCATAAAGTGGCGGCCGCACGGCGTGCAGTAGAACTGGCCGAGACCCGGGAGGTCCTCGTCGACCTCGAAGGTCATGGCCGTGCCGGTCGACTCCTCCTTCTTCAGGTCGTCCTGGATCTGGTCAATGTCGCGGCTGCGGCTCTTGGTCGCATGGCCGCGCTTGTAGCCCTTCTTCTTGCAGTGGGCACGCTTCTTCCCGGTTGTCGGCCCCGCCATGGTTGCAACTTCAACTGTGATACCAATGGCATCGCGACAGGTCATGCCACCTCTGTCCAGTCAAACAAAAACCTCTTCAAATGCATACAAACGGCCAAACCGAAGTTCGAAGCGAAGTATAAAGGATGACAGTATTGGGTGCGCTTCGAAAACCTCTTAAAAGGCATGTGCTGGAAAGAGCACCAAGGAAGAGCCTGAATGTTCGAGACAAGCCCGTCGGGGATTGTGCCATCTATATGCACGCAACTGGGATCCTTGAAGCTAACGGCATTTTCGGTGCGTCCTCGACGTATGCTGCGGCCACACGAAAGGATATGGTCGTCTTTAGTATGGACCTTAATGACATTGACGTCGATCGGAAATGGATGAATCGTATATTCTCTGTCCTCACCACGAGGGTTCCTCATGTGAAGGTTTTATGCATCCCCGTTCTCGTTCCATACAAGCACTGAGATACAGCGTCTATGGTTATGCTTCGCCGAGCTTCACTCATCGTGCGAGCGTATTCGATAGCCAGCTTTGTAGATACAATATGGTCCGCACTGCAGTCCCCTTTGTTTGTCTCTGTGCCCCGTGGCTATTACTGCTGTCGCGCGTCCTCGTTGGCCGTGCCCACGTATCCAGAGATTGCGTGCGACTAGTCGTCTTCGGGCCGCGCCGGGGTCATGCATTTATAGAGGTTTTTGTCAACGTAAACGCTCGCCGTGCTGGCCAGTAGTCATAATATTCGATCCTCTTTTAATGTTTCTTGATCAATAAAATACATCTCTATTTAATCCTGTGGTCGATGGTCTTGTCACACGTCACATACAAACACCGAGGTATCTTCTGTTCCCGCGGCTTTCCACCTCCTGGAATAGCAATTCAAAATAGAATTAAAGTACGACGTAATTAAAAACGAAATTATCGGCCGCCCGAGGTAGCGTCGCTAGGGGTCACTTGCAATAATTACGCCATGGTGCTCCATCAAAAGACCGAGCATGTGTACCCGTACGCCTGGGACGTCGTCTCCCGCGCCTTCTGGAACAAGTACCCGAACGCCAAGCTCACGCACGTCGAGCGCATGGACGTCGTCTCGCGCTTCATTGACGGCGAGGGCCGCCTGCACTCGGCCCGCCTGGCCAAGTGCTCCCAGAATAACATGCCCGGCTGGGCCGAGTCGATCGTCGGCAAGTACTCGTATGTCTACGAGGAGACGATCTGCGACCCGGTCGCCAAGACGCTGCAGCTCAAGTCGACCAACCTGAGCTTCCGCAGCGTGGCTACGATCAACGAAGTGTGCCTCTACACGCAGGCGAAGGCCCCCGATGGTACCTTCTCGCACACCAACTACACGCAGGACGCGCAAGTGAGCGCGTTTGTGCCGTTCCTCTCGCAGAAGCTGGAGCGCCTCTCGGTGAGCCGCGGCGCCGAGACCGCCGCCAAGGGCCTTAGCGCTATGGAGGCGATCTGCAAGGAGATCTTCCAGGGCAGCTTTGCGCTCTGCGAGCCCGCCAAGGCGAGCTCGCTCCACGCCAAGATCAACCTCGAGTGAACCGACGTCGAAAAATGTATGGTGATGGCCGACGGCTAACGCTGCCGACACGACGATAGACGTAGAGGGTCGTGGGCGGACGTGGCCATCGTTGGGCCTTGTATCTATTTAACCTTGTGCTTTGTTCCCTTGTCCCGTTTCTCGGATTGCAGATCTGGCAAGCTAGGCCGATATATTATAGAGCTTATGGCGGCGACGGGTTGACCTCGTCCTCAATAGGCGCTGGGACTGCGCCCTCGATCGTCGCAGTTATGTCTCCCACCGACACAGCAGTGTCGGCGTCCAATGGCGATATGTCGTCGCCGGCAACAGCCGCATCTTGGTCATCGGCACTTGCAGGAGCTTCCTCGGCGACATCTTCGAGGTCGTCGACGGCGTCCGTCACCTCATCGGCGGCGGCTTCTTCCATCGTTGCCATCGACGCTTCAGCGGTGGCGGTCATCTCCACGTCCGAGGCGCCACGGAGCTGGGTAAAGCACACTTGGATATCGACATGGGGGTCGGCCCCGAAGGCGCGGAGCGCGTCGGTTGGGATCGTCAAGTGCTCTACTCGACCCCGTGAGATATCGTGCCGTCGTGCATCGCCTGTACCTTGGAGCTCGACAAGGATACGGACGAGTGCAAGCCGAACGTTGAAGACCGGGTCGCTGGCGAGCGCAAAGAAGGGCGCCGCGAGCGACGCTTCAAACACAGGCGCGTGGCCGCCAAGGACAAAGGCCCGACAGACGCGGATATAAATCTGCAGGTTCGTCATCGTACTGGAAGAAGGCGTGGACGGGGATATATACCTGGCGATGAATGTACACGGACGACGCCTGGAGCGCTCGGACGCGCTCGGCAAGGGCTTCGGTCCACTCGGGGTTCTCGGCCAAGCACGCAAAAGGAGCGGAACCGCCTAGTCCGCCATCGTGTCAAGTCCAAAGGAGGTGTGTCGTTGTTGTGTACGTGGAAGCTCGAGTCGCGCACGCACGCCACGTCGTCCGTCACGAGCTGAAAGATGAGCGGCGCGACGATCGCAAACGTGTCGGCGGGCGGGAAGAGCGTGCAGATCGCAGGCAGCTGTTCGCTAATGAGGCCGCGGAAGCGCCACTTGAGTTTGAATTTCGAGTGCGCTTGGAAATCGTTGAATTCGGCGAGCACGGCAAGGTACTCGTGGCGCGCGGTCGGCGAAATCGCGGCCAAAAAGTCGGCAAAATGCGTGATCGAGCCCATCTTGACGTCGTCAATGTCCTGAAGAAACGTGTCAAAGGCACTCGTGAGGTGCGCCTCGGTCATCTCGGGCCCCAGAATGCGCGCAATCTCATGAAGCGAGTGCGCCAGCGTGCGCCGGACCTTCCAGAAACCGTCGACGGTCAGCGCCTCGAACGCGCGCGCAATGCGCAGCCAGCCGTCACGCCCCAGCGTGTGCAGCACGGCCGGAAAGTTGTAGGCGCAGTGAAACTTCATGTCGGCTTCGGCGCCGCTGAGCAGCAGCGCGGTCGGACGCGTTGCCATGTCAGCGTACGACGTTGTGAGCGTCTCGGTGATTTCATGCGGCGGCAGCGTCGAGAGGTACGGGCCGAGCTACGTGTTGCCAACAATCACACCTTGTATCAATGTATCAAGAAAAAGCATACTTGCTGGTAGGCTGCGATACGAACCCACTTGGAGGCGTCGTGGGAAAAGGCTGTAAAGAGCGGAGTGAGCGCCGACGCCCGCTTCTCGGGCGCGAGTGTCTTGGACATGTCGACGAGCGACTCGGCGCAGGCTTTGCGGACGCCCCAGATTTCATCCTTGGCCAGCCGCGTGTACGCCGGCAAGAGGCGTTCTAACCGCCAGACGCTCAGGATAGAGAAGAGGAAGATCACGCTAGTGTACCCTCGGTGACGTCCGGGCCCGCCGTCATGCACACGTTCGCAAAGTTGAGCACCATGGCCTTTCGGACGCGGAAGACCGGGTCCTCGGAGAGTGAGATGAACTCGGGGACGCAGAATTGGCAGCAGAGGTCGCGGCCGAGGAAGACGGCGAGCTTGTTGAGCAAGATGAGCTACCATACACGTCAGATATAAGTTTGAGATGGTCAAGGAGCGACGTACAGCGGTGATGCGCATCTGCTCGTCGTCGTCTTCGTGGGCAAACGGCAGCACAAGCGTGAGCACGTGTTGGCCTTGGTCCTCCGACTTGATAATTTCGGCGAGGGTGACCAGACTCTCGCAGGCAATGTGTCGGACTTCGGCTTGGACGTCCGAGAGGAGCTTGCTCATGAGGGGCATCATGGTCTCGAGCACGATCTTGTAGCCGTCGTCGCCGCCGGCCGAGACGAGAAACTATATGGTATTGCGTCAAGCATACTGCGGTACACTTCGCGCGCAGACCTTGCAGAGGCCTGGGAGTTGCCCCGCAACGTGCTGCCGCACGACAAACTCGACGTCGCTCACAAGCGGCTCGAGAAGCGGAATGATGCTGCTGCACGTCTTCTCGTAGCTACCGACGCCGTGAGCTTCGCCCATGTAGAGATGCCTCATCAGCTCGAGACGCGTACCCAGACGAGACAGCCGTCTCTTCGAGCATGCGCACATGGATGACCCGCTGCAGCGCAATGTTGCTGTCGACGTAGCGGATCACGCGGTCGAGGTCCGTGAGCGAGTCGTCGATCGCGAGGTCTTCGAAGGTCGGGCCGCCATCGCGGTCGTCATGGTACCCTCCCTACGTCCCATGCGCATGAGGCTCCATGCCCATGCCATGGTCGCAGCCGACGTACGTGCTCGGACATCATCCTGCGCTCCTCTAGTCGGTCGACTACGAGGAGGGGCAATTGAAATTGGAATTGACGCCCAGTTGCTTATCCGGATGGTCCCGACGCGCGTATCCGGATTACAACCAGAATCGACGCCGGGCGGGCGTATCTTTGGCGCCAGCGTAGCGGCGCGACCCGCGCTGGCTCAGCTTTCTCGCTCGATGGCTGTACCTACTAAGTAAGTACACCACAGCCAAGTGGACTGCACAGACCTTCGTTGGGGTCTGACTTCGAAGGCGCGCCACAGTAACGGCCATCAGAAGCGCTGTTGGCGATGTGGTAACTAACGCCAAGCGGAAACTCACGCGTTGCAGCCGCGAAGCTCATGAGGTGTCCATTCTTGCTTGCGTTACACGTATGCTCTCACACAAAAATGGTGCGAGCTATGCTCTTGCTGCTCATCGTACCACACCGGTCGGCCTGGAGCACGGCGAACGATGGACGAGCCGAACCGGATGGCGCACTTGGGAAACGGAAGACGCATTGGGTCTGGCAGCTAAACGACACTGTTGAACACATGGTGTGCAACCACTTCAGTATTAGAGATCCTTGCTTGATAGTTCAACGTTTCTCCTTGTATGCAGCTGCGTCGACCGAATCGAGACTTTCCGATACCATGGACGGTATCGTCAGGAGCGAACCTCATAGATTGTAGCATAAACGCAGGATATAATGCACCGATTTCGCGTTGCTCTTTACAATTGCGATAAATACTAAAAACCTCTCTTCCGGAAGCAGCAGCTCCGTCAACCGCCGGGTGGAAGCTCTAGGTGGAGTCGACCAAGACCCTTAAGCGCCTTGCAAAATCACGTCGCTTGGAGTTGATAGCAGCCAGCAAGATCGTTTAGTGGTGCGACACCAATCACACCGTCGTCGAGTGGACCGTTGGTCAGGTCGAGCGTGTCGCCTTCATGCGAGAGGACTACAGCTGCACTTTTTGCGCATGCAATGTGCTTTAAAACATCATATGATGGACGTTCTTCGTCCAATATGTCTAGAGGGCCATGTATGGACGTACTTCGTCCATACACGCAGTTGCGGCCGCGGGTTCGTCGCTTGATCTATGTCTCGTCGATGCGCTCGTAGAAGAGAACGTAGGCGTGCTTGGACAAGGCCGTGGAACGTTGGACGACCGAGACCCCTGCGTCGTCCATGCAAAGCCAGGTGCCAGCCCGGCGCACGTAAGCGACGTAGTGGCCGCTATGGACCGAGGCGCCACGATGGCTTACAAGCCCACAGAGGCGGTAGTCGCTGGCACCGAGCTTGAATGCTTCATCCACTGCCACGCGGTCGACCCCGTCCAAGCTGAAGTCGGTGACGTTGAGGGTAACGACCAGCACGGGCGGCGCCAGTAGCATCGTCCAGCGCTGCTGGGCCGAGCAAAAGACACTGCAGTTGACACACGTCTTGGTGAGTGTTTGCGTCATGAACGTCTCGAGACCAGCGACGATCGAGTCGGGTGTTCCGATGATCGAAATGTCTCGTTGCGGCTCGAGTGTCTCGGACTCGAAGCCGCAGTGGGGGCAGACGCTCGACGTTGTCCAGAGAGACCCCAGGACGTCCTCGGGAATCGTCGTCGTTTTCTCCAGATCCGAGACGAGCCACGCGAGGTACTCGCTCGCATCTTGCTGCTTTGTGGTCGAGTGGAATGGTGGCACGAGAGCTTCGTGGTCGGCGCGGTACGAAGCAGCGTCGTTGGCGAGTACACCAGAGACCACACGCGTCAGAGCGGCTGCTGTCGTGGACTCCTGTGGCTGTGAAAGCAGCCCGTGGACGATTCGTGGAGTGTGCGCAATGCACTGCAGAATGGCATTCATGTAGCACGTGTTGCCGAGATTGGCGAGACCGGCGTGGCTCGCATCGAGTTGCGTCGGCGACTGTTGTGGTACCATGGACAAATGCACCGGAGTAATCTCGACTGCGGTTGAAAGTGCTAATGTCGGTGGTACTCGAACCTCCATGGACGTAGCTCTTGAACCGCCCTCGGTGGCGACCGTTGGTAAGATGTCCGTGGCATCGACGGCCGATGATGTCGTTGTCGGTGCAGTCGTGGCTGGTGCACAACTACTGGTTGAAGGTACCGGGTCGACGTCCAATGGGATTGTCGCGGTCACCACGGGGCTAGCCACCGCTGAAAGAACAGCAGCATCCACCGGTGGTGTCGTCGCGTCGACGGTTGGTGTCGCATGCAAGGACGCTTCGAGGCGCTTGACCTGGATCGCATACTCGCTCAGAGCTGATTGTGCGACGAGAAGCTCCTGCTTGAGGCGACGGTTCTCGGCTTCCAGAGTCGCCATGGCCGAGTGGCAACCGCAGGTGACAACAGGCGCCGTCGTGGGAAAATTTCGTCTTGGTGGTGCTGGTCGCGACGTTGATGGGCGCGATGGCTTCAAAGGTACTGGCACCGCGCGGCGTGGCTGCCTCGGCGCCACCGGGCTTTGTTTGGGTGGGGTAGCCACCGTCGGTGCGAGGGCGGTTGGCGCACGACGAGGTGTTTGGCGAGGCGCTGGTGTGACCGGCGTTGGAGTCGTAGAGCGCGGCTTCTGAGTTGGCACTGGCGCCTTGGTGACGGTGCGTTTTGGAGCAATTGGCGCCAGCGATTTGGACGGCAGTGTGCGAGACGGCGCGGCCGTGGACTTGCGGCGCATCTCGGTGCGATAGAGGTGCGGGAACTCGGCCTGGAACTTGGCGTCGGCGGCTGAGGCGCGCGCGGCCGCCATCTCTTGAAGGTGGTTAGGGTTGAAGCGGTGCATGGTGTTGGAGCGGTAGGTTGTCGGTGGGCCAAATGAATGTGACGAAAGTACTCATACGCGAAGATGTGCTGTGCAGAAGCGAGGGACGAGCTCGCTTTTACTGCGCCCCTGTCGCTTTCATGGAAGAAGGCCACTTCTGCACTATTTGTATTTTACGACATCCATGACATTGACGCTGTCCGCGATGCCTTGCCACCGCTAGCTGTGCCAGCGACGTGCAGTTGATGGGCACTGCTTCGCTTGGAAATCGCTGCCGCACGTTCTACACGCAAGTGAGGTGGGGGTGGAAAAGGAAAGCGACTTGAATTTTGTATGCCAGGTTTATCACATCATACCCTGTGCACACGTCAAGCCGTGGCCTGCCGTTTCACACGCGTGCGTAGGGCAAGGTTTAAAACATCAATTGGTTTGTATGTTATATTTCACACACACATTCCATTTCCGCGTGAAAAAGCGTGTGCGGCGTGATAAACGGCAGCATACAAACATTAAGATAAAGTTGAGCAACCACATCTATGGATACAAACTCAAAACCTACGAAAGCGGGCGCGGTAAAGTAGCCCAGTGGTTTAATGTTGTCTTCGTAGACGGAAAGTCGTGGGATCGATCCTCTCTGAAAAGCCCTGAGACCACTTAGCTTGCTAAGGGGGTCCGAGCTTTTTGGACACGGATGCATTTTTATTGCGTCGTGCAAAAACAGCCAAAAATAGAAACCACCGACTGCTGTGCTAAGCAAACATCGGAACTGTCGATAACATTTAGGAAAAAGATGATTTGGCTTCCAACCCTGCACTGCAATTCAGCTTGTGCTGATGTTGTGCACTGGATGCTCGAGCTTGCATCCGCCAATGGGTACTCGTGGTCCCATAAACATATGTCGTGCAGCCCCAACCCCTGCCACCGACGCCAACAGACGCAACGAGTGGACATGCGGCGACACATATTCTGTAATAAATCTTGGACGAATCAGATCGCATGTAGTTCCTTCTCGGCTACGCTGTCAGAAGATCGCGTTGGGTCTGGCGAAGTCGCGTCGAGATTTGCAGCGCCGTGGGCCGACGATCCTCGTCCGTGGAAAGGCAGTCGGCGCCAAGCTCGCGCAGCCAAGCCGGTCCATCAACTGAAAACGACGGCGTCAACGTACCTTGTAGCACGCGGGTTGCGATGACCGAGTCGTTGAGCGCGTGGCCGCGGGCGTTGCGGAGCTCCGCGTACGGGAGGCCGCGCGTATCGAGCTCCGAGAGGATGACGCCGAACGAGTAAATGTCGGCGGCCGTCGTGTAGTGGCCGCTCTGGAGCACCTCGGGTGCAACCCACCGGCACGTGCCGACGCCAGCCGTCATCGTGTTGCTCGACACTTCGCGCGCGACGCCAAAGTCGGTGAGCTTGATGTGGCCGGCGGTGTCGAGGAGCACGTTCCGCGACTTGAGGTCGCGGTGGATCACGTCGAGCGAGTGCAAATACAAGAGACCTTCGGCGATCGCCAGCGCCATCTCGAGCCGCGCCGACTCGACGAGGACAACGTTGGTCGCAAGCAGTTGGCGCAGGTCGCCAAGGTCCATGTACTCGACGACGCACCAGAGATCGATGGGCCGGCTCCACACCGCGCCGAGGAAGCGCACGACATAAGGGCTCGATAGCCTGCGTAAATTCATGAGATTTTGATTGTCAAAAAGTCGTCGTCGTACTTGGAAAGAAGCTTGGCTTCGGCGACGAGGCCACACACGTCCTTGATCGCCGTGCGATGAGGCAGCAGCGCCTTGATCGCGACGGCCTGCCCGCGGTAGGTCCCAAGAAACACTTGGCCAAATGCACCAGACGCGAGAACGCGCTGCTTGGTCAGCATCGCCTCGTCGATGCGGAACGGCAGCAGGTCGGTCATGTCGAGGCGCTCGTGCATGCTCGCGTCGCTGACGCCCGACGGCGCCGTGCCATCGTCGCTCGCCTTGAAGTAGCTATGGCCGGACCCGCTCTTCTGCGCGCACTGGCGCTTGAACGCATAGACGCCGATGATGACGACGGCGAGACCGGCGAGGCTGCCCCAAATGATCGGTCCCCGCGACGCGTGCGACGAGTTGAAGAACGCTATCCAATGTACGTCCAGATGAGATAGCGAGCGAGAGGAACATGCTAGTACGGTACGTTCTTGGGAGACGCAGACAGCGATGCTCTGGTTGTTGACACCGGAGATGCTGTTAAGGACGGCGCCGCTGCCTGCGCACGACTTGACATTGGATGCACCAATCGCGACGCTCTTGGCTCTCGCCAGTGCCAGGAAGGATGACATGTCCAAAGTGAACTCGACCAGCTCACAGCGATCGCATCGACTACATGCCTCGAGTGAGCGACGCAGAGTCACGGTGGATCGTACAAGGTCGTCAAGGTGGCCGAGAACTGCACGTTCTTGATGCTCGTGATCGCATTGGCATCGAGGTTCCTAGCATGTCCATGGGCACGACGTCAACGTCAAGGTATCGTGTCACCGACGTACACGTAGCTCATGCGGCGCCAGTCGTAGTTCTGCAAGCCCACGAGCGAGTTGTTGTAGAGAGAGCTAGACAGTGAGAACATGTGTGTTTCGAACTGCTATAGCGTCGCATGCCGTACATTGTTTCGACGACCGGGCCATTGGCGTAGCTTTGCAGCATATTGTTGTCCAGAACGCTAGAGCACGCAGTAGAGTACTTGACGCAGAAACCCGCAGCCAGCGCGGTAGACGGTACATGGAGGTGAGTCGCGCAGGCCAGAGCACGGTCGCTGGCAATGTCGAGAGGCCGTTGTTCGGCAGCGCCCTACGCAAAAGCTTCAACATGGTGCGTTGCATAAACAGTCGCCAGACAAGTCCAAGAGGGAGGCGGGAAGCACCATCTTGTCGAGTTGTAGGCCTGGGTTAAAGGCAATGACCCTACGATCGCATAAGGCGTACATCATCCAGAAAGGGTCGTCATCGTACAAGTTCGTGCAGTTTGTGATCGCACTGCCATTCGGTGCCTTCGAGAGGTCGCCGACGGTCTTGAGCCCATTGCCGATGAAGCGTAGCGTGCTAACGTCAGGGATCTGGAGCAATGCAGAGGCGCTGGTCGTGACGAGGCCTCGAGACGAGACGAGACTTGCAGTCGTCCAGGACGCGACCTCGGTGCAGCGGCTGTCGACGACGCACAGGGCCGTGCTGTCGTTCATGCAATAGCCTGTCGAGAAGGAAGGCCCTGTGTATGGGCAGGTCACCTCGGCCAAGGTCGCGCCGACAGCCGCGAGGACGACGGCCACAGCTTGGCGGAGCATGGTTGCACCTGGGTCGTTTCGGTCGAGATGGGAAATGCCAGAATATCGAAGTGCAATCTGATCGTTTCAGCCAATCCGAATCGAGTACCCAACACCGTCGCACCCGATTGGCTACTTTTGCCAAAGATCGCGATCTACGCTTTCGACAAAGCTCCACGTCATGGTCTGCAATGGTATATCGAAACCTTCCATGAGGCAGGACACTGGCCGTGCTCAGCACCCACCAGCTGCGTAGAGCAGAGGACACTGCGGTTGGCGACGGAAGGACATCCACGCAAGACAGCAAACACATGAACGCAAGTGACATACTAGTTCTCGTATGCAATCGATATTGATCGCGACGCAACCTGGCCAAATACAAAACTAAACGCCACTCAAGCAAGTGCTATGCCTGATGTAAGCCGCATCGGCAGCCAGCCTAGACCAAGCATCCTAAGTCCAAGGTCCTGATACCATTCGAATGCGACCTGGCCGTGAGCGTTGCCAGTGTGCGCTGCTGCGCTGAGGTAGGCTGCACCACAGCGGTAGCAAAAGGCCCGCCCGCTACGTACCACGAGTTTCATGCTTTCGAGACACAAGTGCACACTGCTTACCACTTGCACGTCACGTGGTTGCAGCCGCCGTTGCGCTCAATGACCGCGTGGCACGCAGGGCAGTGCTTCCAGCCCATAGTCGTCTTGAGCGTCATAAACTGCGTATGGTCGGGGTCGCCTCCGGAGGCGAGAATGCGCTGGTACGCGGCGCAGTCGAGGTTCTCGTGCCACAGGACGTGACAACCGTGGCAAAAGTGCACGTAGCAAAACGAGCACTGCGCCTTCGCCATGCCGGGGTACACTGCATAAGGGCGGCTACATACTTTGTTGGGGCAGAACGCACGATGGGCCTCCGCAGCCTTGGCAGCCAAGAGGCTCTGGAACTGCGCAAGGAGCGCCGCGCCCACAAGTCTCGCAACATCACTGGGCGCAATCGCACGCTTGCACGCAACCACACAGCACGTGATGGGCGCGTCACGATGCTTGACCTTGGCTTCCAGCAGCGCCCGAAGACAGTTGCCGTGATAGCGGTGCTTGCAGGCGAGCTCCCAGCTCCCGCTGGTTACGCCGCGAGACACGAAGCCTGAGAAGGTCGACGGATGACCAATCGTATCCATGCAAATGAGGCAGATCGTGTCGGCGCGTGTTGTGGCCATGGTGCGTCGAATATTGCAATGCAAAGCAGTTGAACGACCACGTCATACAGCACCAACGGTCCGACGTCGCTTTCGCCGTTGCTTGGTGCACGCGCCAATCAGGATCGAGACAATATAAAGGCAGACCAATCAAAAAGGCTCGACAAATGCACCTCGTCGCTATGACATACCGAGCGCGCTCTACCTTCGGAGCTACTACAGCTGACGGGTGGCACAAGCTGGAAATGGGTCTTGTGCCGCAAATGTCAGCTCAGTATTACGTTGTTATAACTCGACAAGGTGATGCGAGCAGCTGCTTTTGACCACAACGTCTGTGCCTTATCTTGCCATTCAGTCACCCAGTCGCTCGCGGCGTCGCGCCCTCTGCGGGGCTTGCAAGCTGGCATGTTGACGTTGTGTGTTGAAGCGTTGAAGAAACCCTTATCATTGCATAGACCTCCCAAAATACATACAGCCCTCAACCGGTTTGTATAGCCGGCCAGCTAGCTACGTAGCCGGTTTGTCGTGGCACCAGTCCTTTCGATTGGCCAATACGAATATTCAGTATCCAACCATCCTCGCCGCAGCAGCAACATGAGCGTTCTCTTTGGGGCGAAGCGCAAGCGCAAGGCCGTCGAGCCGGCCGTGGCCGCAGCGACCGACGACGCGCTCGTACCAGCGACGGCCAAGGTCACGCCCTCGATCCTCACGACGTTCAGCGACCTCGGCCTCGACCCATGGCTCGTGACCAAGTGCACGCTCCTCGGCTTGCACAAGCCGACGCCGGTCCAAGTCAACTGCATTCCCGAGATCCTCGCCGGCCGCGACGTCCTTGGCTGCGCGCAGACGGGTAGCGGTAAGACGGCGGCCTTCGCGCTGCCCATTCTGCACACGCTCGGGAAGGAGATGTACGGCCCGTTCGCGCTCGTCTTGACGCCGACGCGCGAGCTGGCATTCCAGATTGGCGAGCAGTTCCAGGCGCTTGGCAGTGGCATCTCGCTGCGGTCGTGCGTTGTCGTCGGTGGCGTCGACATGATGACGCAGGCCCTTGCGTTGCAGGAGCGTCCGCACGTCATCGTCGCGACGCCCGGCCGCCTCCACGACCACATGCTCCGTCCCAACCCGCCCAACTTGAAGCTTATCAAGTACCTCGTCCTCGATGAAGCCGACCGGCTCTTGAGCTCGACCTTCTCCAAGGACCTTGCGTTTCTTCTCGACCGCATGGGCTCGTCGTCGCGGCAAACGCTGCTCTTCTCGGCGACGATGACGGCCGACCTCAAGGACTTGGAGGCCGTCGCGCTCACGAATCCGTTCCGGTTTGACGCGACGCCGTCGGCGACGACCGTGAGCCAGCTCAAGCAGTCGTACCTTTTTGTGCCGGCGCAGATCAAGACAACGTACCTCATGTACCTCATGTCCAAGCTCGTCGACGACTCGGTGCCCGACGAACCCGCGACGAAGAAGAGCTTCAAGGGCAAGAAGCACCTGCCCATTGCGATCCCGGACGCGCCGACAGACAAGACCGAGTCCATGGTGGTGTTTGTCGCGACCTGCAAGTCGTGCCAGCTCGTGGCCGAGATCGCGCTCGAGCTCGAGCTGCCGTGCGTCGTGCTGCACTCGATGATGGGCCAGTCGCGGCGCCTCGCGGCCCTCGGCAAGTTCAAGTCGGGGCTTGCCCGCGTCCTCATTTGCACGGACGTCGCGTCGCGTGGTCTCGACATCCCCGAGGTGACGCACGTCATCAACTTTGATTTGCCCCGCGACGCCGACGACTACATCCACCGCGTCGGTCGTACGGCCCGCGCGGGTCGGAAGGGTACTTCGATCTCGATCGTGACGCAGCACGACATTGAGCTCCTCCAGAACATCGAAAAGGTCATTGAGAAGCCGCTCGACAACTACGAGGAGCACGCGCCCGAGACCGAGGTGCTCAAGATGCTCAACGACGTCACGACCGCGACGCGCGTCGCCAAGATGAAGATGACCGAACACGGCTTTGACGACAAGGTCAAGCAGCGCCAGCAGCAACGCAAAAAGCAGATCAAGAAATCCACATAAATGAAAACGACGAGCGCATCATAGATAGACAAACCACCAGGAGCAATTCATTAGTGCATGGCTGGGCATTCTTTGGATAGATAGATAGATAGATAGATAGATAGATAGATAGATAGATAGATAGATAGATAGATAGATAGATAGATAGATAGATAGATACCGAGTATCATGGCACTTGGCATGCAGTCAGCAAGGACGACGAGTTGCGTGGCCTGACGCAATTTGTCGACGCATCCTCGACGTGCTGCGGCAGACCTCCAAAATGCTTCTAGTGACGTGTGTGTGTTGCAGCCACCGTGCTCGGCGAGGATCGAACCGCCGTCTTTCAACGAGGCCTCTGCGGTGGAACCCTAATGGTATTCAACCCTAGTCAAAAGTACACCGGTAGAAACAGGCCCTGGCGCTGGCATGACATAACTCCAATTGTCAAAAGTCGCCACATATCAACTATGTAGAGTGATGACTATTCACAGCTGCTCTTGTATTATTCCTATTTCTACTGGTGACGAGTTATTGCGGCGCAAACTTCTTCATCGCGTACGCGACGACCTTTTCGCCAAACGTCGGCTCCGGGAGGATCGGCGCACCGACCGCGATCGTCTCGATCTGCGCCGCGAGGCGCGAGCCCATGTTGATGGCGCGCTTGGCGTCGAGCTCAGCAGCTTCGTCGGCGCCGCCGATGCGGAAGACGTCGACGCCAGCCTTGGTGAGCGGCTCCTCGAGCTCACGGAGCGGGACCTGGCCCGCGCAGACCACCACATGATCGACCTCGAGGAGGCGCTGCTGCTTGGTCTTGTTGTCCGTGACGTACAAGCCGAGGTCGTCGACCTTGTCGTACGAGACGCCACCAATCATCTCGACGTTGCGGTGCTTGAGCGAGAGGCGGTGGATCCAGCCCGTGGTCTTGCCGAGGCCCTTGCCGTGCTTGCTCGACTTGCGCTGGAGGAGGTACACTTGGCGCTCGACCGCCGGGTGGTCGGCCTTGGCGAGACCGCCACGCGTCGAAATCGACTGGTCGATACCCCACTCCTTGGAGAAGAGACCCATGTCCAAGCTACACACGTCAGAAATGAGTTTTCACAATACAACGAGATTATGCAGTGGCCATCGTACCTCGGGGACTTGCCGACGTGCGTCGCATATTCGGCCACGTCAAAGCCGATACCGCCGGCACCAATGACCGCCACGCGCTTCCCGAGCGTCACCGACTTGTTGAGGACGTCAATGTAGCTCACAACCTATCCAGATAGTTGAGTCTCGGTTTGGAGACTTGGATTGTCGCTCGTACCTTGGGGTGGTTGGCACCTTCGATCTTGAGCGTGCGGGGCTTAATGCCGGTCGCAAGCACCACCTTGTCAAACTTGGCGTCTACGAGCTCCTGCGCCGAGACGCGCTTGCCGAGCTGCACGTCGACGTTCGTGAGCTTGAGCCGCTTCTCAAAGTACCGGAGCGTCTCGTAAAATTCTTCCTTGCCGGGAATCTGCTTGGCGAGGTTGAACTGCCCGCCGACCTCCTTATGGTCGTCAAAGATCGTCACGTGGTGGCCGCGCTGCGCCGCGACCGTCGCCGCCGCCAGACCCGCGGGGCCCGCACCGACCACCGCAATCTTCTTGGGCGCTACATGGCGTGTCCATTAGAATGTGTGATCGTCGATATAGAAATAAGAAGCGTACTCGTCGTCGGGAGGTAGTTGAGCTCGGTTTCAAAGCCCGCGCGCGGGTTGACGAGGCACGTGGCTGCGATGCCCTTGAACGTGTGGTCCAAGCACGCCTGGTTGCAGCCAATGCACGTGTTGATCTCGTCTTCGCGGCCGAGCTTGGCCTTCAGGACGAGCTCGGGGTCCGCGAGGAACGGGCGTGCCATCGACACCATGTCTACACATATCCGTGTCAGATGCAAATACGGGCAAGGCGAGGCCGTACCAGCATGGCCCGCGGCGAGAATGTCTTCGGCGACCTGCGGCGAGTTGATGCGGTTGGTCGTAATGAGCGGAATGTCCACTTCGCCCATGAGCTTGTGCGTCACAAACGAGAACGCGCCCCGGGGCACGCTGGTCGCGATCGTCGGGATGCGGGCCTCGTGCCAGCCAATGCCCGTGTTGAGGATCGTCGCGCCCGCGGCTTCGAGTTCCTTGGCCAAGACGACGATTTCTTCCCAGGACGAGCCATCCTATCTCCACGGTGAGGAGGAATGTTTTGCATGCAAGCGTAATCAAGTACCTTGACAAGGTCGAGCATCGAGAGGCGAAAGATGATGATAAAGTCGGGGCCGACCGCATGGCGCATCTGGCGCACAATCTCGACCGGGAACTTGATGCGGTTGAGGTAGTCGCCGCCAAACTCGTCCGAGCGCTTGTTCGTGCCCGCGACGATAAACTGGTTGATGAGGTAGCCCTCCGAGCCCATGACTTCCACGCCGTCGTAGCCGGCCTCGCGCGCGTTCACGGCGCACTGCACATAGTCCTTGATCGTCGAGCGCACGTCCGAGGTCGATAGCGCCTTGGGCGTGAACCAGCCGATCGGCGCCTTGATGGCCGACGGCGCGACGTTGAACGGGTGGTAGCCGTACCGGCCACTGTGCAAGATCTGCATCGCAATCTTGCCCTATCGTCGTCGTTGCGCATGAGCCTTTCGATCGCTGCAACGCTCCGTCAACGTACGTCGCTTTCGTGGACGGCAGTCGTGACCTCCTTGTGGCGCTGGATTTCGCTCGACGTCGTGAGCTTGGCCGCCATCGGGCTCACGCGACCGGCGCGGTTGGGCGCAATACCACCTAGAAAAGAAGCCTGTTCAATTCCACGCTCAGACTGCCATGGCCAAAGTACCCGTGACGATGAGACCGACGTCGCCCTTGGCGCGCTCGGCGAAGAACGTGGCGAGGCGCGTGAGCGACCGGCCTTCCTCAAGGCCCGTGTGCATGGAGCCCATGAGGACGCGGTTCTTGAGCGTCGTGAAGCCCAGGTCGAGCGGCTTGAAGACATGCGGGTACTTGGTCATCGTGCCTACAGGACGAGGTCGCATGAGCGCTCGCGACGGCCATCGCGGTCGCACCGTCGGTCGGTGGTTGCTGGACACGGCGAATCGAATTCTGTGATCGCCGCCCGTTCTTCAACCTCGCTCCGTTTACTAAACGCCCGCTGGATACGCTATGATCCGGATACGAGGCCGGTTCACTTGACATGGCGGTATCCGGATTCGATCCACCGCGACGACCACACACCGAGCGTCACAGAAACCCGCTGCCACCGGCGCTGTGCACAAGTTGTCGGTAGCTTTTTGGAAATACCATCCACATCCACATTCGTAGACACGCAGCAGCAACGCAGACAGAGGCTCCTCTCGGTCGTATCGAATAAAACGTGGTTTTGCCATGCTTTGAAATGACGTCCAACACTTGAACGCACTGGGTTGAACCCAACTTCCTCGACCTTCGTTGCCTGTTGGTGAGAGCTGGAGAGGAGGTCGAAAGGTCAAAGGCGCCAGCAATCGCAGGAGTGCGTCGGGCGTGTCAGTGGTCTTGTGATTAGCTTACGGAAGCGAAGGTGCTCTGTTGAGAAAGCATGTCGTGTCCGGTCCGTCGCGAGAGATACTACGGTATGCAGACTCGACGGAACCAGATGACGCTCGTAGTCATCGTCCAAGCTTGCGCTACGCGGTGCATGGTGCGAGGCAGGTGGATGCGAGGTCATGGTGGCCAGATCCTATATATCCCGGTATGTGACTATGGTTTGGTCTCACCGGAGCTTCGCACCGGGTATCACGAGCGGTGTTATTGAGCAAGGAAGGTCGACTGATTGCAGTGATGGCTTGTCGTCGTCGTTGCTTTGAGCGAGAAAGATCTCCATGGACACACAATAATTGCCCGTCGTCGACGACGAGGATCGCTTGCGGGCCAATCTGCTAAAAGAAGGCGTTTCATTGGCCAATGGCGTATCTTGTACTCAGCTCAAGTTGGCAACACTGCGGGCAACAGGATCGAGGCCAATGCAGTCGAAGAAGCATGTACCAAGCGCGGCCGGGTAGCTCGTCGCGTAGTACGCTCCTCGATGTTCGAGTCCTTGTCGAACGGACCGTCACATGCGTTGTTCTGTGCATGTCGCTGTGGACCACCCAGGGTACGATAAGGTAAGGTACGAACCGGCGACGCTGCAAGACGACGCCCCGGGACGACGTCAAGTCCAGCATCCTTCACGACAACAATCCACGCCATGGACTCTACAACATGGACACCGCGTCAACGGCGAGCCCGGCACCAAAGCGCATCGCTCAAGGACGCGCGCTTGAAGCCCAAACGCGACACTGCAGCGCAACCACTTGACGACCACACCGCGCAGTGCGACGTCTCTTGCTCTGTCGCGGTGCACTCGTCTCGGTGGCGACATGGCGTTCGCGATGTCGTGGAGCCTGTGAAGAGCTGTACCCGTACCCGATAGCTTTCCCCATGTGTTGCATGTGGTAATTCAGACAATGTCAATGAGTAATACTAGTAGTTTATTATTCACTAGTACGTGATTGCAAAAGTTAAAGAGCAGCGCTACTGCGGGCAGCGGCGCTGTAAATTGGTTGCCGAAACAAGGCGGATGCGCTTGACTACGAGCGGCGGTGCTTCTTGGATGACGCCTTCGACGGAGCCGGCGCGCTTCGTTGACGACACCTTGGACGTCTCAGCTGTGAGCAGCGGGCACCGACTGCGACCATGGATCTTGACGGTGAACGTGCGTCGCGCGCACTGCAAGCAAGCGCCGGTGGTCGCCGTCAACGGGACGAAAAGCGGAGGCAGCCGGCGCCAATGTCCGTGTGCAAGTGGTCGCACTCCTTGGGGTCGTGCTTCCCGACGAGGCCGAACTCGACGCAATACGGGCAAAAAACGCCGCGCGGCCACTTGAACGACGCCGGGATCTTGCGCTTGTCCAAGTCGAGCCGGACGCGGCCGCAGTTGGCAATGGAGTGAGAATCGCATCGGCAGTACGCACAAGGTACCTGCGCGATGCGTTCGATCTCCTTGGCCTCGGCGGCCAACCACTCCGGCATTGCAAAGCCAGAGCGCACCCGGCAGCGGGCCACGGCGTGCTTCAGTCGGTGGCAGTCCCGCGTGAGTTGGTCGTGTGGACAGTAGTGGCACAGAGGGGTCCACCAGTGTCAACTGAGACCGTCGTCGTTGGCACTCGAGACGCCTGTCGAGACGTCTCCAAGTCGATCGACGCTGCGGATGCCCGTGCTGCAGTTGACGAGGGCGAGTTACCGAGGCGGCTCGGGGCGGGGCCCAAGCTTGTCGATCAAGCGCATGGACACCGCGTCGGCTGGTCCAGGAAGGTCGGTGCTCGGAAGGCGTGGGGTGCGAGGTCGGAAGGTGGGCTGGGCTGGGGGCAAATCGACGAATGACGGACTTCAAGCCGCCTCTGTTCTGCCGCAGAACAGAGGCTTCGAAATTTGGGCTCACGCAGAAGTTCTGCGTGAGCCCAAATTTCGAAGCCGCTACAAACCCCAAGACAATCGAGCCTTCGATTTTTACACTGTGCAGACGACTTGATGTTTGTATGTGCACACACTATATCAAAAATAGATGTCGATGTCCAAAATGTCGAAGCGGCGTCGATGAAATAGTGTGTTGGACAAGGAGTGATCCACGCATCAAGGCTGGCCCGACGGCTCGATACTGCGCCATTGCCTGCAGCTGAATGCTTTCGCTTTCCATGGCCAGCTCTCTACTGATAACGCTAGTATGCACGACGATGGTACTGCGATGGGTGTTGTCGCGGACGTCTTGGGTTCAAGCTGTTGACGAACACGTCGAAGCGGCGCCCGGCGTCCTTGCCGCGTACTACCACAAAGCAGTACCCTGTATCTTAGCGCGGTATGGTTGCAGCCTGCATACGACTCGTTGTTGCCACTCGCCCCCTGTGATTCTGAGGTGTACCTTCGCCCAGCTTTTTCGCCCAGCAAACCGCTGGAATCGAGGCTCACCGTACTGTGCCAATTTTATTGCATAAACGATGACTTTCGTGTACTCGTGTGTCATCTCGTGCTGTGCGGTGCTATTCTCAGGAGCTTTTACTCGGCCTCGGTGCCTCCAGTCTCTGAAGAGCTGCACAATATCGTACTAGTACTTCATAATTGCACGTTAATTGACACTGTAAGATATGCTTACAAGTGCTAAAGTGGCTACGCTACTGTGCGCGCCGGTGTTGCTGGATGGGTTGGTGGGCGCGCTAGAACGAGTACATGTAAATGCACAGCCCACGAAATATGCAATTCATACCGGCTGGAAAGTCGAGCACAAGGTTCTTGGGCTTGTAGTCGAGAAAGTCCACACAAACCTTGTGGTCGTGCAAGTGCTCGATCAGGAGCGGGCATCGCACGGGCTCGTGCTTGCCAATGATGCCGAAGACGACGCAGTACGGGCAAAAGAAGCCATGGGGCCACTTGAACGAGGGATGCGCATTGCGTTGGAGCACGTCGATGCGGATGCGGTCGCAGTCGGCGACGCAGTGAGAGTCGCCATGGCAGTACACACAAGGTACCTTTGCCACGCGCTCGACCTCCTTCGCGAGCGTGTACGCCCATCGGGGCATTGAAAAGTCGGCGCGCACTTGCCCAAGGGCCACATCGTGCTTGAGCCCCGCGCAGTTGCGTGTGAGGTGGACCCCGTTGCAATAGTGGCAAACGGGTGTCCACCGTCGTGAGGCCGTCGTCGAGAGGTCTTCCAAAGCCGTCTCCATCGCCGCTGCGAGTGCTTGTCTTGGCGGCGCGACCGAGCGGCTGCAGATGCCTGTCCTGCAGCGGACGAGATCGAGTTACCGTACGAGCTTCTTACTTGGGGACATGGATGGTCGCTTTGACGCCGTTGCAGCGGTCACACCGAATCCCACGCAAGCGCAGACTGCACCGCTGACTTTGCTGTCTTGTTTGTTGCCGGGCGTTGTTTTTCGTTTTGTGTGAAGAACGCTGCGTGGTGTTGCATTTGTTGAAGACGTGACATGCCACACATTTTTCACGTACTAGTATTGAGAATCCCACACAAACCACGCGAAACGAGGAGGTTCTACAACTCAGGTGCGTCGCTTGGCTTGTTAGCTGCTAGTGGACTGCGCAAGCAACGAGTACGCTCTGTGGTCGACTCGTTTGTCGGAGCCGCCAACATGACGAGCAGACATGCACCACCGAGTGTACTCGCTTTCAGTATTCCGTGTCGTGCCTTTTATTGTATTTTCGTTCGCAGACGTGCAAAGCACAATTGTGTGTGTGGTCGAAGTCAGCTGCGTCATTGCGAGTAGCTACAAACCCTCTGATCCATGCCCAGGTCTCTTCCGATGCGTCAAGTTCATGCGACGATGTCCGCAACCGTGGTGCATGTCTGGGCGTCATGTTGGCGGTTCCGACAAACAAGTTGGCCATAGAGCGTACTCGTTGCGCAGTCCACTTGCAGCTAACAAGCCAAGCGACGCGTCTAAGTTGCCGTACCTCCTCGTTTCGCGTGGTTTTCACTGTGTTAGATTCCCACCACGTGAAAAATGTGTGGCGTGCCACGTCTTCAACAAATGCAACACCACGCAGCGTTCTTCACCAAATGCCACGTGAGAAATCATTTAAAAGCGACATAAGAACGTGTACTCGCTCTTTGTAGCCACGGTCGCACGATCTGGATTCTATTTTTGCATCCGATCGACGCGGTGCCACGTGGGTTTAACGCACTTTGAACGCGCCGTTGCTCGACCTTGAACGTTCGAACGCTGCAGAGAATCGCTCTGTGCTGCAGTGTGGCTCGTGGCACCCATGGTTCAGACGTGGGCGTGGGACGAGATGCTCGACGCGCTTGCGCGCTTCCGAGAGCTCCACGGCAACTGTGCCGTGCCACGCGTATTCAAGGTGCCGACGACGGACGCATGGCCATCGGCGCTGCACGGCAAGCGTCTGGGGTCGTTCGTCTTTGCGTTGCACGGACGCGTCGCCATCGCCCGCCCAAGCTATGGGACTCGTTGCACAACCTCGGCTTCAAGGTCAACTGGTTCTCGGCCACCGACCTCTTTGGCCTCGTGGACCAGAAACGCCAGCGCCTCTCGGTGGCTGCCGTGATCGACGCCCTCGCTACGTACGCCAAGACATACGACTATGGCCACGTCCATGCCGAGTTTGAAGTCCCGAAGAACGCGTCGTGGCCCGACGAAGCGCATGGCCTCGCGCTTGCCGATGCGCTCGCGCAGCTCCACGTCTATGAGCTACCCGTGGACATTGAAGCGTCGCTCCGGGTCCACGGCCATTTTGCAACCTCGCCGCCATGGAAGCAGCTCGTCAACCTCCTTGAAGCGTACCAAGGTCTCCACGGCGACTTTTCCACGGTGCATGTCGACTTCATCGTCCCCGCAACGACCGACTGGCCGCGCACGTGGCACGGTCTCGAGCTCGGCCTCGTGACGTGGCGCCTCGGTCTGCGCCTCTTGCTCCTTCCGGCCGAGTACCAGGCGACGCTCGCCGAGCTGGGCTACGTCTTTCCAGCCCACGACATGTGGGTCCATGTGTTTGACGCGTGGACGACGTATCAAGTCCTCGTGCGCTCTGGCACGCTCGACCAGCCGCTGCTGCCCCACCGGGGGTTCGCGGTGCCAACGGAAGACGACTCGTGGCCGCGGACGATGGCTGGTATGCGCCTTGGCTACTGGGTGCGCGAGCTCGCTTCCGCGCAGGCGCTGTACCTCTTGGCCCCGGCTACCGTCGACCAGTTGCAGCGTATGACCGCCCCGTCGCCAGCAGCGATGGCGATGGCCGTCGACGAGCAGTGTGACGTCTCGGACGATCACGGTATGTCAGCCTCGGGCGTCGTTTCCGAATCCGAGCTGCCCGAGGCAGAGCTGTCCGAGTCCGAGCTCTCCGACGCAGAGCTACCTGAGGCAGAGCTGTACGATTCGGAGGAGGAGACGTCGGACGCGGGGACGCTCGTGCTTGGTGACGACGACTATGCGGAGACGCGCGTGCTTAGCAACGGCTACGTCTTGTCGTCGAGCGACGGTGGCACGACCGACGACGACGACGACGACTTCTCAATGCCGCCCGCAACCAGCAGGTTTGATACCGACCCCCTCCATGCACTAACGACACGCAACCCTAGTGCTATGGAGGCGCCGGTTGTGCCAACTGAGCTTGCTGCAGTGGAACCAGCTGTGGTCAACGAGCATGCCGTGGCTTCGTCCAGTAGCGACGACCTCGAATGCAAGCCGGACCCGCTCCCGCTCCGGCCACGGCCACAGCGCTCGTTGCAAACACGGACTGTCGTCCGCAGTGTGACTACTCGCGTGAAAGAAGAGCGTGCTTCAAGTCCTCGCCGCCTGCGGCCTCGATGGCTCGCCAATCGCCATGGCCGCTGATTCCCGCTTGCTTGTTTCCCGCGCGTCCACGACGTAGTGTTGCATGTTGCATGTTGAATCACCTAAATGTGTTTGTCTCAATGCACCTGCAGAGTACGCTGCACGAATGAATCTAAACGCATCTTGGTTCGATCGCGAGGAGGACGATGCTCGATGCTGGTGGCGCCACGAGGGTCGGTCACCGTCAGATCCGGATATAAATGTTTAAAACTGTTTTTATCCGGTTGTTTGTTACTACGACACGTACTCGGTCCAACTGGCAGGAAGCAGCATGGCGCTGGGCGACCCGGCCGACATCTCGATCACGCCGTCGACGTGGAACTACGTGGGCGCCGTGGCCATCGTCGTCGCTGCATGGTTCTTCCGCGTCGAGATGATCCGCGTGACGCTGCGGCTCCTCATGCGCGGCCTCGCGGCGCAGCAGCGGACCCGGAGCATCGCCGGCGGCCTCCGCGAGTTTGAAAAGCTCGTCTTGCACCCGCTCTCGTACGTGGTCTTCATGGTCTTTGTGTGGATCGCGCTCTCGATCACAAGCGCGCTCCAGCTCCCGACCATCAACACGATCGTGCAGATTGGCATTGGCATCCCGATGCTCTGGACCGCGCGGCAGCTCTGCAAGTTTCTCCACGTCGTACGCAGCGCCAATCTTCTACAGCATCCTCCTCATGATCATTGATCGACGTCGACGGTAGATGGTCTTGCGGCGCCAGGGCTGGGACGGCCACGACGACGACGCGGGCAAGGTCATGATCGTCACCGAAGGCATTGGCGTACGCACGCGTCTCTCTCTCTGCGACGTGTCGACGACCTCTTGTCGTAGGTGCTGCAATACGTGCTCTGCGCCGTCGTCTTCTACTACTTCTTCCTCAGCCAGCTCCAATTCGACACGGTCGAGATCTTTACAACGCTCATTTTGGTGCTGGAACTGCTCTTCCTCCTCAGCTCCCACACGTGGGTACGACATCCTCCACCTCCTCCTCCATCGCTCCATGCATCCAGTCTCCTCTCATACCCTTCTTGATATAGTTTCGGAATGTCATGGGCGGTCTCATCCTCCTCATTGACGAACCCATCAAGAGCGGCAGCCACATCAAAGTGCTCGAGATCGAAGGCGTCGTCGAGCACATGTACCTGCAGTTCTTTACCGTCCGGCAGTACGACCAAGGCCTTGCGATCGTGCCCAATGGCATCCTCCTCACCCACGAGGTCCACGTGCGCTCGAAGTCGCTCGACGCGCGCATCGTTCTCGACGTCCACCTCGCCCACGAGACACCCCCGGCGCAGGTCCGCGCCTTTGTCCGCAACGCCGACCGCTTCCTCAGTCAGCACGCGCTCGCGTCGACGTCGTCCGCGGCGAAGGCGCACGAACAACACATCACGGCGGCCAAGCTCTCGCTCACGCACGTGCTGCAGCGCGCGGTCAAGGAAAAGACGCCCAGCAGTGCCACGCGTCCGAGCCAACCGGTGCGGTTTTGGGTCACGCTGGACGGTCTCTACCGCATCCAACTCGTCTACTACGTTCACGAGAACAAATTCAAGCACCTCCTTGTCGAGAAACGCGAGGTACATCATCGTGTCGCATCTCCCTTCGGAAAAATGTTTTACCATGAGGATGCGCTAGTTGATGCTCGGGCTCACGAGCTTGCTCGCGACGATGGGCCTGTCGCTCTACGAGCCGCCGCCACCGTCCTTGCCCAAGGCGCCGCCGTCCACGCCACCACGGCTGGCCCCCATCGCCGAGGCGTTCACAGATGACGACGACGACGGCAATAGCGTCGGTCGGCACGCGTGCGACGACGACATGGATGACGCGCAGCACGTGTCGGTGCCCTACCGACGTCGGCGCGGCCAATACGACACAATGTAGTAACCTAAAAGAAGACAATATTCTCCACGTTTACGAGGAAGCGGTCGTGCGAGCGTCCACCAATCACATCGCCTAGTTCTTTGCCCGGTAAAAGGTGAGGTACGCCATGTGCCAGTCGCCGCCGCCCTTGAGCTTCTGAATGTCCTCCGTCTTGCACGGGCTCACATTGTCGTCGTCAAAGCAGAGCCAGTCGTCGTCCTTGACGCGCGCCCAGCCAATGTAGTGCCCCGAGTCGGCCGACCGGCCCTTGTGCGTCACGACTGCAAACAGCTCATAGTTGCCCTAGCCCTTTCATGAGTTTTTTCCTATATGTTTCAAAGAGACTGAACCTGGAAGTCGAGGGGCAGGCCGATGCCGGCCGACGCGCGGCCGTTGGCCATCGACATGGTCTTGGCCACCTCGAGCGCTTCCTTCTCCTCCGCCGAGAGGCCTTCCATGTCCACGTCGGGCTTCTCTTCAGCGTCGCCCGCGGTTGTCGCTTCCGGCTTCTTGTCTTTGAATTCGTTCAAAATCAAGTCGGCGTTCCTATCGCAGCCGCATGAGTCCATGACGTATCGCTCGAGGAGGCAGCGTACTTGTCACGGCCCACCTTGAGGACGGCCTTAAGTTCGTCCGAGCAAAACGGAACATGTCGAGCACTTGGGGAAAGCTAATCGGCTACACACGCGGTTAGAACGCCGGCAACCGTCGTCGTTGAGACGTACGCGCAGCATCTTGCACTTGACGCCCGTGTGGTCGCGGCTCTCGGGCGTGAGCTTCCAGTAGAAGCGCATGAACTGCACGCAAATGTACTTGGGGAGGCGGTTGATCTTCATCGTCTTCTTCCACGTCGCGTTGCGGCCGAGAATGTCCGAGTTCTTCTCAATCGTGCCCTCAAGGCCCTATGTCGCGTGATGAGCGCATGGTTCAAGGAGGAGGACGGGCATACGATCGTAATGCCCTCCGAGATGTGGTTGGTGTCCTTCGTGATGTTGCACACGAGCTTGAGCGCCTTCTCCTTCTTCATCATGACGGGCTCAGCGTCTGTCTCGCCGCACTCGAGGCTACGCAGGCGCTTCATGAGCCGATGCAAGCAATCAAAGCGAGCTGCAACACGCACCGTTCTTCCATTTCGAGGCCAAAGAGCGCGTCGACCATGTTGTCGGTCGACTCCAAGCTCTTGATGGTCGTCGTCGGCGCCTTGAGCTGGCGACCCAGCGTGCTGAAGAGCGCCGACACAAACTCGTCGCTATCCTGCTGCATGTAGCCGCCGCGCGGGCCTTGCTGCGCAAACTGAGGGAACGCGCGGCGAAGCGTCTACTTGTGCATGAGCCTCATATGCCAAAGAAAAGAAACGTACGTCGACAAACATCATGGCGGAATGCTGTCCAGGTTCGAGTCGAGCTGCGCGTACGTGTCGCGGAGGCTCGAGGTAAAGTTGTGCGCAAGGTCGGCCGAGAGACCGCCCTTGTACTCCTTGAGCGCCTCGCGAAAGTCGGGCGCGTACCGCAAGCACTGCAGCGTCGCGTTCATGTAACACGTGTTGCCGAGGTTGACGAGGCCGGCCGGCATGGCCACGCCCGCGCTCGCGAGCTCGGAGCTCGAGAGGTCTTCGGCAAACACAATCTTCTCGGTCGGCGCCTTGATCTCTTCGGCCGAGCCCATGAGCATGATCTGCGTAAGCTTGGACGCATCCAGCGATGTGAGCGGGACGTCGTCCTTGAGCATGCCCTTCCACGCCTTGGACATAAGCTTCTGGCGCTCGATGGGCACGAAGGTCAGCGAGTAGATCTGCGCGCGGAGGCCCGCGACCGTGCCATGCTCGAGGTCCACGTCGAGGTCGAAGGACTGCTTGCCCCACTTGAGCGTCACGGCCACCATGCTACTGCTCCTCTTGCTGGCCGATGGAAAATGGTTCTGGATTTCGGCAGCGACAGGGAAATTGCTTGCTTTTAGCCAATCAGCGACAAGTGCATACGCGCCGCCTCCCCACGTTTGCTCCGCGGCAAACCTGCGAGAACTGATAATATCAACGCCGCCCAGGCGTTGCCACGTCACCGACGCCCAGTGATCATCCAGTCTGCAGTAGGTCGTTGGCCAAGGGCATGGATGTCCGAGCAGACGCCAGGGAGACTTGGCAGCTGGGATGACTCTTCCATGCATGTCCGTATTTTTGGAGATGCACATCGACCAGCATGCGATGCACCAAGGGCTTGTCCCGAGTTCTTTTGCGGAGCGTGTTCAAGCACGCTGAGACTCAAGAAGGGCCCTCATGAGCGCACCTATTGTCGGAGCACGAGCCAGTGTCTCCTTGCATGGCGCATCGTATCGTTGATGGAAGCGATCCTTTATTATGCCCTTGAAGATAGCCATCGACGACTCATTTGTGTTGCAATCCACTCATTTATGTCGCGAACGAGTTGAAACACCAAATATCCAACACGAAATGTACTCGTATATTGCGACGTTCCGAGCTGGGAGTTTTCACGAAACGAACATTGCAATTCGGCGCATTATTGAGGAAACGCGATGCATCGGCTCGGCATCCGCAACGCCGAAGTCGCCGTCATCAACGACGAGATGATCCAGGCGAGCATCACCAAGGACGGCGTCGACACGCTCAACGAAAGCGCCGTCACGGACGTCGAGGGAAGCAGTCCGGACGTTGACTTTGCCAAGCTTCAAGTGCTCTCGCTCTCGTTTCGCAACATTTTTAAAATCGACAACCTCCTCACGCTGCGCAGCCTCACAAAGCTACAGCTCGACAACAACGTGATTCAAGAGATTGAGGGCATCGGGCACCTCACGAACCTCACGTGGCTCGACCTCTCGTTCAACAACATTGCTGAAATCAAGGGCCTCGAAACCCTCACCAAGCTCCACGACCTGACCTTGTACAACAACAACATTGCAAAGCTCGAGAACCTCGACGCCCTCAAGCAGCTCCAGGTATGGTGCGCGACTCCATGTCATTGTTGTCTTGAGTTTGTTTCTTTATCACCAAGGTGCTCTCGGTGGGCAACAATGCGCTCGGGAGCACGGAAGGGCTGCTGTACCTCAAGTGCCTCGAGAAGCTCCGCGTGCTCAACCTCGAAGGCAACCCTGTGTGCTCCGACCCCGAGTACCGCGCGTACGTGGCCTCCACGCAGTCTCGACTGTTGGTAAAATCTCATTGTAGGTTCGTTCTCGCGCATCTCGATAAGCTCAAATACCTCGATTACTCGCTCGTGGACATATCCGAAGTCGTGCAAGCGCGTGAGCAGTACCAGGTGCGACGCGCTCCCAGTTAGTTGGACGTATTTGGATGCAACATCGGACGACTAGGACGAGCTGGAAGAAATGAAGGAGGTGAAAGCGATCGAAGATGCGGCGCTGGCACGCGAGGCAGACCATGCCAAGTACACGCAAGTGCTCCAAGAAGCCAACATCATCATTCTCGAGGTACCCGCTGCATCCGTAAACATGCTGCTGCATGACAGGACGCACGCTAGACGCTGCTCCACGATATGTTTGAAGAAGACACGGAGATTAGCAAGATTGAAGTGCTGCCAGGTATAGAGTCCCTGCACTGCGGTCTACCAACGTCGTGTTGATATTGTCTTGCATTAGGCTTGCGTAATTTGATCGATGACTATACGGAGAAGGTCAAAGCCGCCACCGAAGACATCAAGGTCGTGCTTCTCGAGAAGCACGCGACGATCCAAGCCGCATGCACGGCCTTCAAGTCCCAGTACAAGAAACAGAGCGACATGACGCAGCACAACAGCATCCACGCGTGCGAGCGCTACAAGAAGGCGGTCAAGCACCTCTTCAAACAAGCTGTCGCGACCGCCGACTCGGACGTGACACCCGTGCTTGGCCAAGCCCAAGGTTGGTATCCACTTGAAAGATGGACACAATCAAATGCCTCGTAGCGGCGTGCGAGGGCCTCAACACGGAGCTCTTGGAGCACGAGTCGGTTTTGATCGAGTTTGCACAAGAGGCAGTCGCGTCGCTGGAAAGTCAGATTGAGACGATCGGTATCGAAGCGAGGGCCGTCGCGACCGACCATTTCCGAACGATCGAGACACTCGAAAACAACTTCTTCGATGCTGTGACACAGGCAAGCTGTCGCCGCTTACGGGCACGTGCGACGCGTCATCTGTAGCTGGCGGCGAATCTGCTCGAGCGCATGGCGACCGAAGATGGCGAAGAAGACGACTTTCTCAGCGACGAGTGCCGCGCGATCCTCAACGATCGGTGGGATTTTTCAAGTTTCAGGCACTTTCAGCAAACTTTTGGTAGCGATGCGCTCAACAATGCCATCAACGGATCCCACGACATTCACATTGGCAAGCTCCTCGCCCAAGAAGACTCGATGCGCGAACAGAATGTCGCCAAGATCCACGAGGTACGCAGCTGATAGACAATATGCTTGCATGTCTGCCCGTAAACTGACGTCTCATTCACTGGGTAATGTTACTAGCTGATCAAGACGGCCAAGGACGAGGAATGGGCCCGCAACCGCAAGCGCGTTGCCGAGATCATCAACATGAAGGTTCGTTTTGCTTTATGCCACGCGGTATCTTCATCGTTGGTGTAGCAAAAACACTTGTCCGAAATCGCTGCCTTGCGAGAAGAGCTCTCGCGCACCGAGGACGAGTTTTACTAGCCGGCCTGTCGTACATTGTACATACAAAATGGAAGAGGCCCACGGCATGGGTGTTGCGAATACGACTATGTAATAGCGCAATGGAAGACAGTTGTACATAATGATGTTCCCAGGTCCAATCAGGCGTGTCTCGTTGGTCGCACAACCAAGGCGCGCCTAGGGATCTCCATCGACGCAGCAAATTCGAGACCGATGTGGCGATCTTCTGCAGGTATCCGGATAACTATCCCGCGTGCCCCTTTCTGTCGCTACAAACATCAAGTTAAAGTACATTGGATCGCCATCCGGATAAGAGCAAAGATACCCCACGTGGCGTTCTCCTACGATGGCTTCTTTTGATGAAAACCAGCCGTGGTGCGGACCGTCGTGATCCCTTGTGTTGGTTTATTTTGGCTGATGCATTTCAAACCGAAGTTTGATTTATCATTCTGCCGGGTAGGCGACGAACTAAAAACACATAACTTTACATGACGTTGCACCCTTCCCAGTGATGCCAACCGCCCAAGTCCACGTGACGCTGTCGCTGGTATACAAGACGTAAGAAGCAACAGCAATCAAACACAACACAATTCCATCTGCACTCATAATAAAGACCTACGGCTCGCAATGACGACACTTAGCAAAACACGGACGGGCCCTTGGCCCAGAGAATTGGCGAGCGAAGCCGGCGGCACATGACGAGAAGGCAAATGAGCTCGCTTTGCTGGTCGCGCAAGAGAGCCGCTCTCGCGTTGGTTGACGATGGCGAGGGCTCGGTCAGCCCAGTCGCGATCGCGCCGAGACGCCGGAACGCACCGTACGTCAGGTCGGGAAAGTCGGGCAACTGCAGCTGGTTCCAGACAGCAATGCGCGCTGGGAGCGACGGTTCGCAGCGGTAGAGCGCCACAAGAGCGTCGTCGCGCTGGACGTAGAGTGGCGCCAGCGTGTGCTGCAAATCGTGGACACGAGCAAGTCCAGCCTTCCGCGTCGCCGCATCGCGGGCGCCAACGTTGTCGGCGGCTTCATTGAGCTCATCTTCCATCTCGCAAACGTCGACATTGATCGCATTGAACGTCTCGAGCTCCAGAGCGCTCCACGTCACGACACCGAGTGCGCCCAAACCAGACGTGGGCACGTCGCTGGCGTTCGACTTGCCGGCGGTTGGTGACGGCGAAGGAGACGCCTCGCCGATCGTGACGGCCTCGCAGTCGATGACGACGGCGGTGTCAGCGCTATGACCATCGTCCAACACGGCATTGCCGTCGTCATCGAGACCCGTCATGGGATCGTCAGAGCCATCGAGGTCGTCGTCGTCGTCGTCGAGAAGAAGAATCGGGTCGTCGATGCTTGCACCAGCCGTGCTACTGTCCTGGCTGTGGTTGTGCATGGGGCTTGGCGCCAGCAGGACAATCTCGGGCTTGGCACTAGCTGTCGTGTTGGCTCTAGGCAGTTGCGCGATGGATGAGAGCTTGAAGGCGATGATTTAGAGGGCGTACTCGAGCGTGGCATTGTGGGCAGTCGTGATTTCGCGCACAGCACAGATGCGGTCGTAAAACTCCTTGAGCGGTTCGTTGTGGAGCGCGTGCAAGACGGCCTTGAACCCACAGCGCGTGAGAGCGTAGCTGCCATCGGCGACGCGGCTGACCTCGCTCGTTCGATCGACGTTGGCAGCATCGAGAAGGCGCTCGATCTCCATGGGCGCGCTGTCTGCTGGCATGAGGAGCGCGAGAGCCGAGTTGGCGTCGACAACAAACCCGTCACTTGAGAGCTTCGAGATGCGGATGAGCTCGGCCTGGGCAGGCAGCGGCACGTCGGTGGTCCATGCATCGCTCAACGACATGGCCTTCTCGAACGACAGCGGTGTCGCCAGGCTGCTGATACGCGCTTGTGCTTGGGCGAGGTCGTGAGCGGGCTGCTTGGTCATAAAGGCCGCAAATTTGGAAATGGTCGCTCAACGGGCGAATGTGACCTTGAAGGCAGCGCGGACTGCAACATGACGTTAGGGCAACAACGACGCGGGGCTGGGACGTCATCGTGATGGGCGCACGGTTGTTCGTGTCGGCAGCGATAACGGACAGCTGGGGTCACCGAGCGAGGCCGGCGCAGCTTGTGTCGTCGTCCTTGGTGCAACGTCTGTCGCCAGCGAGAAGGATGCCACAGTTGCGAGTGTTGCAGTCGCTGGTGGCCCCTTTTCAGCCAATCCAAATCGTTTTTGTAGAACTTTCTAGCCAATCCGATGCCATTTTTGTGCCCGTCTTGGCAAGCCAGCAGGCGCTGTTGTGTCTCCCAGGGTGTCTCCTCGTGTGTGGAGGCGCGATATGAGTACAAGCGCTTGGGCCTTTCCACAAGAGACGAAGCCTGGCTTGAATTGGAGCGTCCGTCGCGTCAACCATGGAATGGAGTTGCATCGATCTACTAACACTATTTCCGTGATGACGTGGCGCCCTCCTGTGATCGGAATCTTGTTCCGTCTATGGGACCGCCTAGTGTGTATTGTAGCGCGTCTCGCACGGTTCACACTTCCTGCAAGACATGTTGTTCACAATGTTCGACCATTTAACGTGGTCGTCTATATCTCTGCAGACTGCAAATGCTGCAAATCAAAGTGGGACGATCGCACGACGATGCTGCGTCCGTCAAAGAACGCGTCGGCGTCCCGGTAGTCTTGATAGAATTCGCCATCCTCTATCGCCTCTTCATCATCCACGTCGCCCTTGCTGGCGGCCGTTGTCAAGACTGACGTGAGCAAAACGGGCTCCCGCTTGCTTGGCGGCCAAGCGTACAAACATGGACTGTCACTTAGCGCGGCCGTCGCCAGGTACCGCAACACGAGCACGCGGCGCACCGCCAGCGCAGAGTTGGGCGCGGATGCATGCGGCAGCAACGGGTGGTGGACCGCTGCCTACGATTCTCTCGTTGCATTTTCACTACGACGTCATAATCTACCTCGCCGGCGCGCAGGTTGTAGGCCACTGGCGATTGCGTCGCCACAAACGACGGCGTCAGGACGCGGTCAAACTGAAAGTGGTCGGACGCATCGCTCTACGCACACGCTGCATTTGCTGCTACCAGGATGAGATCTGCGCACGCACAGGAAGGAGGCCGTGTTTGTGCAAGCCCGGCAGCACTTGCAGGGTGCCACTGCTGAGATCGCGCACGTCATCCAGTGCAATCCTAGTACGCAGCCATCAACGAAAGGGCTCATTCATGGCGTCCCAGGAGGTGCGCGTACCAGACCGTCGCCATCGGTGCATCGTCGTTGCGACCGTCTTGGTGCCACGGCGTCGGCGGACTCCTAAATGACGACACGTCATGCAATGCATCGCACGGACCAAAGACGTAGTACCCGCGCGGCTTGCAAAAGAGGTGCGTCTGAATGAGCGTGATCTCGGGGCCGCAAATGTGCTACGCAACCAAAGGGTGAGAGTAGCCTATGGACGCTTGGACTACCTGCACCGCATCGAGCAGCGCTGGTTCGGACGCCTAGCCATTGCCGTCGTGAGCACCGGCGCACGTGTTGCCGTTGCCGACAAGGTCAAACAGCCAGCGTTCGCCGAGGAGATGCACGTTCATGATCCACTCGCGCGATACGTCCTCGCTACATAGACCAAAGTGTCATCCACGACCAGCATGGAGCGACGAGAAGGCGTACGCGGTCGCGGCGAGGATGCGGTCGACGTGGCCACACATGGTGGCACACGCCTCGGGCGTGAGGAAGGGCCGCCAGAGCGCGTCTACATGGATGGGATGCGGATGGGATGCGACGTTGCTTGATCACGTGCGTACAGCCAGCGTCCACGTACTGCCGCGCGTGGTCCTCGGTGCTATACCGGAATCGCGGGTCGAGAACGCTCATGACGTCAGCAGGAGCTGGCCGTGGGTGCTGTCAGTTGCGTGCAATTAGACGCAGCAAGACCAGCCGACCAAGCATGATCGCAAAATTTGCCCGCGCGTACTAGTACACTAGTACGCTGTCGACTCTGCGACTGTCGTACGGGCGCTGGCCCCCATGCGATTGCACTTCACGATGGCTGGTTGCTGGTTCGAGCGCACGTTTTGGCGCATGTTGGTTGTCGCCATGGTACACTCGGTCAAGCAGAGATGTATGATTTCTTCGTGCTTCTCGTTGGTGCATTCTTGAAAGGATATTCGCACAAGACGTCTTGTACGTAGGATCAATGGATCGCCGCGTGGGCTTGCGGCGAGTACCGGTAGCGTCAACAAGCTCGATGATGCCGCACGGGACAGGGCGCCACGTCAACCCGCCAACGTGGCGCGCGTCGGTTCAGGTTGCGTGCGACTAGCCATCGCCCCCAGTCCGGATACGCCTGTCATTTCCGATTTTGATGGACGCTCTCCTCTCGACCGAGACGGTGCTCGCGGTCGCCATCGCCGTCGTGGTCATCGCGATCGTCCAGCGCGTCTTCGCACCCGCGCCGCCGGCGCCGACGCCTCCGCTGACGCCGGCGCCCGAGAAGCCGGCAATCGTTGCGCGCTACTTTACGCTGGATGAGCTGCGTCCGTTCAACGGCGAGAACGGCAAGCCCATCTACGTTGCGATCAAGGGCGACGTGTACGACGTGAGCACCAAGGCGGACTTTTATGGCCCGGGCGCCGGCTACCACCTCTTTGCGGGCCGCGAGACGGCGCGCGCGCTGGCCAAGATGTCGTTTGAGGCCGCGGACCTCGACAACACGGATATCTCGGAGCTCAACTTTATGGAGAAGGAGGTGCTGAACGACTGGATCGTCAAGTTCCGCGACTTCAACTCGTACCCGATCGTCGGCCGCGTGCTAATGCAGAAAGACATGACGCGCGACGAGCTCGCAACGTACACGACGATGCCCATCTACGTGGCCGTCAAGGGCACGATCTACGACGTGACGATCGGCGGCGCCGACCATTATGGCCCCAACGGCGGCTACAAGCTCTTTGCGGGCAAGGACGCGTCGCGCGCACTCGCGCTTATGTCGTTTGATGCGATCAACCTCGAGAACCCGCATCTTGACGACCTCAACGAGACGCAGACCAAGACGCTCAACGACTGGGAAGCCAAGTTTGCGGCCAAGTACGGCGTCGTGGGCAAGCTCCTGCCGTAGACGCGCCCGCCTACATCACGTACTAGTCGTCCTTGAGGTATACCCTGTCGTAAAATGTGTGCATCGGCCTTGCTTGTCTTCCAACGGGTGGTTCATGTTGCGGCCACAAGCATAGAGCCATGTAGCTACAACCAGGCTGCAAGCACGACGCTTCTCTTCGGTTCGTTGTCGTCAGAGGCCACGGATGCGAGTGTGAACGGTGTTATATATATATAGACGAAAGCAACGAGAGACCCTCTGCGCCGACGCTCTTCTTAGAGGATCCCGAGGCAGCAGTACTGGTACTTGTCGTACCACCGCGTGCGCCAGCTGTTGAGTGATTGGTCCACGAGGTCGTTGGCAAACTCCTAATTTCGCATTGCGTCATCCGCATAAATCAACGTATCGACCAAAATATCAAGTCCTACCTGGCACGCAATCTTGCCAAGCCCTGGGTTGAGGCGGTCCCGGAGACCGTCGATCGTCGCCTTCTTGCCGCCCGAGAAGCACGGGAGGCGCAACTCGGCTTGGTCGTTGACGAGCATCATCTCGACGAGCAGCACGAGCTTGTCCGTCGACGCGTGCAGCGCCCAGTAAGCCTTGACGCAGAGCGACCGAAAGTAACGAAACGTGCTGCTGCGTGGACCGCCCTACGTATATAACAATCCATCCCATGAGCGGCAGTACGATGCGAGGCAGTGTACCATGAGCTCGACAAACTCGTCCGTGAGCTTGAACGGCGCCCGTTCAAAGTTAAAATTGTTGCCAGGGCTGTTGGTAAACAAAAAGCCAAAGTCAATGTGGATCACGTGCCCGTCGGCGTCGACGAGGATGTTGCCGTTGTGCCGGTCCTTGATCTGGAAGATGTAGCACACGATCGAGTAGGCCGCGAGGCTCTCGACAAAGTTGCGCCGCGCGCGCTTGAAGCGACTCGAGTCGGGCGGGCCAAAGTAGCGCACATAAAAGTCCCTAGAACAGCAGGACACCGTGACCCGTCAACCCTAGCCCCATGTCGCTTCGAGCGTTTGCGTCGTACAAGAGGGTCGTATAGTCCGGGTCGTTCTTCTTGAGCGAGTCGAGCGAGACAGTGTCGGGCACGGCTTCGATAAAGCCGCTGGTCGCCGACGTCGCGATCACATCGTACGGTCTATTGCGCACATGTCAATGGCCCATAATGTCAAAAAAATGACAAAAAAGATGAAAAAATGAAAAAAATGAGAAATGAAAAACGTACCGCAGTGTGAGGGGACTGTTGGCGTCGACAAACACCTTGTGGCACTGCTGGATGAGCTGCGCGGCAAACTGCTCTTGGCGCAGATCGTCGTTGCTCTTGACAATGACCGGGATGAGCCGCCAGCCCGGGAGGTGCCCGTACGGCGACGACGCCCGCAGACGGTCTTCCTTCTCGCTCCAGCGCTCGCGAAACACAATCACGGGCTTGGACTGGTTGGCGTTCCAGCCGCCGTCGCCGTTCACGCGCTCATCGCGCTCAATCTTGTCGGCAAAGTCGCCGTCTTCCCAGTCCGAGTCGCTGCTCGGCGACCCGAGGGGCGCCACGTCGATTGTTGGTGGCGCCGCCGGCGTCTTCTCTTCGTCCTCGTCGTGCTCTTCGACGACGTCGACCGCCGGCTTCTTGCCGCCCTTGGTACTACTACTATATCAGAAGACGTACACATGAGCAATCCAGTTCCATCAACCAGCGCCTTACCGTGCAAGCTTTTTGGAGCTTTTTTTGCCGCTGCGGCGGTGCGCCCACTGCCCCATTGTTTTCTAGTGTCATAAAGAACGATGAGACATGTCAAATCGACAAATGAAAAGAAGACAACCTTGCTGGCGTCGTTTTCGTCATCTGCGTCGTCGCCTTGGTCCGAGTCCGAGTCGGAATGCCTACAGCACGCATGGTCCGACTCATGTCGTTTGGAAGCCATGTAAAGCAGTACCCTTCTTTGATGCTCACCGAGATGCTCTTCTTGAGCGACTCGACGATAAACGTCTTGTGCTTGATCGGCTCGGGATCTTCGTGCTGCTGGGGAAACATGGCCACCGTCGATATGGGCGATTTCGTCGCCGCCGGTGTGTGGCCCGTCGCCACCGCCGTGTACGGCTTGGCGCCTTTCTTCTTCTTCTTTGTGGCGGTCGCCAGCTTGGTGCTATCGGCCTCGTCAGCCGTCGACGCTGCCTCGTCACGCTCCGAGGACGACGACGATGACGACGCGTTGTCAGCCATGGCGACCGTCACGCGCTTGTTGAACGGAAGGTTCATCGTGTAGCGAAAGCCGTCGGCGCCGGACCGAGACGACTTGCGACGGCGCGAGCGCTTCCGCGGCTTGGCCCGGGGCGCGGCGTAGTCGACGACCTCGACGCACATGAGGTATGGCACGCGCTCTTTCGTGGAGAAGGCAAACGACTCGTCCGTGAGAATGCGCTTGACGCGGTGGAAGGTGTCGCCGATCGGAAGGTACACCACCGAGGACGGCAGGAGCGCGGCTTCAATCTACGACGACGAAGCATTTGCATTGCTTCAAGGATGACAAACAAGGTTGACAGCACGTACCTCGGCGAGGCCTTGGCGCAAGTTCGCCTTGCGATCGGCCAGCGGCAGCGGAATGAGCCGGTCCGCAAGGTCAGTGAGCGCCTTGACAAACTGTGGCGTGCCCAGATACTATCGTCATGACGGGTCCATGAGATGCTGTAACAGGTGACCGGATGGGTGCGTCTTACCAGGTGCAGTTGTTCGCGGCAGCCAATCGCGGCCTCTGCGAGCTCGAGCTCGCGCAGGCGCGTCGTCATGTCCTTGGTCACCTCGGGCGCTGTCAAGTCGAGCGACGCCTCGGTGGACGACGGGAGCTTGAGCTCGTCTTCGGACGTCGGCGGACGCTTCTCGATGGCAGGGGCGACCGCGACCTCTTCGGCGGTCAAGCCAAGGCTAAAGAGCTTGGCGGGCACGCCGCCTTCCATCTCGATGGCCGATAAGAACGGCGCGTTCTCGGCCGATGGCTGTTCGATGGTGGCGCTACACATGTGCGCATGAGTGCAAGCGACCGCCGTATATTGGCGCACCTCAAGCCTTCCGAGGCGTACGAGACGCCGTTGGCGCAGAACGACTCGAGGAACCAGTGCAGTCGGTGGGCAAACGCAAGCGACCGGCGACACTGCGAGAGAAGGAAGAACTCGAGCTGGTGCTTCTTCTCGTACTGCCCATGGAGGAGGAACGTGCAAAGCTGCGGGATGTAAAACTCGACCTGCCATGCGATTCAGTCGCGAGCAGATCGGCGTGGCCATCGCGTACCTTTTGCGCGTCGTCGTCGTAGCACGTGTAGAGCTGCTCGACGACGTGCTTGTGGGCGTAGAGCTGTAAGAGCACGTGGAAGATGTTGGCCGGGCCATCGTCCTGCTTGGCGTAGATCATGTCGACGACGTCCTTGAGCTTCTCGTCCCAGAAGCGCTTGAACTTCTCGACATGGTCAACCTCGTCGTCGCTCTCGGTCGAGTTGCCATTGACCTTGGTCCGGCGGCCGCCACCGGCGCAGCAGAAGACGCCCATGGAGCTCGTACCGAAGTCCGGTTGAAGGAATTCGAATTTCCTTCTCCGTACAATCCGTGCTATTTTAATCTCTCCATTCAATTGTACCTTACCGTTTGTATTCATATCTGTATTTTAATTCTATCATGGACCAGCGGGTAGACACCACAGCGCGCGACGGGTGCAATTGCATGCTGGGAAGGAGCGCCATCGGCCGTGTTACAATAAAAATAGCGGCATTCCATACAAATATCCAGTACATGAATTTAAATGGCAATCACGACCAGATATGTGCTGGCCGGTTCGTAGACTTACAAACGCCACGTCACAGCATTTATCAGCCATTATCTGACCCACTGCAGATATACCGGCCTAATAGGAGGAAGGTCTTAACAGTTAGCGAGCTCGTACATGAGGCAGGTCATGCGGTACATAGGTGCTTGACGCTGCGTCTGCATAAAGCATGCGCCTTGGCGTCGTGGTGGGATGTGCGACGGACGTAACGAGCTTGATTGGGTGATTGAGCAAAGAGATGGTCGAGTTTTATCCGGAGTCCGGATAAGCGTCACAGAGGGACTTCAGGCGCAGTGCTCAGTCGGAATCCTCCAGCATCAGCCACAGTCCCATCCATCATGGCCGAGATCGCATCGATCGTCAACCTCGTCAACGAATATGCATTCCTCTTTGGGAAGAGCAACGGCAGCTCGACGCAGCTCCTCGAGCTCTTCACGCCCGACGCGACGCTCACCGACGACTTTGCCGGCGAAGCCAACGGCCACGACGAGATCCGCGCGGCGCTCGAGACGCTCTTTGAGCTCGAGTTCCTCTCGGAGACGAGTCACATTCCGCAGGGCCACCACGTGATCTTTGACTCGGACAACGCGGCCAAGGTCACATCGTATACCGTCATGTTTTGGAAGTGCAACCCGTCCATGATTGTGCGGTGGACCGATAAGGTCGTCAAGACCGAGCACGGCTGGCGCTTTGCGGCGCGCACGTCGGAAGCGATCCAGAAGAACCTCGAGCACCTCGGCGAGATGCAGCTCCGCGGCAAGAAGAGCTATGCGTCCCATGAGTAAGAAGGCACGACGTCCGCGTCGCTAATGAACGTTTTGATTGCATGTATCGCGCGTTCGCATGGCATGGCCGCAGGCGCCGAGAAGAAGCTTGTTCGCGTTGGACGTGTGACGCCATTACATGATGTGCGCAACGCTGTGAGTGCCATGGACGATACCGGTACATCCATCTATGCGACGCAGCACCGATCCTACCGCCTGCGACGCGGACCGGATCACGTCTCGGAGGCGCTTGTCCTCGCCACACCTTGTCGCGTATACGTCGTCGAGCTAATGCAATCGTCCTAACGACGACGCGCGTCGGTGGAGCGAGCGTGGCCGCTCCCCACGCGTGGCAGCCTCTCGGCAGCCGATCTTTGTGACCCGCCACGGATTTTGTCCAATCACAATATGTTTTTAGAAGCCAATCCAAATCACTCTTGGCATTGGATTTCAACCAATGGCCTTGCAACGGCGACGGCTGAGGTTTTTTCGCTTGGAGCAAGGAAGAAGAGCAGTATGTCCAGTCTGGCCGCGGCCCGCGCCGACAACTTCTACTACCCGCCGGGATGGCGGCCCGAGATGGGCGGTATCAACAAGTTCCAGAAGTCTCATCCGCTCGGGAAGCGGGCCAAGGACATCAAGGACGGTATCCTCGTCGTCCGCTTCGAGATGCCCTTTGATGTCTGGTGCATGCACTGCGAGACGCACATTGGTACGGCGCCGCGACCGCCATTCCATCGGCTCATGCGACGTAGGGCGCGGCGTGCGCTACAATGCCAAGAAGACCAAAGTGGGCATGTATCACTCGACGATCCTGTACGAGTTTGCGCTCAAGTGTGCGACGTGCCAAGGCATCATGCTTGTCCAGAACGACCCGCAGGCCTGTGGCTACAAGCTCGTATCTGGCATCCGCAAGAAGACACAGGTGGACGACATTCCGATCGGATCGCACGACGACGAGACCATCGAGGCTCTGAACGCGCCCGAGGTCGGCATCGCGATGGCCGCCGACCCGTTCTTCAAGCTCGAGCACGAGAAGAAAGACCGAACCGTGGCCAAGAAGCGCGCCGGGGCGCTCGAGAGCCTCCTCGCACTCAACGACAAGGTGTCCGACCAGTATCAATCGAACGCCAACCTCCGCGCCAGCTTTCGCGCCGAGAAGAAGGTGCTGAAGCGCAAGGCCGACGAAGCCCGCCGACTCAACGTATCGATTCCGCTTCTGGACGTCCACATCGACGACGTTGTGGCTGCCAAGACGGCTGTCTTTACGAACCTGACCAAACGCGCCAAGAAGACTGGCACCACTGCGCGGCGCCCCGCCACGAAGGACCCGTTCGCCAACTTTGGAGCGTCGTCGAGCTTGCCACGTCACTCGACGTCCGTTGTCCGACGTCGTTAAGGCAGCGATGCGAAGCGTGCTACTTAATATATGTATTCTATACTGACGGACGTGGTTACTCCAAGGGCCTACATGCATAGCCCACGTGAACGGCCACGTGTGCAAGATATCACACGCATCGCAAGCATTGAGTGCGTTCCTACGCTTGACTGTCTCGGTGCTGATGCAAGTTGGTTACCAAGGTTGCTCCGGCATCACTGCGACCGACGCTGGTTCTTGTGGCGGCTTCGAGTGATGGACGCAGTTGCAACGGCACCGATGACGGCGCCATTCACGACAGACCTTTGGGTTGATCTGAAGCCAAGCACTACTCCACAGTGCCTTTAAGGTACGTAAGGTGACATCGATAAAAAGGCGGCGCCATGGAGCAGCAGATATGAGCCGAAGGCTGCGCAGACATGCTATTATTGACGGCAGGTGCTGCGCTTAATACCGATCCGCAACGACGACAAGGTCACGATCGTCCGTGGCTGGTTCAAGAACCGAGAGGGTCGCTGCACCTGCAAGAAGCTTTGGTCACCCACGTCGAGCGCGTCGTCCAGAAAAGGTTAACAGCGCTGAGGTCGCCGTTGGCATCCGCCCGTCCAAGCTCGTCATCACCAAGCGCAAGCTCGTTAAGGACCGCAAGAAGGTCCTCGTGTGCAAGAACCGTGTGATCGGCGACAAGCAGGCGGCCAAGGTCACCGAGGCCAATGTTGCCATGGCCAACGTTGACTTCGTCGTCGCGCATCAGCGAGTCGCCGGACGCAATTCGGTGCTGAGAACTCTTTATTCATGTGCTTGTCCTAACTTCTTGCTCTGTTGTCTGTGCACCTGTAGCCCGCATTCGTCGCGGTGCAAAGGTCGCAGGTCACTTGGATCTTGAACCGACGCCACCATCTCATGGAGCCGCCATGGCGCGACAAGTACGAGCGCCTCGGCGAAGAGCACCGGCAGCTCAAGCGACACATGCACGAGCTCAAGCTCGAGCTCAAGCGGTATGCTTGCATGTCATACGCACGACGATCGCCCTCATCTCGAGGTAGAACGACCACCAAGCTTCGGGCAAAACCCGATGCGCGGGGTGGAGGACCCCACGGTACGACTGCGATGCGAGCAAAAGGGATGTGTGAGCTTGCGTAGCTTACGTCCAGTCGCTCGAGCAAGAGAAGGCGGCGCTCACCACCCGTGTGCGCAGCCTCGAGTTGCGGCTCACCAACGTACACCTCGAGTCCTTTCTCACCCACGTTGATTGACGTTTTCGTCTAGCTGCAAGGAGGCGCACCTGCAAAGCAGATGACGACGGTCAAGCGCAAGCAGTCGGCGACTCAAACCGAGGACGAGACCACAACCGTTGAGAGCGGAATTCAAAAAATGGCGCTCGTCGATGCCCTTCGTGGCCGCTTGACCGAGCTCGCCACCAACCTCGCTCGCCTCGGCCAGGAAAACACGCTGCTGCAAGACGCCAACGAGAAGCTTCAAGACGCCGCTTCTAGGACGCCGACAGAACTCGTTGATCGGAGCGCGTTGTTGCGCGCGCAGTCGGAAGCGACGCAAGCGCGCTTCGACCTCGGCCTTGTCTCGGTTCGTCTTTTTGTTTCTGCTCGTTTGGTTGCTAGATCGTTCGCTCTAGTCCAAGTTGGCAGATGCACAGATGCAGCTCGGTGCCCAAGTGACGGTGCAAGCGCAGACGTTAGCGCAGCTCAACTCGCTTTTGTCGGTCAATGCTTCGGCGCAAGCCGAGTGCGCACGGCTTCGGCACGTGGAAGCGGACGCGCACGCCAAAGACGCGACCATTCAGCAATTACGCGAGGTAATACACGCCGTTGCGATAGCATGACACGAGCAATGCAATGCGTAGGACGTGTGTCAACTGCGAAACGAAAGTCTGAAGCTGCATGCTCTCGTCGACTCACTCTCGTCGACGCCGTTCGGTCACGACTCGATCCGGTCCACCATCGACCGGCTCATGCTCCAGACAAAGGACCTCGAAGAGCAAAACACACTGTTGCAAACCGAAATCGCCAACGAGCGGCAGCGAACGCGGCACCTCGACGCGACAGGCCAGACCCTCAAGCGCCACGTGACCGAGCTCCAGCAGCAACTTCAGACGCAAGCGGTCATCGAAGCAGGTCTGCGCACCGAACTTGCCGAGCGGACGTTGGCGTCGGAGGCGCTGTCGTTCCAAGTCGGCGTGCTGCAAGCACCGACCACCAGCGCCGTCTTTTTATCGGCGCTGGCCATTGCGACCAAGCAGCGCTGCCACCCAAGCAGCACGCCCTTTCTTCTCGACGCTGCTTCGATGAGGTCTGTCACATAATCGGTGGAGCGAGGTGGATATTTGACGCTGTCTAGCTCGGTCGAGCAACTCGAAGCCAAGCTCGCGCGCTTGATGGATGCAAGCGCACCCACGTTTCGTGACGTGGCACGCCTCGAGCAAGTCGCCAACACGTACAAAGAGCTCAATGCCGACTTGGAGACGCAGCTCGAGACCCAGCGCCGCCAGTTTGAGAGTGAGCTCAAGCATCTCCAAAGCGACCTCGCCGATGCCCAGCGGGCTCTTCTGGCACGGACGCGGTCTGGACGACCCGCGCCGCCTGCGGCACCCACGACACCTGCACCGACTCGTGTCGACGTTGACGACACGAACGAGCTTCACATTGCACTCGATCAACTCGAGCTCGAGCTCGGTGCCATGTCCTATGTGGTCGTCCTCGACTATGGCGCGTTCGAATCGCAAGTCTCACCGCGGCTGCAGGCAGAGAGCCCGCTGGCCTTTGCCACGACCTTCGCGACCGTCGTTGACGCCGCCTTTTTCGCAGCATCGCACGTGCGTCTGGAGCTGCATGCGCTCACGACACACGCACCAACGCTCACGGCGGCGGCGACGCTGTCCCTCGAGCCGCTCTTCGCGTCCGTCCAGGGTCGCCTCGAGGTATTGGTGCATCTCATGGACCCGCGCCTCGGCACACACGTCGCCTCGCTGCGCGCGGTGGTGACGCTGGCGTCGCCCGTGTACATGCGCTACGGCAATGACATCGTGTCGCCCTGCGTCGACATGCCGCCGTCCGATGCGAGGCCGCAGGCAACGGCAGTCGAGATCAGCTTGGTCTCGCTGTTTACTGACCCGGTGGCGTTTGCATCGTACGGGATGTCTGACGAGTCCCAGAAGAAGCTGTCGCTCGAGTATAGTTTTTTTGGCTACACGCACATTCGCACGCCTTTGGTGCTCTTGGCGTCGCGTTGCTTTCACGAGCTGCCGGCGACGACGCAGCGGCACTTTACGCTGCATGGCGCCAGCACCGACGCCCGGCTGCAAGACTATGCTCTCCACGTCTCGCTGCTACAAGACAATGTGTCCATTGCAACCGCAGCAATCCCACTACGCCGACTCGTGCTGACCTCCAGCGGCGCCAAACGCGACGGCGGTCGGACACGACTGCTCGGGTCGTTTGCACTCGCGCGGCACGACGACGGCCACGTTCTCGGCCGCCTTGGCGTTGCGGTGACGCGCGCGACGTCGATATGTCCACGGGATACATGTATGACGTGGCAGCCTGCGTGGTGGGCGACGCTGTGCCTCCAGTTTCAATCGGGGGACATGGACATTGACGTCGCGGGATTTCTTGCGGTCGTCCACGGCGGCGTCTGCTTTCAGACCCAGCGCAACCGCGTGTGGGCCATGCGCCGCGGCGAGACAGCCGATGCGAGCGAGGCGGCTGCGTACATTACGTGCTTCCCCGACGCGGCCCAAGACGTTCTGCGTCGCCTTTTGTTTGCGACACAGTGGTCGCCCGCGTGGCTAGCAATTGAAGACGACGTGCTTTTGTACTGGCGCTGCAAGCGCCATCGACTGAACGCGCTGCTTCCATCTCCGTCGGCAAGTACGATGCCCTCCAAATCGTTCCAAGAAACGCTCGAGCACGCCATGTACGAGTCATGTTGCGACCGACCCATCTCCGACGAAAATGGGACCCGCGTGTAGTGTCTTTTTGTAGCCAATACAATGTATATACCGAGGCATCAGGTTATCTATAGTACGATTGCTAGACAAGAGAATAACGGCCACCGACAGCGGTTGAGACAACTGTCAGGACTGAAAACGACGACCTACGCTGGACGACCGCCTCACTTGTCGATCGACTTTCAAACACTGGAGCATGGAGCGCGGCAACAAAAGCCCGCCGTTCGCTGTCATCGTGCTGCACCTCGCCGGCAACCTCATCGCAGGCTGCGTCGTCCTCCTCTCGCTCGTGACGCTTGTGGCGCTTCTGAGCCAAAGTACTAAATGCATCCTCGAGCACCCTCGATCGCGATGACACTGCTTAGGCATGGCCTACCGCATGGTGGTGGCCCCAAACTACCAAGGTACATGGCAACGAGCTCGCTTGCTCGACAATAGTGATAGATGCGAGCATGGACTGGGCGCCGCTCGGCAACACGTGCGTTTTAACGCGACGCGGCTTTCGCGACAACTCGTGCAGCGTCAATGAAACCAGGTGACGACACTGGCAGCATGGGCCGCCATCGGCAGGTGCAACCTCCTTCGTCGTCGTCTTCTCTGGAAGGACCAATTGGATGTCGTAGGGTGCTCGCGCAGCAGTGGGCTCTGCCCAACGCAGACGCTTGGTCGGTCACGACGTGCATGGTCGGGTCCGAAGACGTGGGGTACTTTGGCGTCACGTTCCTCGCCTCGTACGCGTCTTCGTCTTCGTGGATGGATACTAAACGCAAGGCAGCGTAGATACCCCGACGACCCGACGCCCGAGTGCCTTCCGACAGGCGCCCAGTCGATCGCCGCGATGGCTTCCTTGGAGACCATGGTGAAGCGGCTTGCGATGTGCTTGCGCTCACGAAATGTGATGTAGACCACGGCTGCGCACCCCAATGGCGCGTATTTGCTATCGTCCATCACAGACACGGAGATGCTCTCGGTCGACTTGCACCTCAACTCGGACGGTAGAGCTCTCTTCTGTGCCGCCGTCCAGAGATATGCTAGCCTACTGCACGTAGGTACAACGAGTCGTGTGTATCCGAATGCTACAAAAACGATCGTGACGGTTGCTGGCGACGTGGCGCCCGTCGACCAAGGTCGGTGAATGCTTTTTCTGGCATACACTACGTTCTCATTGCTTCGTGATGGACTTAGCCACCAATTGGCGCATTCAGGCGATGCCTCTCGGTCCTCGGTATACCGTTGAGGTAGGCTGGCCTTGGCATACCACCACATATGTGATCGATCCAGACGTACTGCCAGTCGGTTTTTCTGGATTTGACACCAGATCTGGACGCACTTGCTGGCTACAGCGCTGGAAAACAGTCCCACGCGCCCGTACACTTGTGTGCCTTGCGATGGGCTTTCTATCCGTGTGTGCGTAGATTGTGAATTCGTGGAATTGCGGCAACCAAGTGAGCAACGCCAACGAGATTGCACTTGCGCAGGTTCGTCCGTGCTGCCTGTGCACGTAGTACAGACATGGGGCGTAGGTCGTTTTGCTGGTTTGGCGCTCGTGCTCCTGCATGGCGATGTGTACATTACGATCGAAGGCTTCTCCGGTCTTTTCCGACGCCAGGTGCGTCGACACCTCGATCGTTGACGTCATGCGTCTGCGCCTAGCCGATCTTGACGTACGACATGCTCTCGGGCATGGAGCAGCGGCTGCTCCTCGTCGCAGCGATGGTTCTCAGCGCGCTACCGTCGCTCTTGTACGCAGACGTCGCCCGCATCTACGCTGGCACAACGACCGGCGCTCAAATCTGGGTCCTCTCGCTCGCTCTGCGTACTACGTCTTTTGTCCATGGCGCTCGCCAGTTGATCCTCATGGGTAGTCGGCGTCTGGATCGCCTTTGGCGTCGTGCTACTCATCGGCAGCCTCCAGCGACTCCCGCTGCCATTCGCCCCGACACGTGTGTTGCCGTATTCGGCCCGCGTCTTTTTGTCGCTGACCATCTTTGGCATCGTCGGCGCCTGCTATGGCTTGTACGATACCTTCTCTCAATTTGCTGGCAGAGACAAAGAGAGGCGTACTAGGCAAGACGAGGTATACAACGACTTTTACAGTTCACCGCCGGCGCTCTTGGGGCTGTCTATCCACGGTATGGAGCTTCCAGCCGGCGCGTACGACTCAAGTGTGCCGGTGACGCCAGGTGCGGCACGACAATGGTCTCTGGGACTTGAACAAGTCGCTCAATTAGTGCTGACGCTACTGGCGTCGACGCTTGGCAGCGTCACGGCTGTTGCATTGATCACGGCCATGCTTGCGAGTATGCTCTCGTATCGCTGCCTCTTTGTGCCCACGTCGTGGTCGGGCAAGCATTTCGTTTGCAATAGTTTAACCGATGCAATGGCTGCAGGTGTGCGACGAATGCCTTTCTGCACGCAATGCACCCGCCGCGCGGACTCACCAGCGTCCCGCTGCACCAATCGTGCGCGATTCGTTTCGGCAACAAAATGTATCGCTTCGGTCGACACCAGGATAGACAAGTTGTCCACATAGGTATTGCAAACCGAGCACGATGGCGATGCTAGGGTACATATTCATCACGCCCTCTACAAACGACGCGGGCAGCGGCAAGGTAGTCCGGACCGCCTTGTGGCGCGGCGTCGTCACGTCTACGGGGCATCTTAGGACTCGCTCGTCTTCCCGTCCAAGCTGCGGGTCTTGACGTCGCAGAAATCCCGCGTTGCGAGTGCCGCAAAGTACGCGACTGACGTGCCCGTCGTCCGCTACGTCGTGAGCATCTACGCGCTCGTGCTGGCGACAGCCATGCGCTGCATCGCCTGCGGCTACCGGTACATCAACTTGGGCATTTCAGAGACCATGACGTGACAGCGTAGATGTCGGGTGTACGGTACCGTGGCCAAGGACGGCAGCTTCACCGCGCTCGCGCAGCATGTCCGCCTCGATCGGACGCAGCGCTTCATGCACAGCCGAGGCGTATGCGTCAACTAAAATCGACTGCGTTTGAGCGAATACCTACAGAAATATGGGATGCTTGCGCAGTTCAACGTTCCGCTTCGTTGTGACGAGCACTAGGCGTGGGTTGCTGCGCCAACGCTTCGCTCTTGCATGCACCCGAGTACGTACAAGCAAGTCTACCCTTTCTTCTCTTTACGGTGCCAAAGCGGCTATCTTTCCACACACACATCATGCTACTGGCGCTTGGAGAGGACCATGGCGCCAATCGCCACGACACCGAGGACGGACGCCGCCAGCGCGAGCGTCGTCGGCGTCGTCCAGGTCGTCGACGCGTCGGGCTTCTTGCCGCCCGGCAGATCGCGCGTCTTGACCGGCGCCGGCGACTTGACCGTCGTCGTCTTGGCCGCCGACGGCTTGTTGTTACCGTTGTTGCTGTTGTTGCTCTGCTCGAGGAGGAAGCCGCCCCACTTTTCCTTCTCCTTCTCTTTGGCGTCGGCAACGCGCTTGGCGACGCTTTCGAGAAGCGACCGACACGCCTTGTCCTTGGGCATGAGCTTGACGGCGATCAGGAGGTCCTGCTTGGCTTCCACGTCGTTGCCCATGGCGACGAGCGCCGTCGCACGGCGGAAGAGCGCCTTGGACGGCCACTCCTGGAAGATGAGCGCTTCCGTCATGCCGATGCGGCCCATCCACTCGGCGACCTTGCCATGGCGGTTGTCCGAGAGCACTTGGAGGATCGAGAGTGCGTTCGTGCACGCCGTCCACGCGTCGCTGTAGTCGCCGAGCTTGAGCTTGCACGCGCCGAGGTTGAGGTGGCAGCGAATCATCGTTTGAAGCACCGTCGCTTTCTCCTTGTGGCTCGCGCTCTCCTGGTCGACGTGGTTGAGGTACGTCAAGCTCTCGAGGTACTTTTCGATGGCCGCGACCAAGTCGGCGGCCTTGAAGTGGTCGTTGCCCGCCGCCGACGCCGCGACCGACGCGGCAATGCGCTCCGTGTTGGTCATCGTCTTGGCCGTGAGCGCTTCGACATGCACGTCCTTCTCTTGCAGAAAAAGCGTGCCATAGTCGGTCTTGACAACGACGACCTTGTCCGCCGGGCGGGTGCTGACGACGACGCCCTTGCCGTACGGCGTCGATACGGCCACGCCCTTCCGGAAGCGGGACGGTGGCGGCGCCTCCCACACCGAGTCGGGGCGCAAGTACGCCGTCGTCGTGCGCTTCGTCATGCCCGGCGACGCTTCCATGAGCACCACGTACATCTTGGTCGCTTCGCGGAACGTCACGATCGTCCCGTTGCCGAATGGCGTCGAGACCTTGGCGCCATCGGCGATGGGCGTCCGCGCGACTGCCGCTGGGTGGTACGTGTCGGCCGAGAACTTGTGGCCGGGGAGGTAGACCGTCGAGGCGGCCGCCGCCGTGCCGAAGGCCGCCGGGTGGCGCGTCTCGGCCTGGAGGAGCGCCGCTGTCGCCGCGTACACCTCTGCGTCCGCCTCCAGCCGCGCTTTGGCGTCCATGAGACCTTGCACTGACGTCTGCAGGCGCGCAAGCACGTCGTACTCGAAGCGCATGGCGACTTGCACCTACCAACATGTGTCGGAGCGTGTGGCCGAAAAGGTCGATATGTACCTGGCCGTAGCTGATGCTGGTGACGTGGCCGGGCGGGCCCTCGAGCGGCAGCGACACGATGTGCGTCTTTTGATCGGCCAGCATCGCGTCCGTGATGACGAGCTTGCACGTGCCGATAAAGACGTCGGCCACGAGCGGCGACGGGTGGTGCAGCGTGAGCGTGACCGACGCGGCCTTGGTCTTGACGCCATTGAACGTAATGGTTGTCTGGTCCGCCTTGAACCACGTGGCCCGGCATGCCCGCGGGTTGAGCCGGATCGTCGACGTCTTGGCGGCGCGGATGTTGGTCTTGGCCTTCTCAATGCTGGCGGCCGTGATCGCGAGCGAGCCAACGACCGTCGTGTCGTCCGAGAGGTCGAGGATGCCATCGAGGTGGAGGTTCTCGGCATTGAGCACCGTGATGGACAAGGCGCCGACCGCCTTGCCGTCGACAACGTCGATGCCCTGGGCGTTGGCCGTCACGGAGGCTTGGGCAGCAGCGAGACGCTGCGTCTCCGCCTCCAGCTGCATCTGGAGCTCGTCCGTCGGCGAGAGATGCGGGACCTTCTCCCAGCACGCGGAGCTCGTCATGGCCATCCCGTCGTCTTCCGAAAGCCAACGTCGAAAATGATGCGCGCCGGCCATTGGCCGGCGTCCCGTTCGACTCGATATAGTGTGTATGACACTATTTCCGTTGCCTCTGTCGCTGCTGGCATGGGACTGTCTATGCTGCTGCTGGACAAAGGTTTTCTTCCGACGAGTTGCCCGGCAACGGGGACATGCCTGGCGGAGATCATGCGCTGCGTAGGAGGATTCGAGCTGATAGCCAAGGCGACCACGGGCGCTGATCCTTTGTCGTAAGAAGAGAGAAAGGACGGAGGAGGAGGATGTGCAGACATCTTATCAACCGCGCCTCGATGCACCGGCCCCTTGCACCTCGACGTGCATAGAGCACTAGAATAGTTGCGACCTATGCATGTTGTAACCAACGAGGTGTACTCTTAGCAATGACTTTTAGCTAGCAAGCTCGTGGTTGCTAAGACCAGTTGCTTGTCCGACGAGGATTAGGGTTCGTCTCGCCCGCCATCGGTTTCGGCCGCGCCACCGTCGTGATCTCCGCCGTCCAAGCATCCGCCAGCAACCCTTCTGGAGACGGGACTGTGCTTGGTAGCTGCCGATCCCTTGGTCTTGGCAGCCCCGCCTATGCAATGCTGTACGTTGTGGTCGACGCGCCTTGGCAGGTAGCGACGCATTGTCTTGGAAGCCATACCGCTTTGCGCACTGCGTTCGAACGCGCCGTCTCTCTTACGACCTGGCCTCGGCGCATGGACGTCGGATCAGGTCGACGTAGAGAGCGAACGGTCGAGGGGGTGCGTCAGGCACGGCTACTCCGTCTGTCGACAACTCGACATCCTTCGTGCTTCTTCGATTGCTACACTCGTGGAAGAGGAGGATCTCACCACGTGTCGTGATGACGAGCTTGCTACTACGGCGCAGGGATGGCGTCTGTAATCGCGTTCGCAAATGTACGCAGCGTCGTTCTTCAAGGAGAGTGGCACCTCGAAGTACGTGGCGGCTGCAGAGATGTACTAGTAAGCAACCTTGGTTTCGCACGCGCTGCATCTTTCAGAAGCGGCCTTGCTCAGCGCGCCATTCGCACCAACAACTCATGGCCGTGGACAATATAGGGCGAGAGATGCAGCGTTCTCTCCGAGCTGCCGCAGAAGGTAACGGGGATTGCACTGGGCCGGGCGCTTTTCTTGTCGGCTGCTCGACGTGGTAGGCGTGCCACTGTGGCCACTGCGAGCGCTGCCCAGAGCCGGCGCTCGCGATCTTTTCGACCCAGCGCGGGTTGTGATTGGCTCGTCCTTTCTGCGAAACGAGCCAATCAGAAATGGCGTTCCCGCCGGTTTCGAGGCGTCGCTACAAACAGCAAGATGTGCGCCGACGCAATTGTTCCATGGGGCGGTCAGTGTATGTATTCTCGCAGGTTCGATACTGTGTACGACGACTGGGCTTCTTTGATATGCACATGGGAACGCTCAGGATATGCATTGCTGGAGGTTTTCGACAGGTACACAAACCCATGATCATTCTCGCATTCGCTTCGCGCCCCGCAGGTTGACACATGCCCTCGGACGAGATGCTTCCCTTCGACATGTCGCTCCTCGACTTGCAGCCGCCGAGCAAGCAGCAGCAGCAGGCCGAGCCCGAGTTCAGCAAGAACTATGCGATCGGGTCGCGCATCCAGCGCTCCATGAGCGCGCCGCCAGTCGCCGAGCATGTACGTCGAGCGCGGTTGCACCGACGAGACGCTTAGCCGCATGTTTAGGTGGGCCGGTTGCCGCCGCCCATGTATGCGCAGAGCGAGTACGACGACAACCAGACGGTATGGCCTGCATCGCGAGGTGACCACCTGCTGAGCACCGTGTAGGAAGCCGAGTTGCACCCCGAGTATTACTACTACTACGCGCCCAAGTCGCACAACCCGCGCCTGCCCATGTCGTACAACGCGTGGGAGTCGATGCACAAGCAGTACCACACGCGCCACCACCATTCGAGCTCGTTGCACCGCGTGCAAATTCCCGACCACCGCGACGCGCCGCCGGCGTACACGACCAGCATGGCCCCGAAAGCGTCGCAGGAGGACTTTGAAGCTGCGGTCGCGGCCGCTGGAGGCCACACGTACCAAAAGACAGAGCCATTCTGCTCGTCGCCGACCGACTCGAACCACGGCGGGTCCGTGCGGCCGGTCAACAAGACGCTTATTGACCGCATCCAAGAAGACTTTCCGCGCACGCCGTCGCCCGTCTTTGGCTATGGCATGACGTCCGAGATGGAAGAGGAGCTCCATCGCGCTGGCCGGTACGCCGACTGCAACAACAACCAGCAGCAGCATCACCACGAGCTCCCGTCCGACTTTTTGCACAGCATGAAGCGGTTTCCGGCCAGCCGCGAGAAGCAGCTGCCGCGCATCAACATTGTTAGCCCGCAGTACTACCCGATGATGTACGCGGGCCCGCCGCCGGGCTTGCACTATGGCGTTCCGCCGAGCCATCCCGGCATGGTGCAGCACCCCATGTACGAGCGTGTGCCCCGGGGCATGTACCCATCGGGCTACGAGCCCGAGTACGGCATGTACCACGAGCCCGAGATGAGCGACCGAAGCCACTATCCCGACATCCGCCACCTCAAGGCAACGTCGCACGAGTACCCATCGTCGCGCGGGTCGCCGCCGGGGTACAGCCGGTCGCGCGGCTTCTCGTCGAGCGCCAAGAGCTTCACCTCGTCGTCCGCAAGCCGCCACCAGACGACGCAGCAGTCGCAACCACACAACGAAGCAGCGCCCAAGGAGACGATGGCCAAGCCGCGCGTGGCCTTGAACCCCAAGGAAGCATGCTTTGAGCCGCGCGCCGCGCAGCCCGTGTCGTCGTCGTCTTCGTCCGAGAAGCGGCTGACGGACAAGACCAAGGTGGCGCCGACCAGCGTGCTTCTCAACGACTTTCGCAACACCAACAAGCACAAGAAGTGGGAGCTCCTCGACGCCCGCGGGCACATGGTCGAATTCGCCAAGGACCAGCACGGCTCGCGCTTCATCCAGCAAAAGCTCGAGACGGCCAAGGCAGACATCAAGGACATCGTGTTCGCCGAAATCTACCCGGTCGCGCTCACGCTCATGACCGACGTCTTTGGCAACTACGTCATCCAAAAGTTCTTTGACTTTGGCACGTCGCACCATCTGTCGCTGCTGCTGCGGACCATCTCCGGGCGGGTGCTCGAGCTCGCGCTGCAAATGTACGGCTGCCGCGTCATCCAGAAGGCGCTCGAGCTCAAGAACATCCCCGAGAAGCTCCATTTGATATCGGAGCTCACGGGCCATGTGCTCAAGTGCGTCAAGGACCAGAACGGCAACCACGTGGTGCAGAAATGCATCGAGATCCTGCCGTGGAAGACGCCGGTGGCCATGGACGTCGGTGGCTTCATCCTCTCGGCGTTCCTCGGCAATGTCTACTCGCTCGCGACGCACCCATATGGCTGCCGCGTCATCCAGCGCGTCCTCGAGCACTGCACGGAGGCGCAGATGGCGCCGATCCTCAAGGAGATCCACGACTGCTGCTGCCTCCTCGTCGAAGACCAGTACGGCAACTACGTCATCCAGCATGTCCTCGAGCACGGCCAACCGAGTGAGCGGTCGCAGGTCATCAACAAGGTCTACCCGGACATCGTGCGCTTCAGCTACCACAAGTTTGCGAGCAACGTGATCGAAAAGTGCCTCATGTACGCCAGCGTCCACCAGCTGCATGTCATTGTCGCGCACGTCATGGAGGCCAATGAGCGCGGCGAGTGCCCGCTCCAGGTCATGATGAAGGACCAGTACGCCAACTACGTGGTGCAGAAGCTCATCGACGTGGCCGACGCCGAGGAGCGCGAGCGCATGGTGGTCATCATCAAGACGCAGGCGAGCCATTTGAAGCGCTTCAACTTTGGCAAGCACATCCTCAACCGCCTCGAGAAGCTCACGGGCCAAAAGATTGCGTAATCATGTCTCTCTATTAGTCGTAGTATCTATCTATCAATATGAACGCGCCAATGGAAGCGGTTGAACTCGACACTATAGTTAAAAGCGTGTTTACGAGGCTGCCTGGGTCTTTTCGCGCATGCGCCGATAGATGGTTTCGACTTGGTCCATGCCCGTGACGCAGAGCCCGAGGTCCCGGATGATACCGTCCTTGAGTCTACAGTGTATCAAGTTGATACTGAAAACAAAGGTGCGAAATCTGTACCGGTAGCACCAGCCGTGGACACTCACCGACTGCCCGGCTTCCCAAGCGTTCTGCACAATCCGCGTGTGGCAGACGTTGTAGACGCCCCGTGCGACGTTCTCTTCGACGAGCATCTCGGACTTGATGGCGTCGTCGCAGTCTACGTTGGACTCTGAGCACTTAGCGCACGAACGTGCTGGTCGATTCAAGTACCGAGGAATTTCCGGGCGTGGTCAATGTACAAGTCCTTGATGCTGCGGAGCCAGTTATCGACGATACCAAACTCTTTTTGGGACAAAGCTGCGTTGACGCCGCCACAGCCGTAATGGCCACCTACAGGATCGTATTTCGCGATTGAGATTCCGATTCAGGTTCAAATGCGGACGTACACACGATGATGTGCTTGACTTTAAGAAACTTGACCGCGTACTCGATCACAGACAGACAGTTGAGGTCAGTCGAGACTAGAGCGGTCCACTGAGTCGTTTTGCAGTAGGTAGAGAGAGAAGACGTACTCACTTGGTTGGCGATGTTGCGATGCACAAAGACCTCGCCGGGAGGTAAGTCCAAGATCTCGTTGGCCGGCACGCGCGAGTCGGAGCAGCCGATCCAGAGGATCTCGGGCGACTGCGTCTCAGCGAGCTTGGAAAAGAAGTTGGGGTCCCTGGTCCGCATGTCGTCGGCCCAGAGCCGATTGCGCTCGAGGAGCTGCGCCATGCCTTCCTCGCCTTCGCCAAGGTTGGCGCGCGAGCGCACATGGCGCTGCGGACTCTGAGGCAGCGGGCGGTGCGGTGGAACCGGCGATGCTTCCGTCGGTGGCCCCGTCGGCGGCGAGAGCCAAATGGCCGCGTCGGTCGATATGCTGATGCGCGGGGTCGTCGCTGCAAGCGGGAGAGCCGAGTGTTCCAACGAGGCCCGGATCGCGTTGACGCTCGGGTCGAGAGAGATGCGCGGGAGGTGCACCGGGCTCGCTATTGTAGATGGAGACGGCGCCGCGTCAAGAAACGAGATGCAAAGTGGCGGCAGAGAGGGCCGTTGACACTGCAAGATGCCGGCCAAGATGGCGGGGCGGTGGACCGAAATAGCTCTAACCGCCTCTAGTCTATGCTTAGCTTCTGCACGTTTCTGTGTTTGCGCCGGTCGAATCGCCGCCTGTGCGCGCTGCTGCGGACAGGGGAGAGCTTCTGCGACGTAGAGAGGCTCGTCCCTGGTGTCGAGTCGTGGCTTGTCACAAAGCAATTATATAGTCCCGACGCCACCGCCTCTATGAAAGCAAAGGAAGTGTCAACCTACGGGGCTCCTCCGTGTGGCGCAGGAGTCCATCGTCTGGACACAAGGAGGTTGACTAGAGTGCTACGCATGCTTGCTTGACACGTCTCATCTGCTCAAACAATCTCTGCCAGAAAAGTGCATCCGCACGCAAAACGAATGTGGGCGAGGGTGGATGCAGATCCATCGTCCTGCGCGTCGGACCTCCTAGAGTAGTGCATCGCCATCTCTCGACACGAGCACAGAACAAGTTATAGAGCTACCAACGTCATTATGCGTGGCGTTCATGTGAAGGATCTCAGAGCTCGGTGGCTAGAAGAGATATATGCGAATGGACGACGGCAGCGCATGCCACGGACATCCGGGACGTCATCAACTACGTTTCGGGCTTGCTCTTGTTGTGAATGCGGCGGTAAATGGACTCGTCTTGGTCCATGCCCGTGATGCAGAGCCCAAGGTCGCGGATGATGCCATCTTTAAGGCTACGAGCCGCGTCCATATTACTTGAATCGTCGTGGCACAGCGTTCGTACCGGTAGCACCAGCCGTGGACGCTGAGCTGCTGCCCGGCCTCCCAAGCGTTCTGCACAATCCGCGTGTGGCAGACGTTGTAAACGCCCCGTGCGACGTTCTCCTCGATGAGAAGCTCCGACTTGGTGGCGTCGTCGCAATCTAATCGGCAGATCAGCACTCGGGCCGGGCATCGACCTCGGCCGCACCGAGGAATTTCCGGGCGTTCTCGATGTACAAGTCCTTGATGCTGCGGAGCCAGTTGTCGACGATACCAAACTCTTTTTGGGACAAGGCTGCGTTGACGCCACCGCAGCCATAATGACCGCCTACAAATCATATTTCGCGATTGAGATTGAGATTGAGATTCAAATACACACGTACACACAATGATGTGCTTGACCTTGAGGTGCTTGACCGCGTACTCGATCACAGAGAGACAGTTGAGGTCCGTCGAGACTAGAGCGGTCCACTGAGTCGTTTTGCAGTAAGTAGAGAGAGAAGACGTACTCACTTGGTTGGCGATGTTGCGGTGCACGAACACCTCGCCGGGCGGCAGCTTGAGGATCTCGTTGGCTGGCACGCGCGAGTCGGAGCAGCCGATCCAGAGGATCTCGGGCGACTGCGTGTCCACGAGCTTGGCAAAGAAGTTGGGGTCCTTGGCGCGCATCTCTTCGGCCCACTCGCGATTGCGCTCGAGGAGCTGCGCCATGCCTTCCTCGCCGAAGCCGACTTCGGTGCGGGGGCCGGGCACGTACCGACGGTGCGGAGAGCGCGGCGGCGTTGTCGACATGGAGCTCAATGGACGGAAAGATGGAAAGTGAGCGGCCTTTGGCCGTGCAAAGATCGCTGGAAGATCTTTCAACGGCCCGCCAGCCCTTAAATCAAAGAAACTCCTTAAATCAAAGAAGCTCCTGGGATCCATCAAGGTGCACGAGAGGCCAAGTGCAAGGGGGCAAGTGGTAGCAACCGAGACGGCAAGCAGAACAGGATATCGCAATTCCAGCAGCCAAATGACTAGGATGGTCAGTGCATTGAGGAGCTGTCAAAGATAGTTGACTGCAGAGCTAAGCTTTGGAGTACAGTCGTCCAACGCGTGCACGCGATGTCGTGGTTGCGGCTGCCTTCGTACAAGCAAGCAACGCTGTAATGACGACCTTAAGAAAGCTTAAGCATGGCGTTCGCCATGAACCAAGGGAATTCTCTTGTACCAGCCATGGCTACGACGAGCCGCGCGTTGGACGAGGTCTCAAGGGAACCGAACGGCAGCGAGCCGCTTCCGTGCTTTTGAACCGATCAACGTAGTATATAAAGGGGATGGCATATCCAGAGGTCTGGTCACAAGGGAGGCTCGAGACGCTGCCAGCTCGAAAGAAAAGAGACAATCGACGACACACTTGTATATCGACAGAGTACTAGGCCTCGGGCTTCTTCTTCTCCATCATGCGGCGGTAAATGGATTCGACTTGGTCCATGCCCGAGATGCAAATGTTGAGATCCCGGATGATGCCGTCCTTGAGGCTATCGCAGGTTACGAGTCGAGAGGGCAACGAAGCGATCGGAGCGTACCGGTAGCACCAGCCGTGCACGTTGAGCTCCTGGCCTTGCTCCCACGCTCGCTGCACGATGCGCGTGTGGCAGACGTTGTACACGCTGCGCGCGACGTTCTCCTCGATAAGCAAGTCCGACTTGATCGCAGGGTTGTCAATGTCTACGCAAGCGCCGTCAAACCAAGCTCGGCCATCGTAGTCTGGGTTTGAACCGAGAAATTTCCGGGCGTTCTCGATGTACAAGTCCTTGATGCTACGGAGCCAGTTGTCGACAAGGCCAAACTCTTCCTGGGACAAGGCAGCGTTGACGCCGCCGCAGCCGTAGTGGCCACCTACATAATCGTATTTCGCGATTGAGATTGAGATTCAGAGATTCAGATGCGGACGTACACACGATGATGTGCTTGACTTTGAGAAACTTGACCGCGTACTCGATCACAGACAGGCAGTTGAGGTCCGTCGAGACTAGAGCGGTCCACTGAGTCGTTTTGCAGTAGGTAGAGTCGAGAGACAAGACGTACTCACTTGGTTGGCAATGTTGCGATGCACAAACACCTCGCCGGGCGGCAGCTTGAGGATCTCGTTGGCTGGCACGCGCGAGTCGGAGCAGCCGATCCAGAGGATCTCGGGCGACTGCTGGTCCACGAGCTTGGCAAAGAAGTTGGGGTCGTTGGCGCGCATGGCTTTGGCCCACTCCTTGTTGCGCTCGAGGAGCTGCTTGACGCCCGGCGTGCCGGTCTGCACGACGGTGCGCGGCGAGAGCGGGATCGTCGGGTACGTCGGTGGCGGTGGTGAGCTCGACGACATGGCAGGATGTGGAATGGCATGCGACCGTTTGCTGTTCTATCCGGATGGATCGGCCAAATGGCACGGTATCCGGACATGACAGGCGCCGTCACCACCATGGTCCCTTGACGTCGACGGCCTGCTGTGCCAGGCAAATGACGTGGCGCCGCCTCGGCACGCCACAACGTTAGAAAGCTGGCGTCATCCAGTGCCAGTGGTCGACAGCCACGCTCGCCCAGGCTGCGACGACAAGAATACAACACGACGCCATCAAGTGCACACAACATGTAGTAGGATTCAAGTCGCTGGACGCGCAGCTTACTCGGACTTGAGCGGGCGGTTCATGAGAATGTCCTTGAGGTCGTCACGGTTGACGCGGCCCTATCGTTTGTCGTCCATATGCATCCGGGGCGCAATGACGCATGTGAGAATACCTGGATCATGTCGTTGACCGTGCGGAAGATCGGGAGGTCGAGGCCGCACTGCCCGGCAAAGTACACGGCGACCTCGGCCGTCGGGACACCTTCGACGGTCGTCGTCGCGAGGATGTCTTCCTTCTTTTCGCCCCTACGAGGTCCATGAGCTTGCATGGATCGTGTAGGAAGGTCGTACTTGATGAGGCGAATGCCGCACGTCCGGTTCCGCGAGAGCGAGCCAAAGGCCGTGAGCATGAGATCGCCAATGCCTGAGAGACCCGAAATCGTATGCGGGAGGCCACCCATCGCAATGCAGAGCTTCTGGAGCTCGAGCGAGCTGCGCGTGACGTACGCCGCGAGCGTGTTGATGCCAAGACCGCTGCCTTCGATCATACCGGCGCCGATCGCGAGCGGGTTCTTGAGCGCACCGCCGAGCTGGACACCGATAATGTCCTAATCGTCGTCATCAGTATATATGTATATATATATATTCTCTGCGCGGCGCCGGCTTGAGTTGCAGTACCTGGGAGCTGTAAATGCGAAAGTCGACCGTCGAGAGGAGGCGCTGGACCTTGACCGCATGGTAGAGCTGCTTGGACGCGACGACCTGGGATCGCAGGCGTCAGCCTTGTCAAGTGCAGTCGAATGGAATACGTACGACGGCCGACGGTGCGTTGTTCATGAGCTCGAGCGCGAACGAAGGGCCCGAGAGGAACGAGAGCGGCTGGTCGCGGCCCATGGCGGCCAGAATCGGCTCCGAGAGAAGCTGTTTCGTCTTGAGGTAGAGTCCTATACCATCGTTAGCTACCGTTGAAGAATAGCATGGCTGGATGGAAATACCCTTGGACGTCACGACGAGGATGGCGTCGTGCGGGATGTCGTCCTTGTGCTCGGCCAAAAAGTCGGGCGTCGCCTGCGCAGGAATGCACACAATGACAAGCGTTGCGCCGTCGCAGCACTCGGCGACACTAGGACCAGAATGCGTCAATATGTATCGGCGCAGATAGCGAGAGAGAGTACTTGTCCGAGGCGACGATCGAGGGCAAGAGCTCAAACTCGGAAAAAAACTGCGGGTTGTGGTGCGTCTCGTTGATGGCCGCGACCTGCGCCGGGTTGCGCGAGTAGAACGACACGCTGTGGCCTTGACGAGCCGCGATCTGGGCCATGGCCGTGCCAAAGGCGCCGGCGCCGAGGACCGCGACCTTGACGGGCTCGACAAAGGCCGAGGGAAGGCCGGCGTTCGTGGAGCTGGAGACACCGAGGTGGAGCGTCATGTTGCGAGTATGCTGCGAGGGAGAGAGGAGGAGGCGGCGAAGCGGAGAGCGCAGGCGGGAGGCAATGGACATCCACTGCAAATCCAAAAGTGACGTGCTTGGCCGCCGCAAATTCCCAATCCCGAGGCGCCACGCCGGTAAACTGTCTGGTCAACAGCTGCCCCATGTGCGACACGCGGCTAAAAAGACCGTCTTTTTCGATGAAAAACGGGATTTCAAAAGCGCAGAGACACTGCCCTTGGCTACTGCAAGCACGGATACAACGCGGTAGAGCTCTCTACAGGGTGCAGTGGCTACTGCCCGACGATAGGCCGAAGCTAGCGTCTTGGGTTCGTCCGTGTCCGTGCGTCGAAGCACGTGCGTGGTGACCCAAGTCGAATCGGTAAAGTGGCGTGAAAGGCAACCAGATGGTGGCATGGTGCCGAAAATAAAATCGCCAACGTGGCACGCGACCGACGACACCAGCCTCGTCCCGCTTGAATGAATTTGGGAGCCCATGGATGTGTCCTTGGTGGTCTTGTGTGAAAAATACTAGGTAGCCATAGATCAACACGGATCGCTGCATCCAGAAAACAAGCCTTACATGTAAAAAAGGCTCTATGGTGTGTTGTTCAAGTCACTAGCTTCAATTTGACGCTAAGAAATCAAACGGCCTCGTGACGAGGCACGGTCCAAGATCACCTTGGCCATGTTGAGTCGTCATGACAAGCGGTCGCATGCCCGATGAGATGCCGTTGGGGCACGTCATTCGTCATCACAAGGCGACGGGCCGTGGTTACATCGCCCCGTCGTCGTCCATAGTGGAGGTCGACCCGGAGGTCAACCAAGCGGCTAAAGAACCTGGTCCGACGTCACGGTCGTGTCAACACGGTGCGTCAACACACAGCGTTTGTGCTCTCTCATTTCGGCATGTGCCACATCCTAAACAAGCCAGCTGTCCGCGTTGGGTGCAATTAGATTCGGCAATAATATCCTAATTAGGATGTCCGCCGTCGACGGCGCCGCGTGTTTCGGACATTTCGTGGCGAGCATGGACCTCAGCGCGCTCTACTACCCGTACAGCCATACGCTCCCTGCAGTCTACGCGCAGACGCACAAGCTCGTGGCGTACAACAGCATCTACAACGCGTTCGAGCTCTACTGGCTCTGCGTGCTGCCGCTGCTCGTGCTCGGCGTCCCGCTCTGTCTCTCGTGCCTGCCCGTGCGCCTTTCGCTGCCCGCCAAGGTTCGCCGCGCTTCATATGCGATGGCCTCATGGTATATGTTGTATGCCGATTAGCTGGGCGAGAAGCCGCTGGCAGCGTCGTCGCGGCCCGAGTGGGACCCGACATGGGTCGTGCCCAAGCACATTGCTGCCATCATGGACGGCAACCGTCGCTATGGCCGGACGCGCTATGGCCTGCCGCTCAAGGGCCATCAAGACGGTAGCCAGCGCGTCGTCGACTTTATGAACTGGTGCGTCGGCGCCGGCGTCCAGATCCTGACCGTCTATGCGTTCTCGACCGAGAATTGGGGGCGCGCGCAGGCCGAGGTCGATGCGCTCATGAACATCTTTACGAGCTTCATGCACGACATCATCCCGCAAGCGCTCGAGCGCAACATCCGCGTGTGCGTCCTCGTCTCGGACGGCGCCAAGTTCCCGAGCCACATTGGTTCGGCGATCGAGAAGATCGAGACGGCGACGGCCCACTGCACGGCCTTTACCCTCAACATTTGCGCCAGGTATTACCCATATAGATATCTGTAGGCGTCCATCTAAGCAAGCGCCCCACTGTATAGCTATGGCAGTCGCAATGAGATGGTCCACACCGTCCAAGCCATCGCGGCCAAGGTCGCGGCCGGGACGCTGGCGGTCGATGCGATCGACGAAGCGGTCGTGAGCGAGCACTTGCTGACCAAGTACAACGCATATATCTCTCGCCCATGTGCTACGGCTAACGAATGCGACGCTAGGAACGTGCCGGACCCGGATTTGCTCATCCGCACGTCGGGCGAGTGCCGGTTGAGCAACTTTCTGCTCTATCAAATCGCCTACTCGGAGCTCATTTTCCTCGACAAGATGTGGCCCGAGCTCAATTACGACGACTTTCTCCACATGATGCGCACGTTCAATCTGCGGAAACGCCGGTTTGGCAAATAAATCATCTATCGTACAATTGCAAACTAGACTCTTTTATGCTCAAACTGCACCTTCTGCACGCCTAAAAGATGGACGAAGTGCTTTTTCAAAAGACGATAAAATGGCTTATACATCGAGTTGCAGTGTGCTCGCATGCGCCGCTCGCCGCTCGGTCTGCCACACCGGCTTGTTTGCGCCAGCTACAGGGCAACGAGCGCTTGGATGATGAGTGTGTCGGGTGCTGTGACGGCCGTACGCGCGCGCATGTTCTGCGCACTTGTGGAGAGAATATATCGTCGGTACCTATTTACCGGTACCTCACCAGCCACTGCCCCTACCGCCAACCACGTTGCAAGTGTTTCCCAAGATGCCACAACCGCCCAGGTACCGTGTTGGTCCACACCAAAGGCCAAACAATCGACTCTCACAACATCAAGCAGACTAATTGTTTCAAGTAAAAGCGATTAAGCTGAAGAGTACTGCAGCTCTACTACTATTCTACTCACAACCACCGCAGCCTCCGGTGCGACCAAACGCGTCAAAGTCACCAGCCGCTCCAGATGAAATTCCCTTCCGTGACCCCACAGTCGTCCGAGGCGTCACGTAGCCGTAGCCGCTGCAGCCGCCATAGTAGATGTACGGAAGGTAGTAGTAGAACGGCAGGCTGCCGTCAAACATGAGTCTGGAAGCAGGCGCACGCGGCGGGTATGAAAAGGCAGAATGTACAGTCGAAGTCACGAAGTCGGGAACTAGCATGGGTGCAGCAGTACGTACCGGTGCTACTGCTCCTTACAACGGTAGGCTCCAAGTGTGGACCAGTCACCCATTGTCCAGCAACGTGCACCCGCAAATGAGAAGCCGTGGCGCCTTGTAGGACTCGGTCTGTTGGACACGTGCTCGATGTGGACAGCACTGGACATGGGTGGCTGGCTTGATGATGGTCGACTCATTTTATCTTTTCATGCCTGCGCACAACGCAGACAACGAGAGCGCCGCGGTCGCCGTGCCCGTGCCGCTGGCCGTCCTCGTCCCGTTCTCGAGTCCCGAGGATCAGGACGTGACCGACGTCTCGTACATTGTCGACATGGAGATCAAGCACACCAAGTTCCTCCTCTCGTCGTCGTGGGTCCATTGCCAAGTCGTGCTCACGACGCAGACGCTCGAAGTCCTCGCAAACGACAAGCTCCAGTTTGCTTGCAACACGACCAACTGCACGACGCGCGTCCTTTCTGACTCGACGCGAAGCGACAGTTCCCGCTGGAGCTCCTTGAACACGGCAAGACGAAAGCGACCTTGAACGCGCATTCGGCGTCGGCCCGTGACGCGCTTCTCGAGCGCCTCGACGCCGCGTCCCAAGGCGTCAGCTGGCCGTCGGCGTCAGATGCGTGGACCAACTTTCTGTCGGTCGCTAACCGCATCAACGAGACCAAGACCTCGTACGCGTCGTTTCTGCCCAAGTGCAATGTGAGCGTGGCGCTCGTCCAGCGCCATTTTCGAGACATGATTGACGTCTACAACGTCACGGGCAGCTTTACCAACACTGACGACCTCTACGCCTACTTTCTCGACCAAGAGCGGCAGTACGTCGCTGACGGCGCCCAATCCTTTGCGAGAACCGTGCACCAGCTGCACCCGATCAGCTACGCCGAAGGCGCCAAGCCCAACATGCGGCTCCGCCCACTGAGCGACATTATCACCTTGTGCGCGTACCGCAGCTGCAAGGCGTCCTTGCCCGTGCACGTGTCGTTTGAGATGCACATTTTGCAGCTGCCCACGGTCACGTGTCCGACATGTTCGCGGCCGCTCTTCTACGAGACCTACAAGATTGCAGCGTTTCTGGACATGTACCCGAGCATCCTTGCGCAGTTTCCCACCGTCACCAAGACGGCTGCGACGGCTGTGCTCTTTGACCCGCCCGAGATGCCGGCCGACGGCCGCTACGAGTCGTTTTATGAAGCGTTCTTTACCCAATTGATGAGCTGCAAGAACACGACGGCGATGTACCAAGTGCTCACGGCGCTACGTCGAGCGAGCAAGACCCTTCTCCATGAACCGCTCGGCGCCTACACCATCGACTTGGTTCAAGGCATGTTCCGGCAGCTCGACTTTGTCAACAAGATGGTGCCCCACACCGAGTACTGGATGCACCCGGACGTTATTCAAGCCTCGATCGTCAGGTACGAGCAGTTTATGTACCTCATGGGGACGTGCGAGACGGACGCGCTTGGTCGGTACCCGCTCATGGTGCCCACGTCGGACATTGACCTCGTCTGGCACGCACACCAGACCACCGGCCGGCCGTACCGCGACTACTCGCGCAGCGTCAGCAAGGCCAAGTGTGTGATTGACCACGACGACACGATTCCCGGCGGCGACCTCGCGAAAGGCTATGCAGACACCTTTGTGCTCTGGTCGCAGACCTTTGGCGAGGCCTACTCGAGCTTCCCGCCGAGCTACGAAGCCTGGGTCGCTGGCAAAGGCGCGTTCTCGCGCAAGACGTGGGCCAAGCACGGCAACGTGCCGGCCAAAGACTCTCGCTTCTTCGGCGTCAACGAAACGTGCGCTGTGAGCGCGCTGCCGTACGCTACCGCCGTCGCCGAAGCCAACGCGATTCGGCCCGAGAGTGGCGCCACGGAAGCCGTCCCGATCTACATCACTGTCATTGGCACGCCAGTCATGGACGGCCGCGTGCGCATGCCGTACTCGCGCCAGACGCTGCTCATGTTTGACGGCGGCCTGCCGTTCTACTACCTCCCGTACGTCTACAATGGCGGCTGCAGCGGCTACGGCTACTTTAATGCCTCGGGCGGCTGCGGCACCACGGGCGACGCGAGCGCTGCTGCCAATGGCGCCGTGCGTGGAGGCTATAGCAACGGCTGCGGCGGTGGCGGTGGCGGCTGCGGTGGTGGCGGCTGCGGTGGCGGCGGCTAAAGGTAGTAGAGCTAAGGCAGCGAATCGCACCTCTTCTATACGTGTGTGTGTGTTGGTTGACGACTGCCTCGCACGCGCCAGGTACAACTCGGTGCCTCGGCGCGTGGATAGCTTTCGGCAATGTTGCGCGTGCTTGACGGGTATGGTAACATGATATTGAATATCGTCAATGCAGCTCTATTTGTAGGGTTTTCTATATGTAATCCGCGTCGGTAGACAAGGCAATGTGGACTCGAGCCGACTTAGTTGTTCTTCTTGACTTCCATGCCGCGCGCAACGCCCTTCTCTTCGTCTTGCTGGCTCGCAAACGCGTTGAAGATCTGCTCGAGCGACGTCTGGCACACCGAGTACTCTTTGAGCGCGACCGCGACCTTGTGCGCCTCCATCTTGGCAAAGACGTCCGAGAGCTTGAGTTTCGCGTCGGCACTGTCGTGGAGTTTGAAGCGGCAGTGCTCGTTCTGGCGCTCGAGGAGCTCGACGCGCGCAAACGTCGACCGGAGAAAGCTGTCGTAGGCCACAAACTGGTTCTCGCCGACCCACCACGCGCAGAAAAGGGAGACCGACACCTTGCTGTCGCGCTCGAGCACCGCGTCCAGCGCATACCCTGTGGAATGCGACTTGGCGATCCAGCCCGCGCGCTCGGATTGTCCGAGGTCCCCGCACAGCTTGATGACCTACGCCACATCCGCGTGTCAGCATGACAGATCCTCGTGCCTCGCATGAGTGTAGTACCTGGTCCCGACTCAAATGCGCCTCGAGGTCCTTCGCCGCCGGGCACACGGGTTGGACCGAGTGTGCGAAGAAGTCGCCGAGCTGGACCGGCGTCGGCACGTTGAGTTTCGAGTCGATCATGAGGCCGTCGCCGAAGCGCGACTTGAGGTGCTGGACACTTCCGAGGCAGCGAAGGCGGCCGCCGACCATGATGCCGACGCGCGTGCACAGCGCTTCGCACTCTTCCATCGAGTGCGTCGTGAGCACGATCGTCGACTCCTTGTTGGCTGTCGAGACGTCGGCAATGATGTCCCACATGAACCTACGAATTCGCAGTTTTTATGAGCGACCATCGAGAGAGGATGCTTCTACCGGCGCGACACCGGGTCCATGCCCGTGGACGGCTCGTCGAGGAAGATGATAGGTGGCGACCCGATCATCGCGATCGCCACCGAGAGCTTGCGCTTGTTGCCGCCACTCAGCGTGCCCGCGAGCTTGTGTTCGAAGCTCTGGAGGTTCATTTGCGTCAATTTCTCCTTGACAACGCCTGCGATATCGGCGGATGGCACGCCCTTGATCTTGGCAAAGAGCTCGAGATGCTCGCGCACCGAGAGAAGCTCGATGAGCGCGTCAAACTGCGGGCAGTAGCCAATCAAGCGCCGGAGCTCGAGCTGCTGCGTGAGAATGTCAAACCCGCCGAGCGTCGCGGCGCCGCCCGAGGGTAGAATGTCCCCCGTGAGCATCTTCATCGTGGTCGTTTTGCCCGCACCGTTGATCTACATAATTTCCATGAGAAAAAGGCAATCTCAAAATGCACAGTCAAGTCGTACCCCGAGGTAGCCAAAGCACTCGCCTTTCGGCAGCGCAAACGAGAGGTTCCGGACCGCGATCTTGTTGCCCGTGTACACCTTCTTGAGACGCTTGATGACAACCATGTCGTTATCGGCATGGCCGTCGAGCACGCGCTTGGCCTCGGCGGCCACGTCTTCGTCGTCGACGTGATCGTCCTTGGCGTCGAGCTGCGGGTCGCGCGAGAAGATGGCCTTGATCCGCGGAAAGCTCAGGAGCACATCGATGCCCAGCGCCAGACCAAAGAAGACGACCGATTCGATCGCCAAGTAGGCGATCTCGGTGCCCGCAACGTCCCAGTCGTAAGCGCTGACGACGGTCTTGGAGTTGGTGATGGAGCCGACAAGCGACTTGAGACTCATCGTGAGCAGTCCGTTGCCGAGGTTGAAGAGCGGCGAGAGCCGCCAGATGTACTTGAGGTAGACGTTGGCGTCCTTCGCCGACTCGGAGATGACGTCGAGGACGAACGACACGATCATGAGGATGAGGCCGAGCACCATGTTGATGATGAGCGTGTAAAACTGCGCCGCCGCCGCTTCCTTGAAGCAGTACGACATGCAGTACGTGAACGGCGCGATCGCAAAGCCAAAGAAGAAGAAGAGGAGAAAGACAGCTTGCGGCGTATTGGACGCACACGCCGCACAGTCGTCGCCCGTGAGTGCTTGGATGCCGTAGGCTTTGATCAGGATGAGCGCGGCGGCAAACGGGATGACGTACACAAGCAGATCAAAGCAGTAGTTGGAGAGCCAGAAGGCCGGTAGGCTCACGCCCGAGACGAGCTGCTGGTGCTTGGAGTTGCACTCGTTTTGCTTTTCTTTCACGAGGAACGTGACGATGGACGCGGGAAAGAAGGTCATCGCGATCACGATGAAGAGGCACGCCGTGAACGACAGAAATGAGCTGAAGAGCGCTTTCGTCTGCGCCGTGATCGGAAACGGAAAGACGTTCACCTACATCATTGCGACATGAGAACAACGCACAGAGACGACGGGATGCGGACCGTCACGGAAATGTCATTGCGGTTGTTGACGTAGCGCACTAGTGCTTCGTCGATCGCGGCGTGGTACACAGGTGCGGCGTGGATCGAGGTCGTGTTGACAAGGAGCGAGTAGCTCAGCATGTTGCTCGTGCTGTTGCCGTGCAGGACGTAGCCGCCGAACTGACCGCCGATCTTCGTCGTGTACCCGCGCGTGTAGAGGTGCTCGGCCGTGCGCACACACGTCGCGACGGCCGGGCCAAAGAGCCGGGCAGCCTGCGGCAGCGTCGGTCCATACGAAAAGTTAAACACGGTCACCGAGCTGTCGGACACGAAGGCGCTGGTGTCCATGGCCGACGGCACACCGCGCGTCGCGGCCTTGGCCCAGTTGGTGCACATGCTGCCGACGTCGCTGTTGCAAATGTAGGGCAGCGGGGTTTGAGCGCCAAGCGCGTAGCCCACCTCGGTTGTGGCTGGATCGAGACGGAGTCGCGGGTCGTTCTCGAGGATCGAACTCGAGTAGAGCAAGCCGAAACCGATGAGGATGAGGAGACACGGGAGCAGCGTGCTGAAGATCATGACGCGCTTGTCCCGCTTCGCGACGCGGAAGCGTTTCTGGAGAAGGGCGCAGAAATGCTTGAGAAACATGGCCCAGCGCGAGAGCGAGTGCTTCTGGATCGAGTAGCTGCTCGTCTTGGTGGTCGGCTTCTCCTTGGAGAGCGTATGCTGGCCGTCGTCGTCGCCCATTTCCGCCACCTTGATGAACACCTCTTCGAGCGTCGTGACCGAAATGCCAAACGACGCGACGCGCAGCGACGACCGCGTCTCAGGCGACTCGAGCGCGCGGAACATTTCCGGAAAGACCGGCGAGCTGTCAATGGGCAGCTGGAACCCGATCTCGGACCCGACGTTGGAGAGGAGCTTCGCGGTGGGCACATGTTCTTGGATGAACGCCGTGAGCGCATGGCTCATGTCCTCGTCGCTACGCCGTGTATGAGCAAGTTGTCTGGCGAGGAAAAAGGATTTAGAGAACGCACCCATTCACCATGGGCTCCTTGACGATCGTGAGGTTGTAGCCCGCACCGAACCGGTTCTTGAGGAAGAGCGACGACCCGCAGCACTTGACTTGACCTTCGGCCATGATCGCGATGCGGTCGCCGAGGATGTCGGCTTCGTCCATAAAATGCGTCGTGAGCACAATCACACGGTTGATGCGGTTGTTGAGAATGAGCTCCCTATGCATCGCGGTGCGTTAATTAGTCATGGTCATCCTTCATTGTTTCGATAGGAGTGGGTACCACGTGGACCGGCGCGAGTATGGGTCCATGCCGGACGTCGGTTCGTCCAGAAACACGAGGCGGCTGTCGCCCAAAAGTGCGATCGCGATCGAGAGCTTGCGCTTCATACCGCCCGAGAGCGACGTCGAGAAGACGTTGCGCTTCTCGGTGAGACCGACTTCCTTGATTTTTCTAGTCTCAAGGTATCAAGCGGCGACTCGTCTCGAAGAGACGTACCGTCGACCGCGTCGTCGAGGTCGCGCCCTGTGTAGCCCTTGACGCTGCCGTAGAAGACCAAGTGCTCGCGGACCGTCAAGTCGGGGTAGAGCACGTCGTGCTGGGGACACATGCCGAGCGACTTGCGGATTTCGCTCATTTGCGTCGTGAGGCGGTTGCCGTTGAAGAACGCGTCGCCTTCGGTCGTCGGGATCATGCCCGTCAGGATCGAAATCAGCGTCGTCTACAACCAGCCAGTTGTCCTTTTTTCTGTTCCGAGAGACAATATTGTCCAACCTTGCCGGCGCCGTTGTGCCCCAGAAGGCAAGTGATTTGGTCTTTGTACATGACGAGGTCGACGCCGTTGACTGCAATCTTTTTGCCGCCGGGCACCGAAAACATCTTGCGAATGCCTTGGATCACGAGCGCTTCGCCGTTCGACTCTTGTTTCTACCAGAGTACCTCTCTTGATAACTTGATACATTCGACACGAAACCAGTACCTCGAGCTCGGTGCCGACGGTCTCAATGTTGTCGTTCTTGACGGACGGGTCGGCCACTCTCATTTCGCCGACTTTGGCGAGGTGCCGCGTACTGTCCGTGCCGCACCAGTAGCTCGGCGAGAACGGAAAGTACCATTTCTGGGGCTGCCATAGTCCTTCGGGATGACTTGCTCGAGGTACATGGCCAAAAGCGCATACAAGACGAAGTCCAAGACGAGCATGCCGAGGCCGCCTTGGAAGCGGTAGTTGGAGTAGACCGTGTTGGCTGTGCTTTGCGTGATGCCCACCGAGACACCTTCGGACGCCGCGAGCGTCTACGCACGTACGAGATCGTGAGTTCTTGTCGTTGTATCGAAGACCTACCTGCACGCAGAGGGCGAGGGTGACGGGCGAAAGGAGCGACGCCAGCATCTTGCCGCCTTCGTTGGCGTTCGTCAAGCCCGCCGAGACAAAGTACATGACGAAGAAGAGCGAGACGCCGACGAGGGACCCGGTCCGCGCGTTGGAGAAGAAGGTCGAGACGAGGAAGCCGTAGGCCCAGATCGTCATCGAGAAGAGGAAGAAGAAGATCCAGAGAAGACCGCCGTTGGTGTTGGGGAAGATCAATGTCGCCGCGAGCGCCTGGAGGATCGATGCGACGAGGAAGATGACGAGGTACGTGACGAGCCACGAAAACACGATCGACGACTCGCTCACGCCCAGAATCTTCATGAGTTCGCGCGCTTTGGTCTCCTTTTCTTGGATGAGGACCACGAGCACCTACGCATCATAAGAATGTCTCTGCGGTTCACTGTGCAGTTCTACCTTGGAGACGGCGTAGAGGTAGGCCAAGATAAAGACGAGCGGGAAGACGTTGCCGACCAAGTCGTAGAACGGCGCGGAAATGTAGCTCGGAATTGGAAACGGGTACGTCGTGTCGGCCAAGAAGGCTTGCGGCGCTTGCAGAAGCGGCACTGCGAGCTGCCCCATCGCGCTGAGCGGGATCTGCTCGGCAAACGCCGTGACGTTCAGGGGCCCGAGCTGCGACTGGATCGTCGCGTCCGAGATCATCTTGGTCATCGCACCGAGCACGGCCGCGTCGGAGAAGAACTGAGTGCCGAGGAGAGGGGCTTGCGAGAGCAACGCCGACGACGTGGACGAGCAGGCGCCGACAGTGCCGTTCGCGTACGACGGCGCGCACGCCAAGAACTTGGTCACGAGCGTCTGCAGCGTCGCAAAGCCAGCTTTGGTGTACGACGTGTACCACGTGCGATCAATACTCTTCTGCAGCGGGTCCACCGCCGGGTACGCTTGGTGGTTGGTGTGAGGCAAGATGCCCGCCGACCCACCGCGACCTTGCGTCGAGTTCATGCGCAGCGTGTACTCGACCGACCCGATACTGCCGGGCGCCGGCACCGAATCAAACACAATCGCCGCGTAGATGAACGGATTCGCGCGCGACGACCCATAGTCCGCGCCTATTTCCACGTGACTTTAGTATCAATGTATCATTGAGACATCCAGCGTGTAGACCGGAAAGGTACGACTGGAGCGCGTCCGCCGTGTCGAAATACATGACCGAGTCGGCGAAGGACGGCACGGCGAGCGCATCGGTGAAGCCCGGCAGAGTGCGGTTCATGAGCGCAATGCGGGGGTACCACTGCGCCATGAGCCCGCCAAAGTACTTGGTCGTATACTCGTTTTTCGGCGCGATCGCAATCTTGCGAGGAATCAAGCCCGCTGCGCACGGTCGTGAGCAAGAGATGATGCAAAATAGTATGTGGCTCGTACCCGGACAACTGGTGGGCACAGCAAACGGCGACGCTGGGTCGACGTTGACGTACCCCATGTACGTGAACTGGACCTTGCACGACGCCGGCGACGCGCTGCGATCGTTCGCGCCGAGCTTGTCATAAGACATGGACGAGAGTCTGCAAGCATCTCATTGGTAAGAGGCCTGTCGTAGGTAGAGGCGATGTACCCGAGGAGAAGCCCGGACATGGACGGCTCGGACGCGATAAAGACACCGGCCGGACTGGGCGCGGCGCCAAACGACGACGAGGCGGAGGGGTCGACCGTGGTCACGGGCACGGCGTTCGTGCTGAGCGGCCACCCAGTTGGGATCGTCTCGTTGTCCGTGAGCGTCTTGAAGTACGCGAAGAGGAGCACGAAGAGCGTCGGGACCGCGATCTCGATGAGCGTCGTGATCCAATGGCGCTGCTTGATGATGCGGTTCTTCCAGAGCAGCGTCGAGATGTGGTGCATCATACTGCGCTTCTTCTGCATGGCTGCTACGAGATCTTATTGCTTGCGGCGGAACTGTCCTTGAAGTGGGTCAAACTGCAAGTGAAACTCGGGTTTGAAACCCGAGCTTAATTTTGGACGACCGAAACGGATCTTGATTGCCGCCTTGGCTATAAATGCCATCAACGCATGGGATTGGGCGACGCGGGACGGTTTTCACGATTGCTGCCGTGGGCTCGGATCGAAATCACTTCGGCGATGGTACATATCAAAACAAACAACTTGGCGATTTGAACCGATCTGCGATCTTCGCTTTCCATTATGGGGTGACAGGATCGCGTCGTTTCGGTCTTCGCTCGAATTCGAGGCGGCGGTTGCAATCGCAGACGGAACCCGCGATGGCAATGCACGCTGGTTTGCAAGGTCTATGTACACCTGTGGGTTGCCCGTGGGTTGCCAAGTGCAGAGATAGAATGGTACAGCCCTGCACCATCTCAAAAACCACTATTGTCGTCTCGCATGCAGTGAAAAGATAAGGTTCCGAGAGTGGCAAACGCTCGGGCGATAGATGGCGGTGCGACGCGGCACACCCACCTGATTCGTCCAAGCCCACACCGCGTCAAATATAGCACGCGATGATAAGCTTAGCACGTAAATATAGCACGTGATGACGCGGTGAGCGTCGGCTCGCGTCTTGCTGCCTGCTCCGTGGGTGAGAACCTCGTGCAGCTATAGGGCCGACTGCGAATGGCTGCAAAGCAGTTTTCTGAGGGCAGTGAATCTATGGCGCAATGCAAGCGCGCAGTAAATTGAGGCCACACTGCATAGTAGCGCGGCGGTAGTGTCCAACCCATGGCCCTACACTACACCACGGTCTGGCCGATCCCCGAGCGTTTGATCAGAAACCTGTCTCGCATTGTCTCCTCGTCGACTTGTGCATTTCGCATACGCCGTCTAGGGGCCGTCCAATCGACGCGCGTGCGAGTGGTTCATCCAAGGTACGTTCAATATGCACCAAGCCTTTGAAATGACCATAGAGACTACGATCAAGATGCGTGGATACCTGCGCGATTGCATTGGATTGCGCGGACGGTTTCGTATCTTGAAGGACGGGTCAGCGTGCTGCCACGTCATGGGCGGCGTATCCGGTTATGGCCGCCGAAGCCGAACCGGTTCAAGTGTCCGGTTAAGTACGAAATCTCGGATCCGGAGGTCCTCATATACTTTGTGGGGCGGACGGTGACGATGAGCAGCAGCAGCACCCCCGAGAGCGCGGAGCGCAGCGCTGTGCTCCAGGCCTACCGCGCCAAGGTGCTCGAGCACCGCGAGGTCGAGGGCCGCGTGAAGAGCATGCGCGAGAACGTCAAGACGCTCGTGCGCGAGTACCACAAGACCGAGGACGACCTCAAGGCGCTGCAGAGCGTGGGCATGATCATTGGCGAGGTGCTTCGCCAGCTCGACGAAGACCGCTTCATCGTCAAGGCCAGCAGCGGCCCACGCTACGTGGTCGGCTGCCGCACCAAGGTCGACAAGACCAAGCTCAAGAGCGGGACGCGCGTCGCGCTCGACATGACGACGCTCACGATCATGCGGTACCTGCCGCGCGAGGTCGACCCGACCGTGTACCACATGCTCAACGAGGACGCGGGCAACGTTTCGTTCTCGAGCATTGGCGGCCTCAACGAACAAATCCGCGAGCTGCGCGAAGTCGTCGAGCTGCCGCTGACGAACCCGGAGCTTTTCCTCCGCGTCGGTATCAAGCCGCCGAAAGGCGTCCTTCTCTATGGCCCGCCGGGTACGGGCAAGACGCTCCTCGCGCGTGCGCTCGCGTGCAACATCAACGCAACCTTCTTGAAGGTCGTCGCGAGTGCGATCGTCGACAAGTACATTGGCGAGTCGGCGCGCGTGATCCGAGAGATGTTTGGGTACGCGCGCGACCACCAGCCGTGCGTCATCTTTATGGATGAAATCGATGCGATCGGCGGGAGCCGCTTCTCGGAGGGCACGTCGGCCGACCGCGAAATCCAGCGTACGCTCATGGAGGTCGGTACCTCTCTTGGCGACGAAATGATAAGCTCAGTCGTCCTCGATGTAGTTGCTCAACCAGCTCGACGGCTTTGACTCGCTCGGCCAGGTCAAGATGGTCATGGCGACGAACCGGCCCGACATTCTCGACCCGGCGCTCCTGCGCCCCGTACGACGACGCCATGCATGTGCATCACGCGGTATGCTCATCGCTTCGCCAACTAGGGTCGCTTGGATCGCAAGATTGAGATCCCGCTACCAAACGAAGCATCGCGCATGGACATTCTCAAGATTCACTCGGGGCCCATCACAAAAAGGGCGACATTGGTACATGCCATCGTCCTCATCGCTCGATCTCATGGCATCTTCTTGGTAGACTACGAGTCGATCGTCAAGCTCACGGACGGCTTCAACGGCGCCGACATCCGCAACGTGTGCACAGAAGCCGGCGTCTTTGCGATCCGCGCCGACCGCGACTACGTCGTCGAGGAAGATTTCATGAAGGCCGCACGGAAGCTCGCCGAGACCAAGAAGCTCGAGAGCAAGATGGACTACAGCAAGGTCTAGTCGCTTTGACCGCCACCGATCTCGAAGTGCGGCGACGACGAGAGACGACGCAACGATAAGCAATGCAAGAACGTTTATGTCCATCATAATGTCTTCCGTACCCATCCTGCACATCGCCTTCCAACGCATGTGGTCGACGCGACGACGCGCATGGCGTTGGCCCTGCCATTCGAGATGTCCCGCCGCATGCGGATCCCACGCACGCCAGGATAGGATTTCTCCGATCTCAGAGACCGTCCATGTCGGTTGCGACGCTGCCGGCAGCGCACTCTGAGCGTCTGCGCCGCGTGGTTGATGCGATGCATATCGTAGCAGGTGCCACGTACTCGGATCGCGGGCGAACGACGCCAAGTGCACGGTCGGTACACCGAGCACGCACCTGCATGGTCTGCCCGCGCCCGAGCATGTTGTCCGCGGTCGTTGCGGCCGGTTCGTCGTGTCGAGTCCCAATTGGCTTGGATCGTCGCATGCGGGTTGCAGCGCCGACGGGAGGATTGCGTCGTCGTCCGATCAGAAGACCAGATTCGCAAGCCGAGATTCGCGTCTCATTCGCCCGCCAATGACGATCGCCGCAAGCTACTTCCTCCCATCACGGCAGCAGGCGCCATCGCGGTAGCTACGACGACGCTCTACAGGACGACCACGGACCCGCGGCCGCCAGCGCCTGCCACCCGTGCCCGAGCCAGGACGCCTGCCAGCACACGCCGTGTCATCGACCCAATTCGATTCGAAATTTGGTCGACCAATCATCGCCGAGCTTCGATGAAAACCAATCTATCGATACTGTCTCAATAGAGCATCCAATTCTCCATTTAGTCTTGACCACGTGCGTGTCCAAGGCCATGGACACATACCGTGGGCGACGTCAACGCCTGCATGGTTGACGCAAGCGGTAGCACATCCTCTTCGCCCACTCTTGCGACCTAGGCTGTATGCCAATACACGTTTCCTTTCGGATCGGAAAGGCCAAGAGACAGCCAAGCGCGCGGGAGAGTGGCAGGTGCATCCAACTGTCGCCGTAAACGGCGCCACCCACGTCAACACGGTGGCGTCGAGCTTCCAGAGCCGACATGCTAGAGTATACTGCATGCCAGTGTCGGTAGCCCGCCGACGACGCCTGATGCAGCGTGTAGTCCAAGGGCAAAGAGAGACGGTACTGAGAAGTGGCAGATGGCAAAATATTGCTCACAGAATGTATACAAACACCAAGATATAATCGAATGCCTTGGGATGACCAAGTTGCTGTTTTTCCAGCACGAGGCCATTTCGAACAACAGATCGTAACGACCATGATGAAGCGCAAGGTGGTCGACAGTGCGCAAGGACCCTCGGGCAGCAAGGCCAAGAAGGCGCGGCCATCCGTGCTGCCATCGACCTGCGCGTCGGACGCGGCCTTCTTCATGCACCATCGGCCCGAGCTCCTCGACGGCTTGAACCTCGACTTGATGGAGGATGACATGTACGCCCCGCCAGCAACAACGACGAAGAAGAAGACCAAAGTGCTCATTTGGGACCTCGACGAGACCTTGCTGCTCTTTAGCTCGCTCTGCAATGGCACGTACGCCCAGCGCGCCGGGCGCACGGCCGACGCGAGCATGGCCCTCGGCGAAAGCATGATGTGCTTTGTCTTTACTGTGCTCGAGAAGCACCTCTTCTTTGACGAGCTCGACAAGGTAGAATGCGCTTGCGAATGGCGTTGCTCATGAGCCTCCATGTAGGAAGACATTGAACACGTGAGCCTCATGACGCGCTACGACGACGGCGTCAGCCTCGACGCGTACGACTTCAACAGCGACGCGATGACGCAGGACGCTATAGGCAGCGCCGACCGGCTCCGGAAGCTCGCGTACCGCTACCGGCGCATTCGGCAGATCTACGAGCGCCTCGAGTCGGTCGCGTTCTTGACAGCCGGGACGCCGGAGGCCGACTTTTGCGCCGACCTACGCGACTCGATCAATGCGTTTGGCGACAATTGGGGCGCGACGGCGCAGCGTGCGCTGCAAGCGGCGACCGCGCGCGGCTACAAGAACATTGTCGTCACCAACTCGCAGCTCGTGCCGGCTCTTTGCAAGTGCCTCATTTACGACCTCGACAAGTGGTTTCCGCCCGACATGATCTACTCGTCGTCGCACATTCGAAAGAAGCATTGCTTTGAGACGATCCAGGCGCAGTACGGCCACGACAAGCACGAGTTTATCGGGATTGGGGACGGGCCCGAAGAAGAGTCGGCGAGCAGCGCCTGTGCCATGCCCTTTGTCAAGGTACTACGAGCAATGGGCTCTACGTCCTTAGCGCTCCCATTGATCGTCTTGTAGATTGCCAACATTCACGATTTGATCGACCTTGCCGAGATGCTCGAGGCCGATACGCTGCCAACTGGCATATAGACAGCAGCAACTGCCATTTCTTATTTTATCTTATACGACACCCTCTTGATCCCGCGTTGATGTAGCGTCGTGACACGAGAAGATGTGGCTCAGAGAGGAAGACGACCGCATTCGGTGATGATGCACGGCGTGATCGGTCGCTCGTTGACGGTTTGCAGTCGTCCAACCGCGTGGACAGTCTGCAGACCACGGACAACGCGACCGAAGGCAACTAGGACCAGTGTTACTAGTTGGCCCAGCAAAAACGTACGGTACCCTTGTTCTTGTCGAGCCACGGTAGCGGCGCGAGCGTGATAAAGAACTGGGCGCCGTTCGTGTGGGGGCCTGCATTGGCCATCGACTACGTAGACGCGCGAGATGAGATTGCACTTTCAGATTGCACTTTGAGATTGAGTACTACGTACGAGGATGCCAGGTTGGTCGTGCGAGATGCAAAAGGTCTCGTCTTCAAAGACGCCGTCGGCAGCGACGACGCAGCCGCCGCGGCCGTCGCCCCGACCTTGGTGCTCGACGTCGCCCGACTGAATCCAGCCGCCAGCGACAATGCGGTGCACGGGAAGACCGGCGTAGCCCGAGTCGCAGAGCTTGGCAAAGTTCTCGCACGCTTTCGGGCACGTGTCCGTATAGAGCTCCAAGACGACAAGCTCGTCGCGCGGCGTCACAGCGTGCTCGTCGACGGCAAACTTGAGGTAGCAAAATGCATGGCCCGACCGCTCGCGGTACGTACGCCACGCGTCGTCGGCCAGGGCTTTCGCGTCCGAGTCCGAGAGCGTCTCGGGCAGTCCGTACTTGATGGCGCAAAACTCTGCGAACGCTTCGGCGTCACCAATGTACGTGTTGCCCGTCGAGCTCGATGCATCAGACGGCGACGGCGGCACGAACGCGATCGGCGCACTGGCAGGATGGTGCGGAAACTCTTGAAAGAGGCCTTGTTTGTACAAGAATGGCGCGTAGTCGACTTCGAGGAGGGCTTTGATCAAGAGCGAGACACCGTCCACGTGCTCGCGCAGGGCGAGCGCAAGATGGCGCATGCGCTGGAAGGCCGGGTCCGTCAGGACGCCGGCGACCTCGATCACGACGCTCTCGTCGGCCATTCGCGAGAGGATCTTGCACTAAAGGCCATTGGTCCAAATCGTGTCTTTTTTTTATTGGTGCACAAGATCGCGGCGGGGCGTTTTCATTGGCGCGTCAATCGCGACGCTTCCCAACCGGCACATCACGACCATGGCTTTTGTACGCGACGCCGTCACCAAGGCGATCCTGCGCGCGCTGCGCAAGTACCTCGTTCACGTCGAGCAAGAGAGCGTCTCACTGGGGCTCTGGGCTGGCGACCTGACCCTCGAAGATGTGGTCCGTCCTCTGCGTGCCTATATCGCACGACATGCATGGTCCACTAGGAGCTCAAGACGACTGCCTTCCACTCGGCCGAGAGTTCCATGACGCTCGTACATGGCGCCATTCGCAGCATTCGCATTCAGGTAGTAACGACGTCCTGGCGAAGCGTTGGACGATGACCCGACGTACAGGTACCCTGGACATCGTTTTGGCGCGAGCCCGTCCAAGTCAAAATCACCGGCGTCGAAGTCGAAGTCGAGTCGAAAACATACCACGACGTACAAGCCGAGCTCGACGAAAAGAACCGCAAGGTCCAGGAGCTGCATGCGAACGGCGCAACGACCTCGTCGTGGTCGTCCTGGATGGTCGGGGGTCTCTCGAGCTCGCTCCTCGACCGCATACTCAAGAACGTTGCCGTCACGCTCTCCGACGTGCACGTGTTTTACACTGGTCGTGGCTTCCGCATCGGCTTGGCGCTCGGCGCCCTTAGCCTTATCGACCATGCGTCCAAAGCAGATAGCGACGAGCTTTTCAAAGCGGTGACGCTCAGCGACGCAGCGATCTACGTCGATGAAGACGCCAAAGAGACAGCGTACCACCTTCTGCCGTCGGTCTACGTACATGCGTCATTGCATCAACCGACCAAGACGTCGCCCATTGCTGTCGAGACGCACGTCACAAAGCTGCAGCTAACGCTTCCATCTTCGTTTGTGTCGCTATGGAGACAACAGGCCACGGCGCTGCAGTGCTATACCCACGGCCTACGGTGCCATATCTGCAAACCTTTCCAAGTGCTAACACACAGCGCGTTCTCTAGACACAAGGTCACCCGATGGCGCCATTTGCATTGCAAGTCCACCCGCAGCCGCGCCCGCGTGCGCTGGCTGTACGCCATCAACCAAGTGTTGAGCCTCCTTCGACCCCAAGTGCATGTACCGCCGTCGACCTTGATCATGGCCAGCTATGCGCATCTCTACGGGTCGTGGCTCCAGCTCATGCAGTCGCGCAACCCGAAAGCGTTGCGGCTTGTCGCTTGCTTGAACGTTTTAGAGCTGCAGCTGGTAGGCGCATGTGCAGGATGCACACTATAATACTGTCGGCACAGACGACCCAGGAGATCTTCGAGTGCCAAGCGCAGGCCCAAGGTGCCCGTCAGAGCCCTGCACTTCGGAACGAGCTACCTACCAAGACGACCTATCAGGTACACAATCAGTGGCGGGAGGATGGAAAGTCGATTGCGGTGCTAGGTCGCTTGGACGTGGGCTCTTGACGAGATCGTGCTTTCTGCTACGTGGGGCGGTCTGTGCGTCGCCAACATGTGGCACCGGCTGACTGCGACCGGCACCAGCGAGGTGTCGAGCCACTTTCTGCTCCTCAGTGCAGAGATGGAGGTCGACGTCCGTTGCGTCACCGCCTCGGTGATTCAAAAGGACACCGTCGTGCTCCTTCAGCTCCAACCTGGCGCAGGTACGCGCCACTGCCCAGAACTTATTGCTATAACATCCGATAGATGTCGATACGATGCTGTCGCTTTCGTTGCAGGTGACGTCGGCAGCGTCGTCGTTGCACGTCACACTGACATCTCTGGACATGACGTGCCACGAAACATTGCCTTCGTGTCTAAGCACGCTCCAGCTGCTCGATCCGGATCTGCCTTTTCGTTTACGACCCCCACCGTCAGACGTCGCAAGCGCATGGGCCGTCGGGTGCTCCGTGCAGGTACGCTGCACGTGGCATGACATACCATATTCCATTCGTGAAACCGCCGTCTAGACGGGCGCCCTGCGCGTCATCCTGCCCACCGATGTTGTCGAGGTATATGTGACCGACTGGTACCTTCACGCCAACGCCGTGACGCACGAGGCGCATCACCGCGTTCAGTGTGCACATGTCGCACTGCGCCACGGCGACAAGGCATCGCCTGTCGTGGCGCTGGAGGCCGTCGACATGTCGTACGGTGGCACCAGCGTCAAAATTGTCGTGGCCTCCCTGGGTGTCTACGTGACGCGCAGCTTGGTGCAGCTTCTGGAGCGCTATGAGCCGTTGCAGGCCGCCTCGCCGTCGGCATCGCCAGCAGCGCTGACACGCACGCGCATCGTCAACGTAACGGTGACGCATGGCGCGTTCCACGTGCTTCTTCCGCTCTTTATGGGTCTCGAGACGACCACTGGCGACGTGACGGAGCTCTTTGCAGTCATACCTGCTGAAGCCATGCTGCTGCACGTGGCTTGGGAAGCGCTGCAGGGAGCGCTCTGGTCGGAAGGCTGCGACGCGCGGTACGAAGCTAGCCTCGACACACTAACGCTGGCACTTCTGGGGCGCGACGTCTTTCGACTGGCGCCACTACCGCCAAGCGAGCCGGGTGCATCCTGCACATTGCACGACTCGGTCCACGCACCACGTCGATGCAGTCTGCGCACCCAACGCCTCGAGGCATCGTTCGAGCCCGAACGTCTCTGCGATGCCATGGGGTATGCGAAAGCATACTGCGATTTGCTTCCCGCGACGGCGACGCCAAGCCCTGCCACGAAGACGACCGAGATGGAGCTCGCGTGGCACTTGGAGCAGTCGACCATCCGTCTCACACAAGAGGGCGGCTGCCTCAGTACGATCATGCTCTTTGGCACGAGCATCCGACAGCACACCGCGACGGTCGCCATGACGGTCGAGCGCTTCACGGTGCAAGACAGCACAGCGTATGGCAGTCTCCACCGCTACTTTATCGTCCCCATGGAGGTGCGTCTGGTCCTGTCACAGGCCCACATGACGTTTTGTGTGTCTAGTGCGCCTGCGCCACGAACGCGATTGCGCCGATGCTCGACATGACGCGCTCCGAGACCGAGCTCGTCATCGCGATGCACGGTCTCCAGCTCACGTGTCTCTACCGCTTCTACCTCGAGTGCTGGAACTATGTGTTTGAGCCCACCGGTGCCGTGGCGGTGCTGCAGCGTGCCATCCAACTGTACTTCCCATCCGACCCGTCGGCCGAAATACCGCCCGCCACCCGGAGTTGCAAGAGCCTGCGCATGACCCACGCCGCGCTCGTCTTTCCGCGCAATAGCGAGTCGGACGACCGACTGGCGCTTGTTATGGACGAGCTCCTCATGCAGCGGTCCTACGTGGATGCGCCATGGACGTACTTTGCCGGGCTCCATGCACCGTCGACGCTATGGCCTGCGCGGTCGCTGGCTGGGCACCTTCAACGCGACATCCTCGAGATGCGTCAATGCCGCGCCTACTGCGCCGACGCCGAAAAAGTGTGCGAGCGCTACTGGTCGTTTGCCTTTGGGACCTTCTCGGCGACGACACCGTCTGGCGCGACACCCGACGCGACGTGTGCCCCGCGCATTCTTGCGAACGGGCGCGTTTTCCAAGCGATGAGTCCGGACTTGCGCTGGTCGCTCGTGAGCCTCGAACCCACGACCATCCACTTTGTGCGCGACACGCATGGCTCGTCGACGCGGGACCTCTACGTCTTCTCGCCGTCCTTGCGACTCGAGATGGACGTCACCGAGTGGAGCATTCTACTCAGTCTCTGGTTTGACAACATGGGCGAGTACGCCAAATTCCCGCGCGCATTCGAGCAGCACATCGCGCCAACGACAGAGTACGACGGCGGGCCACACCCGTGCCACGCGCCGTTCGACGCCACCGCGCACTTAAACGCGATCGTCGACGCGCGGTCGTCAACGCCGTGGGAAGTCGGCGTGGTGTGTCCGCGCTGGGAGCTCCAGTTTGAGCTCAAAGAAGATGCGCTCGCACTCGTCTTGTCGCCGCTGGTGGTGACCGTGACGGGCAGCTACGAGTCGACGTTCTTGACGACGGCCGTGGTTGCCGGCAGCGTCCGCTTGACCAAGCTCGCGACGATCGCCGAGCCGCTGATTGCCATCACATCGTTTGCACCGTTCACGCCCGCGATCCCCGATCGCTGGAGCCCGTTTCGCGCACCGGACGCCGGTCCCCTCCGATCCCACGCGTTTCACTTGACGTCCATTCGCTTCCCGTATGGCTACACCATGCTAGGCATCGCACTCGACGTCGTCGAGCTTCCCATTGTGAGCGACCCCACGAGTCTCACGTATACGCTCGAGTACTTTTCGACCTTCTTTTACGACCCGGCGTTTGGGTACCCGTGGCCCAGCACCGAGATGGATGCAGATACGAGCGGCGACATGTGCGTCGGCGCCTTCTTGACGACGACCGGGGACGAGCTCGACGAGGACGCGCCAGATCTATGGTACTCGCTCCACGCAACGGCCGCGGCCGTCACGGCGACCGTCACGGCAACGGCCAAGACGCTGGTGGTCACCACGGTCCCGGGTGCAACCGTCATTAGTGTTCACAGCGCCTGGAATGCATCGACGTCGAGCTTGCACGTGCAATTACACGGCATCGAGGCGTACTTTCTCGAGGCCGCGAAACGCCGGACCGTCATGACGCCGACGGGGCTCGACTGGCACTACAGCTCAAGCCTCGACACGGCGCAGACGTCACATACCGTGGACATCCAGCGCTACGACCCCATGTTTCCCGGTGCGCCTGAGCTCACAGTGTATGTCTATGGTCTTCCAAGTGACATTGCATTTGTGCAAGCGGTCGTCGCCACATATGCGCGCCTGACGGACGCCTCGGACGATGACGACGATGACGATGACAACGATGACAATGACAATGATGAAACACACAGCGTCGGGTCGTCGACGACCGCCGCATTCGAGACCATCGAGTCGATCGCCGTGACACTGCCACCCCGAGTCTGCTTCATGCTGCTCGATGACGCGCTGCAGTTTCAAAAGCCGCTGCTGCTGTCCTTTCTGACTAACGCGTCGTTGAACGTGCTTCGGTTTACAGACAATGACGACGCGACTGCTGTGGCGCTGGAAAAGTCGCACTCCAAGCTGATGGAGCCCACCGCGGGCAACATGCCGACAACGTACATCAAGCTCACACTGGGCTGCGCCATCGACGTCTTCAACAATATTGTGCGGGGATGGGAGCCGCTCGTCGAGCGGTTCGAGCTCAAAATCCTCGCCGAAGACGGTCCTTGCCGCGGCGCCGGCCTCTGGATCTCGAGCACCGACTCGATCCAAATCAACATCACCGAGTACTGTCTCAATTTAGCGCTCGAGCTCTGTCACGACACGACGCAAGCTCCGTCGTCGACCTCTGGCGTCGTGAATCGAACGGGTCGCGTCGTTCGGTATTTCCAGCCGCAGCCCGAAGCGCACCTCGTCACGTACGTCGGGCCAGCCATGACCGGGGCTCTCCACTCGCCTCCAATCGTGAGCGTCCTCTACGAGGACCGCATGCTTGAGACGACGGTGGAAAATCAAAACTACCTCCGCGTTCTCTTCCTCAACTATGACGCGCCGCTCGAGCCGCTGCGTCACGCCCTCGCGTCCAATGCCGCCGCGCTCACATACGACATGTCGCTTCAGCTCCGCGGGTTTCGCTGGTTGCACCATGTGGACGTAAGCCAAAGCGGCACGTTTCTCTTCGATCTGATTCCGGACGACGACGACGTCAGTGCGCTCGTGGCGGCAAGCCCGTCGATCCGGGCCGCCTTGCGCTGCGTCGTCGGCATCACAAAGGTTCCTTCCAAATAATGCTGCATCCCCTGTATATCTCCCACTTTGACACTAGACGCGGTATGGCCAAACCGTCGCCGTCCAGAGCCAATTGGAGCTCGTCAATGCCACGTCCTTTGTGCTTGGCATTCGACTCGGCAACAGCAAGCATGTAAAGGAGCCACTCGGGCGAGCGCCCGCCACCGCGACGTCACTACAGCCGTCGCAAGTCTACTACGTGCCCCTGCAGCCACTGTTTGAGTACGCCGACGCGTCGCGCGGCAAGCACATTGGGCACCTCTACCTCATGCACGTGCCGCATGGCACAACGGGTAGCGTCACCGCTATCGAAGGCGATGGCATCGACCTCCTCCACCTGGTAGCGATCGCATCACCACCGTATTCTGGCAAAGGATCGAATTTGTGATCTAGATGACCGATGCCAAGGCGTCGTATATCTACTCGTGCAGCCCGAAAGTGCACTTGTGCATTGAAATGGCCGAGCGGTCGCCCCTCGTTGAGCGGCGCAGTCGGTGGAGTCTCTTTGCCAAAGACGACACTAGTACGACGCCGAAATCTGGCTCCCACCTCACACGCCTCGTGCTGCACGCACCGTTGACACTCGAGAATGCGCTGTGTGTCAACATCGTCTGCTGCATCTACCGCCTCGTCGTCCATCATGGGAAGGCGACAAAGGACATTGTCTGGGAAGGCTCGATCAAGGTCGGCGGTGTCGCCTACATCTATTCTTCGACGATGCAAGACGTGCTCTACGGCAGTGTCCTGCTCCCCGGTCTCCAGTGCGAAAGTATGAAACCTGTCACGTTGCACGTCCCGCCACCGACATCGCTAAAAGCCACCGCAAGGTATCTCTCTCTTTAGAGTTGCCGCCCTCCTGAACCATGGTGGGAGATAGGTCGACGTGGTCTTGGAACTCAACGACAAGCGATCGCGCACGACGACGCGGTCGCTCAAACTCAAGTATCACCACTTGCATCAACGTTTCTCGTATTGAGTTGTCGAATTAGGATTGAGCACCTTGTGGGGGGCGGCGGACAGCGAGCGATTGTGCTCTATGCGCCCTACTGGCTCGTCAACTACACGCCGTACGCGCTCCAGTACAAGCAAGAACACGGCACTACCAAGTGGCGGGCAGCGCGGGTGCCGAAGACCGGCGCCGGACCTTGGACGAGCGCTGGATGTGGAAGTGTCTTCTGCGGGACTTGCATTGTGCGTCGTTTTTGGCCGAGTCCGAGCAAGATGAGACGTGTACGCACGTTGAGACAGCTACGACTGGCGAGCTCTGCGGCTGTCCGTCGCCAGCGTGCACAGGTCGGCGCACGGCGCGGTGTGCGACCATGTTTCGTTTAGCTCGGCGGCCTTGGACGATGTCTCGGCGTTTGCCAACAGTCTCTGCATCAAGGTACATATTCGCTGGTCGTTCTCTGTCGTGATTGATCGACTCGGATGTCTCATCTCTGGCTAGTGCCCAAAATACGCCTGGTCCAAGGGCTTCTCCCTCGAGGCACTCGGCATCGACCAAGTCGTCGAGGTATGTCATCGTGACATACCCGACGGTTTCATGTAGACCGCATTTGTAGCTCAAGAATTCATCGGGCGTGATTCCCATCAGCGCGCGTGTCTCGTTGGGCCCGGACGTGTTTTACCGCACGAAATGCGTCACCTTTACGCCTCGGTACCTCGTGTTCAACCAGCTACACGCCCCCTCGCGCTCTACGATGCCCACGACAATCTCAACATGACGATGGCGCCCAACGACGCCCAGCCGTACCACCCGTCGTCCAAGGTCCCCGTCAAGAAGCGGGCGCTCGTGAGTGCGCAGTACATGCTTGCCAAGCAAGCGCCGCGGTACCGGTCGGGCAAGTTTGGCATTGCCACCACGGGTCCCTTGGACGTGACGGTCGCGAGTCTCATTGACACGCCAGCGTCACCAACGTCGCGCCGGGAGGCCAAGCAAGGCGTTGCAGAGACAAAAGCCGTCGACGGTAGAAGATGCTTTCTCGTCCAATCAAACACGTGTATGCTAACGTGGCGTGACGTAGGCGAAATGATCACCGTGCGGCAACATGGCATGTCCATGGACGTCGTGCGCGTGCACTCGCGCTTTGTCGGGTCGACGGTCCTGACGGTCTTTCGCCCCTTGGCGTCTCGGGCCGAAATCGCCTACCGCATCGAAAACCAAACCTCGAGCCACCTTTTATTCTACCGCCAAGCCGGCGTCGACGGGCCGCGGAACGCATGGCAGGTGCTTCGCCCCGGCGCCGCCGCACTCTTTACGTGGCCCGAGCCCATGGCGCCACACCAGGTACGCGCTCGATTGTCGCGTCGGCCGCCTATACTTTGTTTGCAACACGATTGCGTAGTTGAATGTGTCGCTTCGCAACGACGACGCCCGCGCGGTGACGCGGCCCAAGCACTTTTTGCTCTCGCCGCGGGGGCCGAAGAAGGACGTGCGGTATGCCGACCCGCCCAAGACCTTTGGACGCACGATCGTCGGCGAGCGGCGCGGGCTTGGTCTCGACGACATCGACACGGTTGCACTCGACGTGCTCAATCTGCAAGTCGCGATTCCAAAACCGTCGCCGCGGCCGTCCGAGGAACTCACGATCGCCTACGATGCGAAACTCTCGTCGGGCCTGTCGCACCTCAACTTTCCCACAACCTCCATGTTTCAAAAACCCAAGCGCGCGGTGAGCTACGCGCGCGTCGACGGCGACGGCATGACGCGCGTGCTCCGACTTCGTGAGAGCGCGACCCTTGACGACGAGCGCACGTACTTTCTCAAGGAAGAGGTTCGCATGCAGCAGATGCTGCTGTCGTTGCTTGCGCTTCAGCACACGCGTGCGTTCGAGGCGCTGCAAGCCCCGACGCTGCCACGGCGCCGCAGTGTAGAGCTCGAGGCGGTCGAGACGACCCGGTCGTCGGCGCACCATCGGACACGATCCAGTCGGCGCAATAGCTTTAGCGGACTCGCCGAGCTCTCGGCCGCCTTGGAAGCAGAGCCGAAAGAGCCGTCCTCGATCTTCAATTCGACGACCGAGCCGTCGACGTCGACATCGCGCTTTGTTTCGGCGGTCGCGCCGCGGCCGTCCATGAGTGCAGACCCTGACCCGCTCTTGCACCAGCTCCATGCCCGCATTGCACTGTACATGTCTCGTCCCATTTTTGAGATGGTCGACCAAGTGCTCGTCACGGTCGTCTCGGCCACGGGCTTGCAGGCTTCGGTGGCATCCGATTTGTGTCACCCGTACGTCGCCGTGTCGCTCAGCGCACCGGGCAGCAGTAGTAAGCGCAAGGCGGGTGCCCAAAAGACCTACTACATTGAACGCTGCCACGAGCCGAGCTGGTTCGAGCAAACATTCCTCTTCGATCTCGACGGAGCAGAGAATGCGTTGATCGAACTCGACGTCTTGTCGTACCACGCCTTGTCGGCCCACCCCGTGCTCGGCACGGCTACGTTGCCTCTCCGGGATTTTGACGAAACGAGCACCGCCGTTACTCTGCCGCTGCTTCACGACTCGATGAAGGCAGCCAAGAGGGCGACGGTGGTGACCGTGGGTAGTATTGATGTCCACATCGCAGTCTGTCGCTCGACGCGCGGACTGCTTACGCATTGGTACGAGCGGCTCAAGACGCAGACCCGGACGACGAGCGAAGGTCTTGTGTACGTGCGCTCCCGTCTCAATCGGATCGCAAAGGACGTATCCTTGAGCACAAGCGCAAGCTCCATACAAGCGCCGAGACCAAGCCGTCGAGCAAGCAAGAAATGACCGAGAAGGCCAAGCAGCTGCTGCTCAAGAAGAAGGACAAGCTTGTGGCCCATAAAAATCGCCTGAAAGTCAAGTGGCACGAACAGCTGCACAACTTGCAGCACCGCCACATGAACGACACGCTACAGACGCTCAAGGTCGCGGCCGAGACGCGTATTTTGCGCCGGCTCCGCAAGTCGACCAAACCCACACCGATTGGCAGCCTCCAGCGGGTCAAACGTCTCTTCTCCAACAAAGACGGGGTACGATAACCCGCGCTACAGGTCGCTGATCGATGCATAGGAAGCGATCGCGTCGTCGTCACCTACGCACGCCGCCCGGGGTGCGCATCCATCGCGCAACGTGAAGCAAGTCGACGCTGCGTCGATTGATCACGTCACCGAGGTCAAATCGTATGTACACTTTTTGTGAAACCGTCGGATCTGTCATAATGACATACCATGCGAGGGTAGGCAATTCGAGCGGCTCGTCAGGCGCGGCGGCACACTTCGCGTGGTGGTTCTTGAAGGTCGAGGGTTCGCTGGCAAAGGTGACCGGGTGCGCTGCAAGTTCACGTCCGAAGGTGCTACGTTCAAGACCAACAAAATCAAAGGGGACGACACCATGCTGTGGAAGCCAAACACGTTCGAGGTACATCGACTGGTGAGAACTCAACGCACTCACACATTGGTAGATGTCATTGCGACGACAGCGCGGCGTCGTCACCGTCATCGCGCTCAACGCCGGCACGGCCAGTGGCGAGGTGCTTCTTGGCATGCTGCACTTGTCGATTGAAGCGATCATCGATTTCTGTGTGACCCGGGGCACGTCGCTCACGGGGTGGTTCCCTCTATTGCATCCGAAAGACACGACGTCGCTCGAGATGGACCTCGAGCAGCTCGTGGGCACAGAGCGCATTGGTGGCGGTCTGGGCTACTCGATGCCGTCGACGTCGAGTCCGTGCTTGCGCCTCCAGCTCCAGTATGAGCTCGCGCCCACCTCGTTTGTGGTCGGTACCATGCTGCGCTACGCAAGCATCCATCTGCGCGAAGTCGCCTTGTCGCTTTCGGCGCAGGTGTACCCCATCTTTTCGCTGGCCGCCGCGCCCCGCCTCGAGATGCAAGAAGTGCTCCGCGTCTCGTTTGATACAGTGGATGCGTATGCGCTCCAGTCGACAAAGCAGCGGCGCGTCGCGATCGACATCGACGGCTTCCAAGTCGACAACCAGCGCAGTTTCAGCCACCAAGTCGGTCTCCCCGTCGTGCTTTCCCGCGCAACCATGACCCCGGACCCGCTCTTTCACGCGACCTTGGTGCAGCACGTGCCAAAAACAAAGCCGTGGATGGGCTGTTGCACATCGAATTTATCGCGTTGCAGCTCCAGGACATTGACTTGACGTTCGACGAAGCCATTTTGCGCACGCTCTACGACATCCTCGACCGCCTCTACGACAAGCACGCCGCGCATCTCTCGCCTCGGGCACCGCGTACGCCACGGAATGTCTACATTGCGCACCTGGAAGTGAGTCCGTTCCGCGCCAACATCACCTTCCGCAAGTCGTACACGGCCGAGAGCAGTGCGTCTCTCCGGCAGCATTTCAAGAGCTCGTTCACGCACTCGTTTGCAGCCGGGCTCGTCAACGTGGCCAAAAGCATCGAGAATGCGCCACTGCAATTTTCGAGTCTCGTCATCCAGCACGAAATCACGGACGCGGCGCATGTACACGTAGCCTCCGAGGCCATGGAGGAGGATGACTCGCATGCTAGGTGCGCGACGTTGTGCTCGACCACTACACGACGAGCCTCTTGCGACAACTGTACAAGCTCGTCGGTACGCCGAACTTTACAGTAAACAAGGTGCTGCAATGCGGCGGATGGGCGTAGGCGCTATGAACTTTATGGGCAATCCCGTCGGGCTCGCGGCGAGTGTCCGCGATGGCCTCACCGACTTTGTCGTTGCGCCGTACTTGGGCATGGCACGCTTTGGAGCGCGGGGGCTCCTTGGGGGTATGACCCGGGGCACGCTCTCCCTGGTCGGGCACACAGCGTTCGGTGTGCTCGACACCACGTCCCGCCTAACGACCGCCATGGGCAATTCGGTCATGTCGCTCTCCCGCGATCGCGTGTATGCCGCCAAGCGCAATTTCTTTGCCCTCGCCCGCCCGTCGTCCCGCAGGGAGCAAGTACGGTGATGACGTGGCGTCGTATATTTTACATTATTTCTTGTGTTTTAGCTCAAACTCAATGTCAACAAGCTCCAACACGACATGACCGGTGGCCTCCTCGGCGGCTTCACGGGTCTTCTCGTCGACCCGATGCGTGGCGCGCAAAATGGGCCGCGGGGGCTCGCTCTTGGTGTCGCGAACGGCCTCTCGGGCGTCGTCGTCAAGCCCGTCGTTGGCGCGATCGACCTCACAACGCACGTCCTCGAAGGCCTTCGCGACGTGGCAGGCTTGACGTTTGACAGCAAGCAGATCACGGACGAGCGTCGGCGGAAGCGCATCGCGCACACCTTTGGTGGCGACGGCCGGCTCTTGCCCCACGACCCGGTCTGGAACTGGGCCAAGGTTCACCTTTTTTCTCAACACCAAACGTCCAAATTTAAGAAAAGACAACTTGTCTGATTTAGGCACTGCTCGTGTCGTTTGATCCCATCTCGACAACCGCGACACCGCGGGTCCACCTTCAAGTCGGCGACGTCTTTGAGAAAGGTCAAGTGCTCTGGGCGACCGCGTTCAAAAGTGCACCGGGCGAGTACCTCGTCGTGGTCGTCCGGAAAAGCGAATTGCTCGCGGCCCACGTCTTGGCGGCGCACTGGCAGCAGCCGACACTCAAGTGGCGACTCGCAAAGGACTACGTCCATGGCGTCGCACTGCACAAGTCGGGGGGCGCGACGCGTATCGTGCTCTACGTGCACAAGCCGCCGAGCGCAGAGACCCAAGTGCACATTAGTACCGTGCCCTGGGAAGACTCGCGCAACTTTGAGAACGACGAACGCAAGCTGCTCGACTTGTTCAATTTTCTCAGTCGGTCCTACCACGTCGTGGGCGGCAAACCGATGGCCCAAGACGTGGTCTCGCCGCTGCAGAAGTTTGCGTTCGAGCGCCTGCTCGGGACGCAAGAGATGCTCAAGACCCAGTACTGCCTGCACGCGGCCGACAAGGACGCGCTCGCATCGACACCGTGGGCCACCTCGGACGGCGACGAAGCACGACGGCCGCTGTGGAAGTCGATTAAGCAGCACGAAGAACGGGACGCGACCCAAGTCGACATGACGTAGTGGCAGTGTCGACGATTGAAGCATCGTAACCACATGCTGTTGCTGCGCCGAGGCCACATGCGTGCACAGCCAAGAACGACCGAGCCTCACCTGCTCGTCGAGTTCAATAGACGGCATAGTGTACCAGCACCATGGACCCAAGCAGGAAGAAAAGACGTAGTTTTCCCTTTCACGTTCTTGGAACGCTCGAGTGGCGAGTGGGCAATGTTGGAAATCGTACAGCGACTAGTGATCTAGACCAACTGAGCTACACTATGCACAGATTACCCATGGTCTAGCCTCCGTAACGAATAATATTGCTTTCATGGTTGCGTTCGACTATACACATCTCGGACAATGCCACGGTAGAGCACACTGCGTGGCTCAAACGTCTTAAACAGGCGATACTTTGATGGACCGATCGCAGCCATCAAGAGTTTAGGCTCGAGACGAGACGATCTGCATGCGAAGCGACTGCATGCGTGGCATCCTTTTGGCCCGCACTGTAGCAGGCAGTCGAATTTGTGGTTTGAAAGCACCCTGTCGCGAAAAGTACGTTTGAGCAAGGCAGCAGCTGTCCACGTCGAAGTCCCACGGCCCAAGCTCGTTTCCAAAACAAGTCGCCTCCAAGCACGCACGGCTCGACGCCAGGTACCGAGCCACCTTTCATCGTCGCGCAATACTACTCAAGTCTCGACCATACAACGACAGACGCAAGCGACTACCTCACGACTCTCTCCCTCATTCACTTCTTGGTGTACGTCTTGGAAGCACCATCCCGCGAGCAGCCAAGCACCGTGACGCCACTCGACCTGCTACATGTCCCGCCCAGAAAAAAGACCACATGTCGCCTTGTTTGACAAAGAGAGTCCGACGGTATCGAGACGACTACGCTTGCGGTTCAAACGACGCGTGCGTCTCGGCGTACTTGGCCAAGAGGTGGTCGCCGCTCGTGATGGGTGGCAGCGGTGTGCCACGTGCAGCGCAGGACGGAAGGCAGGCGACGAGACACGTAAAGTTGGGCTCGTAAAAAAACGGGATCGAGTAGCGCTCACGCCCGACGCGGTTGACCTACAGGTCGTCATGAGCCGTCTCATTAACAATAGCGCAGCATACGACGCGATGGCGCGTCGACTTGAAGAGGCCATTGGTCCATCGCTCTAGCACGGACGTCCACACTGCAAAAATGAAAGGAAGTCTCGGTACCGCCCAAATCGCCAATGTTGACAATGAAGCAGTCGGCGCGCGGCGGCACGGCCACCCAGCGCCCTTGCAACTCAATCTCGAGGCCCGATTGGTCGTCCGTGGAGAGGAGCGTGAGGAGGCCATAGTCCGAGTGCGCGCCAGCGCCAAAGACGCCGCCGTCCACGTCTGACGTGTGGTCGCTGTAGTGTAGCAAGCGCAGCGCAGCCATCGGGCTACACCTCGATCGACCACCAAGCAATATGCATCGCAGCGAGTGTACCGATCAAACATGCCAGGGCCATCAAACGCACCGGGGGCGCCAGCGGCCTCGGCGAAGAGCTGGGCGACGTGCCAGCCCAAGGTGGACATGGCGTCAAAGTACTTGGTCATGGTCGGGCGAAAGCGCGGGTACGTAGACGTATCCGGAAAGACGTTGGGGCCATGGAGAGGCAAGCCATGGTCTTCTGGGACGGGCTCGCGGCAGATATAGTACCCTGTTCCCATGGTCGACAATGGACGTGGGATGATGCAGGGTGAACACCTTCTTTCGTGTCGCCCTGGGTTTGCACGGCTGGGTCCAACGTCTCTTCGCTCATCGGTGTATAGCCGCGCATGTACTCGTTCGCCAAGACCTTGCGCTTCTCCTGCACGGGCTGCTGGAAGAAATGGTGCATTTCGGCGTAGACGTCGGCGATGAGGTCCGCGGGGATGCCGTGGTTCTTGAGGTAGAAGAAGCCCACCGTGGTACAGGCCTAGAGGAAACGATCAAGTCGCTAAGCTTGAAGTAGGGCTATGTAGTACGTGGCGCAGCTGGGCGCTAGCATCGCTGGCGAAGCAGTCGACGACCGGGATCTCGGTCATTTGGCAAATCCACGTTTGTCGAAAGGCTCATCTCGTCGTGGATTGGCTGGTTTTATGGATGAGCAGATCCAACCAATCAGCGCGCAAGGGCAACTTCAAGGAGAAACAGGCTCGGAGTCGTGTTGTCGTTGGAGGTGCCAGCGCTGCACACTTACCGGTACTGACGGATCCTCGTATATGGTGAGCGAGTCGCCTCGACTACCGCTCAAGTACTAGACCATTGAGGCGAGCAATCATGTTTCTCGCCCGTTGCGTCCCATGAAATGACGTGGTTGGCTCGACTAACGACCAACCGATCGACGAACCGATTATGAACCAGTTCGCATGGTTATATGCATCTCAGTGAGTAGGCCTTACAACTTGGTAGTCCTGGGGCAAAAGGCGCCTCTAACGAAGCCAGGGACGGGAAATGTGCTATGTTACCACGACGCACTCTAGCTCATTGAGCGAAGATACGTTTTGGAGTTGAGTACAGTACCGAGAGCAAGGACTCGAGAACTCTTCCGAGCTTCCGAGTCCTATTGTCGGCTGCTTTCCGACCGCCTCACGACAACCTCGCGCCCATACCTCGCGGCTTTTTTCTAATTTTTCTCGACTTTTCACTCGACTATTTCCCAACGTCTCGCAGAAAACAACGCTCGAGATCTGCCACGTCATCATCCCATCCCGACGACGACCGTAGCCAGCGTTCCGTTGGTTTAAGACCAGTGACCACAAGTGTGTCACGCAGCCGACCGAGGCGATGCATGGTTGGCGCTCGCCAGTCGTCTGCTGGTCAATAACCGCCCTGGCATCCAACAAAGACACAAGTGGTCTACATCAACGAGACGACTGACAACCATTCCAGTGCATCCATTCGATAATGAAATTATCGGCTTCAAGGCAACGTACTCGTAGTTAGTTCATCGTGCGCGGTTCGCACTGCGACGTCTCCGAGCTGTACCACTTGCAATAGTCTTCGCTGCGGCACGTCTTGCCTTGCTCGACATAGCCTTCTTTGGTGCCGCCGCAGCGGCCCCACGTCGGGATCTCGTTGCTGCCCGTGCTGCTTGGACGGCACTGCGAGTAGTAGTCGCTCTCTCGCACGCACGAGCTGCCCTGCGGACACGACGCGTCGCCGTTAAAGCCGTTGCCGCCACACTGCTGCCAGAGTCCAGCTTCGGCCGCGTGCATGGCCATTGCCTTCTTGATGGGCTCGCACTGCGACGTCTCCGAGCTGTACCACTTGCAGAAATCCTCGCTGCGGCACGTCTTGCCTTGCTCGACATAGCCTTCTTTGGTGCCGCCGCAGCGACCCCACGTCGGGATCTCGTTGCTGCCCGTGCTGCTTGGACGGCACTGCGAGTAGTAGTCGCTCTCCCGCACGCACGAGCTGCCGGCAGGACACGCCTTGGGCTGCGCAAAGTCGTTGCCGTTGCACTTGTCCCAGAGACCGACCGCGTCGCCGGCCGCCGCCATCGTGGGCGACTTGCGCAGACAGCGCGAGAGGTACTGGACACCGGCGATGGGCTTGCACTCGTAGTTGCTGTCGATGCAGCACTTGCCGTAGGGCCAGTTCTGGCCGTCGCATTGGCTCTCGGCCCACGCGCACTGCTGGGTGGCCTCGACGTGCATGGATGCGCGCGGCTTGGGCTGGCACATGGAGAAGTACCGGCCGTTGACCGGCTGGTCAGTGCGCTTGCAGACCTGGCCCCACTCACACTGAGCGTCGTAGTCGCACGGCTTGAACTGGCCGTTGAGGTTCGGGTCGTTTGGCTTGGACACCGGGAGCGGGTCGTTGGCCGGGCGCGACCCGGGCTGGCACATGTTGTACGTCTTGTCGTTGGTGGGGCGGCAGTAAAAGCCTTGGCCGCACTCGCTGTCGCTCCAGCACTTGTCGAACTGCTTGGCGAGCGTGGCAGTCGCGAGCGTGAGCACGAGGAACGTCGTCTTCATGGTAGTGGTGCGTAGTGGGCGGGTGGTGAAATCCAAAATGAGCTTGCTTTTTGCTGCTGCACTGAGTTTGAAATGAAGAGAAGATGACGCCTGCTGGCTAGGCTATGTTGAATCCACGCAGACACGTCCATGCAGAATCACGTTCTCGCAATGGCACTGTGGTCGGGCCTTCGGTATGGATGTTTTGGGTACTTGACTACCAGTGATGATTCAGTGGGAGATGGTGAGACGTACGCACACCGGTACACCAGTAGCACCCAACAATCGAGAGGAAAATCGTTGGCAAAGCATTCGGCCAAGCATGGTGGCTCAAAACGTCAGGGTTGACGCCATTTCTATCTATCTTTCTATCTATCGATCTATCTATCTACGCAAGCGTGAGCACAAGGAACGTCGTCTTCGTGATGATGATAGGTGGTGCGCTGTGATGAAAATCAAGGTCAGCGCCTCTATCCTGTGGGCACTTAGCCGGGAATGGCTGCTCGGCGATCGCCGAACAGGCAGTGAACGAACCCGTAGCCAAACGTGGCACATCAGTGCACTGGCATACCGACGCGCAAGAAACGCAGTGGATGCGTCGGGGTCGTTTGGCGCTTCCTGCGCCAACTCTGTCATAGGCAGAGTCGTTCTCAGTGGCCCATCACACCTTCATCAAGGTGTCGGCTGCATGCAGAGCAGGTCAACAGACAAGACGTGGCGGCGAGCGCGTCTTCAGCTGTACTTGAAGTCGTGCAGCACTTGGATAGCTGCTTGGTGCCACCAGCTGGCTCGTACTAGTACGCATATGTGTGCCTGGTCGTTCCGGCGCTGGGCTGTGGTAGCACGCACCTTCGATATTTCTGCGCATGTGATTGGTCAGCATAAGCGATCCAAAATAAAGCTGGCCAATCCGAGCACAGTGTTCAACTTGAAGCCGCCACGCAAGCCCAGCGCAACAATGCCCCGTCATCGCCGTGGATAGCTGTGGGTCCTTGCGGGTAGATGCGACCAGGGAGGATGCGGTACGCTCGCTCGATTCAAGACAATAAGACCTGCACGCAAGCAACCACTCAAAACTGCTTGTTAGACAACGACCAAATTACTTGGGGATGCACTGCGAGAAGAAGTCGTTATACTTCTCGCACTTGTCCTCGTCACGGCACGACTTGCCGTTGGCCTGGAAGTTGTTGTTGCGGCCGCCGCACTGCGCCCACGTCGGGAACTTGTCGACCGGCGTCGCGTTGGGCTGGCACTGCGAGTACCAGTCGTTGATCTTGACGCAGCTGTTGCCGCCCGTGCACGACTTGTCGCCGTTGTAGCCGTTGCCGCCGCACTGCTGCCAGACAGCGACCGAGCCGACCTCGGCGTCCATGGCCTTCTCTTGGGCTCGCAGAGCGAGAGGTAGTCGTTCTTCTTGTTGCATTCAAAGTTCGCGTCCTTGCAGCACACGCCAAACGGCCAGTTCTGGCCGTTGCACTGGCTGTGGTTCTCGGCGCACTGGCCGCTCGTGGGCGCCTGCGTGGGGCCGCCGGGGCCGCCGTCGTGGCAGCAGGAGCCGCCGTCGTAGCAGCAGGGGCCGCCGTCGTAGCAGCAGGGGCAGCCGTCGTGGCGGCGGGGGCCTGCGTCGGGCCAGCCGGTGCCGACGCGCCAAACACGCAGCCCTTCGCGCCCGTCTTGATCGTCTGGCACGTGGCGTCCACCGGCGCCACGCACTTGGCGCCGTCCGCGTAGCTCTTCAGCGTCTTGATGCAGTCAGCAACCGCCACATCGCCCTTCTTCGGGCACTTGTCGCCGGCGCCGCCGCAGATCGCACCCTCAATGCAGTACGTGGCATCGCCCTCGACGCTGACGTTGGTGCACGAAGCCTCCGACGCCATCGCATGGCTCGCCGGCACGCACTGCGCGTACCACTCGTCCTGGTGCTTGCACGCGTTGTTGTTGCCGCAGCAGCTCGGGCCGGAGAAGCCCTTGCCACCGCACTGGCCGTAGAGCTTGGCGCAGCCTTCGTTGGGCTGGCACATGGAGAAGTACTTGCCGTCGAGCGGCTTGTCGGTCTGCTTGCAGAAGAGGCCCTTGCCGCAGCTCGCGTTGCTCGTGCAGGGATCGTACTGCTTGCCGTTGCCAGAAGCGGGCGCGGGCTTGGGTGCATCAGAGGGCTTGGGCGCGGTCGTCGGCCCCGAAGACGGGCGGGCGCCGGGCTGGCACATGGCGAACGTCTTGTCGTCCGTGGGGCGGCAGAAGAAGCCTTGGTTGCAGTCCTCGTGCGTCTTGCAGACCTTGAACTGCTGCTGCGACGTGGCGGTGGCGGCCGCCGAGAGAGTGAGGAGGAGGAACGCCGTCTTCATGATGTGGAGGAGATGTGGAGGCAAAGGCGAAAGGCAAAGTGAGGTCGACAATCTTGGCCGCGGGCTTAAAAGAGAGTGAGTGCCTGGGAGCGCTCTCTCTTCTTCGACGCTCACGGTGTCGATACTGTACACCTGATGCAATTATTGCCGATGGGCAAGAGAGTGGGTGCAATTCACCAAAAATGTTAATTGGATTTCGACCAATCAGAAGAGCGGATGCTGCGATCCGGTGCGACCGGCGCAACGGAGCACTCCCTCAGAACCGGATTGCAGCCATCTGGGTTTCGTTAAAATCCGGGTAACTTGATCCCTTTAGGAGCTGCGAGCGTCGAAATAATCCGAGCGGTGGTGCAGGATTGTAGCTGAAAAGATTTTTGGATCGAGGACGCCGGAATGGAACAAGGGGCTTGGTGTTCGAATCCGAAGCAGAGCATTAGACCAAAGGGTCGCTTGTTCCATCGATTCGCCCCTAGCAAATAAAGACGATTAGCCGTGGATGGCCAGGAGAGGGCGATATCGTATAATAGTATACTGGCCTGCGGCTACACTCAGAACCGTCGAGGCAGTGAAGAGGTGAGGAGGATACGATGTGAGTTCATGCGCACTCATTGGGAGAGCGATAGATCATTGGTGGTCGTGCTCTCAACAGCGTTGCGCGGAACGTGGCCGGTCGTCGCACGCGACCAAGGTCATCGAAATAGAGGGGCCGTGGCTGCTGGTCTCTTTCTTTTGCCAAGTCGACGAGCGTAAACTCGGCCCCAAGCTACTCGTATACATCATATGTGAACGTGTTTCGCGTTATCTCGGTTGCTGCAAAGCCTTTGCATACGTAGAGACTCGCAAGCTTCTTCATTCGCGCACCGGGCCGTGGCTGCGCTGGCGGCGACGCGTCTTGCTCTTCTGTCGTCGCCCTGGGGCGCTTGCGGCCGCGGACTACCCAAGTATATAGTGTGTAAAGGTACTTGATGTCGAGCGCCACTCTCTCAACTCATTGCGCGCAAAACCGTTTCGTGACCCGCCGAGCGAGGGGTCGCACAAACCCTGCTGATCGGGACACCTTGCGACGGCTCGGACGATGGAATCAAGGACAGAAATACATGTGAATCAATGTGATGTCCTTGATGGAATGAACGACGACCTTATCGGTAACGATGACCAAGACTGATGTCTTCCCCGCGCCTTGCGAGGTGGTTCCAGTCCTGGCACACGGAGCGGCCTTAGCACGCGCGCACCAGAAAGCAAGATAAGAACTGGATATTCCCAGGGGTATTCCTGCAGGAGCCGACCTCAATGGTCAAAACGCCCGCTGAACCGTCGATATCGAACGTCCACGCGTCCTATGCAGCCGATCCGCTGGCACCGGCGGATAACCTTGGTCAATCCGATCCGTGCACATCAAAGACACTCGAGTGCTAAAGTGAGACCCCTTGCCCTCTCAACTCCTCGCCCGTCTCTCAAAGCTCGTTGCTTCTGCGGTCGAGCTGGTTGCTTTCAGGTAGAGACCTTCTCGACCCTTTGAATGCGTGCGGTCGATGGCGCTGCACAACGAGCTTTGCAAGCAAGGAGGCCAATGAAACAAACAAGACGTTGTCAGGGTAAACTGTGGGCGTTGGTGGCTCAAAGTACCAAGTGCTACAACACGTGTGTCCCCATCGCTACGAAGGTAATGCGAGTCACCGTGCGCGTGCGAGGTCGCAAACCAGCGCAACAAGGAAGGGCCCTCCACGTTCTCTCCGTGATACGAGCCCAGGATGCGGCGACAGAATCGCCCGTTCTCACGCATGCTTTGCGTGGCCTGCACATTTAGGAGGATGGAGGATTCGTGGCTTGGCGTTTGCGAAACCAATGGGCGCCACGGCAACACAGCAATATGGTATTGTCAACGCCGCTCATTCTGCTGGTCGAGCGCCAGCATCCGCTTTCATCCGTCAAAAGAGGCGTTCCCGGCGATGCGTCAAGCAACGCCAGCACGACACCGAGCGTATTGACAGAGGTCGACGACCAAGCGGCATGCAGCCCGAGGTCCTTTGCTCTGCCTATGAACACAGACGAGAGGTCTCTGCAATGAATGACAAAGGTTAAACCAGGTGAACGGCCAACGCTCAACTGGAAGTACTACACGACGATCCTAAAACAAAAACGTACAAGTACTTGGGACTGTACACCGAACACCACTCTCCCCGGAAGCTCGCACGCGATACCGCTGTGCAAGATGGATCTCTCAGAGCATCGTTTGCATGATTCTAGACTTGATTGATGGGAAGCCGCGGCTGCAAATCTCTTGGCCCGGGGCTTGAAGCCGCCTTGACGCCGAATGCTAATTTAGAAAAATCGAGCTCAAGTCGCTATATCATTTCTTCATTAGCTGGAGGCGTCGCGTTCAAGCCGCGCCATGAGGACCGCTACAGACAGGCTTCAATGGGATGTCACAGGTTTTCTAGTTGTATCGAGTACGAAAGTAAAACATGTCTTCCAGTATATCGAAAGATACAGTATTCTGCTTTGAGGTCGGTGGCGACGAGCAGCAAGAACATGGATCGCAAGCGCAGCTACCGCAGCCGTAGCCGCAGCCGCAGCCCACGCCGAAGCAGCCGCAGCCCACGCCGAAGCAGCCGTCGTGACCGGAGTGACAGCAGAGATAGATCGCGCCGGGACAGCCGGTCGCGAGACCACGAGCGCAGCAGAACGCGCGAAAGCCAAGGGCGCTACACGACGCCACGGTACGTTCGCCGGTCTCGGCACGACCATGGTGGACCCACGTGATTGCCATATTAGCACCGAGTCGTACTCGTCGTCGTCGCGCCACTCTGCGTTGCGCATGTCGACACCATCGACGTGGGCAGAAAAGCCGTCGCCGGCGCCGAGCTCGTCGAGCCGGTCGGGTCTCGGGCTCAACGCGAGCGACTGGGAGGAGCCGGAGCAGCTGCACTCTGCGAGCATGTCCCACAGCGAGCAGCGCACGACCAAAGCGTCCGAGTGGGATGCGCCAACACCGTACGCCGTCGTCGCTTTGCACTCTGGATGGCTCATGGGACTACATAGGTCGCCGATGCGCGTCTCGTCGTCGCAGCCCTCGAGCACCCGCTCGTCGAGCGCCTCGACGTCACAGCGTCACGCCGACATGATCGCCAAGGAAACGCGCCATCGTCTCGGGCGCGGCGACTACGCCAAGAAGGAGTACGACGACGCCGACGAGGAGCGCTTTGATCGCGAGTTTTACCTCCGGGACGAGGCCGACAATTACGGCCACGAGTCGGCGTTCCTTGGCAACGCGGAAAAGTTTCGTAAAATCGAAGACGACATGCTCAAGAGCCGCCAGCGCGGTATCGATCCCTCGACCACCCCTCGACGTCTTCCCATCCTCAACATACCATGTCTAGGCGACCTCAAGCTGCGTGGCAAGTCGGCCCGCGCGTCGGCGCTCAACCAGGACCAGGAAGCGTGGGAAAACAACCGGCTCTTGACCAGTGGTGTCATGGCCACGACAGTACGATGACGGCGCTGCCTGCGATCGCCCTACATCTCAAGACACAGCGAATTGTTAGGAAGTCGACACGGAGTTTGACGACGAGCTCGACGCGCGCGTGCAAATCATGGTGCACAACACCAAGCCGCCGTTCCTGGACGGCCGCGTCTCGTTCACGACGCAGGTACCATATGCCCTCGACGTGTCGCTCCTCATGGATCCTCGGGCGTACTAGATGGAGATGGTCGCGACGGTCAAAGACGCGACCTCGGACATGGCCGTGTGTGCGCGCAAGGGCAGTGAGCTCCTCCGCGAAGTCCGTGAGCAGCGCGAACGGTGTGCATTTCGTACACGAGCATCGACTTACGCTTGTTTAGGTCCAAGATGCGCAAGCGGTTCTGGGAGCTCGGCGGGTCCCGCATGGGCGATGCCATTGGTATCCAAGCGCCGGACGCCAACGTCGACGAAGACGGCAACGCGCTCCCGCCCGAGCTGGCGGACGCCCCGCGCACGGGGCCGCATCCGGACGATGTCAACTACAAGGAAGAGTCGCAGTTCTCGTCGCACATGAAGAAGAAGATTGTGGCCGTGAGCGACTTTGCCAAGAGCAACACGATTGGCGAGCAGCGGCGGTACCTCCCGATCTTCCAGTGCCGCAGCGAGCTCATGCAAGTGATCCGCGACAACCAAATCGTCGTCATTGTCGGCGAGACGGGCAGTGGCAAGACGACGCAGCTCACGCAGGTAGCACATCTCCACTTGCTTTCTATCGATGCTCGATGGGAATTATAGCGTCTTGTATGGACGATGGCGTAGTACATGCACGAAGACGGGTACTCCAAGTTTGGCATGATTGGATGCACGCAGCCGCGCCGTGTCGCTGCCATGTCGGTCGCCCAACGTGTGAGCGAAGAGATGGGTGTCACCCTCGGCGAAGAAGTTGGGTACTAGACGGCTTTCACTTTTGATGCGATTCTTGGATCTTGATACGTTGCTAGGTATGCAATTCGTTTCGAAGACTTGACGTGCGACAAGACGATCGTCAAGTACATGACCGAAGGCGTCTTGCTCCGCGAGTCCCTTCGCGAGTCGGACCTCGACAGCTACTCGGCCGTCATCATGGACGAAGCCCACGAGCGTGCCCTCAACACGGACGTACTCTTTGGCATTCTTCGCAAGGTCCACCGCGTTTTCTGTATCTATCAAGGTTTCAATTCTGATCTATCGATCTAGGTGGTCCAGCGCCGGCGCGACTTTAAGCTCATCGTGACCAGTGCGACGCTGGATGCCAACAAGTTTGCCACCTTTTTTGGCGGCGTCCCGCTCTTTACGATTCCCGGCCGCACCTTCCACGTCGACATGTCGGTGCTCTGGATCCACGCGTTGATAGATTGATACCTATGATGGTAGCATGTACGCCAAGTCGCCCGCCGAAGACTACGTTGACGCGGCCGTGAAACAAGTGATGACGATCCACCTCAGTCATCCGCGCGGCGACATTCTAGTCTTTATGACGGGCCAAGAAGACATTGAGGCCACGTGCTACTGCCTTGCCGAGCGCATGGGCAAGATTGACGGCGCGCCACCCCTCATGGTAGACGCGTGGGATGTTTCCGCAGCTTGATATATCGATCGATGCATTAGGTGCTGCCCATGTACTCGCAGCTCCCGGCGGACCTCCAGGCCAAGATTTTCGACGCGTCCGACGTGCGCAAGTGCATCGTCTCGACCAATATCGCGGAAACGAGTCTCACGGTCGACGGTATCCGCTACGTGCTGGACCCGGGCTACTGCAAGATCAAGGTGTACAACCCGCGCATCGGCATGGACGCGCTGCAGGTGACGCCGATCTCGCAGCAAAACGCGAGCCAGCGCTCGGGCCGCGCCGGTCGTACCGAGCCAGGGTACGTGCGCCGACTTGCTAGCTGTTGTTGTTGTGACCGTCGTCTTTACGGGTAGCGTCTGCTACCGGCTCTACACGGAGCGTCAGTTTTGCAACGAGATGATGGAGGCCCAAGTGCCCGAGATTCAGCGCACGAACCTCGGGTCGATCGTGCTCTTGCTCAAGTCGCTCGGGGTCAAGAACCTTCTCGAATTCGACTTTATGGACCCGCCGCCGCAAGACAACATCACCAACTCGATGTACCAGCTCTGGGTCCTCGGCGCGCTCGACAATACGGGCGAGCTCACCGAGATGGGCAAGAAAATGGTATAATAAGTGGCTCGATACATTGATACTATAGTTGATGGCTAGGTGACGTTTCCGCTGGACCCGCCCTTGGCCAAGATGCTGCTCTTCTCGGCCGAGCTCGGCTGCAGCGACGAAGTGCTCATTGTCGTGTCGATGCTCTCGGTGCCGAGCGTCTTTTTCCGTCCAAAAGACCGCGAGGAAGAGTCGGACGCGGCGCGCGAGAAGTTTTTTGTGCCTGAGAGCGACCACCTCACGCTCCTCAATGTCTACAAGCAGTGGGTGGTACGCTAGCTCCATCTTACAAGGAGGCTGGATATGGATATTGATACTTTGATAGTCCAACAGCTACTCGAACGCGTGGGCCAACGACCACTTTATTCATGCCAAGGGCATGCGCAAGGCGCGGGAAGTGCGCGAGCAGCTCATCGACATCATGAAGCAGCAGAAGATCCCGCTGCTGTCGTGCGGGCCGCACTGGGACGTGGTGCGCAAGGCGATCTGCTCGGCGTACTTTTACAACTCGGCGCAAATCAAGGGCATCGGCGAGTACGTCAACATGCTGACGGGCATGCCGTGCAACTTGCACCCGAGCTCGTCGCTCTTTGGTCTCGGCTACACGCCCGACTTTGTCGTCTACCACGAACTCATCTACACGACCAAGGTATCCATCCATCCACTATCCAAAATCGATCCAAGATCGCTGCAACAATCCGAACGCTCATGCTTGGAATGATGTAGGAGTACATGCAGTGCACGACGTCGGTCGAAGGCGAGTGGCTCGCGGAGCTCGGCCCGATGTTCTTCAGCGTCAAGGAAAGCTACAAGTCGCGGCTCCTCAAGCGCGCCAAAGAAAAGACGGAGCGCGCTGACATGGAGCACGAGATGTCGATGCAGCACGAGCGCGATGCGTTCGAAGCCGACCGCGCCGCCCGCTCCGCGAAGCGCAACAAGGACAAGGCCAAGCTCGCCATGTACGCGGCGTCCGATCTCTTGATGAAGAAGGCTCATGCAACGTGTATGGTAGGGTGACGCCGGGCCGCGCCAACAAGCAGGCCAAGACGCCGCTGCGTACGCCGTTGCGCTTTGGGTTTTAAGGCGTGCTCTATGCAATCTGTATCTTTGGTTTCCGCTGGCTGCGCAAGATGGAGGAAGACGTTCGTGTCTAGTACACACACGGATAGATTGAAGGATAGTAGTCGTTGGCTGAGGGTTCTAGAAAGGATCTACGGCTTGGTGGATTCGGACGCCTCGGGCTTGGGTGTCGGCTCGTCCGCCTTGAGGAGCGCTTCCTTTGCCCGAAAGATCTTGGACTGGAGGTAGTACGAGCCGCCGCCACCCGTCGTGTCGTTGGCTTTAAAGTACCGGTCAAACTGTTTTTCAATGTCAGCGGCGGACGGGTTGGGCTTGAGGTTGAGCACCTCGAGCGCCTGCTCCTTGGACATCTTGGCCTTGAGCGAGGCCGAGGCCGAGCTCGCGACGGACGTCTTGCCGCTCTTGGCGTTGACGATGGCCTGCTGGTACGCCTGCACGAAGGCCTTGGAGACGACGCCGGCGCCGGCGACGACGATGTTGGCGATCAAGCGCGCGACCTGCCCCGACATGCTGCTTGGTGCTGGTGGTGGAAAAACAGAACTGGCACCGTATCCGGATCCGTAGAAAACACTATATGTTTTCGAACCGTCGAGAAAGAGATCTGAAATAGTGTGCATAAATCACGGTTGGCCGAAACCGGCAACCGGTTTACGATCCCTCGGCAGTCGTCGGCACTTCGCCTCGCGTTCGAAGACCCTATATATATATATGAACGTGTTTCGCGTTATCTTCGTTGTTACAAAGAGTTCGCATACGTAGAGACTAGCAATCTCCTTCTTCTTCATATTCGCTCGCCGGGCCGTGGCTGCGCAGGCGGCGGCGCGGGGGTGCATCTTGTTCTTCTGTAGTCGCGCGGGGACGCTTGTGGCCGCGGGTGAGGCCCATGATGACAAGTTCCGTAGATTCCTTCCAGGCGTCGCGATCGGCGGCAAAGCTACGCAGTTTGTTGAGGTCCTCGAGAGACGCCAGCGACTGAGGCGGCGTCAACGACTGGAGGTCGCGGTGCAGGACGATCGGCAACGTGATCTTGGTGCGGCCTCAAAGACCCTATGGGATGTACAATTGTAGCAGCGTGAAAGTCTCTGACAGCTCCCTATTTACACGCACGACACCACCCAGTAAGCATTATAGTCCTTTGCAGGCTCAAACCCTGCTCGTGATGCGTGGAGTCATCCTGCTAACGTGTTGCCAGCTTGCACATATGCGAATCCCCAGAAAAACCAGATTCCAGACACATTTTCTTCTTGCATGATACCCTTCTCTAGAAGGGATCTCCATAAAGCGAATGGCTAGTTGATATTCTCGAGAACGACGCCAGCGCCAGTACATAGTCAAGACGAAGTAGGAACCAAGGGAATCGGGCTGCTGACGTTGCCGGTTAGAAGGGCGCTGCACCGATTGCGCTCTCGACCAAATTCATCGTCGCTGATTGGTCTTTTTGACGCCGACGAAAGGCCGATCACTGTATTTTGACCAATCAAATCGATTCGAAAACTGGCCAACGCGCCGACGGGCCACTCCGTGACTTATCTCATTGCCGGCAGCAGCACGATGAGCAGCAGCGCCAAGCCCGACAAGTCGATCAAGGGCTTCTTCGGCGGACTATTTAAGCGCAAGGAGTCGTCCGTGACCGCGCCGCCGCCGCCCATGCCAGTGGTGGCCGCGCCCAAGCCGGTCGCCGCGCCGGCAAACGTCTCGCGCTCGGCGTCGTCGGGCGCCTGCTTGTCGCCACAAGACGATGACGACAACGACGACGGCAGCCCGTGCCCAAGCAACGTGCTTGCGGAATTCGAGTTTGTCAAGGAGCTCGGGAAGGGTGCGACGGCGGTCGTCAAGCTCTGTCGGCGCAAGGTCCATGACAACCAGAAGGACGACCTCGTGGCCATGAAGGAGTTTAAAACGTCGTTGCTGAAGAAGATGAAGGAATTCAAGCGCGAAGGCCGGCGCATGGTAGGCGACTCCGTCTCGCCATCGACATACCCTCTCATATCGTCGTCGTCTCGTCGTAGATTGTCTCGACGGCGTTCGACAAGGTGCAAATCGAGATTGCCATCATGAAGAAGCTGTCGCATGCCAACCTGGTTTCGCTCGAAGCGGTCCTCGATGATGGCGACGAGCAGCTCGTGCTCGTCCTCGAGTACGCCCCGCATGGGCAGATCATGGTCTGGGACGCCGCCCAGCTCTCGTACGTGCCGTCGATCGACGCGCGGAGCTTTAGTGCGCCGGCGCCGACGACGCCAATCGTGCAGCTGGCCAAGAACGGTCTTCCACTGCACGTCGCCCGCAAGTGCTTTCGCGAGCTCCTCATCGGCCTCGAGTACCTCCACACCAACGACATTTGCCATCGGTAGATTGTACTATAGCGAGAGCCACTGGACTGACCGTTCTTCTTCTTGTAGAGATCTTAAGCCCGAAAACATCCTTGTCGGCAACCAAGGCACGGTCAAGATTGCGGATTTTGGCGTCGCCCACTTTTTCGATGACACGGCGCCGGCCGCGCAGCCCGTGGCGCACGGCTACTTGACCAACTCGGCGGGGACGTATGCTTACATGGCCCCCGAGTCCATGGCGTCGGTGCGTCCTCTGTCTGTCTAAAGGACGGTTGCTTGAAGTACGGCAATCTTGTAGGAGCCGTACAGCGCCTTTGTGGCCGATATCTGGGCCCTTGGAATTACGCTCTACGCAATGCTCTTTGGCACGCTTCCGTATTTTTCGACCGAAGTCACGGTAATTTTGACATCGCGAGTCTCGTTCATTCATCTCGTGGATAGGAACTCTTTGATATGATTCAAAACAACGTACGTTGAAGGAACGTTAGCACGCCTCACGGTCCTTCTATTGTCTATATAGCCGATCGCACTCCCGACGGCCGTGCAAGCGCACCCCGAGCTAAGTTCGCTCCTCCTCGGTCTTCTCGAGAAGAACCCGGCGAAGCGCCTCACGATCCAAGAAATGAAGCGACACCCGTGGGTCAACCGCGGCTACGAGAGCCAGCGCGAGGACTTTCAGTGCCGCCAGATTGAGACCGTCGAAGTGTCGGCTGACGACATTCAGAACGCGTTCACGCGCATTCCATCCATGGCCGCACTCACACGCATGAAGATCTCGTCCAACAAGTGGGCCAACAACGCGCGCAAAGCTGTGAAGGAAAAGGAGCTCCTCAAGCAAGCGTCGTCGGCAAGCTCCAACGCCGGCGACACCAAGCCCGACGCGACGAAGACGGCCTAAGTAGCGTGGTATTCGTGCTGCTTTGAAAGACGCTGTATAACGGGATATATATATCTGTGCAAACTCAAGAGGCTGGGGCGAGCGGCGCCTTTTGATGGTAGACAAGCGCACGATCGAGAGCGTTTCTCTGAGTCGTGCGATGGCGTGCTGTCGTCCAACGAGCCACCGAACATCGTGTACGATAATCCAAATAGCATGGATGTACTACAACCTCCATTCGCCAGCGTGGCAGTAGCCGGATGATGCGTGGCTACCGCCGCCTCTACGCTCTCTCATGAAGTACAATTGCTGAGCCTAGGCGGCCCGGTCAGCCCTGTTGATGTACAAGCTGCTCTAGCTGCTCACGAGGGCGACCGCCTGTCACAAGACCGCCTGTCCGCGGTGCATTTTGATTGGCTCGAAAGTGTCCTTTTTCGACCAGTCAAAGCACAACGCTGCGTGGCGCGCGTCGGTCTGATAACGTTAAACTGTATCAACGCATATTTGTATGCGTTGTATTCGATCTACGAGTATAACGTCGCTGGACGCTGCTTGAAGCACGGCAAATCCTACAATTGTAGAGGCACGGTGGGATTGGTCGGGTTTGGCTTGGAATTTGTATGCTCGGCGGAATCTGGGGTCTGGCGCTCACTTTCTTTTTGTCATCATGCAGCGCACGTTCGCCGCCGCCAAGCCGCTCCTTCGCCGCGTCCACACCGAGGCCCGCATCAAGGAACTCGGCTACGTCCTTCCCGGCGTCGCCGAGCCCAAGGGCAACTACCGCCCGTGCGTCCGCTCGGGCAACATGATCTTCACGGCCGGCCACTTGCCGCAGCCCGCGGGCGGCGACTTGATCAAGGGCAAGATCGGCGCCGACCTCACGGCCGAGGATGGCTACGAGGCCGCGCACCACGTCGCGCTCGCCTTGTGCGCGACGCTCAAGGCCGAGCTTGGCGACCTTGACAAGGTCAAGCGCATCGTCAAGGTCGTTGGCTTCGTCAACTGCGTCGATGGCTTCACCGCACAGCCGTCGGTCATCAACGGCTGCTCGGACACGCTCGGCAAGATCTTTGGCGAGCGTGGCGTCCACGCCCGGTCGGCCGTCGGCACGAACGCCCTCCCGCTCGGCATCCCCGTCGAAGTCGAGTGCATCGTCGAAGTCGAAAACTAAATGGCATCTCTTATGGTTGGTCCTAATGGGTGGTCTTTTGGCGCAATGCGCTCGCAAAGACGGGGAATGGCATGAGAGGCACGACGACCTCATTGTCGAGGGTCACGCGCACGAGCCAGTCGGTCCCGTCCTGGTGCAGCTCGAGCACGACCGCAGCGCTGTAGTCGGGCCAGAACGGCTGCACCAACGACGTATCCAACGCGTACAGCAGCGCTAAGAGCGAGACGTCGTGGCCGCTGTAGATGCGAATAGCTTCCTTGACATGAGTCGCGCCTCCAGCCATGCTCTGCTCCATCTAAGATACCATATCAGCCATGAGTCTGCCGAGTCGTCGTCAAGGCATTACTTGGTCCAGCAGCTCGGTGACAAGCCCCGTGGCGACGAGACGCAGAATGACCGGGTCCGTGTAGTACTACGCGTTGCATTGACGAAGGACTCAATGGCGTCCGTACAAGTATCGTGGATCATACCTGTTGGAACCGCAGCGAGAGGTGATCGATGGTGGGCTTTGCAAGCTCCTACTCCAAAAGTACATATACCGTGTTGGACGGTGGACAAGGATGTATTGCTACCTTGGTTTCGGGGAGGTACTCGAGGGCGTGCGCGTCTCGGCAGATAAAGTGGTCGGCCGCCTTCATCCATGTAAAGGCTTCACCACCCTCGCGGAACATGGGCAGACGATGCACAAGCTCTTGCTTGAGCGGCTCGACGCGCGCATCGTCCTTGGCGTACTCGGGGTGGTCGGCGATAAGCTGCATCTTGAGCGGAATGATCACGTCGCCGTTGGCGCTGTAGGCTGTAGCCGCGAGATCTCGCTTGGTCAGGGGCGACGACATGGATGCAAGCACATACCGTTGATAAAGTTGAGATGCCGAGGAAGCACGTGCACGTCGTTCATCGTGGCGGCGTGCGGGGCCAAGCGTGAGAGCAGCGCCAGCACGCTCTGCTGCGTCCGGTCGTACGGCGTACTCAGCACCTTCAAGTCCATAAGCTCGTCACGAAGCGTCCATCCTTGCGACAAGCATTGGTCACGCTACATGTGCATGAGTTGCTGCATACGTCTCGTTGGCCACGTACGAGTTGAGCGCCCCGAGCTCGCATTTGATCGACGCCGAGAGTCGTGAGCTGGCCGTAGACGCCGGTCGAAGGCGCATGGAGCTTTGGCGCCCAGAGAGCGTCTTCCTTGGATGCGCGCCATGGCACGCCCGCAAACACGTTGTGCAGCGGCGACCGGTCGCCATGCCGGTGGAGCACCTGGACGAGCCGCAGGCGCATGTCGAAGCGGACCGAAGCAGACTGCTCCGTAAGTGCGTATCTTGCGCTCTTTTAAGTGCGGTAGAGGACTCTACTAAGTACGTGGACCCGATTCGGGTCACATTGCAGGAGCCAGGCGACGACGAAGAAGACGGGGCGCAATTGCGTTCGGGAGGAGGGATCGATCCGCGTCCCACTCGTTCCTCCCACGGCAGCCGCTCATGCGCCCTGCAATACTTCCATGCTGGTCTCGTCTTCCTCTCTTATATGCCTCACGATGGGCTTGTCATAGCGTCCGTCAGTCAATCTTCGAGCGACATTGCACATAGGGAGTATTGTTGCATTGCTGTTGCCTAGCATCTTCCTCATTCCATGCTGATATGCTTTCACGAGGACGTCTGTCGGCGGCTTTGGTGGGACGTGGTAATCGACGCAGCGGAAGCATGCAAAGTTCATTCTCGTTGAAGATGACATTTGCATTATTGTGCGTTTGGCAGCATCAATTGAAGCGGGCTTGACGTTGGATTGAGGCACTCGACATCATCGCCTCGTACTGTGTACTAGTAGTGCGCAGTGTCCTCAAGAGGTGGGCGTGGACGACGGATGCGTGCGAACCCAAAGGCGCCTGGCTTGTTGAAGCTGGAATAATTTGCGGCTGCGACGTTCCGCCGGCCAGAAAACACCCTCGGTTCTCCGCCGCAGGTGCGAGTCACATACACATCACCTGCACGCTGCATGGGAAAGCGGATGCATATCCCACGCTGTCGGTTCGAGAACGCGGCGCCGCCACCACACATTTCCCCATGTCAATGAACTTCAGAGCCACGTATCTTTGGCCCGCGACGACGAGCCTACGACGTACCTTAGTACGTGGGCTTTGCACGGGACGATGGTAGAAAGCCGGTGGCGTGCGTGGGACGCAGAACCTCCGATCGTTCTAGCTACTGCTACTCTGCACCTTCTTCCGTCGCGAGTACCTTGCTGTCGCGAAGACAGTGCGCAGCAGTCAACGGGGCGCATTACTTTATAGAGGGAAGTCGCCTGTCCCTGTGCCCTGCGTGCATAGAACCGTCCATCCACTCCACCCCGATATGCAATGCGAGAGGTTTCTTCGCGCCCGAGGGTGGGACGGCCAATTTTTGCCTTGTCAATGACACCCCCCGCCTCCTATCACTTGGCTCCCGTGCTTCTCCGCCGAGCGGCTACTCGTCGGTACGTACAGACTGCCCACGTTCGTTCCGCCTTCTTTATCCCAAGTGTACTGAAGTAATAATACCTGCGTCCTTCTACCCTACAAGGACGAAAAGAACGCGCCGCCTTGCACAATGCGCCGGCAGCTGCTTGAACATGTGGCCCTAATGACGTCAAGGAGCTTGGACGAGTGACCTTTGGCGCGAGCGATTCGACTAAGTGCGCTTGCATACAAAGACCAAGACGTACATTATTATAAAACCATTTGCACGCGGCATAGAGCTGTCCAGAGACACCACATGGCATGCTTTAAAACCAGCCGATGCCATACATGGAGCGTACATTCGGACGCACTATATCAATGTACGTAGGGAACGGACAATGTACGACCGCACGGATTCGGCAGCTGCGAGCTGTGCGCGCGGTCAAGATCAACTCGGCGGTGGATTTCCCCAGTCATTTGCACATTTTCTTTGCAGCTCCCACCCGATGTCGACAGCCGAGCACACGCAGGTAGAATGACGATGCCATGATGGGCGAGGGCGGACGACGACCTCATGGGCCCGAGGAAGAGGGGAGGCTCATGCAGATGACGATGGTAGGTGTACATCCCCGACGACAAGGTCGCGTGGATCGCTGCGCAAGTGCTGAGCGCGACCGGGGATACGTTCGAGGTCCAGACCCAAGGCGACGCGTCCGAGGAGTTCCTGAGCGACCATCCCAAGGACGGCGCCCATCGCACCGTGCCGGTACGACGACGAAGACGGGAACGATGCACGATGGCTCATGCAACCATGTAGAAAGCGGCCGTGTGCTTGCAGAACGTGCTGCCCGAAGATGGCTGCAGCGACATGGTGCACCTCAACTACCTCCATGAAGCCGCGATCTTGTACAACCTCAAGACGCGCTTCCACCGCGGCTTGCCATACACATACACGGGCCCCATCTGTATTGCCGTCAACCCCGTACGTTGCCGCTCGGTCATGGAGATCCTCATGATCCAATGTGTCTGTAGTACAAATGGCTCGATATTTACAACCCCAAAGTGCAGTCCACGTACATGGACGTGGAGAAGCTTCCGGAGCTGCCGCCGCACGTCTACGCCGTCAGCGCGCGGTCGTACCATCACATGCGCGTGTTTGGCGAGACCAAAGCATCCTTGTCAGTGGCGAGTCGGGGCGGGTAAGACAGAGACGACCAAGATCCTCATGTCGCACCTCGCGACGGCCGGCGACCGCACGGACGCGGACCACGCCATGACCATGAACATCGTCGAACGCGTGCTCCAGTCCAACCCGCTCATGGAGAGCTTCGGTAACGCCAAGACGTCGCGCAACGACAACTCGTCGCGCTTCGGCAAGTTCAGCGAGCTCCAGTTCAACGCCGAATGCCAGCTCGTTGGCGCGCGCTGCAACACTTATTTACTTGAAAAATCCCGCGGTAGATCCTTTCCTGCCATGCGAATCGTGCATCACCGGATCGTCTTGTCTAGTCTCGACGCACGGCAAGGGCGAGCGCAACTACCACATCTTTTACCAGCTCCTCGCGGCGCCCGAGACGATCCGCACGCAGGTCGAGCTCCACGAGACAGATCCGATGGCGTTCCCGTTCCTTCGCGGCACGTCGGCGAACGGCGAGGACGTCATGACCGAACTGGACGCCGAGTACTTTGGCCGGACGCTCACGGGCCTCACGACGCTGGGAATTGCCGAAGCCGATCAAATGTACGCATCATCTTTGACCGTAGACTATATGTACTCACGATGTCATTGCGCATAGCTCGGTGTTTGGCATTGTCTCGGCCATCTTGCACCTCGGCCGCGTCGAGTTCAAGGGCGACGAGGCCTCGATGATTGCGACGCCGGCCACCGTGGCCGCGGTTACCAAGCTCCTCGGGTTTACCGCATCGGACTTTGAGCAGAGCTTGTGCACGCGCCAAATGGCCGCGGGCCTCGATTCGTACACGGTGCCGCACACGATGGAGCAAGCGACGAGCGCGCGTACAGCCTTGTCCGTCGCGCTGTACAGCAAGCTGTTTGATTGGCTCGTCACGCATATCAACGCGTCGACGTCGTCCAAGATGCACGTGAGCCACCGCATTTGCATCCTCGATATCTTTGGCTTTGAGATTTTCGAAAACAACTCGTTCGAGCAGCTCTGCATCAACTACGCCAACGAGAAGCTGCAGCAAAAGTTCACGCAAGACGTCTTCAAGTCGATCCAGAACGAGTACGAGGAAGAGGGCATCCCGTGGACCAAGATTGATTTTGCCGACAACGTCAATGTGCTCGAGCTCATTGAAGGCCGCTTTGGTCTTCTTGCGCTCCTCAACGAAGGTATTATTGATGCGTCGTCTTGGATCCACGCAGATCATCTCATGTTGGTCCTCGATAGAGTGCATGCGGCCCAAGGGCAGCGACTCGGCGTTCACGAACAAGCTCTCGGCACACTACAACGACAACGACCGGTTTGAGATTCCTCGCCTGCGCCGCAACTGCTTTGCGATCACGCACTACGCCGGCTACGTCTCGTACGAAACCTCCGGCTTCCTCATCAAGAACACGGACGCGCTCCAGAAGGATGTGCTCAGCCTCTTGTACCGTTCGTCGTCGCCGTTCATCAACACACTCTTCCCGGCGCCGGCCGAGAACAAGACGGCCGTCATGACCCACCGTCTTCGCCGGTCCAACTCGATTTTGGCCGACTCGGTCGGTACGCAGTTCAAGTCGCAGCTCAACGCGCTCATGGAGGACATTCGCCGCACGCATGTCCAGTACGTGCGCTGCATCAAGCCCAACAGCAACAAGAGCCCGCACAGCTTCTCCAAGGGCCGTGTCGCGTCGCAGCTCCAGTGCGCCGGTGTTGTTGAGGCCGTTCGCATTAGCCGCATGGCATTCCCGAACCGCCTTTTGCAGCAAGATTGTCTCCAGCGCTTCCGCCTTCTCTTGGCCAAGTCGTCGGCGTGCGACTCGGACGACGACGAGGTCAACCAGTGCGCACAGCTCCTGAACCAGCTCCTGACAGAGTCGGACTTTCAGCTCGGCAAGTCGCGCGTCTTCTTCCGCGCCGGCGCGCTTGAGCGTCTCGAAGACCTCCGCACGCGCCAGCGCGACGCGAGCGCGGTCATTCTCCAGCGTGTTGCACGCCAATGGGCGGCGACCACTCACTACCGCAAGGCGCGCAAGGCTGCGATCGTGCTCCAGTCGTACACGCGCATGTTCCTCACGAGCCGCCGGTACCGTGCGATGCGCCTGGCGGCGATCACGCTCCAGTGTGCCGTGCGCTGCTACATGGCCAACGCCGTTGTGCATGGCATGCGCCAGACCAAGGGCGCGCTCAAGCTCCAAGCGACGTTCAAAATGCACATCGCGTACACCAAGTACATGCGCGTGCGCAACGCGAGCATCAAGATGCAGTGCCTCGTGCGCGGCTTCATTGCCAAGAAGGGCTACGCGCGTCTTCTTGTGCAGGCCAAGGAAGAAGCCAAGCTCGAGAACCAGATCCAGCGGCTCAAGGACCGCCTGAAGGAGGAGAAGGCGCGCGCCGATCAGCTCAGCCGCCGTGCGAGCATGGTCGGCAGCGTGCCGCTCGACATTGAGCTCGAAGGCGCGAGCGGTCTCATCGACCAGCTCCGCGCCGAGATGGCGCTGCTCAAGGACGCGAATGCGCAGCTCAAGGTCCACAACATGCAGCTCAAGAAGGAGAAGGAGGGCATGGAGCGTGGCGCGTATGTCAACGGCGCGTCGTTTGCGGCCGCCAACCAGCGCGCGGTCAAGCTCCAAGAAGAGGTCGAGTTCCTCAAGATGGCGCACGCGCGCATCAAGGACACGCACAAGACGCTGCGCATGCAGAACACGGCCAGCATGGAGGGCATCCACCATCTGCAAATGGAGCTCCACAAGGCGGTCTGCGAGCGCAACGCGCTGCAGCAGAGCCACATGGCGCTCCAGACGCACCTCGGCACGCTCGAAGCCAACAACTCGGAGCTCACCAAGGTGAACGCGCGTCTCCGCCTAATCCTTCGCCAGGACCCGGAGCTGAACCGCAACAGCCGCGAAGAGGTCGCAGGCATGATGAAGAACGTGCGCCAAGCTCAGGAAGCGCGGGCCAAGCCCGCCGTGCCGACCTTTGCGTCCGTGACGGCGGCGTCGCTTATCAAGCCCGTCGCTGTCTTGCAGCCCGAGGTCACGGCCATCATGATCAAGGCGAACCAGATGCCCAAGAAGCCCAAGGGCCTCTCGAACCGCGTCATCAACCTTGCCGAATCGGTCAAGGAAGAGAACGAGAAGGAGGGTGTCCGCCAGCCCAAGGGTGTCGACGGGCCGCTGCCGTCGCCCGGCAAGGTCATGGGTCTTGTCGAGTCCGACGACGAAGGAGATGAGAAGGTGAGCTTCCGCGTCACGCTTGTCGACGTTGCCGAAGAGCCGCCGGTCCCGACGGCGGCGCAGGTCGTCAAGCGCGTCGCGGTTGGCCCGCCGACGATGGTCAACGGTCGCCAGCCGCCGCCGCCGCCGACCAACAACATGAACAACAACAATGGATGGAAGACGCAAACAAGCAGCCGCGCGCGTAGCAACTCGAGCCAGACCAAGAGCCGTCCGCGCACCAACTCGCGCGAGAAGGACGAATCGCGCCAGCGTGGCCAGGCACAGCGCCAGCAGTCGCCTCCGTACCATCGCCGCGGGAGCTCGACGAGCCTCGGCAACGCCCCTGGTGGCAACTTTCGCCGGAGCGGCTCGAGCAGCGTCAACAGTGCCGACGGCCACCCGCCGCAACGCTCCATGGGCCGCGGCGGCCGTCACGTCGAGCTGTAAAAAGCCCGTCCGTCCACCCCAATAGTCGATAGTCTTTTTTATTACCATCATTTATATACATCACACGATTGCATTTCTGTCCGTCCCGGTCACCGCGCACCTTTCGGACGAGCTACATTGTAATCGGCTCGACCTAGCCCTCTTATGGTGTCGAGTTGATACCTCGATACAAATGTGCCACGCCCGTGTCGGCTTTTTCTCCGTATCAAGGTATCGGTTCTTCAACGACAAATGACGGTACTCAAAGCTGTGCCATAGAGGCTCACGGTGGTGAAGCGCCAACAGCACCCTCGCCTCGCAAGCAGCAACCCGACAGCTGCCACGCTTCCGTTCCTTCAGGTGTTCATGCTACAACACAACCTTTACAATGCAGAGGTTACTTTCAAAAGGCCTATGGATTTAGCTGGACGTCGCGGCGGGGCCTGGTATGCGTCCCTTGAGCACCTCGCCCGTCTTGACGCTGAGTAGAGCCGGCGGCATCGTCATCAAGTCAATCTTGAGGCCCTCGGCCCAGTCGAGGAGGTTCTTTGGCGCATACGCCATCGTCGAATCTTGGAGCCGCTGGAGCACGCTGGGGTCAATGGTTTCGTTGAGTGTCGTAGACGATCCGAGTGGGCGATAGAACGGCCGACCCAGCTGCATGATCTGGTACATGAACGTCATGGACGGGTCGATCTGCGCCGCGTGACGCACAACCTCTTCCCCATCGAGCTCAATATCCGAGTCGCGGCGGAAGTCGAGGCCGTAGTCGTGCGCTCGGTCGCGGATCCACTTGAGCGGCAAGTGGCTCAGCTCGTCGTTGGTGATGCCGCCACCCACGTTGCTGTGGGCGCCCACAAACCAGCGCTGCTCGAGCCAGTCGTAGCCAGCATCGATCGCGCGCCGACCGTCGTTGTTGTCGTCGTCCTCGACGTCTTCCCAGACCGACGCGCGGAACGACGAGCGGTGTTCGTCGATCGCGAGCGCGTGGCACATGTGCTCGATGAGCTGGCCGTTCTGGCCGTCCTTTTGCACCCGGCTCCAGTCGGCAGCGACCACGTCAAAGACACCGACAAACTTGATGCTGACTTCCTTGCAATATTGGAGCATCCACTTGCTCTCAGCATCCAGCGATGCCGGATTCGAGAGCTTCTTGAGCTGGTGCACACTCAGCGCCTCGACATCGTGCTTGGCCAGCGTGCGCTCGTAGCGCCGCCAGAGCTGGTCAATGTGCATGGGGCTGTTGGGCTTCATCAAGCCGACGGACCCGAGCATGCCGAGGAGCGCGCGGACTTCGTACCCGCCGCGCGAGAAGCCGAAGAGGAAGATCTCGTCGCCGTCGTTGTAGTGCTCGACGAGCCACATGTAGGCGTTGCGGACGATGTCGGTCATCCCGACCGCAAACGCGCCTCCAGTGATCCAGTGCCCAAACGTGTTGCCGACGCCGACAAAGTACTTGCGGATCTGGTGCACGTGGCCAAAGGTGCCGTCGGCCATTTGCATGTAGAGACGCCAGACGTTGGTCTGCGTCTGCTTTTGGTTCCATGTGCCGTCGAGGAAGATGCCAATGCGCTTCTTGATCGGCTGGACCGCCGCCTTGCGCGGCGACGTGGTAATGCGACTCGTTGACATTCGAAAAGCACGTGCGTCGCTCGAGGCAAAAGGGACAATGATCCGATGATTCAAAGGCCAGAGGGGATGGATGCTTCTCCGCCGCTGTCGCCATGCGTCGGAGGCAGATGCAGGCCAGAAATTTAGAACCAAATTCATTCGTGTACCGTGTAGTAGAGATAGCGAGGATGGAGGAAGTGGATGCTTGAGGATGAGGATGGGCTGCGGCGGGGACGGAGGCGACCATGCAAAGAGAATATTTAAACTCGCTAGGACACAGCTTTGTCGGCCTGCGATACAGCGTCGGCGACAACATGGCTCAGTGAATATATACTTTTATAGTACTATAGACTGTCCATGCAAAGGTAAGGCAGCCATACTACAACCTCCACAAGGCGCGCGATAGAGCTTGCCTGCGCGTCTCCCGACCGTCCGTTCTCCTTCCGTATGATATCGAAACGTTCCAGCCGTTTTTTTACAGACCTATCAGCGCGGTCGCCAGCCATCCATTTTCGCCAGCCAGCCATTTTCGTACTGTGTACCATCTCGCCATGTCATCTTCGTCGTCCAAGATATGACAACGAAGAAGGGCGTGGCCGCGCTGACACGCTGTAATACGCGGCTCCGTAACTGCTCCACTGCACATCTCTGCTAAAATCGATCGACTGACGGAGAATGGAGAAGCAGATAGAGTGCTTCTAATCGCGTGCTCGTGTGTGTTGCGATGATCACGGCGCTGTCACAAGACGCGACGCACGCAGTTCAAGTGTCGCCAATGACCAAGAGAACTCAGCGATTCCAGTTCCGTACCACTGGCCGTCACATGACCGGTCTACGCTGCATCGCCCACGCTCTTGGTCGCTGGTGCACCGTACAATCGGCAGGAGCTACTACACGCCTACGGTACCTTGGCCGTCAGAGAATTTCACGCCAGCCGCGTCTTGTAATCAATCAGCAAGAGAACCAACGGCATACTCGCGCCATCGCATGCAGAGATGGGATGGATTTCACATTCCTCGCCCGTTGCTCTCGTCTCGCTCAGTCACCAATTTCCATTGTCGCACCGATGCAGTCGCCGCGCCGCCCGCAAGTCCAGCACGTTCCCAAGAAGATCGGGCTCTTCCTCGACGGCACGTGGAATGAAAAGACGTCGCAGACCAACGTCTGGAACCTCTACATGCAAATGGCCGACGCGAGCTTTGGCCACGTGCACCAGATCCGCAAGTACTTTGTGGGTCTTGGCACGGGCGCCGGCGAGCGTATCATTGGCGGTCTCTTTACATACGGAATGACCGACATCATCCGCAACGCGTACCTCTGGCTCGTCGAACACTACAACGACGGCGACGAAATCTTCCTCTTCGGCTTCTCGCGCGGCGCATGGGAAGTGCGCGCACTCCTCGGCATGCTCGGGTCGGTGGGGTTGATGCTACCGAACAGCCCACTGCATGTGACGCAGCTCTGGGACCGTTTTGAGCGCTGCAGTCTGCTCGAGGGCCACCCGCGGGCCGCCGCGAGCTTGCACCAGCTCGCGACCGGCGCCGCCGTCGACGCCGAAGGCGCATGGGTGCTCAAGCACTGCAAGGAGGTCAACATCTCGTTCGTTGGACTCTTTGACGTTGTCTCGGCCGAGCGCCACGAGTTTCTGCACAAGGACGGCGCGAACGGCAAGCTCGTGCGCCGCGTCTGCCATGCGATGGCGCTCGACGAGTTCCGCACGTCGTTCCAGGTCGAGCACTGCGAGGTCGACCCGGACGACATCAACAACGAGTCGCGCGACGCGTCGCTCATGGGGTACGAGTGGACCGAGCAGCGCTGGTTCGTCGGGTCCCACTGCAACGTGGGCGGCAGCATTCCTTTCGACGAGCTCCACCGGCTACCGCTCAAGTGGATCCGCGACTGCGCCGAGGAGGCCGGCCTCGCGTTTCGGCACGAGTCGCATGTGGTTCTCGACGGCGAAGAGCACCACCGTCACTCGGAGCAGATCTTTGACTCGATGAGCTGGCCGTTCATGCTCGTGCAAATGGGCCAAAAGCACGTGCGGAAGCTCGGCAGCGCCCACTCGCTCAACGAGACGATCGATGCGAGCGTCTTTGAGCGCTACCAGGACAAGGCCATGATGTACGCGCCCCGGAATCTGGAGGAGTGGGCCGACGCGCGCCAGATTGATCTCAACACGGTCAGCATCGGCTTGCGCAGCGTCAAGACGGGCGAGCTCCTCGTCGTCAAGGACACGGTCGCAGCCCCCGCGCCAGCGTCGTAACCTCAAGTTTCGTTCTCGTACAATACATGACATTTGCGCTATGTAAACACGCGGTTGCCACACCAAACGTATGTGCCAGGGACGATCGATGCATTCAAGGAGCTCGATAGTACAGACTCGGGGGATAATGTTGTGTGCAAGAAGACCTTGTGTTGAAGCACGCGTGCATAGCGTTTGCGACAGTTGTGGCGATGCAGGTTGCCGGAATCCATTTACGACCAGCCGGTTTCATGACGTGGCAGCCTCTCGTTACAGCGCATCTTGCAGTGGCCACGGTCCACGAGCTTGTGCGCTGCTCCAAATGCTCTAGTTTGGTCAACATTTTACACGATTGTCGTTGGAGGAGGGTGCGGCAGCATCACGTCTTCATGCGCCCGAGCTTTGATCTCGCAAGAAGCAAAAAGCATGGACTGGAAAGGCTGCAAGGGAAAAGCGAGCGTCCCCTGTCGCTTTGCATGGGAAAAACCTGCAACATCGTTTTTACACGAGCGAAATGACATTCTGCATCGCATCATTACCGAAAACACCATGCTCTTCAACAGCCAGTACACCCAAGACAAGGAGGCCAAGCGCCGCGCGCGCGAGGAACAGCTCTTCCGCGAGACATAACTGCTCTCTACGCCACCGAGCAGCGCCGCAAGGCCAAGGAAGCGCGCGTGGCGGCCAAGCCTGTGCCAAGCCCTAAGCCGCAGCCTAAGAAGACACCCGTGGCCCGCCCCACGACCCCGACAACCAAGCCGGTGGCCAAGACGACCAAGCCGGTGGTTGATTGCCGCAAGAAGGCAGCCGCAGCTGCAACGACAAAACCAGCACCCGTGCGCCCAGCGACGCCAGCCCCGGAGGCTGCAACACCACTCGAGATCGCGCAGGCCCGCATCCAGGAGCTCACGACGGAGCTCGCGGCGGCGCGCCAGACCATTGACGAGCAGAACGCAACCATTGCACGACTGCAAGCCGCTCAACCCGAGACCCCAACGACCACAGAGAACGCGACGGACGACGTTCCAAGTACCACGATCGCATCGGTGCCAACGCCTGTGGCTGATTCAGCCGCCATCCAAGGTGACGCCAACGCGCAGAGCGCCGAAAGCAAGTTGATCGTGCAGGAAGCCATCCTTCAACAAGCACCGAGTCTGCGCCGCGTTCTTGAGACAAGCAACTTGCAGCCATTGTTCTGGACACCAGACGAGCGTGTTGTAGCCATCGATACGCTGGTCCGCGCCATCTCGGCGATCGAGATGGGACAGCCAATGGTTCACGAGCCGTACTTGGTCCTCCCACCAGTTCCTTCAGGGCAACGGGACGTGTCGCTCGAGTTTGAAGAGTCTTTGCTGCGCGGTTTGATGGCCAGGGCCCGCGAGTTGGGCCTGCTGTAGTTAGACTACTAATAATCCCTCCAACGAAAATAAAAGAAACATGAGTTGCACGACAAAGCCCCAACAAGCATGATACACTTGCAGATGGATACAGAGGCGGATATATGGATGGATGGATAGCTAGATAGATAGAAAGTGGAGCGCCGGATCGACCAACTCGGAGCGTTGTGTGACGTCGAGAGGCCAACAATGATATTTACGTCCTGCCGTGAGCGACAACAAACCAGATCCCTACCGCTGCCAAGTCCATGGACGATTGCCGTCAAGGCGGCACGCGTCGCTCAACTGCACTTGCACCACAGCCTCGTACAAGAGCCCGAGCAGCCTGCTCTTCGTCGGCTTCTCCAGCTCCTCGCCCAACACGAGTGGCCGCGACGTCACCTCGTCCCGCGGATCGCGCTCCTGCCTCCGCCTGCCTAAACCAAGTCCCTCAACCCAGTACACACAATGAAGAAAGTCCGACCATTTTATTTAGCATAGTTTTATCTATAGTAATAGACGACCCACTTCAACAACCAGATCTGAGAATGCACGCACTCGTGATCCAGATTGCGTAGCGCAACGGAATAGTCTGTCTGCCTTCCAGAAGGATATTGTTTGGTACACGGCGCTGCGCGAGGCGTAACCATGCTGTTCACGACAACGGCGTCGGATCATGGACAATGTTGGTCCATCATAATCAAGGGACTAGAGCGTGATCATAGTGCAGGCATATACATCGTGTTACGACAGTCCAGTCGAAGAATCTTAAGCGATAGACCGTGGTGCATCTAGAGCTTGGCGCGCGAGACCGTACCGACAGCCTTCGCAAAGGACTTGGCCATCTTCTCGACGGCCCAGTTTGGCATCTCGGCCGTCACGGGCAAGTACACGAGGCTAGACCACACGTCGTTAGCTCTTGCCTGCGATTTGAGAAAGAGCTACTTTTGCATGATGGCCTTGGAGTTGACCGGGTCGAACGCCGCATTCGTGGGGCTAATCGCACACAACCCGTTAGACGCGGCGACACCTCACGACACGTAATCGTACTGCGGTACAAAGGCGAGCTGCGTCGCGCCCGACGTCACATCAAACCCCTACCCCGCCTCCATGAGCGACTCGATACACGCAACATTGACGTACGTCTTGGATCATGAGGGCAGCGACGCGCTTGGGCTCGGGGCACACAACAGGAAAGAGCCAGTAGTAGTGGTTGCGAGCGAGGTTGCCGGGGACCTACGATCATGGTTCATCGGTTCATGGATAGCGAGGAGACGAGATGCTCGAGTACGCACCGACGCTTGCGGGACGTTCTTGATGAGGCGCTCGAGGAGCTCGCTCTTGGTCCTGCATGCAATCGTACACCTTTCTGTTTTTTAACGGAGAACGTACTTGCGCTGGAGGACGTAGGCGTGGTCGTACGTCGAGAGCTTGCGGTGAAGCAGTCCGAGAAGCGGCATCGACGGGCGCTGGCGGAGCAGCGTGATGAGGTCGCCGCCGCTAAAGCCGCGGATCTGCGACGTAATCACTTCGTCGTGGTTGTCTACATGCACCCAAATCAGAATCCTCAACAACGCCGAAACATCAATGAAAGAAGAGCAAGCGTACAGCCGAGCTGGCGGCAGGCCTTGAGGAAGAGACCAAAGAGCGGTGGCGACGTCATGCCATGGAGCGCACTGTACTTGACGAGGCGCTGGAGGAAGAATGTGCGCGAGCGCGGCTCGTAGCGGTTGTTGCGACGCTTCATGCCATCAAGGATGTCGTTGTCGAGGACGCGGAACATGGCGCCACCAAACGCCGTCGACGTCTTGATCGTGCCAAAGCTGAACATGGACACGTCGACCTTGGGGTGACCCTTGTACGACGGGCCGCAGTAGGCTTGCGCGCAGTCCTATTCCAGCAAAAAAAGATGCGTTGAACAAGATCGTTTGTGCGGAGATACCTCGATCACGAGGAGCTTATGGGCGTTCGCAACCTCGACGACCGGGTCGAGGTTCGTGAGTGTGCCAAAGATGTGCGCGACCAAGATGGCTTTGGTTTTCTACGAGATGATGAGTCGAGCAATACGAAGCGTCTATCTATGGACGTCGCCGTACGTCGGTGACGGCGGCGGCCAGCGTCTCGGTCTGCATCGCAAGCGTCGTGTCGTCCAAGTCGATGGGGACGGCGACGAGGCCGTGGTGGTGGAGGACCTTGATCATGTCGGGGATCGTTATCGACGAGCAAATGATCTCGCTGCCCTTTGGGTAGTTCATCGTCTGCAGGAACAGGTCAAAGCCGGTGCTACAAGAGGACCACAGACTAAGCCGCATGCCACGCGAGGGCGGCGGCGCACCGCACGGAGAGGCAGACGAGCCCATGGCCCGACGGATCCCAGAGCTTCTCGACGTCGTTCGTGAGCGACTCGCGCTGGCTGTCGCGGAGGTAGAAGCAGCTTGAGATGCCCGAGACAATGTCCGCGTACGTAATGTCGAGGCGCTTGCGCGGAAAGATGGCCCACGGGACGCTGCCCGTGTACTCTTCCATCTTGCCTACGCCCATGCCATGAGCGCGACGTCATCGCATGCGTCTACCAAAGGGCTTGAGGGCCATGCTGCTGCTGCTCCTGCTGCTCGTAGCCGTCGGCGAGGTTGCAAAAATGGCGTCGACGTTGCACTGGGTTCTGTATCCGGACGCCGGATAATGTGACGTCGCGCGGTGATTGGTCGAACCATTTGAAATCTTTGGGATTACGAACGCAACCAGTTTCGAAGGGCCGGCCCGCCAGCTGTCGACCCTTGGTCTAATAGTACCGGTACTAGGAGGTAGGGCTATCGACTAAATTATAATAGTACGATCGACGACTCGACTCGACTGGTTAACGTTATCAACGTTCTATTGTAGTAGCGAGGCTAGTCCTGCGACGCGGCTACACACAGCGGCAATGCGTGGGCCAGTGCATGCCTCCTGATTGTGTATCGCTGGACGGAAGGCGTGTTCTCGGGAGGGCAGCGGTCTCTCCAGCAAAGCGATGTGCGCCGTTGCTGCAGACATCTTGATGACAATCAGCACCTAAATGGTGGTCCTGCCGTCTGCTCTTTGACGAGCACTCCGCTCTGGCGACCGATGACGCAGCCTCGGCACCTTGCCAGCAAGACTCTTCTGGGATCCTGTGTAGTACATTTTGTACGCCGCTCTTGCGACGTTGATACATTTACCTGTCGCTGGGCCTGGCCCACCACGAGCGCTGCATTGCATTCGCACACTCCAATTCCAACGCGATCCGTGCAGACCAGGCCTGTTCACGCGTGTTCCACACGGAACACTGCCGATGCAGTAGACAGGCGGCAACAATAACGTCCATTGCTCATGGCAGTCGAGCTGCCGCGACAGGCGCACCTCGGGTCATCCCATCGTCGGTCATGAATCCGCCTCGCCCAGGTCCGTCACCATCGCTACCCGATCGTTTATCTGCGAAACGAAGACGACGATATTGTGCATAACGTACTAGTTAGTACCTCTGACCTCCTTGCAATCGATACGCTCAAGCACGCTTGACGACAAAATGCTGTACAATTCCATTCACATCTACTCGGTGGACGACGACGGCTCGTAGACCATGTACCGAAACGTGGTGGTGCCCCACGTACGGAGTTGGATGGGCGGCGAGGCCCCTTGCGCCCAGTCGTCGAGATGCAACGTGACGCGCGCCCGCTCGGCAAAGCCGTATTTGGCAAAGAACCGGTAGCCCACTTCGCTGGCGTGGACCCAAATTGGGCGCTTGTCGTCGAGACCCCACGCGAGAAGTGCGCTGCCAACGCCTGCACGTTGATACGCCGGCGCAATCGTGATCGAAACGAGGATCCGGTGCGGCATTGGCAGCAGCGTCGGCACGAGCGACCGCTGCCAGTAGCTCATGTGCGCGCTCGTAAATTGCCCGAGACCGTCTGGCGTCTGCGGATATTCGTGCGACGTCGGCTCGGCAATGGCGCCAGCGATTGATGCAGTGGCCGAGAGGCGCCAGCACACCCAACCCAGCAGCGCCTTGGTCTTGGCATCGACGGCCTTGACAATCGGGGTTGCGTCAGGCGTGCGCAGCCAGTACTCAATCGCCGGTAGCATCTGGTCGTAGTGGTTGTACGCAGGGCTGAGCGACTTAAGCTGCGTCACGGGCTCGTGCGCAAAGGCGGCCGCGTGGACGGCGGCGAGGGCCTCGGCGTCGGCCGCCGTCGCCAGCTCCAGCGTGACAGCCATGCTTTGTGTTTCTGTCGCCTTTCCGGAGGCAGATTCCCGGACGATGCGCACCCATGGAATGTTCGCAAGGAATGTTCCTCGGACGATCAGCCACCGACCCCATCATCCGCCGACCCGGGAGCATCGCTGAGCTCAACCAACATGTATAATACTACGTTAGGAAGCGGGATCTGTCAAGCACAAGGTGGCACAAGGCAACTTGAGACGAAGGATCGAAAAAAGGACATTATATGAAAACACTATTATAGGCGCACTCCTCAGCTGGGCACATGCAAAAGAAGGCATCGACACGCGACAAGAGAGATGACAAGCGCGTGGGTGGCTGTGCGGTTGTTGTTGAATTGGGTCCTCTATTACAATAGATAAAACTATGCTAAATACTCGGTTGAGGGACTTGATTTAGGCAGGCGGAGGCAGGAGCGCAATCCGCGGGACTAGGTGACGTCGCGGCCACTCGTGTTGGGCGAGGAGCCGGAGAAGCCGACGAAGAGCAGGCTGCTCGGGCTCTTGTACGAGGCTGTGGTGCAAGTGCAGTTGAGCGACGCGTGCTGCCTTGACGGCAATCGTCCATGGACTTGGCAGCGGTAGGTCGGCGCGAAAGACGCGATCGTTCCGTACTCGCCAGACGTTGAACCAGACGCAGGCGCGGAGCACGGGCCAGAGGTAGCGGAACGCGGCTCGGTGCATGTTGGACGCCGTCGTAGGCGTCGAGTAGAGGTAGCCGGGGAGCGTGGCCGGCAAGGTCACGCCCAAGGGGACCGTGACGGCGTGAAGCGTGCTCCACACGTCCTTGATGAAGTCACAGTCTACGAGGAAGTGGCGGTACGTCTCGTGCGCGGGGCAGAAGAGGCACGCTTGGTCGGCCCTGTCGAGCCAGTGCAAATGTGCGCGGAACTTGACCGCGCGGAGCATCACTTGGTAGACGA